CTCTCTCTCTCTTTCAGCATTTGTCTTTTATATGAAAATAACAGCACCTATATTTTCTGTACTACTTTCGTGTTCATATTTACGTCATTTTAGAGTTAAAAAGTTTTGTACAAATCATTAACTAAAGGAAGATCAAGCACGCATAAACTAATGCTCGAGTTAATGGTCGTTTATCTTGGTTCCTCCCATGCGCAACTTCGTTGGTTTATATTCGAAGGGCGGTAGTACCAGACATACTAACTATTAGGTCGGTTTGGCACTACCATAATTAACTAGTTTAATGTGATTAGTGCATTTGTGCCTTTGCTGTGGCCAATCTGCCAGTATAATCATGTCCACAAAAATGATTACCTCGGAATTAGGTCGAACATTTTATAATTGATCATGCATTTTTGCCGCACACCCAGATACATCAATGTATGATCGTATTTAGAATATGTGAAGTTCAAATAATTAAAAAATGTTACACTTTTCCGAGACTGATTTCTCTTCAGTCCCATTTCATTTTAACTTTTCAACTGGCTTTGGTTATTAGTGAAGTTTTTACTCATGTAGGTCATATTGCTAATAAGATGACTCCCTTTATAATTGTTCTAATTTGTATTCTTTCTTCTTATTGATCTAATAAATTTATATCGCCTTTTTATAAATAAAGAATGTAACCCTTTTCATCCGTAATGATCGATCATATAGTCAACAAAAGATATTAATTAATTCAAAATATCAAAGCTCTTTTTGTTGACATTATTCAGGCTCAATTATTTGAAGAGATGGCCACCAAATTTTTCCCTAGATAGAACTCTTATATTGAACGAGAAAATCACATTTATATTATGTTATCAAACTGTTAATCAAGCTAACGGGTCTCCCAAGCAAACGTTAAACAAAGCATTATTGTCAATAATGTTGATTATTGACGCAACCCTACTTTGTCGGATCCAAGGCAGGCATGCAAAGAATAAGCTCATTGATGGGAAACACAGTCTTCAAGGATGGATGCTCTTACTTCAAACTTCAAACCCCGAGGCACGACTTTCATTGTTGTTTTAGGTCACAAACTGTTTTAACAAGACACGTAAATGGACCTTAAACTTGACAAGAAACAGACAATGCGTGCTTGCCCAAATTCGAGCCTATGTCTAAATAAATTTCCTCAGCATGAAAAATATATTAATTCCCAATTTTATAATGTATTGGAAGTACATAAAATAAAGTAAATTAATGGAAATTTGGAAGCCCAGAAAAGTACATAAAGGTAAAAGGTTGCGTATGGCAGCTACGTATACTCGGTCATAGTTTGAAAAAACTTGGGGTTCATAATTGAAAATTGTACTATGTGGGTTGCTTGTACGGACGCCGAGCTGGATAGGTTGACAATGGGAATGGGGATGTGTCTTGGGAAGCAATACGAAAGCTATAGCTATAGAATCAATAATTAGAGAGGGACGGGGGGTTTATTTTTCTTTGGTGGAACCATAATTTGTGGTTTTGGATGGTTTCGTGAGAAATGTGACAAAAGATATTACTGACTATGAAGGAATTACTTCACCCAACAAGTATTGACTTGTTTGCGAATAAGAAGCACAAGCAACTATATATTGCTTGACTTACAGATTAGTTCGAATCTCCCCGACATCATAGTTGCGTGTATGTGTAAAATTCTTATCCTCGTAATTTAGACTATCACTTGTACTAAAAAAAAAGCACAAGTAACAATATTGTTTGTATGAAAATGTTTTCTAATTAGAACCTCTATTGTTCAACTAGATTTGTATTTGAATATATACACTAAATTGACAGTCTAATGGTATAAAATGTCATGCTTAGCAAGAGAATATCACCCTTTGTTTCGATAGTACAAACTCTTCGGTATTAGATTGCGTTTATCATAATTCCGTTGGAATCGCTAAGTTCTGCTGATGAAAATAATTGAGTTCTATTTGTATCGGGACAACGTAAACACTTTCAAGTGGCAACCAGCGACTAGACAAGCAAGCTTCAGCAAAATATGGCACACAGGTTGCTGCACATGTTAGAAGCCCAGCCTGCACAGATATCGCTCTTGGATTACAAGGCCCATAACTTTTCATTATGGCACAAGAATTCTATAGTGAGGAAGTTATATATGGCCCTTAGGTGATATCTTATCTTTTAACAGTTGGATCTAATTAGTTAGTATGATCCAACGGTTAAGAGATAAAATCTCACATAAGAACCATATATAAGGCTCTCACTATAGAATGACTTCATTGTCGCAGGGGACCATCCCAAACTTGTTTGCTGTTGTGATTAATGTTAACTTTTCTTTTTTCTTTTTTTATTATTTATTATTTATTATTGTTTAATACAAAGTGATATTGTGGAGGAGGTGAAGTTTTTTCACACACACTGTCAATGAGCCATGGAAGGCCGAACGAAAAATGCTATAATGAGGGGGTTGTGGTTGAGGAGGTTGTGGGAGGGGTTCAATCCCACTATCCAATAAGAGATAGAAAATAGTGGACTTGAACTTTTTAATGATTGAATGGTTGGATTGAACCCCTCATTGTAGAAGCTCTGGGCTCAAACATGATTCTGCCAATCAAGGCCCAAGCTAGACCCATTGGCAACTTTTCTTTCCTCTTCACGTGCATCAAATTACTCACAGACCATGCACCTAGAATCTGTATACAGTGGCGGACCCAGAAATTTTTTAGCAGAGGTGCAATATTGACTAAGTATGAAAATGGTTTTTTCGGAATAATAATTTTCTCAAGATAATTTTTGGCGGCTTTTATTCCTTATACATCAAATAAGAAAACTTGATTTTATGGGATTTTAGTATGAAGTATATATTGACTTAATGAGCCATCATTTTTATCCTAAATCGTATTTTGCACTAAAACCGAATTTTCATATTTTGATTTGGTGGGAATTTGATTTTCTAGTATTTTTATTTGAATCCAAATGGGGGGTACTTCCTTATTTACATTGTAAACTTAAGTAAATGGAGTAATATAAAAATAAATAAAAGTAAAAAGACAAAGACATTTACTTAAATGCTGAAAATGGAAATAAGGTAATTTGTACACCAGTTGAGCAAAGGGGCAATTTGAAGCACCTACAATGGTTTTTCTGGCGAAGGGAGGTGCAGCTGCACCTCCTTGCGCCTTAATAGATCCGCCCCTGTCTGTATAGTTTTTAATCAATAATAAAGTGAAACTGTAGCTCTCAAATACCATTAGTATTGTAATGAAGTTATTAAATAACATACTGTATAGAGTATATAAATCAAAAGGATAACAGAAGCAGATGGAACCCCAAAACAACATGATTTATGTACATATATGAAGATAGGTCCCCACAGCAATGCAAATGACAGAGTGTGACGTAAAGGGCTCATGATGATCTGAGAGTAGCCTTCACGGGTTTTGAATCAGACATACAAGTTGGGTTGGTTGGATGGAGCACTCGAGTATGTGAAATTAATGCTTGCAGCAGAGTCTGAGCTTATATTGTACCCCAGGAATGGCCAGAGACATGTCACCAGGCCACTTACGGGCTTTCAATTTGGCCAATACCCTACTTTAATTACCAAAACAAAATAAAGAAACATTGGTTTATGCCAATGATTTTACTTTTTCTCATGTCTCTTTTCAACATGTTTTTCGAGAAATTAATATGGTAGCAGATTTTTTTGACCAAAAAGGGATAATTTATTGATAATACTTGTGTTTAATTTCATTCATCTTCATGTGAATATTAGTTATAAAATTAACTTTGATTTGTATGGTCATCATATCGGACACAGATCTTCTTTATAATAATTTTTTCTTTAAAAAAAGAAAAAAAGAAAAAAAGAAAAAGGATTTTACTTTTTCTTTAGCAGAACAAATAAAAAAGGCTTTCAAGGTTTGATTTTGGTTTGAAAATTTTACATATAAGGTGACAAACAAAAAGTTCAAAAGGCCATTAATATAGGAGGCCATAATATCTGAGATTGACTTTACAATAGTGCAGGTCCCAATTCTGAGAGAATTGCAGCAGCAGCAGCAGCAAAGGGTATAATTATTACATAAGACATGAGAATTAGGGTTTGGGGGGTTTTGGTTTTGTGTGATTTTGGAAAGGTTGCAAAGAGAGGGACAAAAGGAACAGTGAATAAAGTAGCGGTTTGCTGAAGAGACCCATCTGTAGCTAAACTCCTAGGGCTTTGTTCTTGATCTTTCTCCATCTGTATCAGCACAGAGAGAGAGAGAGAGAGAGAGAGAGAGAGATGAGTGGTTTTGAATTGCAAGGCAGAGATTTGCTTGAAAAAGATTACATCTGGTGAGAAATTCAATGGTCAAAACCCACTCTGTTCTTTTTTCTTGTTTTTTGTTCTTACTTATCGAAATGGTCAAAGCTACCTTTGCATGCATGTAATGCAATTTTTTCTGATACACAGATGTATGGTATAAGTTGCAAGCAAAATAAATGCACCACTTCTCATCTCACATTGGATTAAATTTGTGAACCAGTAATTAGGTCAGATTTCTTTAAAAAAAACATAAATTTTTTCAATCTCTCATCTAAAGTTGAATATAATAAACATACTTTTATCAGTTGTAAAAAGTTTAGTACAGGATATGGCAGTAGTACAATTCTAAAAACCCAGAAGGGAACTTACTGTTTGAAAAAACAAGAACAAAAGCACAAAAAAGAAGTCCTAATCCAGAAATAGAGTCGGTTTTTGAATCCCAAGAGAACAAATTCTCATCATGCCTAGTGTCTGCCCTAGCTTGAAAACGACACATCACCTTATTTTTCCATTAAAGAGCCAATTATACCCATCAGCCTTTATTTCATTCTGTGACCACTCCCTCAATATAAATAGCATCATATATCCCATCCCCTTCTCTATCTTCATGGCACTGTTTCACCAGTCTTGTACTGGTGGTCAACCCTAATAATACCTACATGCCCCTCCTTCATCTTCTCCAAGCTCTCTGGTTCTCACTCACTTTCTCTTGGTCTCAGCCATGGCTCTGTTGGTGTTCATGGGTCTCATGGCTCACCCAGTAGGTCAAGTGGTTTGTGGCATAGGGGAAGAAAAGAGAAAGATGTGCTGGTAGAAGTCATGGCGATATCTCTTCTGAGCTTATTCTTGTTATGTTTATTTTTTTGATTTTTTTAACTCCACGAAGAATGTTCGAGTTTTCTTGACCTTGCAAGCCCGACAGTGCAAAAGTACAGGTCAAGATAGCTCAATATGCAAACACCCCATCTTGGGTTCGTGGATCTTCTTCTCCCCCTTCTATCCCTCCTGAGCTAGCTATGTTATCTCCAACCACAGTGTTGCATGGGTTGCAAAGATGATGATGTATTTTTCTTTTTCTTTTTCTTTTTCTTTTTGATGTTTTTGCTACGGCATTCTTCATCTTTAAAATACATGTGTATGCTTTGACGATGCAAAGCCTTGTTGCTTGTAAATGAAAAGCTAGTATTTTTAGAAAATGATTGTTTTCTAGCTTTTCTCTTAGCAAAATTAATTACCTGGTTTAAAGATCTGCTCTTAAACTCTTAATTCAAGATTTTAAATATTATTTGTGATTAAGATCTTAAAATGGAAAGAGGAAACTATGCATTTATCCAACTTTATCTAAAGGATTATTGCATTAGCCTATCCAATCCAATCCAATCCAAGTCCACTCATACTGGGTTTGCAATCACCAATTATTTTGGCTGTTAGTTCATAACTCATAGTCTACCTACCAATACGTATAAATCCCCCTCTTCTTTAAGTGGAAAAAAATGTGTGATTAGCTATTATGCAGTTGTGGGTTAGCACAGGTGGTCATGACAGTGAGCCCATCCACCCGCTTTCTTGTACCCAGGTTCAAATCCTCATTTCCGCATATTAGATTATCGATGGTTGAAGAATAAAAAGAGTAGCGCTATTGTTCCATTGATGTTTTTCTTGTTGACACATTGGGGGCCTGTAGCCCAAAATACCAGAACGAAGCCTAGAACTAGAAAGGGCCGAAATGGCCTTGATGAATAAGCTTGCATGAAAGCCCATAGCTGGCCACAGTGGCCTTGGCCTTGTTTAGTGCTTTGACTAAGCAACGGCGCACATTCAACAATCAGAGCCGTTAAACAATTATACCAACACACTATTTGACGGCTCTCTTTAATTAATTCCACGTCCATCTGGCCCCAACACTTGGCTGTGCGACTATCGGAATGCCACTCCAACGCCACGAGCAATTCCGTACGGGACGATCAGGGTGATGCCTCACCCAACATCCATTGGATCCACGAGAAAAACACGGTGCTGATGTCAAATTGCTATCAAATCAGATTGGACGGCTGACATAATTCACCTGCATTTTCCCTGTGGAAAACGAATTTTTGGTTTTCCATGAAAAAATTTGAAATTCATCTAAATTGCAACACAGCAGTACATGACCAAATTTATTTCCTAAAAGAGCCTCTCTTTCCCTCCATGCGCTCGCTCTCTCTCTCAAGCCGATAGAGAGGGACTCTTCGAATTCTCTCACTCCCAGCTCTCAGTGGCTCTGCTAAACCCTAGACGAAGCTCGTTCCGCAGCTCTCACGGTACGATTCTCGCTCTAAGCTTTGCTTTCTCACTCTTTCTCTTGCTCTGCATTCCGCGATTTCCTTCATGCATCGCTCTGTGCTCATTTCGTCTACTTTGTTAGGGATTTTTTTCGCTTTTCATATTTTTAACTTTGCTTGAATCGGCTTACACTGTAATGTTTTGGAAGAAATTTGCGAGTCGCTTGCTGCATTGCCTTCTGGAAGTCTCCAGAAAACTTTGTTTCTCGTTAATGCAATCTATGTTTTGTGCTTGCGTTAGTGTTGATTTTAGTAATTTTTGTTTATTTTTCAGTTATTTTTTATTTTTATTTTTCACTTCTCTCCCTCGCTCCTCCAGTCCCCAAATTGATAGCGTTGCTGACCTTATAGCATACACAAATAATATTTATTTATTAATTTTCCAGATTTTGATATTCGTTTATGGCGTCTTGATATTTCATCTTCACCTGCCAGTAGGTTTGACTTGTCAAAATTTCAAGCAATTCACGTATGTCATTGTATTTGTATGTCTACATATTTTCCACATTTCACATATTTTTGTTTTATTTTACTATATTCCTCGGAATTTTTTTTTTTCATCTATAAAGTATCTCAGGTATGATTATTTTCTCTTGCTTCTATTGCTGTTATTGTTGTTGTTGTTTTTTTTGTTTTTTTTTTGTCAATTATTTTCAGTTGATATAGTTCTTCTGTCAATCTTAATATAACTTATCTTCATAGTTTTGAACTTTTATTTTCCTTTTATTTTATAGTGATCTAACACATGGAAAACATTCTACATTTGGATTTGTGGTCATATTTGTGTTAGTGCCTTTATGTCTCTTTTACCTCAGTTATCCCTTCTAAATTTATATATGGTATGTTTGGTACAGAATGTGTGACTAATTTCAGGTTGTTATGGTGTGTTTTGAGAAGAGTCTCTTGTCCTCATTTTAGAAAACTCTTTATCCTGTTTTATATGGTTACCCTTCAACTTTGAAGAAAAAAAAAACTCAAGGGATTTGTAATCTTAATTATCTGAGAGAAAAATCTGATTATAATGCACATGATATGAAAGTTCATATGTAATAGTTGAGTAGTTAGCTTGATTTGCTTCCATCTAGTACTGTTTGTAACTTTGGTTCTGACTGAAGCAGTACTTTCTGCATCAGAGCCAAGATCCGAGCAATTACAGCGTTTTACTGAACTTAGAGCTCTTCTATAGTCTAACCAAATTTAAAAAATCAACTGATGTCAAATGATCTATCAGGAAATTTATGGTTATGCTTTCAACCTTTTTGGCAGATTTTGGTATGTAACCGTAAGGGAATCATGAATGTTTGACAAGCTGAGTTTATGTATAAGTATATTTGTTTCTGTTCAGTTTCTGTGAGGATGGGAATTAGTCCGTTCTTCACCTAATTAGTTTTGATCTTCCTTGCAGATCATATTTATTCAAGTGAACAATGGAGGATGTAGCTGGCCCTGGAAATGCCGGTGGGGACCCACATTCGTCCCCACCTCCTCCGACCATACCCCCTAATTTGAAGCCAGAACTAGTGGCTCCTCCTAAATATTCTATTATGAGTAGGTGTGGGACTGGAACTACTGGACAAACGATACCGTTGCTTGCAAACCACTTTAAAGTTTCTGTGAATGTTCCAGATGCTGTATTTTACCAGTATTTTGTATGTTTACCTCCTGCGACTTTTCTCTTTACTGCAGTTTATTGTATCTAGTACCAATTTCATAATGCCATGCTATTTACAGGTTTGTATTACTTCAGAAGATAAGATAGCTGTTGAAGGCAAGGGAATTGGGAGAAAACTGATTGACAGGCTTTATCAAACATACTCTTCAGAACTTGGTGGTAAAAAGTTTGCATATGATGGGGACAAAGCTCTGTACACACTGGGTCCTCTGCCACAGAGAAGGCTTGAGTTTTCTGTTGTGCTGGAGGAGACATTTGCAAAGCAGTTTGTCCTATTCCTTTTTCCTGGTCTTGGTTTAAAAATTCTTTTTTATTCTCTTATCAACAATTCATTTGTATTGTCCAACTGGCATTCTTGTGTGTTAGTGAAAATGGGAGCCCCCTGGCTGACAAACGGTCAAGACGTTCTTTTCGGTCAAAAACTTTCAACGTAGAAATAAGCTATGCTGCCGAAATACCTCTGAAGTCAATCGCTCTTGCCCTGAGAGGAGTGGATATAGATAATACTCAAGATGCATTGAAAGTGCTTGATATCATTCTGCGGCAGCAAGCAGCTAACAGGTACCTCTCTCTCACTCATATGTTGACTATGTTCTTTTTCAACTGTACTCTGTTCTTCTGTGAACTCTAAATTTGTTTAATTATGAACATTAAACATGCACAGGGGGTGTCTTCTAGTACGACAATCATTCTTTCATGATGACTCCAGAAACTTTGTTGATGTTGGAGCAGGTGTAAAGGGTGTTCGGGGATTTCATTCCAGTTTCCGTCCAACACAGGGTGGCTTGTCCTTGAATATGGGTACCAGATCTTGTGATTTGATTTCTTTAGTCTTCAAAACTCACTAGCATTGTTGTCACTTGTTTTGTTGACATTTTTGTTTCCATTTATTTGTGCAGATGTATCTACAACGATGATCCTAACGCCTGGACCTGTCATTGATTTTCTGATAACCAACCAGGATGTACGAGAAGCTCGCTACATTGATTGGGTTAAGGTAAAAAAGAAAACTGCTAAATCTTATACTAAAGGTTCAGATTTCAGCATCAACTTTAGTCTGTTAAATTTCAATTTCATGGTAACATACAGGCCAAGAAAATGCTGAAAAATATGAGGATTAACACAAGGCACCGTAACATGGAATTCAAAGTAATAGGCTTAAGTGAGAAGCCCTGTAATCAACAATAGTATGTGCTTATCTCCTAAAAGTTTATTTCCTACTTCTTCACATCTGAAAAACTTCCTAATTTTTTGTCTTTTTTTTTTCTTCAAGTTTCCCTATGAAGTTAAAAAGTGGCAATGGCACAACTGAGGGACAGACTGTGGAGATTACTGTGTATGAGTATTTTACTAAGCACTGTGGTGTAGAACTCACCTCTTCCCAATACATGCCATGCCTTGATGTTGGCAAGCCAAAAAGGCCCAACTATCTGCCACTGGAGGTGTGCAAATTTCTTTTGCTTATTATATCATTGTTTGTTAGTCTTATCCTCTGTCTGAGATCGTGATTTGTGTTCCTCCTCCAACGAGGTGTTTTAGCTCTGTTCGCTTGTTTCACTACAACGGTATACAAAGGCTTTATCTTCAATGCAGAGGGCATCCTTAGTTGAAAAATCAAGGCAGAAGCCTCATGAAAGAATACGAACTGTGACTGATGTAAGTTTGCAGGTCACTGAATTTTCTTCTTTGACCACATGTAATATTCTTTTTGCTCATTTGCTTTGCTATTGCAGGCAGTGAAAAAATACCAGTATGATGATGATCCTATGCTTGCTACATGTGGTATTTCTATAGAGAAGCAATTGACTCAGGTCAATGGCCGTGTTCTCGAGACTCCGAAGGTAAACAGTTTCTGTATGTTTGGATGTGTCCGTAGAGGTGGGGAGAAAGAGAGTGAGTGAGGAGTGTGCCCTCTTCACTCAATCAACTATCAGCTCTCTTTCTAATGCATTCTCTCCTTTGATGAACAGTTAAAGGTTGGTAACAGTGACGACTGCATCCCTCATAAGGGACGATGGAATTTCAACAATAAGGTATTTATTTCTACGCTTTCTAAAATTCATTTATCAGTTGCTCTCTGAGAAAGAGGTTGCACTGTTTTGTTTCCTTCATTACTACTAGTTGAATTTGATTTTAGCTTATTGAACTTAATTCTGCTTGCAATTCCCTAATCTACCAGACACTTTTCAACCCTACTCGCATTGACCGTTGGCTTGTTGTCAACTTCTCTGCACGCTGTGATACCAGTCATATCTCACGGGAACTTATCAACTGTGGGAGGAAGAAGGGCATTGTAGGTTACACCATTTGCTAAGTTTTGTTTTTAGACTTATGCTGATTCTGATCTCTCTGTCTCTCTGTCTCTCCCACATGTGCAGTTTATTGAGCGTCCCTTTACATTACTTGAAGAAGATCCACAATGTAGAAGACAAAGCCCTGTTGCAAGAGTTGAAAAGATGTTCGAACAGATTCTAGCTAAGCTTCCAGGGGAACCTCAATTCATTCTTTGTGTCTTACCAGAGAAAAAAAATTGTGATATATATGGTATGGCTTTGTTATTAATAATTGACAATCAAACTACCCCTCAATTTGATCATGTAATTAGTTTATGCTCTTATACATTTTATAGGACCTTGGAAGAAAAAAAGTCTTAGTGAGTTCGGGATTGTCACACAATGCATTTCCCCTTCCAAGATTAATGATCAGTACCTGACAAATGTTCTTCTTAAGATCAATTCTAAGGCAAGAAGCTAAATGGTGAATATATCGCTACTTTAATAATTAATGGACCCTATTGATTTTTTCTGTTTGTCTAATTCTATATAGCTTGGAGGTATAAATTCTTTGTTGGCAATAGAGCACTCCTCATGTGTTCCTCTGGTTAATGATACTCCTACAATGATTCTGGGGATGGATGTCTCTCATGGGTCTCCTGGTCGCTCAGATATTCCTTCTGTTGCTGCGGTAATTACAATTCAAGTTTCTTTTTATATTATATACCAATCTGTGCATTATAGTCATTTTGTTTCTTCAATTTTGTTGGAGTTTCAGGTTGTTGGCTCTCGAAGCTGGCCACTTATTTCAAGGTACAGAGCAGCTGTTAGAACACAATCTCCTAAGCTAGAGATGATTGATGCTCTGTACAAGCCACTTGAAAATGGAACTGATGCTGGTATTATCAGGTATTTGAGCAGGGAATTTAGTATTCGTACCAGTTTATCACATGTTAAGAATTATAGTTTGCTTTCACACTTACTGGACTCTCTAATATGGCCCATTAGATGGGTTCAGAAGTCTTCACTCCCAAATTTAGTACATAAAAGTTGTGGCTATTAGTCTCTTGTAACTTAAATGAGACCCGATTACAATATTTTATATTTTGTAAAAAGTTTGATGAAATTAAAAAGATTTAAGATAGACTGGTGAAATTCATTTATTTAAAATTATCAATTCCAGTATACTGCTAAGGCTGGAAATGCCTTTTGTTGCAGGGAACTGCTTGTGGACTTCTATAAAACAAGCAACGGACGTAAACCAACTCAGATTATTGTCTTCAGGTATCATGACATTGTATTGGTAATTTTCTGGCTATTTTGGTATTTGAAAAAGAAATGCTAATGACCCAGTTTTGGTCTTTCAAAAGTGACTTCCTTTGAAACGAAACCGGAATACAGTCCCAAACTCACAGTATGTTTTGTAATATCTTGTGGGCGCTGCAAATATAGAGTCAAGCTAAATCCACAAAGAGAAATGTACCCCTTTTGTGGTGATATCATATCATATCAGATATGGTGGATTCACTTCACATTGCAACTTGTGTCATTTATATTACTTGGTATTTTCCAGTTGGAGGCCATTCATCATAGTCGTATTTTGATTTGAGGCAATGTGGCCACCCTTCATGGCAGGCGTTAATTTGTCATATAATATGTGTGGATGCTGCAAATATAGTCAAGCTAAATCCACAAAGAGAAATGTACCCCTTTTGTTGCCTACTGGTGGTGATATCATATTTTATATACTATTCTTACTGAAGGATGTATCTGGCCTATTTATGCTGTCCCATCCTTCCATTTTACACTTAAATAGGAATATTGCTCTTTGTTTGGTTTATGCTTCTAGTGGCCCTCTTAATTTAATTAGAAACTTTTTATTTGCTTAGTTCGTTTTTCCCCTCGGTTGAACTGGTTTTTTTAATTATTTTTGGATCATGAAATGTGGCAACTGTCTTGTTTTTCCTACTGCTACTTGTAAAGACATGTTTTTATTTATTTATTTTAGGGACGGAGTCAGCGAATCACAATTTAATCAAGTCTTGAACATCGAGCTGGACCAAATCATAAAGGTTCTGCAATTCAATTTTTCTTGGGCCATTCAATGTAGTACTTGATTTGAAGGATGATTTACTCTCTCTTTGCTACATGTCCCAATTTGTGTTTTTAGTTTTGACGGTTAATTATATCTGATCTAAGAAAAGCTTTTTATCGGAATACCCACTCAAGGCGACAATTGCTATATTTAATCAGTTATTCTGTGGTATTTAATCCAATCATGACTTGAAATTGTTGAAATACCCAGAAGTTTAGTAGTTCCTGCCTTATTCCTGCATAAGCCATTTTCTGCCAAGAGCATTAATGGACTGGGTTTGTCCCTAGGACCTGCTATCAACCATGTGCTGAAGTTCGTTGTTTTTTTCGCAACATTAAGATGGTCAAATTTTTATTATTACAGGCTTACCAGCACCTTGGGGAGGTTGATGTTCCAAAGTTTACTGTGATTGTTGCTCAGAAAAATCATCACACGAAGCTATTTCAAACCGGGGGTTCCACTGATAATGTTCCACCTGGTCTGCTACTTTCTGAATTTTGTTATTGCCTTTATCATTTATCTCTGTTTTAATGTTCTCTCTCTCTCTCTCTCTCTCTCTCTCTCTCTCTCTCTCTCTCTCTCCAGGGACAGTTGTGGACACAAATATTGTGCATCCAAGGAATTATGATTTCTACATGTGTGCTCATGCAGGAATGATTGTAAGCACCCGCCCCCTTACCCATTGTTTCAGAGTATTTGTTTCCCCCCAACTCAACTCAGGTGTCTAAATTTCCTTTTATCACGTTTTTTTTATCTTTTGTGTTGCTTCATATGACAGGGAACTTCGCGGCCAGCGCACTATCATGTCCTGGTTGATGAGATTGGATTTTCTCCTGATGGCTTGCAAAACCTAATCCACTCCCTTTCTTACGTGTAAGCTTTTCATTTTCAATCCCTTTCCATATGACTCAGCTTGAATAACCTTTCAATTGAATTCATCTAGATATATGTTTGCTTATTTCAGGTACCAAAGGAGTACAACTGCAATCTCCATTGGTAAATTAAACACACTTCTGCAATTAAATCTTTTTTCTTTTATTAAATTCTTTTCCGGTGGAAATGATAAAATCTAGTTAGTCTATAGCTTTACTTCCATCTCACTATTACCAACCATTTTCCAGTGGCGCCCATATGTTATGCCCACCTTGCTGCTGCACAAGTGGGGCAGTTTATGAAGTTTGAAGATCTCTCAGAAACCTCATCAGGGAACGGCAGTGTCACTTCAGCTGAGAGTATCCCATTTCCAGAGCTCCCTAAGTTGCATAAGAATGTCCAGGGTTCCATGTTCTTCTGTTGAGTTGCTGCTGCTAGCTTCCCTTGTGAATATTGCTAATATGATTTTAGCCTTTTGACTCTATAATTAATCTAGTGGTATAAGGGTATATGAGTAGGAAAGTCAATCCCGGCTTACTCTTAGGTAGGGCGAAGAGATAGGTGTACAGGCAGATTAGCAACCTCTTAGTCTAGTTTGTAGACAAGTTTTGAGGCTTTATATGTTGCAGGATGATATTATTGAGGTATGCTGAATTCAACAAGTAATTTTTGTCTCCCTTTTTCTGGGTATGACTATGACTTAAAGATGTTCAAAATCAAGACTTGACCATCAGGAAATGTTTTTGGAAGTAATTGACTTAATTTTTCAATGGAATTATCTTTGAAAATTTTACTTCATTCTACCTCATTGTTATTTTGTCATCAATTTTGCTCCAGGAACTCTAATACTTAATATCAATTTCGATGTAAACTGTTCTTCTTTTATGGGGATAGTGAGAAAGCTCATTGGGATGATTGCTTCAACGAGATTCTCCCACGGTTTATGTGGTGAAATGAATCACTTGCTGGCTTAAGGATGATGATGCTTTAGAAGGTGAACTAGTCCTATATTTAATATCATCTCATGTCTATACTTCTCACTATTTTCTCACGCTTGATGATATAGCTTATCTTTGCCCTATGATCTTAGACCAACAGAATCAGTGTATTGGTCAAGTTTGGAATTCCTGTTCGCATATATGTTTGGTATGATTCCGCATTTTTGGCTTCTTTCAACTTTAATTTGTTTACTGTTTACCTTTTGTTTAAGCAGGGGAATTTAATTGCTTATACAAAAATCACGGCCTAGCTTCTGTCGCAGTCAAATTCTTTTGGTAAAATGTAAGTTAGTCATGATTGACTTTTCCAAAGCATGGTTTGACCAGCCTTTATGCATGCTAATTTGTCCCCTTGTGAACTTGTTGGATATGATTCGTTTCCTAGTTTTCTTGGGACATCTGGTCTAAAAGGTTAGGATCCTGATAATCTATAGCTGGAACCAAACTAGCCAATGTGAAGGCAACTTTACTTTTAAAGTGCCTGACCGAAGACGATGTTTAACTTCATGCAGTGTTGCCTACTTCTACTGGCTTTGCTTGACCTATTGGTTTTCAATAATTTATGTTAAAGCTTTAACGTCCTTGACCAACTGCCAACGTCCTTCTTTCTAATTATGTTTGTGTATTATCATGGTCCTCTTCCATATGCGGCTGCTGCCTTTAGATTTCTCTCTCTCTCTCTCTCTCTCTCTCTCTCTCTCTCTCTCTCTCTCTCAACAGACCTTTCCCTGTTTGAAGGCAACAGACCTTCCAAAGGACTACTTTGGACGCCTTGACAGGTCTTTTCGATAAAAATGTGACACGTGTTGTCCCATAATTTCAATGTCAGAATTATTTCCAGGGATTCAGTAGTTAAGGTTTGAAGCCACAAAAGTGACAGTTAGCTAACTTATAGACTTTCACATCAGGAGTGGTAAAACATTAATTAGTACTAAGTTTACGAATTTCAACTTTTCTATTAACCGAAAATGGAAAATTCGATATGGGTAAAAATGTTTCATAAGATCGTGACATAGTTGCCTGTTTGACGTTTGCCAAGCAAGATGCACCCAAGTATTTCATTTACGATTAAATTTTTTGTTTTTTTAACGCCCAACCATTTATGCTGCATCTAATAATCACATAGCCTAGTGTACTATATGGTCTGATTTGATGGCCCGTCTTGGTCTTGGATTGAATTAGAGTCAAGTCTAAACCAGTTCTCATCTCTATGTAGGATTTATAAGTATTTAACAAATCATTTCGATGTTACTCCAATTATGTTGTTTGACTGCTTAGCTTATCAGAGAATTTTGAGAAAGAAAAAAAGAAAAGAAAACCCCGTACCCAAACCGGTGGTCAAAAGTGGAGAATACTTTATTCTCAGTTTGTTGTGGCAGAAATTAAGTTGACGTGGGAGTCAACAATAGTCCTGAGTTGCTGCGATGCGGTGAACCTAAGAAATCAGGGCCTGTGCTACAGAGCCTAAAGCGGCCAGTGAGGACTGGGACTATACAAGGGGTTCGTTAGCCAATCACAAAAATGAGTCATGACTTGGCGAGTCGTGACAAAGAAGGCCAAGGGCTCTCTCTCTCTCTCTCTCTCGGTGTCTGGACATGACACTTTCTACGCTGCCAATTGGTGGTGGTCCACTGGGTCGAATCTAATTGCCCACCCTCCCCCGGGACCCACACCTGCTAGTGTAGTGTGAATTGTGCAAAGAGATTTCTTGGGGCAAAATTAACCTCTTTGGACCATCGTACCCTTCCCAATCCCAGATGAGTCCCCCTTTACGGTAATTAATTGAATTCCACTCAATTACAGTGATAGCGACACCCAGCGAACTGCTTGGGGTCTCAGTTTTTGATATTGACCATTATACCCTTCCCCTCATTTTCTTTCCTTCTTCACCAACAATAAAAGGAAAACGGATTTTGACCCCAAAAAAAAAGAAAAAAGGAAAAGGGTTTTATAATGTTTGAACTGGTTCAGTTCTTCTCTGCCACTTGAAAAAAAGACAAAACTATCGACAACGTTGGTGCACACGTTTAGAAAATCCTACACTTCTGATAAATGCATAGATCTTGTCCATGGTGGTGGCCAACTTGGCTATATATATAGGTGATCCTATGATATCCTTATTGCTACTAGTAGCTTGAAGCATGACATTTGTTTATAGGATGAGGCATGGATCTTTCTCTATCCACAATTTCATGTTCCAATTGTAGTAGATATTTCCCACCACAACCACTGGAGTGCTAGTCCTCTACAAATGTGATTGAGGAACTATACATACACTAAGAAATAAATAGTACACTTCAAAATGATTTTAGCATATTAACATAAACGTGTCATTTTTTTATTTTCAAGTGTTGTTTGAGGTCAAGTAGGGCTGTTGGCAGATCAATTAATGCGTGAAAAAAAAGTACATTTTCAAATTGATTTTAGCATATTAACATAAACATGTCGTTTTCTCATTCTCACTCACTGCTTGTGATTAAAAGGAATGGTTGGTAGAAGAATTAATATGCATAATTAATTAAACATGACTGTGAGTTACTAAACTTGATTGGCATTTCAAATTTGAGTTACAATTCAAGATCTATGGGTTTCACTAATTAACTCCGCTATATAATTTTAGATCTTGTGGTTGAAATCTCACACCTCCCCCTAACTTTCATCTTGCCGAAATCTATCCTGCCCTTTTAAGGGCGACAATTTTTTACATTTCTCCAAACCCAACAAAATGAAATACAAAGTGTAGTAAACAAATACTTCTTTCAGGAAGACATAAAACACTCTTCTTGTCATTATTGTAAATAACTTTTTCATTCATGGGGATAGTTTCGTCTTTTACAAAATACGGTAATTTGCAAAAGATCACTCCGAATCTATTCCACTAGAATTCTGAATCCAACGATCAATATGAAATCACAGGCTTATGAACCAACGGTGATGGATTTATTCAATTATATCACATTGAATTCCTTTTTCCAAATCATAAATAGTTTCGTATTAAAAATATATAATAAGAAAAAGATAATCCGGACCAAAAAATATATATTTTTAGAAGACAATAAATTCCTGATCGCCTGAATGGAGCAGTAAATAATGGCATGGGCATGTGCTCTTTAGTTTTTGACAACATGCTTCTGCATTAATCAAAGTTATTAACCAACATAATTACTCAAAATAACGCAGCATAAGAGCCCGACACGTGGTGGGCATAGATGTCTTTTCACGCAAGGAGCTATTTAATTATTCGTACACGAGGGGATGAAACTTACTTTTTCCGGGTTCACATTCAAAGATCCCCAACAGTTCCTTGGCCTTTTTGATATAGTTGGAAAAGGAAAAGAGAAAAAAAGCATGGAGAAAAAATAAATAAATTAAATTTATATCAAATAGGAAACACATTGTCATAGCCATAATTTTATTTAGATTTCAGAGTTATATCTCTCTGATTCTCAGTCCCTTTTTTTTATGCTCCAAAAGCTTTTTTGTTTTTTTCTATCTCCTCCAGTTTCACAGTCTTTGATCACATTCACACAGCCTTTTTATTTTGATTTTTGGGTCTGTTTTTGTTGCCAATTTCTGAGATTTGGGAGTCGGCTGCTGTGATTTTCCTGACAAAGTCTGAAGCTTTTTTTATGAGTTTGATTGGCGAAACTGAGAGAAGCAGAGCAAAGCAAAACAAAGGGCGGGTGTACACAACCTCTGTGCTACCGATGCCAGACACTCGGCAGGCTCTGAAGAATGCTGTTCCGAATCAATCCGATGGCAACGTTGAAGGTAACACCGCGTTTTGATGTACCCAGTTGGGAGTATAACGATCTGATGATGGTTTTGTATTGAAATATCTCTCTTATGTTATGGTTATGATATTTTGTGATCATGACGGTGCAATGTGTTATGTGTCGGTTTACTCTGGGAATGTATTGAATTGTTTTGATTCTGTGTTTTGTTGATGTGTTGATATTGTCATGGTTTCGGAGAACTCCAGTGGTAGGTGCAATGCATATTGTGGATTATCAAGGAATTTGTGTTTGTTCATAGTATATTAGTTGAAAATTCAGAATTTTGTTCACTTGTTTAAAAACTTCACCTTTTTGTGACAAGTGGGTATTTAGTTGGTAAGAAGTATGATGTTGATGCAAGCCATATTCTTATTGGGGTTTTGAAGAATGTTGTTTTGAATCATTGTTTAGTTGTAAATTTTTGATTCGTTTGGAGATTTCACATTATGCCTTCAAAGTTTCTTTTTTTGGGGGTTCACTTTCAGAACCAATTGAAAATTTGGTTAATCCTAGTTTACTGCTTTATTAGTACCACGTTTCGGAAGTTGTAATCTTTTGCTACTTTGTGTTAATTCTTTTGAGGAGTTCTGATAGATTATACAATGCAGATTGAGGCTTTGGAAATTTGAAGATTTGATGTCCATATGTAATTTACGCATCTATTTCTTGTATCCATTGTAGAGGCATTTTGGCGGTTGAATATCAACGATAATCAAGATGGGGGCGGTGTGGCTCAGTCTAACCCATACCCTGATCGACCTGGTGAACCTGACTGCATATATTATTTGAGGACTGGTTTGTGTGGTTATGGAAGTAATTGTCGTTTTAATCACCCTAAATATGGTTCACAGGTAATTAAGAATGTTCTTTTAATTGATATGCATGGTTTCTATAGAGTGATTGCATTTTGACTGAAGTGTTGCGGCTCTTGCTAGGAGTTTTATTGATTGCTTCGACACAGCTTCTTTCTTTGCCTTTTGCAATTTTCTTGGAGTGTTGTGAGGAGTTCTATTGATTGCTTCTACACAGCTTCTTTCTTTTTTCTTTTCTGGGGCTTAACTTTGCCGACTGTGGCTCAAATGGTATTAGTGAACTAAAACTTCTGGTACATTATTATATCTGCAGGGTGCTCAGTACAATGGAGAACTCCCTGAAAGAGTTGGACAACCTGACTGTGGGGTAAGATTTTCATTTAGTTCAGATTGTGCTAATTAAGAAGCTTCTTTCTTACTCATTCTTCTCCCTCCTTTCCTTCTTTGTATGCTTCCTTTGTTGATGTTTTCTAAGTCATATAAGATTAGAACTTCTAGGAATAAGAATAAGATCGAAAACGGGGTATTGTTTTGTTCATCAGATACACTTTGTTTGGTTGAGTTTATATAAGTTTGTTAGGTGTATAAATTATGTAATTGGCGATTTGAATCATCATATGAAGAGAAATATCAAATATATTGCTGATCCTAGTGGTGTGGACCTGGGAACAAACAGAACATTAGACTGGTCACTTGTTTAATAAGATCTAACCAAGTTATTCCTCTTAAAAAATGTATCTATTATATTATCCAAGTGCAGACTATTATGGAGACTGTCAGTGTGAGAATCTCTTAGGGTTAAGAAGAAACATGAAAGTTGAATGATGATATCTAGAACAAGCTGTTCTAAAGATATTCCGATTATAGTGAATTGTTTCCTACATCTAATGTTGTATTTGGTTATGACCTGATGCTCCTTTATTTTTTTCTTTATGGGTATTTGTTAAATTTGTTCACCATTAGTAGGCATAATCCCATGTTTCAATTAACATGGAGTTAAACATAAGACCTTTTTTCCTTTAATTCCTTTATATAGCTGTGAGATGTTGGTTCATTGGGTAAAAGAAACTTGCACACTTGGATTAATATTAATATTAATATTAACGATTGTAGCAAATGTTGCACTCTGTGCTGTGTGGCAGTATTTTCTGAAGACAGGAACTTGCAAATATGGATCAACCTGTAAATTCCATCATCCAAGGGACAGGCGTGGAGCTGGACCAGTCGTATTCAACATTTTAGGACTCCCCATGCATCAGGTTCTTGACTTACTTTTGTCACTTGAGTCCTGGTTGTTCTCAACTAGACTTTCAGAGAATAAGTGTGCTCGCCATTTTAACAATTTTTAGATTGATTAATCTCAGGAAGAAAAGTCATGTCCTTATTACATGCGAACTGGATCATGCAAGTTTGGACCTGCATGCAAGTTTCATCATCCCCAGCCTCAGTCACTTGGCACTGTCTTACCTGCTTTTGGAGCTGCAGGCTCCACAGTTTTGCCTTCTTCAGGTCTACCTTATGCAGGTGGACTTTCTGCATGGTCATTTCCAAGAGCGCCATATTTATCAGGCCCGCGTTTACAATCTCCACATTCTTACATGCCTGTTGTTCTTCCGCCCCAAGGCATTGTACCTGCCCATGGATGGAACACCTATGTGGTCAGTGTCTTATCTCTTTAATATAACAAGACGGTGACGTTACTATATTATGTTCCTATTAGTGCCATACATTCATGAGGAACACTAAGGTTTCTCTGCTTATATTGTGGTATTACACTGCTAAAGCTGGTTTTTTTTGGGAGAAATGACAAGAAACTGCTTTATAGCCTTTTCAATCCTTTTTCTTTTCTTTTTAATAAGATTGCCATGGTTTCAGCTTGGAATGCTGCAAGGACACTTCAAAATTTGTCATGTAGTTTACTTCACACTGGTGCATTGTTTAGTATGAAGAGTTTATAAGATCTTTAAGGGTCATTGACAGTCATCTGTCAAAAACAGTGGAAAGTACAAAGTCTTTAAGAATTTCTGATGTCATTGTCAACTATGCTGCTCCTTGCTTCTTTATATCCTTAGCTATGAAGAAATTTTCCTTCCCATTATGTGAATGCGTCCTATGGGTGGATTGAAATGTTTGTTACACTCTTTTTCCCCCTCATGTTGGCATGTAATTATGAGTTGCTCAAGAGTCTTAACCAAACGAAAGGAAGCTGCAGCCTAATATTGTCATGTCCTACGTCTTATGCCCTTTATTATTCAAATTTCAATGTCCTACATTATTCTTTAAAGTTGATATGGCTGCTCATAAAGGCCTTAACATTTTACATCTTTGGTGATTTCAGTGATTGAATTTTTTGTGGACTAAAGAGGATTTGTTGCAAGTTTTCTTTATTTCTAATTCATATTTTATTTGTTTAATAGGGAAACATTAGCCCTGTGACTTCCACTGGAATTCTTGGCTCCAACCTCACATACAACTCTAGAACTCAGGGGGAGTCAGCTTCCAATGGGCAGGTTCACTTGTCAAGCTCAAGTCTCCCACATAGGCCTGATCAACCTGAATGCCGGTATTTTATGAGCACGGGGACTTGCAAATATGGAATAGATTGCAAGTACCATCACCCAAAAGAAAGGATTGCAGAATCAGCTACACACCCACTTGGGCTTCCCTCAAGACCTGTAAGTTTTATTTCTATTTTCTAGATTACAGTGATGTGCATGTTGGTTTGTGCACTGTTGAGCTCAGTTCTTATAAACAACTCAGAGAATTGTTTCGATGGTTCTTCTATCAGTATTCTTTTTTAATATACTTGCCAACTTGCAGGGGCAACCACCGTGTTCATACTACATCATGTATGGGAATCTGCAAGTATGGACCAACTTGCAGATTCGATCACCCGTTTGTGGAACATTCTGCTGGCTATAATTTTGGTATGAATGCTTTGCCACTTGATTCCTCCCTCCTAAGTTATCCCAGAAGCTGGTCAGTGGCCCATGGATTGGAGACTTCCCCCTCCATCTCCTCAAAATTTCCTGATGGGGTCAAAAAACCTGTGAACAACAAGTATGAGAACTCAGATACAAAAACTGCTGAAGATTCCCCTGAACAAGCTGGTTCTGTACCACCTTCTCCAACTTCCTCAGAACCCGTACAAGACCAATCTGGTTGAAGCCAGATTTTTTTAGGTGCACTTTGCTTATTTTTTTTATATCAGTATCTTAAAAGGGAATATTTAATACACACTCTCCTACCCCCCCATTTTCACCTGTGAATCTCCGGAGTTGGATAGGTTCTCTGGAGATCAATTTGATGAGCAAAAACTGGGGGGCATGGAAGCATTTTTTTGTGGTGAATAAAACGCAGGTGGAAAATTCTAAGATTCCTCGTTCTTTTTTCCTTTTTAAATTCCCTATCCCTCAAATTGTCTTTTTATTTGGATGATACCTTTTCTCCAGTTTGGCTCACTGGATGATGTTTTTATTTGTTCAAAGGAAGTTTGTGCTTTTAAACCTCAATTTTGATTGCTATTGGGTGTGGAAAATTGATTTCTTGCATTTTGTTACAAGTGACAAGAAATGGCTAAGCTGTTGGTTGTGTAAATCAGATGGTTAGAATGTGGATGATATGGATGAGGAGTACAAATACATAAACAACAGAGACTGATATGGTCTATGATGACACGTTGGGCTAGGTGGGTCTTCTTGTACAAAATTGCCAATGGCTGGGCCTTGTTGGGCACCTTTACTCCCTTAAAGAATGTGGGCCAGACACGTTTCACACAACGATAACGTGGAAGAGGCAATATGGAAGAGGAAAGGAGAAAACGTTTTCAAGGTTAGCAGCTATTATTGGCACTCTAAAATAATCATCGTGAACTTCTTTTTGATGAAGAAAAATAACATAGAAATGAGTGTAGGATTACTATATTGTAGTGCAAATAGCAATTATGTAGATTTAAACTTAGAGAAAATTAAAAATTAAGAATATTAAGTCTACGAAAATCGGTAGTACGAACTTTTATGGCTAGTCCGACCGAGTGATGAGGAATAGAAGGAAAGCGAGTTAGAATTAGGATAGTTTAATAGTTTTATCTCTTTCTAATTTACCAACAAAAGAAAACATATGGTTTAATCCTCACCTTAATATAAAATTTGTACCTATGTTTTGTAATAATTTATTATTTAAAAGTTTAATATTAGTAAACAAAACTACTTGTTTTATCACGCACACATTTTTTCTTTACGGGATGAATTATATGATGCTCAAGACACGGTCACATGCACAGAGGTCCCGAGTCACGTGACAGAGCGGCATCAAAATATTTCCATCCAGAATCTCTGTGATCCAATTAAATAGGGTCCCACACCTACCATGCGCATTTAATCATCCCCCGCACCAGTCAAACTCTCTGTTCACCACGACCGTCTGATCAATGATTTAACAACGACCAAACTACCTTTTGCCACAATTACCACTATACCCCTCGTTGGCGCAAGCAAGCAATCAAGCAAAGTCACCGGCAGCCCCATCTCTTTTTGAGCAGGTTGCGTACGATACCGTCTACTTTTCTTTCCCGCAAAACTAAAACCCCAAAAAAGCTGCCCCTGCTCATGCTAACGTGCGCTTGTGGCAATCCCGCAAACAAAGCAACGAAACGCAACCGAAGCTAGAAACCAAACAAGGCGACGGGTAAGCTTATTTTGGAAGCGTAGCCCCGTGATTGGTTTGTGCGCTGATTTTCTGGTTTTTGGCTTAGCATAATGGTCCATGCTGTCGCTTTCATTTCTCGCCACGTCGTCTAGAGGATCAAAAGCAAATTGTATTTCTTACACGCGCACCCAAAATATCTCTTTGCACCCACTTATTATTACTATTTTACATTATATCGAGAAGCGTTTGGATTTTCAATTAAAAAAATTAACGTTCTTTAGAAGCATTTCTATAAATAAAAAATTGTTTATGAACGTAAGCGTTTGTTACAATAGCATTCCCAAGCAACCTTTGGGGGCGTTTATAGTTCATGGGAAATGGGATTAAGGGGCTAATGAGGATTGGTTTAATTGATAAGGTCTATGCATTGTGTGTAGTCTTATTAGTGTTCGAGTTCCGTTGCCAACAATCCTCATTAGTGTGTGATCTGTAATTTCCTATATCAATCCATACCCGTTGCAGCTGGCAGTTGGGTGCCATATTTAAATCTTTCCGACTCGAAGTTGTGGGTTTGCCCTGGCGTTGGTGATGAAAGTAGCCAATATCCCTATAAATTATTTTTTATCCAAAAAATAAATAAATAAAGGGTAAGGGATGATAAATCAAATGATTTCCCTTATCTAATAAGTTCATACATAGGAAATGGTTGTCTGGCATGCAACCCTCCTACCCCCTTGGATTTCATTTTCCCTTACCCATGAGAAACTAAGGCCAACATTAAATGCACCTTTTAATGACAACTTTGTCCTCGTTAACAAATTAGAATTACTATATAGCATTGAATGCATTCTCTTTTTTATTCGATCTAATATGGGTATAATTGGAAAATTAAACACACTTTGTTTTACATTCCTACAAAAACAAAACATGAGAAAAGAAATAAAGTGATATTTCCTTATTACTTTCTTAGCATTACCAAATATGGTAAAAGAATCTTCATTTTCCATCCCTTGAAAAAAAACATAAAAAATTTTAATTTGGAGTGCATTTGGTTTATAAAAAAAATAAGGGAGCGGCTAAATCACTACGCCATGATTATGGTAGCAAGTTTGCAATGGTCTTTCTTGCTTTCTTCCCCCCCCCCCCCCCCCAAAACAAAAAACAAAAAACTCTCCTTTTTTTTTATTGTGTGTATAAAGAGACAAATTTTGATTTTAAAAGTTTATGTAGAGAAATTGAATCTAGCAACATTTTTTTTCCCTTTTTGGGTGGGGGAAATGTAAATGAAAAGTTATATTTACCAAAATAGTAGAGGGTAAGTTAATTAATAGTCTCCTCTCCTTTGGAACTAAGTAAAATTATTGATACAATGTGAAGGATTGAATAGTGACCCAACATGTGTGTGAACATGCATCTTTAGACCACCAAAAAGTAATTCTCTGAATTATTGCTTAGTTGGTGGGAAGTTATTACACATGTGAATTAGGTCTAGTGACACATAAAGTGACTTAAGTATTAAACCAGAAATGTACTGAGGTCGATACATTTTACATCATCATTGTGCCCTAGCCTTTCAGGAAATTTGACATGATGGGAAACCCACTCTACACCAAATTCTAATGGAATTACAATATCTCGAATTGTGTATTTATTGTTCTCAATATTTTTTATCTATTGTTCGTCTATACCTAGTGTTCGTTTGACATTATTTATTTGGGGTGATAAGTGATTTTTTTAAAAAAATTGGGAAGTCTAGTTTGTTTGGTAAACTATGAGAAAATCACTTATTGTTAAAAGTTGATGTGAGAGAAAACTATAAGGAAAAGCAGCTAATGAGGTGCTTTCATTTTCTGATTATGTATAAATCAATTTCGAAGAGGCACTAGGTTTAATAATTATGCGGCAATCATTTTTTGATTATAAGGGAATCAGTACCAACAACACTTTTAACAAAAAGTTTACCAAAAGTAAAAATGCTTTCTCTCACAGCAAATCTAACAGTAATTATTTTCACAACACAGCAATACCAAACTAGCCCCTAATTTTCAATTCGAAATTAACCTCAATATTAAAATTTCAAGAAGATTTTTCGAGCTAAAATCTATTTTTAACTATGTACATATTAGTAAGGGATTTGTAGCTCAAGTAATTAAAAAGATTTTCTCTTGCATTCGAGGTCATAAATTTGACTCCACCTCCGCCAATATCACTTGTATTTATTTTATTTTATTTTAAACTATGTACATCGTCTTTCTATAAATCCTTACCCTTAATCAACCTCTTCCTAACTTTGGGGGGGGAAAAAAAACTTTTTCCTTAATTACTTAGGTGAAATTTGCTTTTTAGGGTGACCCTATGCACCCATAATAAATAAATAAAACATTTTATACTATGAGTGAACCTATGCCACGTCATTCAGTCGAGTGACGTGGCATGACCCACAGAGCAACAGGGGCGCACATTGTCCACTATGCCTCGAACAAAAACAGGGTTGAAGTCAAAAGGTAGTTTGAGTCCATTAAATTTATGGAGCAATTTGTGTACAAGAGGGGCACGTGTGGGTCAGAGAGTGGGTGATAGATTATATAGGCAAAGGGCCGAGCGAGGGAAGGCATCTACAGGCTACAGCTGTGGGTTGTCTCTCAGGGAAGGTCGCCTCGGTTTTGAATTTTGTGTGATGTGTCTGACTCGTTTTGACCGGGAAACCGGTGCTCCCGGTTCCCATATTTGGGTCTTGATTAGTGTGATTCACGCGGATGGATGGTAGCAGATGCCTGACTTACTTGTCTGATTCTGGCAGTGATTATGTCTTTCATTAGGAATTTTGAATCAAAAGACTACCATTAAAAAGAAAATAAAAAACTTTTTATTTATTTATTTATATTTATCAAAGGCACCATAAATATTTTCGTTTTTAAGGGACAATGGTAAAGAAAAATACATAATTGAATTTTCAGAAGAAAAAAAATACATGAATTAACTTGGACATTGTTAGTCCCAATATAAAATATACTTGGACGTTAGTTTGTGGGCATTTTTTAAAGTTTAAGTTGAAGAAAATTCTTTGTTCAAATTAAACATTGTTTTATTTTTTAAGTTGGAATTCTCGTAGCATTTTGGTAGTATGTGTGTGAAAAACTCTCTTTGTTTTGTAGGTTAGACTATCGCTTGTATTTAACAAAAAAACTTATTATATCTTTTAGTGACAATCTAACCTTATGATATATAGTTTTCATTTTTATTTTTTGAGAAAATCATAAATTCAAAGTTAATCATATCCAATTTAACCGCAGTCGAGTTTTGTGTTTCATAATCCAATCTAATACAATTAGAAGTTGGATTGAATTCGTGTTTTCGTAATCCTCGTGTTGGGTTATGTGGATATTTGAAACATACTAATTCTCAACATTTTCACAATTAAATAAGAACATGCCCTTGACATAAATATTTACTAGCCTCTCTGCATGCGCTTCTGCGCCTGAGAGAGGCCTTTAAAAAAAAAAAAAAAAAAAAAAAAATTTAAATTAAAAAATATAAAAAAATTGTGTTATATAAAAATATGATCCCATTATTAGATTTTTCTTTTAATTTTAATTTTTTTTAATTATAAAAAGTGTGAATTTACCATATTATCATCATTTAATTAATAATTTTAATTCTTAATGTTAGCATTAACCAAAGGTATTTTTTGGTATTTTGAATGTTTCACCATTCTCTGCCTTTTGCTTTATATATATAGATAAAAGAAGAAATAAAAAATGGCAAAGTCCAAACTCACACCCTATAACACTTAACATGTAATATTTGTTGTATTTAAAAAGATGTAATGGGATTGATTCCATTTTGGTCAATTAAATTGGTTTCACATTTCACACAGAATCCAACCGATTGAGCAGAAAACCAAATCAAATTGTTTGATTAGACTGAATTGATTTTAGTTGGGATCTTAAAACACTCATGAAAGCGATAAGTCTTGTACCTGACAAACAAAAAATCCAGAGCATGCAAAGTTCTAATTTCAATCTAAAGATATCGATCAACTCAAACGTTAGCCATATATATATGGGGAATGCTAGCAACTTTCTCTTTAACCTTCTCTTTTGGACATTCTCCATTTTTAGCTTGACATGTGTCATTCTCCTTACACTTAAAATAATGTCATTAATATATTATACAAGCTAACTTTTGCTTTCCAAGTTTACCTTTATTAAATATATTCAATTTATCCAAAAAAAAATCACAACTTTCTTACCATATTATTATTTTTTATTTAATAATAATTTTTTTTATTTAAGAAAATGTCTGCTTTTTGAAAAAAAGAGGAAATGTCATATTTTTTTTCATGTCAAGTTTAGATTTTTTTGTTTAATTTTAAAGAAAAAGGACATTTCCTCTTTTTTTAAAAAGAAAAAAATTTCTTTAAAAAAAATTTAATAAGATGGTAAGAAAGTTGTGAAATTTGTTTGGATAAATTGAATACATTTAATAAGGGTAAACTTGAAAAGCAAAAGTTAGTTTATATAATATATTAATGACATTGTTTTAAGGAGAATGACACATGTCAAGCAAAAAATGGAGAATGTCCAAAGGAGAATGTTAGAAGGAATGTTGCTAGCATTCTTATATGGGTGGTGCTAGAGGCACCAACTTTGGGCACCAACTCTCTAATAGAGGTGGAGCCCGCCAATACACCGGGTCCCACGCTCTATTAGAGAGTTGGTGCCCAAGTTGGTGCCCAAAGTTGGTGCCTCTAGCATTTTCCTTCTTATATATATATATATATATATATATATATATATATACATACATACTTCTTGCCAATCAATAGGGGGCAAATCCCAGACAAAAAGCAAGAATTATAGGATACATATATATATATATATATATAGCTTTTGTTTAGGGATCCTCAAATAAACTTATTTGAATGATACTTTTGCAAGACTCATTTCACATTGTATTTCACAAATCCAAACCGTATACTTTGTAAATATTCATTCAAAGATCATTTCTACAAAAAATCGCTTGAATCCGATATAATTTGATCACTCAATGAAATTATTGAAATTTAAGTATTTTCTTGAAGCAACGTATTCATTGATTTTGTTGGTCTCGATTAGATGTTTTAATGATTTTCAATTTGAATAACTTTTTGCAAGGATGATCTTTGAATGAAGATGTGATAAATAGATGGTTTGGATCGTTGATTTTTTTAATTTTTTAATTTTTGGGTATGGGACCCTAAAGGGTGTCCCTCAAATGAGGAATCCCTCAATAAAAGGGACTATATATATATATATAATTTTATTTTAGGGACACCCTTTAAGGTCTCTTACGAATTTTTTTTCAACGATCCAAACCATATATTTTTTTAAGTATACATTCATAGATCATCATTGCAAAAAATTAGACAAATAGAAAATCGTTTCGACTTCCAATTGTGTCATACAAATTCAATGAACACGGTACTTCAAGAAAATAATAAAATTTCAATAATTCAATTGAGCGATCAAACGATATCGGATTCAAATGATTTTTATTTTTATTTATGTAGAGATGATCTTTGAATGAATATCTACAAAGTAGACGGTTTGGATTAGCAAAATACAATATCGAGCTGGCTCTATAAGGGTGTCCCTCAAATAAGCTTATTTGAGGGATCTCTCAATGCAAGTTTCCTATATATATATATATATATATATATATATATATATATACAGTCCCCTTCTATTGAGAGATCCCTCAAATAATTTTATTTGAGGGACGCCCTTTAGGGTACCATACAATTTTTTTTCCGATGATCCAAACCATCTATTTTTTAGGTCTTTATTCATAGATCATCCTTACAAAAAATTAGATAAATTTGAAACCGTTTCGACATCCAATTGTGTCTTACAAAATCAATGAACACGGTGCTTCAAGAAAGTACTAAAATTTCAATAACTCAATTGAGTGGTCAAATGATATCGGATTCAAGTGATTTTTTGTAGAGATGATCTTTGAATGAGTATCTAAAAAATAGATGGTTTGGATTAGTGAAATACAATCCGGAGTGGGGCCTACAAGGGGTGTCCCTTAAATAAGCTTATTTGAGGGATCCCTCAATTGAAGCTCTCTGTATATATATATATATATATATATATATAAAGAAACAATAACTTGTTTTATTACTTAAATGTTATACAAGAGTTTTTTTTTAATACAGGTAAGTCTAAATTACTCTAATGACATGTTTATTAATCCGTAATCGGAATCAAAATAAGGAGTTGAATTCCTATTACGGATACTCATGTGTTTAATTCACATGGAGGAATGAAAATGCGAGTGGGGCCCACACAAAATAAAAATTCAACTATTGATTTTGGAGGAATTGGACTCTTGGGTAAGAGATGGTATTTTAATTCCTGGATAAATAACTCATGAGGAATTCAACCTTTTTACCCATTATATCCTCACACTTTTTAAAATTCCAAATTTATCATATACTTTAACCCAACAATGTTGACATTTTAGTAATCAATTTGGTTTCAATTCCAATTAATGTGAATTTAGTAAACAACTTATAAGGAATTAGTAAACAACTTATAAGGAATTAGTATTACTCATATTAAAATTCCATATGGTTTAGTTAACAACTTCAATAAGAATATGAAATCTAACTCTCATCAATCCAACTCCTCTTTAATTCAATTCCTCCTAATTCGATTAATGATTGATAAAAATGCCTTAAATTAATGTAATTTGCGAGATCAAGGATAATCTTATGTGCAAATGGGCTGACTCATTGCATTAATCAACTGACCTAATTTTGTATTAGTTTAAGATTATAAATTCGAACTTGAAAGAATAATAATAGCCCTTTTCAATTGGAAAAATATAATAATGTGGGAAAGAACTAGCCCAAATGGCACTGCAAGGTTCGAACCAGGTTCTTGAATCTAAAGAAGGGAGATAACTAACCACTGTGGCTGTCTAATAAAATTGTAGCCATGAGTAAATAATTGATGTTAAATTTTTTTTAATAAGATAGTAAGAGTTATTATGATTTTTTTTTTTTTTTTTTTATAAATTGAATAATTTATATATAATAAATAATGGAAATTTGGAAAAAATAGCTTAGTATAATATTATTATATAACATATATTTTAAGTGTAAGTAGAATGACACATGTCAAGTAAAAAAATAAAAAAAATTCAAAAAAGAAAGTTAGAGAAAAAATTGCTAGCATTATTCTTGTATATAAATGTGGCTGCCGGCTGTGCGCATTTGTGCAATAAAACGAGCAATGTCAGACAGCTGGTCACAAAATTGTCTAAGTAAACGTTCAGAGTAGGACCCATAAGCCCATTACGGTGTTGAGGCTTGGTCGGTGTACGTGTAGTGTATGCAACTATGTATTGCCATTTAATGACAAAATTGTCCTCGTCTTATTTGAAGGGTTAATTTCGTCTAACAATTATTAACACTTCCATAAGTATGAGAAAATATTGGGTTATCGATATGATACATCAACCAAATTCATTATTTAACAAAAGACGATGTACTGCACACAAAAATTTCGAAACTTATGACGTGAAAACAATAATAAATGAGAAATATATAGCAAAACTAATATCCGTTGTGTTGTTCTTCTTTAGCCCTGTCATTCATTGATTCTAAAATGATTGGATGCTCCTTTTTTCCAAAAGTATAAACAAATAAAATATTGCCATTTCAATTAGAGTTGCAAAATTTGAGATATGAAAAACGTTGCTCTATATCATACCATCAATCTTGTTAAATTAGAAATGAGTTGTTATCAAATTATCACATGTGGTTCTTTATATATATATATATATATATATATATATTTTGTTAAATTGATGATGTGACACGTATGTGGTGTCCACATATCCAATGAGATCATGCTCCATCGACCACAAACCCCCCAATCCAGCCCTCTTAACCTATTCAACCTCACAGATCGCCAATTCCTCGACCCAACCCCCAATTCCCCCCTTCCCCACCTCCCTCCCTCTCTCTCCCTCTCCCTATGTTTTTCTCTCTACCGAGAAAACTCCCGAGCCCAATGCCACCATACAACCCCCATCCCCCACCTGAGATCCACCCCATCCCCAACCCCACAAGAGACCTATCCCTCAACAACTGCCCAAATCCCAAACCCACCCAAGACATATTCCCAACTCCTACCCGTGTTTTTTTTCCTTCAATTTTTTCATATATTGTAAATTTTTTAAACATTGCTTAATTCACGTGGCATCCACATTAGCAATTTAATATAATTTTTTCATTGAACTTGACGGTATGACCAAATTGATGTGTGAAGTATAATATAAAGGGCCAATAATGTTAGAAAAAATATAAAGGACCAAAGGTGATAATTTGACAAACCTTAGGGATCATTTTTGATACTTATTACTAGCAGGTATGAGTTTAATCAAGTTAGCTAGAGCTAATGTGATCTCTGCTCTACACCCGAGTTTGAATTTCCCTCTTTATAATTTAGATTATATTAAAATAAAATATCCCTTGTATAACTAGAGTGCACATCAACAAGAAGTCTCAATGTACAAACTGAAAAACTATGTAAAGTCTCAAATTGTTTTTTGACCAATTAGGTCTTTGTGAAAGATATTCATCTTTCTAACATTAGAAATATGTCCAAATTTAGCTAACTAATTTTCCATCGATAAAAGAAGTTTTTATTTTCATATTGCAATTAAAATATATAAAAAATACTTCAATCACGCACCTACTCCTATATTTGTCTGCTTCACTCATACTTGATTGGAGGAATAAGTCATGAGGTGCAAACCCGTAACATTAAAGACTGTTAAAACAGCAACAGCAAAATTGCTTCAATAATAATATACTGTCAGTAAAATAGTAAATGAGTGGCCCCAACATGATAAATTACCTATCTTCTTCTTGTGCATCTCATAAAGATCAATTAATCTCCATAACCAGCGAAAGAGAACATCTAATTTTCATTGTATTTAAGGGTCATGAAAATTATAGGAGGTTGTAATTAAAGTGGCTAGAAATATTTACCATTTCATATAAGATCATGTATTCAATTCTTCCATCTCTCCGTATTCCTTGTATTAAAAATAAAATAGATAATAATTTTTTTTTTAATAATACAAGTGATAGTCTAAATTACAGGGAACGAGGTTTCTCACACACACACTCCTAAGTGTCATGGGTTCAAATATGAGACACTAATTTTTAAAACAAGGTCATTTTCCATTGGATTAGACCCTGTTGGAAATAAATGACATTTTAGTATATCTACCACTAACTAATTTATGTAATGATGATTAGTATTTAAATTTCATCTTGGCCTCGAAGCACCGTGGGGGGTGGGATACGAAACAGTGCAGGAAATTTTGTGGCTGCTATGGCAAAGCCATACGCATATATGTCATCGGCGGGCCATGCTGAAGCTTTGGCGGCTTGGGAAGGACTTTGTTTTGCAAGTCTCATACACGAGGCAGGAATTGTGCTTGAAGGAGAATCGTCGGCTGTTGTGAACGCCGTTACCTCGCATAATGAGGATTGTTGAAGATGCTCGTGTTGTGTTGCGGGGGTTTACGGAGGCTAGGTGCCAGTACGGTATGCTTCTTGGGTTAGCAACGGAGTTGCACATCGGCTTGCTTGTTTTGCTGTAACTCTAAATGATAATTTTGATTGATTTGAGGCGCTCTTGATTTTATTCAATACACCTTTAAAAAGAATGCTATGCATTGAGATCTTTTTTCTTTTTCGCCTTGAAAATATTATAATGTGACATGAAAACTGTGTATCACGTGGAAGAAAAAGTACGGAAATAAGTTAATTTGATTTGGTGGATATGAATTCAATTGATTTTAATAATATACTTTGTAATATTAGGTAATTGTCTAACTAATTATTCATGAAGAGAATAGGGCAATTATAGTATCTTCGAATTGTGGCATTCTAATAATAGTATATGAGGAAAGGGTATCAATTTCCTAAAAAATGTATAAAATTTCACCCACTGTTATGTTTTCTGGAAATAATTTATTTTAATACGGCCTTCCTTTATTCTGTTTTCTTTTAGACGAAATTCCCGTTGTCATATTTGATTTTATGGTATGGTTGTTCACATAATGTCACATGCTTTTTTTAAATTTGTAATCATCGTATTCACATACTATAACGGATTACTCGAATAAATAAACACATAGAATAAATAATTTAAATATAGATAAATAGTTCAATTAAAACAACAAATGTATAATGATATGGCATGACGATTTTATTTATTTATTTATTTACTTATTGGGTGAAGATAAAAAAATCTTCTCATTGCGTGCATGTGGTGGCGTTTTACGTGACCTTATAGAGTGTGCAAGAGAATATAAAGTGAAAAAGAAGAGGGGCATTTTAGTTTGAAATAAGAAAAAAGGAAATGGAGAGACACAAGGAAAAGGGCAGAAAAAAAGCACAAAAATCCACGTGTTTTTGTAGAGGAATGGTGTTTAGGTAATTTCACGACAGCCATTTTCTTTTTCCGCATTCCCCATTTCGAAAGAATAAAAAAGGCAAAATGATAACAAACAGCGAAAGGAGGAAAGAAAACCAGGAGAGGAACAGCGAAGGCAGAGAGAAAGAGGAGAGAAGAAAGAAAGTGATCAAACAAATCCAAAAACACCAAAAAAATGGAGAAGAAGACCCAACAACTACAACACTAACAATCACAATCCCCTCCAACCCCAATCCCTCAAGGAGGTGGTAGAAGAAGGAGAGAGAAAACAGAGCCCCCCATCACAGGCCCTTCTTCAATCTTCATCTCTACCTACCATCTCCTTTTTTTTTCTTTTTTTTCTTTTTCTTTCTCGGTTTCTTTTTCCCATGCGGCGAGGAGGCAGAGCCACCGCAGCAGCAGCAGCAGCAGCCGCAGGAGGAGCAGGAGCCCAATTATGCAATCCCAAACCCAAGCCCACGGCGGGCCAAGAAATCCGATTCCGCGGCGTGCGGAAGCGGCCGTGGGGTAGATTCGCAGCCGAGATCAGAGACCCCTGGAAAAAGACTCGGGTCTGGCTCGGAACTTTCGACTCGGCGGAGGACGCGGCTCGAGCCTACGATGCCGCAGCCCGATCCCTCCGCGGGCCCAAGGCCAAGACCAACTTCCCTCCCCCCACCTCCGCCGCGGATTACGACATCAACAATAATCACCGCCTCCCTCCTCATCATCCTTCTCTCTACGACGACGACACGGTTTGCGATGTCGTTCAGGCAAGCAGGCCCACCTCCAGCAGTCTCAGCAGCACCGTCGAGTCTTTCAGTGGGCCCCGCCCCCTGCCCAGGCCCACCTCCGATGCTCAGCTGCAGCGGAGACCCGTGCACCCTGTCCCACCCGATGACTGCCACAGCGACTGCGACTCCTCATCCTCCGTCGTAGACGACGGCGATGATTGCGTCCTGACGTCTTCGTTTCGGAGAGTCTCACCTTTGCCGTTCGATCTCAACCTGCCGCCGCCCCCGATGATGGACGGCCTCGATTTATTCAAATCCGGTGAGGTTTGTGGTGATGATCATGATCTTCAAGCCACCGCTTTGTGCCTCTAATTACCGTATGGATCTCCATAATGGTCCCCCCCCTTTTTCCTTTCTTCTTTCGTTTTTTTTTTTGTCCGCCCTTATTTTCTCGGGAAAATCATTAAAAAAAAGAAGAAAGAATAGGAAATCTGGTACTTGTTGATTGAGAAGAAGAATTTGAGTTTTTTTTTCCTTCTTGTTTTGTTTTAATTCTACGTTGTTAGAATATTATGGTGTAGAAATAGCATCTGGGTTTTCTTCTTCCACTGTGATGGGTTTTGGAGGAATATTCTGTGTATTTGTTGAAGCTAATGTTAGATCTTGTTTACCCAGCACTAGATCAAGATCTGATCTGGGTTTTTGCCCTCTTCATCAGATTCTCAATACCCATCTTTGTTTTTTTTGTTTTTTGTTTTCCCTTTTGTGTACAGAACATTATCTGAATTTAGAAAAGGGCTCTATTTTTATTCAAAGGAAAGCTTTCCATTTTGTTATTAGTCAGAAGTTTGTTTGGTGAGAGGGAGGGGGCAATGCATGTTGATAGGGTTCTTGATAAGAACCATTTATTAGCTGCACATGTGATGTTATGCAGATTCTATTGAGTATCAAATATCAATATATCCCCAAACCCCAAGGACCCCTCCTGCAGACAGAGGGCACCCTTCCCTAAGCTAACCTTACGGAATGATACTGAGAGAGAAGCTTGCCCTTCAAATCACATGCCCTTTCTTTTTTCTTTTCAGTCACCTCCTCTCCTCCACAAGCGAAATGAAAGAAAGACAAAAAAAAGGAAAAAGAAAATGTTTATATGCATGTATCATATGTGATGTGAGCTGCATAATTGCAAGAGCTACTACTACAATTCTACACCAAAGTGAGAAAAGTCTGAGATTTTGGAACGTCTCTTTTGTTGTTCAACTTAACTTGTGTTCATCTTTGGATTCTTTTTATTTTATTTTAAAATTGTGTACTTTGATTCTATTTGGTGGGTGTTAGCTAGTAGTTGTTGGAGAAGAGGTGGCTATTGGTCTCTTATCATGTCTTGTGTTTCAAATGTTCCCCTCTCTCTCTCTCTCTCTCTCTCTGCAAGAAGGCTTGGCCAGTGGGGAATTCCTAGCTTTGTGTTGAGCATGATCATTATTTCTAGTGTGCGAAGAAGACTTCATGATTTTGTTCCTATAGGAACTATTTATAATCATTTTCTTTTCTTTCCTTTTTCTTTTGCTGCTTCTTTTTCAAGTAACACAAATAAATTTGTCGGGTAAACTCAAGATCCATGCAATTACTCACAAACCACACAAACAAGTTACGTTCGAACAATAGTTTCTACCCCTACAAAGAACCACTCTCCTCAATCTTTTGTCATAGTAAAGATTGAGCTTGGCATTTCGCAAACAAGAAACTCGGGTTTATCTTGGAGATCAGCCATCACTTTGTTTTTAGGTGTTCGTCGAAATGAGTGGTGGTGTGAAGAAGCACTGACCGCTAAAGCCGTCATTTATATTCATTTCAAAACTCGTCGTTTTATGACTGTTGATATTCTTAGGCTGAATCATATTTTTGGTGGCCGGCCGTAACTTGCTTTATTTTTCATTTTGGTCTCCATCATTTTGATTTTGAAAATTGAGTTTGGTTTGTATTTCTAACAACCTTACATTTGCAGAACTTGATTGCCACCTAAATAAGACTAATATAACTGAAAATGACCAACTGCGGGAATTCAAATTGTAATTCAGCAACCACTTTTTTTTAATTTTCCGTTGAACAAGACGAAAACTGTGATGGAATTTTGTCCCTTAGATTATAATTACAATTTTATTTCATATGCCTATTTGCTTTGTGTATGGTCAAATGGTACAAGAAGAAAAGAAAATCCTTTTTTTATTTTTTATTTTTTAAAATAAAATCTTATTTACCATAAATCTATTGGAAGGCAGAGGATTAGGACACCTGTTTCTTTCTTTATCTTTCATTTTTTAAAGGGAAAAAAAAACCAAATAGAGGTATTATGAAAATCTATTTTTGTCATTTATTATGAAAATATGTTGTGTAATAACACTACGTACACCAACTTATTATACTAATTTTTGAACAACAACTGATGCGACAGTTGTTCATTTGTTTTCATTCTAAACCTACTACGAACCTTTTTTTTTTCTTCTTTATAAATAAGAAATGGTCGCATTAGTTAGTATCTATGATATTTTTAGTAAAATTTTATAGTACTCTATAGAATTGTGTAGGTTAAGCAAAACAGATTGGGCCCAATCCAGATCTCAAATCTTAATGAAATTTCCAGCCCAATTTGCTCAATTCGGCCTACTGCCTTTTTCTGTTTTTGGCAAGTTATGTTATGGACTCCCGACTGTTTAAAGAGTGATGAACTCTCTGAGAGCACATCTGATCTTGATTCTCGACCAATAATAAACGACCCAAAGAGGTGAAAAAAACAAGGAAGAAGAAAGGGAAAGGTTGAAGCCTTGCCTTCTTTTTACCCTCCCAGAAATACCGTGTTGGTTTTCCCTTAGAATGCACCATGCAGCGACTTAGAGGCGCAGGGACCGTAATTTCGCGCTCTCTACCCGTGACCCAGTTAAGGAAGAAAGCTTTCAGATCATGGGCAGCTGTTCAGGACACTTATTTTTCAACTAAGGTACTTGCTTTATCTAAATTTTTGGTTTTTCTTTGAGTTTGAGCTAATGGGTACCAATTGCTTTTTCATGGAGTTTTGTTTGATTTTGGTGCAGTTTTGTTGGGGTTTCTAAATGCTTTGGTTTTTCTTTTTTGCTGAATGTTTTAGGATATATTTGAAACGCATAAGGTTGTATTTACAGTTGGAACTTCCATAGCTTCAGTCGCCACAGCATGGTTTGGTGAGTTTCTTTGTGAATTTTTGTTCTGCCACTTTTTAATTCTCAATTTTGTTTTGCTTTTCTGCATGTATGTTTGTTTATGATCATCAATTGATAAAGGGTGTTTATGATCATCAAATTGATAAAGGGCGTGAGTTAATGATTAGTATTTTGAGTTTAGCTATCTATATGGTAAAAAGAGTGACATTTTGGCACTCAACTTCAATCGCGATTTGCAATTTTGGCAGACAGTGCGTTGTAATTTGTTTGAAACCATCCTTAATTCAAATTAAGGAAAATTTTTGTAACCTACAATTTTCTCACTGCACTTCACCTTATTTCAATAAGTGTAAGGTATAATGAGCAAATTGTAAGTGTACATATACAAATTCCCTTAAACTAGCCTTCACATAAAAGGGCAATTGGGTTTTTGCAAGCCTTAGGAGTGTGGCTTCAGTTGGATGAACTAGAATTCAACCTGAGCTTTGGGTCAATCAAACGTATTTGATAAGTTTACCAAACACGGGTATGAAGTCTTAATCCAAATTACAAGTTGGGTGAACATGGACAAAATGATTCCAGTATGTTATAACATGTAAATCTCAGATATACAATATTTTCTAGTCATAGGTGAGTTCTAGTGCTAGATTTGCAGAGTGCCAAACTTATGAAGTTATGATATAATCAATTATCAATCATTTCTGGATATGGATGAACTATATAGACATCTTCAAGAAAATATAATATGGTTTATGTTGTTCTTTGACTAACTTATTTATCTATGATTGAAAGATTCGTTATAATTTAAAAAATTTGGTCTGCTAATGCATTGAGGTGCAAAAGTTTTCCTTCAACCTTATTTCTATTGTCTCTCTCGATAACATGTTAGAAAAGAATGTCTTATCCAATACACATCTGTTATGGGTGCAGGATATACTATACGTCATGTACATGAATCAAGAGTTGATCAAAGGCTCGAATCAATCGAAAAAGCTGTAAGCACAATATTGAAAACTGTTGACATTTCACTTAGTATATTGCTAAACTCTTTACAAAAACACTGTTGGGTTTTGAAGTCGCCCTGAAAGGAGAAGAATTTTTTTTCTTCCTGTTGGTTCTATTATCCATGTCTTGTATTCTTGTTTTCATCCCATTTATGTTGTTAATATTTTTTTGGTAGGATAAGGCATTATGTGAGCCAGATCTCATTCTTAATTTTTCTAGTTAGATTTTGGTTATGCTTACATTTGGATGTTTGTTTATGTTTTGGTAGCAGATGAAAAACAATCATAATCTGGAACATTCAGAAATTAGAAACATTGTTAATTCTGGAAGTATTGGTGTTCCTTCATGCATAGCCACTGCCGGAACCACTTTGGTTGTCGGGTTTGTTACTAAATCTTAATTTCCTTGTCTGAAATATAATTGCCTCTCCAAATGAAACTAGAAATATTGAACTATTCAGGCTTTTTACACGTCCACCTTTTTAACTGAATTGCAGTTACGCTTTGGGTTGGCGAGGTGGAAGGTGGTATGCAAATAGGAAGTTCAAAAGGGAGCAGATGAAATTGCTAGGGCAAATTAAACCTAAAAGGTGGCAATTGCTCAGGAGATCATTGATCAGACCAAGAACTCAAGACAATGTAGTCAAAACTTTGGAGAAGATAAAGGACACTCATACCCCACCTAATTTTGGAGAATCGCACCAATCTTGTTAGCAAGCATAAATCATGACAGATTTTTGTTTGCTGAGAAAGCCTGATGGAAAAAGATTGTTGATAGAGCTTTATACTTGTTAACGGTTTGATTTTTTTTGCTGGTATTTATTGAAACGCAAGATAAATGATGAGAATCATCTAAAGGAATTAGATTCAGCATTGCCTTTCTTGTTGTGAATCAAGATATGTGTAAATGAATCTGCCTTGTACTCACTAACCGCTTGAAATAGACCAGTTGATGAATTTTTTTCCTTCTGGTTTCATTTGATTCCTGAGCGCAATCTGTGTGAGAGATGAGGTACACTTGCTTAAAGTACCTCGTTTATGCAGAAAATGGTTGACTGGGAAATGAAAGCATCGGAGGTTTTTAACTCTGAATGGCCACACAGGAGGAAAGTGTTTGAGCTCTTATCAGTTTGATAGTCTCTCAACCAAAGAAAGTGTCGGGTGTTTTAAGAAGTTTGGCTTTGTTTTTTTCTCCTTTGTGGCATGGTTTTGTCATTAGAGCCTTGTAAAAGGCCAAAGGAGAGAGAAATATTTTGAAAAGAAGCCAAAATGGACAAAAATGTCCTTATTTATTTTTGGATTTCCTAAGGAATCTTTTACATTTGCATGTCTTTGATTTGAAAGTTGAGGGATTTTTATGTATTTTTTGAATTTTTTTTGGCTTTTTCCAAAAGTGAAAGTTTTTTTTGTGTTTAAAACCTAAATTTACTTTGTTATTATGTGCTCTCTCTCTCTCTCTCTCTGTGTGGTCAGATTATAATGTGCTAATAATGAAATCTACATGAATGTAAGAACTCTATTTTTTCGTCATGTGTGAAATGAGGCAATGGGGCTTTAGCTTTCTATGCCTCCATTGGCAGTACGTCTTAATCTCTAACTAATTAGACAAAACAAACAGTGACAACGTATGAGTCTCTGGACATGAACATGTTTTGGCTTACACTCTTGGACTAGGTTTGAACTAATAGATGAAATTCTTTTTAAAATATGGAATCGTGGCAGCGACGAAATCCTAGGTTGATGTAGTTTTTAATTGTTTTAAATTTGGAAGGGGGTAGGTCCCACGAAGATGCCTTTGATTAACTGTATAGTTTAAACCACTAAGGCAATCTGTTGACGAAAGGAGGGGTATGAGCTCATGTGAACGCCCCAATTCTGTTGTTATCTGGTTTTTCTGTTCCTATAAAACATATGTCAGAGACATAAAGGTGATTCTATCAGGAAACAATTAATTAAACACATGATGAAGATGATGGCTAATAACATTTTAGCCTCTAGTATTCTAGTCATTCTTCTGTTCTGTGAGTCAGCAGTTGGAGCAAGAACAAAGCTACTCTCAGCCAATAATGGTCAGGATGCTTCTTTTGCATTGGCTCCATCTGCCAATGATGGCATCTGTGCAACAATGGTGGAAACTCATGGCTATGCCTGTGAAGAACACACAGTTATGTGTCTGCCCTTGTTGCTGCTCAGTTTATCAAGAGCTATTCACAGTAAATATTGACTGAAAGTTGCATTTTTGGGTTCTATAGGTAACAACACAAGATGGCTATATACTCAGTATGCAGAGAATTCCAGTTAGAAAGTCAGGGGAGGCATCCGGAAACCGGATACCGGTACTTCTACAACACGGGCTGCTGATGGTCAGTAATTCTGCGCCGGTAACTTTTGAATCTTCAATAGGTTCAGTAAATTGGTTAGATGTAACGGTTTGTTTATATGGTGTGGTGGGCAGGATGGGATAACATGGCTGCTACTACCTCCTGACCAATCTTTGGCATTCCTCTTGGCTGATAATGGGTATGAGGTCTGGCTTGGCAACACTCGCGGCACCAAATTTAGCCTGGGCCATACATCACTCAGTCCCGATGATCCGGTAACTACATGCCATTCTGTTCTTGGTTACTTGTGAAAACATGAAAATGCTCAATAACACAACACCATATTGTTTTTCATATTAGATGCCATTTTGCTCTTTTTTCAGGCTTATTGGGAATGGTCATGGGATGAATTGGTCGCTTATGATCTTCCAGCTACATTCCAGTACGTGCATGATCAAACAGGACAGAAAATTCACTATGTTGGACATTCACTGGTGAATTCCACAAACTCTGCAGTTTTGTTCTGTTTCTGCTCTGGGACTTATTTTTCTTCTAAGGACACAATATTAATGTTATAATTTTTTTTTTTTTTTTTTTTTTTTTTTTTTTTTTTTTTTGGTAGGCTCTTGGTGCTGCTTTTGCAAAGACCAGCAACTGAATAGATTGAGATCAGCTGTCTTACTTAGCCCGATTGCTTATGTTGGTCAGATACCTTCACCCCTTGCAAGAGCTGCTGCTGAAAACTTTATTGCTGAGGTAAGAGCAAATCCCTTTTTCTAGTTATTTTAGTTGTCCAAAAGAAATAAACTCTTTGACAACCTATTACCTTCTTCTAACAGGCATTATACAAGGCAGATATCAGAGAGTTTAATCCGAATGGGTAACAATTCTTGTTCACTTGTTCTTTACGATTCTCAAACCACTGTTTACCAAGTACAGCAGTATAATATTTTATCTTGTACTTTAAGAAACTAACGATTTCTCCAAATGCTTCTTAACTTTTCGATGTTAAATGCCTGAAAAGTTTTCCAAAAGACTTGAGAGTTCTGATTCAAATTTATTTGCATTATACAAATTGACGTGTGTTTTTCCAATGTCTCCAAGAGAAGCCTAGTTACAGACATAATACTCATTCCTATTAATTTGATGAACTATAATCTGGTCTGTTTATGTTTCCCCATTCGAACAGGAAGGCACTAGTCGAAGTTCTTAAGGCTGTCTGCAGTAAACCAGGTGTTGACTGCACTCACTTGTTGACCGCTTTCACAGGTAGCACAGATGTCCCTAACATTGTTACGAGCACTTAAACATTCTTCTATTGACTATTTTTTTTTTGGCAACTGAAGGCAAGAATTGCTGCTTAAACTCTTCCATAGTAGATGTTTTTCTGGACCATGAGCCTCAGTCAACCTCAACAAAAAACATGGTCCATATATCTCAGAGTAAGTCCTCTTAATTTCTGATTCACAAACACCATGGAAAAATCTTCAAATTATAAAAGCAAATGTTTTTTATGTGTGCTCAAAATAAGATTAAAAATAAAATTCAATCCTGTGATTTGTGTACAGTGATAAGAGATGGAACAGTTGCAATGTATGACTATAATAACAAGAATGAGAACATGCAACACTATGGGCAGCCCAATCCTCCAGTGTACAGCATGACAAGCATCCCAAATGACCTTCCTCTCTTCCTCAGTTATGGAGGGGCAGATGCTCTTTCTGATGTCAAAGATGTGAAGCTGTTGCTGGCCAGCCTCAAAGATCATGATGGAGATAAGCTTGTGGTTCAGTACAGAGATGATTATGCTCATGCAGATTTTGTCATGGGACAAACTGCTAAGCACGACGTGTATGATCCTCTCATGGCCTTCTTAAAACTCCAATGAGAATATTTACTCGTCAAAAAGTAATGCCAATAATCTTCTCTTCTTCTCCCTCATCATAGAGTTGTATTTTGCTCATACTGTATACTTTTTCCTTCTTTACCAGCAAAAGTCATAGAAAATGTCAGGACAGATTCTATTGGTTGTAAGTTTGAAGCAAAATTACCACCATATTTATTACAGTTCATTTATACTTTTACTGTTTTATATTTGACATGGAAGCCCATCTCTAGTTTCTCTACATGGAGGCTTTGTCAAGTATGCTCAATCAAAACGGGTGTGTTTATCATTAAAGTAACTAAACTGGGTGTTTATAGTGAACCTAAACTCACGCACACTAAGACTAAGTTCTTAGACTTCAGTTGTGGACAGACTATGTTCAAAAGAGGGGGTAATCAAACTCAAAATTCCTTTGAATGTTGAAAAGAGATATACCACTCGACCAAGTTCTAATTGCTATGTTGAAAAGTTCTTTTCCATTTGACACCGCGCAAAATTATACAAATTCTAGACTTGAAAAATATGCCTTGCGGGTTAAGCAGTATGCAGTACGTGTGTGAGCTTTCTTGTTGTAGTGTAACTTGTCCTTTATCAGGAATATAGTACAAAAAATTCAAAGCTATACATAAAAACTAGTTTTGAACAAAAGGAAGTTTCAAAAATTGGTGAATATGGAAACGGTGGAAACTGTCAACTCCAATAGACAGTGACAGCGTGACCAAAAGAAAACCACCCATTTTAGTTTCATTGTAAACCACCTATTGTATTATCATTATAAACACCAATTTTCAATTACCTGAAATTTTATGCTTATGAAAATGATGGTCAGTTCATAAGTTGCGGACACTCTACGTTGGGATGAAGTTTTTGTTTAATTTGATTAAAATCTGAGACTTGATAGAGATGTTCGTTTTTGGTGATATTTATGTCCGGCGCAATCAGCTCCATACCATTCATAAAAAGAATGGTGTCCGGCGCAATCTTTTTGGCGATTAAGAGTATCAGCAGCATGGACAATTTCTAATGAATTTTTTTAAACAGAGCTGCATGGCATTGAAACAAGAAAATTTGGAGAGAAGAAACTGAAAGAGAGGCATTTGGGTGAAGAATTTGGAACTAACTTTTAATGGGTGAAAGGGTCCTTTGGTTAATTGGGCTCGTTTGGTAGTGATTCTTGATAGGCCATAATCACTTCTGGGGAGAACCACCTCTCATGTGATTCTCCATATAATCACTTTAAGCGATTTTAAGTGATTTTGAGCAGAAGCACCTCCCATGTGCGTCTCCATAAAATCACTTAAAACCGCTTAAAGTGATTATTTGGAGAAGTAATTCTCCATAGAAGTTCTTTTTGGCCTATCCAGAATCACTCCCTAACGAGCCTTTAATGTGGCTGATTATGATTAACTGATGTGGCCAAAAAAGAGTGTGCCTTAGTGAGCCATATATCTTTTTCCAAATGGTGAATGATAGAATGACACTGGATCCTGCCATAAATATTAGTGTATTGGTTAAACTGAAGGCCTGTGTTATAATAATCTGTTTGATATGCATTCGTCTACTATAAATAACACAATCTGTAACAACTGTTGCACACAGAGACATCTTAGATTCAAATGGAAAATCCTCCAACCATTCTACTAAGCTGCAGTCAATCAACAATCTGGATGTTGTTGGTATTTGCAAATCAATGGTGGAGACACAAGGCTATACTTGCCAAGAGCATCAAGTAAGCATCAGAAAGTACTTCCTGCCTTATCTTTTGCAGTTTATGTGACAGATATCAATGTTTTTGTCATTTGTCATGGAACTGTTGATTAGTTTCAGGTAACAACAGCAGATGGTTACATCCTTGGCTTGCAGAGAATTCCGAAGGGACGGTCTGGTAATGAGATAGCAGACAGGCAGCCTGTTCTGTTACAACATGGGCTCTTACTGGTTTGCACCTAGGCACCATGTATTTGAGCATGCATCATATACTTGTGCAAGACATGAATGAACTAAAAAACAATTGTGTGTGGCAACAGGATGCTTCATCATGGCTACTCAATCCACCGGATCAATCTTTGGCATTTATCTTGGCAGATAATGGATTTGATGTATGGCTTGCCAACTCTCGCGGGACAAAATCTAGCCGCGGACACACATCACTTAGTCCTGATGATGATCCGGTTCTCTTTGCCTTTTTGAACGTTGATCACATCATGCCATCTGCATCACGGTCTCATACTGATGATATGCATTATGTTCTATGATATGTAGGCTTACTGGGACTGGTCATGGGATGAATTGGCATCTCATGATCTTCCGGCTTTCTTCCAGTATGTGAACAATCAAACAGGACAGAAATTACACTATGTTGGGCATTCCTTGGTAAATATTTGTACTTTTGTTCATAATTCAAGCTTTTGAATTTTGTTAGACATATAAAAGTAGATGACTGAGATGTGAAGTAATGAATTATAGGGAACTTTGACTGCCCTTGCCGCCTTCTCCCAAGAAAAGCTGTTAAACTTGCTAAGATCAGCTGCTTTGCTTAGTCCGGTGGCTTATCTGGGTCAGATGTCCTCACTGTTTGTAAGAATTCTAATGGACATATTTATAGCAAAGGCAACAAAACTCAATGAACTTTTTTGTTTTCAAATATGGATTCTGAAATTTATTGTTACAAAAATAGGATAACTGACCAAAATGTTCTCTTGTTTTGTTCAACAGAAACTGAAATTGTTGGGTGTACAAGAATTCCCAAACGGGTGAGATAGCAACTCAAGCTGTTTTGCTTCAGTTGTTAAGACAGATGCAGACAATATCATAAGTTTCAATTTGGTACAAAATTGTCTGATTTGTGACAAATGACATAAATATCAACTGTTTTTTTCTTCTCAAAATTCCAACAGGCAGACACAACAACTTGTGGAGTTTATTTGCACACTACCAGGCATTGACTGCTCCAACTTATTGGCAACTATAACAGGTAGTAACAATATTAGAGTTAATGATTCACACTCTTAACTTGAATTTTTTAATTATTTTTAACTCCATTGCTGATTGACTTAATTTCTTTTCCCCTTGCAATCTATAGGCCCAAATTGCTGCCTCAGTTCTTCAAGCAAAGATGCTTTATTTAAGCATTTCCCCAAGCCCACTGCGACCAAGAACTTTATACATCTGTCTCAGAGTAAGTCTCTTTCATTTCTAGGTTCAGTAATGGTGAGTTGTAAGTGTAACAAAAAGTAAAAACAATAGCATTTGAATTTTGAAGCTTTAAGTTCCCAGAAATCCTCTTATAAAATTTCAATGTTTGCTCCTGTCTACGGATTTTGAAAAGTGGTCAGAAGGGGAACGATCAAAATGTACGATTATGATCTTGAAGACACAAACATGGAACACTACAAGCAGCCTACTCCTCCTGCGTACAATATGACAAACATTCCGAAAAACGTTCCTCTTTTCCTCACTATGGATTGAGAGATAAACTTTCTGATGCTAATGATGTGGGGCTTTTGCTTGACAACCTCAAAGATCATGACAAGGACAAGCTTGTGGTACAGTGCAGAGAGGAGTATGCTCATGTGGATTTTATTATAAGTATGAATGCCAATCAAGTTGTGTATGATCCTCTAATGGCCTTCTTCAGGCTCCATTGAGACTTTAGCTACTTTTGTAATCTATTGCAAAAATAAGAGGGTTCCTAATGTTACAAGTTACAACCAAAGAATCCCAATTTGGCAAGAAAAAATTGAAAGGGGAGAAAGACATTTCAGTGAAGAATTTGGGGCTGACTTCAAACTCAAAGTGGGTAAAAGGGTCTTTTGACTAGTTAATGTGATTCATTATGATTAACAGATAGGGAGAGAACAATTCATGACGTGTACAAAATAAATTTGCTTCATTAGAAATACATATCAGTAAGGCACACAATCTGTCTAGTCTCTAGGTATGTATGCAATATAATGACACTGGACCTGCATTAAATATTGGCTCAAGTTATTGCATATACGCAACAATTTTTTAACAATGAACAATAACCCTTCAACCACTCTCAGGAAAAAGCTTTAAAAAATCTAAATTGTTGCACTCAGAGACAACCAAGCTCAAAATGTCTAACCCTTCAACCACTCTACTTCTTTTGGCTCTACTCTGTGTTTCAGCAGTTGCAGCAACAAGAACAAAGTTGAACTCAATCAACAATCTGGATGATGGGATTTGCAAGTCAATGGTGGAGACACAAGGCTATACTTGCCAAGAACACGAAGTAATTATCAAGTGTAGAAATTGCCAGCCTTACTTCTATCTTTTTCAGTTTATATATGTCACTCTTTGACATTGACTGATTAAATTTTGTTTTCCTTTGTCATGGAACTTTTGATGGGTTTAAGGTAACAACAGCAGATGGGTACATCCTTGGCTTGCAGAGGATTCCGAATGGACGATCCGGTAATGAGACAGCAGACAAGCTGCCTGTTCTGTTACAACATGGGGTCTTCCTGGTTTGCACCTAAGCACCATATGTTTGAGCGTGCATATGTACATACATATGTGCATGACATAAATAAACTAAAGAACAATTGTGTGGCACTGGCAACAGGATGCTTCATCATGGCTACTCAATCCGCCGGATCAAGCTTTGCCATTTATCTTGGCTGACAATGGTTTTGATGTATGGCTTGTCAACAGTCGCGGGACAAGCCCTAGCCGTGGACACACATCGCTTAGTCCTAAAGATCCGGTTCACTTTGCTTCTGCAAATGTTCATCACATCATGACATCTGCATTATACTCTTTTACTAACAATACCTATGATCTTCTATGATATTTAGGCATACTGGGACTGGTCATGGGATGAATTGGTTGCGTATGATCTTCCTGCTTCATTCCAGTATGTGAACAATCAAACAGGACATAAATTACACTATGTGGGGCATTCCTTGGTAAATATTTGTACTTTTTTGGTTTGTTCATATTTCAAGTTTTTAAGTTCTTTTGTACATAAAAATTAGATGACTGAGACTTGAAGTATGGAATTATAGGGAACTTTGACTGCCCTTGCCGCCTTCTCCGAAGAAAAGCTGTTAAACTTGCTAAGATCAGCTGCTTTGCTTAGCCCTGTAGCTTATCTGGGTCACATTTCCTCACTGATTTTAAGACCTGCTGTTGACATATTTGCTGCAGAAGTAACACAACTCAATGAACTATTTTGTTTTCAAATATGGATTCTGAAATTCATTATTATAAACGTAGCATAACTGACCAAAATGTTCTCTTGTTTTATTTAACAGAAACTGAAATTGTTGGGCTGGCTGGAATTTCCGAATGGGTGAGATAGAAACTTAATCAATTTTGCTTCATTAGTCACATGCAGATAATATCATAAACTTAACTCAACTTGGTACAAAGTTTTAGATATTTTGTTCTTCTCAAAATCCCAACAGGCAGATCCAACAACTTGTGGAGTTTATCTGCACAACACGGGGCATTGACTGCTCCAACCTCCTGGCAGCTATAGGAGGTAGTAACAATGTTAGGCTTGCTCATTCACACTTCTATTTGATTGAATTGATTTTTTGTTTTTTGTTTTTGCAATCTCCAGGCCCAAATTGCTGCCTCAATTCTTCAAGCATAGATGCTTTAGTTGAACATGATCCACAGCCAACTGCGACGAAAAACCTTATACATCTATCTCAGAGTAAGTCTCTTTCATTTCCAGGTTCAGTAATGGTGAGTTGTAATATCTAAAGTAAAATAGAAACTGTAGTATCTGTTTTGAAAGTTTCAGACTCAAAAATCCTAACTAATTAAATTAAGTTCTTACAAAATTTCAATTTTTGCTCCTTGTTTTTTGATTTTGGAAAGTTGTCAGAAAGGGAACCGTAGAAATGTATGATTATGGTCTTGAAGACACGAACATAAAACACTACAAGAAACCCACTCCTCCTGTGTACAACATGGCAAACATTCCGAAAGACGTTCCTCTTTTCTTAAGCTATGGAGGGAGAGATTCGATTGCTGACGTTAGCGATGTGGGGATTTTGCTTGACAAGCTCAGAGATCATGACAGGGACAAGCTTGTGGTAGAATACAGAGAGGAGTATGCTCATGTGGATTTTATAATGAGTGTGAATGCCAACCAAGTTGTGTATGGTCCTCTACTGGCCTTCTTCAGGCTCCATTGAGAGTTTAGTTACTTTTGCAATCTATAACATATTGCCTTCTGTAGGGTTTTGTTCACCATTAATAATGAGATTTAAGACTATGTCTACAAGGCTTGTGGTAGGTAGGCAGGTTGAACATGCTTTTCAAATGCTGCATTAGGTGCCCTTAATTAGAGGCTAATTATGTGATTAACAAAAACAAATTAATCACAGAACAGAATATTACAGATTAGTTGCATCTGGATGAGCATGTACTTTAATGTTAGGTTTCACATTCTACCATATAATTATGAGAAGGCAATGAACAACTAGGCAGCTTCAACTGTTATTATAATTAGCTCACTGAGAGGATCAAAGAAGCTCTCTTTTCCACCAAGATCATTACAAGACAGAAGACTCAACAATAACTCAGTAACCTTGCCAACTCTGTCTTCTCAAATATAGATGTTTGGTCTGAGAGCAAAATGATTCTGAGCCGCAGCATGAACTGCTAAAAAGGATTGACATCATTGTTTCTTGTTCGATGGCCCTTTGCGCTTTTCAAAGGCAAGAATAGCTCTTCGCAGAGAACAGCACAAGGCGGTGAAGCTCTAACCTTAACTTGCCGATTAAGGTTCCTATCAGCTGAGCACCCCAACATCTTCTTCAGCTTGCTAACCAAATTGATGAGCTTCTCCATCCTCCTAAGCTTCTTTGCTGTGCTTCTCATAACGTACCTCACTCTCCTAAGTTGGCAATGGTGGGTTTTCGGGGCTTGCTCAGCTTATACACATATATAGTTAGGAGTTGAAAGTGTGCTCTGGCACATCACACGGGAATTGTGTAAGCTACTCTACAAGAGCAAGAGTTTGTAGTTTTCATGAAACTTGCTTTTCTTCTGTTATTTCATAAATGAATGAGAACATTTTCATGGCCCATAGGCCTTGTCTTTTTCTTGCTTTTATAACGCTCTTGCAGCCCCTTAGCTTGTGGATGTTACGTTCAGTTTGTTTGAGAGAGAGAGTGGAGATTTTTGGTTTCTTAGCTCATTAGGAAAAAGTTGAATGGATCAAACAATAATTTCATTGCATCTTCCAATTTTTGGTTTATCAGTTATAATTTTTTTATTTGGAGAGATATTTGAAACCAAAATATTTTTTCAATAGGTAATAGTTTCTTAGCACTAATATTATAAATAAACCATACACAATTGAATTTCTATAAACATACCAAAAAAAAAACCCAAAAAATGACAGCTGACCTTATTAAATTACTTTGATGTCCTATTGAGTGTTTTGGGTATTTTTATGAGATTTTGGGGTTGGGCTTGTTTTAAGAAATTGATGGTAGTTTTGTAATTTACAAGAAGTTAAAAGTTTTTTTGTTATGTTGTAAATGGGCTTTGGGTGTGTTTCTAAAGTCCATTTCATATGGGGTATTTTTATAATTTGGGCCTCTATATTGGGTATAATAGTGAATCTCCCTTTTTATTTTTACATTTTTGAGATTTTATAAGACATTGGCATGCACAAGGTAATTTCATAATTTCATAATAAAAAATAATTAGGGCTAAACCCTATTATTTTATTATAAAAATTTGATAAAAAATGTTTATTGCTTTATGATCAAGCTAAGAGAAACCCCATTGGTCCAATCCGTGATGAACAAATAATAAAGAACAATAAACACCAATAAATTTCATGAGAAACCATGGCCAGATGACGTGTAAATCTGTCATTGGTCCACACACGTAGCTCGCCCACAGCCCAAAACCCAGTAAAGGCCCGCTGTGTCTTCTATGCCTCGAGAGGTTTCTGAACTGATCCGTAGAACAAATCTCAGAGAGAGAGAGAGAGAGAGAGAATGAGAATGAGAGGTAATCAATTTCGAGCTGTGTCAATCATCTTCTTATTTTGCTTTGTCTTCAGTGTCTGTGATGCACTGTACGGACCATCATCGCCAGTTCTTCAGCTAACTCCTTCCAACTTCAAGTCCAAGGTAAATTTTGAATCTTTAGCAGTAACTGTAGCGTATACTTTTCCAGTTCCTCAATCTTTTGCATAATTGATTGGAATTCGTCACCATTTTGATCGAAAGAAGCACCTGGGCACTGATTGGTTTTCATTTCAGAAGTAATTCTATTTCTGTTGAAAGCAAGCATGCCCCTTGGGTTTTGGCCCTCGAAAAGCAAAGCAAAGTTCTTTCTTTTATTGGTTTTAGACTTTTAGTTCTTACTGAGCTTATTAATTTAGTGGGATTTAGTCATGTTTGCTACTTGACTGTTCGGGGATTAGATCTGATTCATAGCTTCTTGGGGATTTTTGGTTTAGAAAAGCAAGCCAATCTTGCACTGAGTGGAACTTATGTAATGCATTTGCTTAGTTAAATGCACTTTCTCTTTTTGGTTTTGTTTATGTTTTCTTTTCTCATTTGATATATGATCAACAAGTTCTGATTCTTATTGGGTTAATTATGGATTCCTAGGATAGTATATTACTTACAAATGTTTTTAATGTGATTGTTATTTTCGTTTGCGATCATCTTACGTATCAATAAGACATTGGATCAGACCACAATCTGACTAGTATTGCCTCGAACTGAATCCTTTGCAATGGTGGCAGGTTCTGGACTCGAACAGAGTTGTTCTGGTTGAATTCTTTGCACCATGGTGCGGACATTGTCAAGCTCTAACACCTATATGGGAGAAGGCGGCTACTGTCTTAAAGGGTGTGGCTACCGTGGCAGCTCTTGATGCTGATGCACACAAGTCCCTTGCTCAGGTTTCCTATAGTTACTCTTGCAATTACCAATTTTGACTTCTAAGTTTGAAGATGCAATAGTAGATTACCAACATCCCTCTGCCTTCAAATAACTTAATCGAACCATTTGACTCATATTAGGTTGCATGAAAATTCATTCCCATTCTGTAATTAATTTTGCAGTATATGGAATATGGTTTGAATTTTCCTAATGTTTACTAATACGTTAATGTTGTGTTGGGGTGTTGATGTGTTTGATTGCTCTATAGGAATATGGGATTAGAGGATTTCCAACAATAAAGGTGTTTGTTCCTGGGAAACCTCCAGTTGACTATCAGGGAGCAAGGGATGTGAAACCCATTGCAGAATTTGCACTCCAACAGGTTTGTAATCTCTTGTTCAAAATTATTTCATTTCTTGTTGTTAGTTTATTCTTTTGTTTGTAATAGAGATAGTCTTTTGTATTCATGTCTGCTCCACTATGTCTTATCTTGCTTTAGCACTTATTCATGGGATGGATAGATGGATAGACCGTGATAATCATTTGTCTCACTTGGTCATATAATCCTCTTGCATAAAATGCATTGAAGTATTAGTTATGTGACCATTCCGTTGTCTTTCACAGATAAAGGTGTTGTTGAAGGACCGTTTAAGTGGAAAAGCAACAGGAGGACCAAGTGAAAAATCTGAACCTAATGCTTCAGTAGAATTAAATTCCCAGAATTTTGATGAATTGGTGGTTAAAAGTAAAGAACTCTGGATTGTGGAGTTCTTTGCACCTTGGTAAGTGCTTTTAATTGGTATGATGATCTTATAAGCTATTTTCAGATAATAATCTCGCAGTCTACTATATGAACTTAAAGTGCACCTGCTTGTAGCAAATTATCGACTTTCTTTCAATTTCCTTTTTTTTAAAGGTGTGGGCACTGCAAAAAATTGGCACCTGAGTGGAAGAAGGCCGCTAAGAACTTGCAGGGGAAGGTGAAGTTGGGACACGTTGACTGTGATGTAGAGAAGGTAAGTTTGGCTTCAGGCTTTTCTTTTTGGGCAACCAGGCTGCGGGATGGCAGTATGTACTGGATTTACATGTTTTTATTTCTTGTACTATATGGTTCTAATGAGGTGGCATTACCAGTCTCTTATGAGCAGGTTCAATGTTCAAGGATTCCCAACCATATTGATATTTGGAGCTGACAAAGATACCCCACTCCCCTATGAGGGTGCAAGGACTGCTAAAGCCATTGAATCGTTTGCTCTTGAACAATTGGAAACAAATGTTGCACCTGCTGAAGTGACTGAGTTAACTGGCCCTGTAAGCTCTTAGCTTCCTTCCAATAATTAAGCTTTGTGAAATTGTAAGTAACCTGGGGACTAAAGCTTTACTATAATCTTCCCTTGTAGGATGTCATGGAAGAGAAATGTGGTTCTGCTGCCATCTGTTTTGTCGCTTTCCTACCTGATATCTTGGATTCCAAGGCAGAAGGGAGGAACAAATACATTCAGCAGTTATTATCTGTTGCAGAGAAGTTCAAAAGGAGTCCCTATAGGCAAGTTTTTGGGAGTTCTCTTACCATTCCTCTCTCTCTCTCTCTCTCTCTGTGGAATAATGCATAAATCATCCCCAATCAAACCTCTCTTGCTTAAGAAGCTGAATATATAGTTACTGACCATGAACATTCATGTATGTTGCAGCTATGTCTGGGCAGCCGCTGGTAAGCAGCCAGACCTCGAGAATCGTGTAGGTGTCGGTGGTTATGGATATCCAGCATTGGTGGCCTTAAATGTGAAAAAAGGTGCTTATGCACCACTTAAGAGTGCATTCGAGCTTGATCAGATTATGTAAGTTTTCTACCTCCACCTCATCTTGAACTGCTCTCGAGCCTCGTGATGAATAAAACAAATTAATATAACTCTACTTCGTTTTCTCAGAGAATTTGTTAAGGAAGCTGGACGTGGAGGAAAGGGAAACTTGCCTCTGGACGGCACCCCCAACATTTCAAAGATTGAACCCTGGGATGGTAAAGATGGACAGATAATTGAAGAGGATGAGTTCTCCCTCGAAGAACTTATGGGCGGAGGAGATGATACTACGAGCAAAGATGAGTTGTGATAAATTAAAAGCAATTATAGTAGAGAGAAGAAATCTGTATCAGGCTAAGATTGATTTTGGAGGACGCTACGAGTTAAGTGTTGCTGGTCATTCTAGTGTTTCTGTATTTAAATGACGTTGTCAACAGTGCTCAAGAGCTTTCTTATGAGGAAGGCCTTTATTTTGTTCTCTTCTTAGCTAACTTATCAATATAGTGCAAGTGTGATGCCCTTTAAAGGGTTCATTGTTGAGGAACGTCAATTCATAGCAGCAAGGAAATGACCGCTTTTTTTCTGAGTTTGGCTTCTTTGCTTGCTCTGGACTGGATTAAAAAACTTTCTTATGCATGGATTTTTGTGTGCTTGAATTTAACCCAGTAACTCGTCATATCTTACAACGGGACAAGGGTTTCTGAAAACACCCAGAAATTAAATCAGCACAGCCATTTTTTAATAAATTAAAAAGCTAATCCTTTCTATTTTTTTGGAAGAAGAAAAATTGATCCATTTGCTTATAACCCCTCATATCGGATCCACAGTAGATAAAAAGTGAATCACCTATACATGCTGTAGCTTCTAAGTACATCCCCTTCTACCTATTTCAGAATTTCTCCTTTTGACGTCAAAGTAAAATCAAAACGGCCATTCCTTAGTTGAAATTCTTGGAAAGTTGAATGGGCCTTTTAAAAGTCGCCATTTATCCTCCCTAAGCATTCTCTTCTCAAAGTTGAATCTTGAAATATGGCCTTGATAAAATCTACCACCTGCAAAAATGAAGAGCTTGTGAAACCAATGAATAACGAACAGCACAGAAAGCCGAACAAAACACGTGCTCTAGTGAAATCATACCTCCGACATCGTAAAACCACAACTGTGCAATTGTCCACTTTCCCAGGCTGTTGTAATGGATTTTAGAGGCATGTCTAATAAATCTGAAAAAGAAACACAAAGAAAAAGGGCATTGGATCTCCGTTTGCAAGACACCTAATAGATCTCTACTGAATCAATAAATTTTCAGCATTAGACAGAAAACTTGCCTGCCAGTTTACGAATTTTACGTAATGAGGGTACAAGATCATCAAGAGTGCAAGTGATGCCCTCTTGTGACTTCACTACTTGGAGAGCGGCCAGGCCGTCCAGCAAAGAAATTAGGCTTTCCAGCATCACATGAATCAGTCTTTGAAGCTAGGAGCATAAATACAATGATTTAGTTAGCTGCAGACATATATACAGCATCAAAAGTACAAGAACCAGATCTATGACTGATTGATTATACCTCTAATGTTTCATCTGCTGCCATATCATCCAAAAGAAGTATGTCCTTTGCGACTCTAGAAAAAACCGACTCTAGGACCATACACATGCTTCTCTTGTAAGTTGAAGCCAACAAGAGTGGCTCCCATATCATACGCACCTTCTCCAGAATGAATACAACCTGACCAAGATATGTTTAGCCTTATAGCCACAATTCACTAGAAAGGGAAAGGCACTAAATCCCTTAAAACCTATAACAACAAATAATATATGAAAGAAAAACATGCCACATGAAAGTTACCTGATCTATGCTGAATTTTGCAGATTGAAATTGTTGCATTTGATGGGTATTCTGGAATCCGTCAGCGCCATCTAGAGCCTGATAAACAAACAAAAAATTGCTTAAGTCAAACAGGAAACTGCAAGTTCCTAAAATAAAGTACATAACTTTCTGATTCTTATATGAATTGGAACAATGCAGCAAGATTTTACCTCTCTCAAATTATGAATAACAAGTTTAATTTGTCTCTGAAGTATTTCCTCTGCCATTAGATGAAATCTTGGAGCCATATCAACAAACATAGCATGTTCTTTGATGGAACTCGGAAAGTCTGAGCGATACTGGGGCAAAAAGATAATAATTGTATGAGCCATCAAAAGATTTAGATATTACACGAAGGTTAAAGTTAAATGCCCTTTAGGAACTGTTCAGATCAAATGAATTCCCTATTGATGGAATAGCGAATCAGCATTGTGTTGAGATCTTTTACATTGTGCATCCCAGAAATAGTGGACCATCATTCTTTGGAACATAATAGGACATATAATTTTTTTTATTGGATAGTGGGACATGATATTATAGATGCATGCATGCATGTGATGCTGTGTTGGTGGTGCGGGAATAGATTCTACAAATTAATAACACGAGCTAATTATGATTGTTCGTGGATACCTCAAAAGCAAGCCCAAGTATCTCTTGAGATATATAAAGGCAATCATTGTACATAAGAACAGCAACCTGGTTGATTCCATCAAGCTGCCTTTCTAGCTTCACAAGTCAAGAGAGAAGATTACTAATATAACAATGATGCATAATTGTGTTTGAAAAAAAGTACCAGATGGCTTAGCGGGGCAAGTTTTGTAGTACTAGTTTCCATGTACTAACCTTAACAGGAATCACAACTTCATAGAGAAGTAGAGCATCCCTTGCAGCACGATAGAACTCAAAAGCAACTCTTGGGGATGACAAGCAAACATCCTGCACAAAACCAATCACAGTTGTGGCCTTAAAATAGAACAAATGTAATTTATGAAGAACCATGAGGAAAGATAAGTGCACTTAAGGTAAGATGATTTAATCATTAAAATGAAATCATGATGTCCTTATTACTAGAGTATTTCGAGAGATCAGCATATAAATTTTTTCTTTTTCTTTTTTTTTTTTTTTTTTTTTTTTTTTTTTGTGGTGGGAGTTGTTTCTTTAGGTTCCTTCCCATCTGATCTACAGTTTCAACAATACTTTCTTTTTGTACACAACAATGTTAGAGAAAGTATAGTTGATCATGCCTGGCAATTACAGCAAATCATCTAATAAACTTTTTATGACAAGCAAGCAACCTGCTAGCCTTGAGCCACATATTAGTGTTATTTTATGGAGAAGAATCATTTATTTTTTCTGTTCAACAACATTTAGAGGGGAAAACCAAATAACTATAAATTTTAATCCATATACCTTAAGTGTCTGATGCACTAGCTTCATTAGTTGAATTGCTGCTTTGGACACCACACAACTCTCTGACAGGAATAGCAAGTCAACATGACCTGGAGTTTCGGCAGCAACGCCATCTTTCTTACCAGTCCTTGTATACTCCTGTGGAAAATATATTATTCAAAGGCTAACATATCAATATAGCTACAAATGCATTCAAGACGGTCTTAGAAGCTTACTTGAGCAGCAAAATCACATTGTAGAAGCAGATTTCTAGCTTTTGCCAAGATTTCTGTCTTCTTCCTGGATGCGAAGTGAACCTCGACATTTTCGGCAAAATTGCTCAGTTGTTTATCTTTGTTATCAGATGCTGAAATAAACTTCATTTCCCTTAATGCAGTCTCAAACTCAGAAGTACATTTGATGATCTTCAGAAAGTCAGCAAGTTTTGAAGCATCTTCGGGGACAACCTGATACAATAAACTTGCATTATTTTTCTTTACCTAAGAAAAACAAAAGACAAATAGTATGTCTTCCTATAGCATAGAAATATGCAAAATGAAAAATGTCATGAACCAGATATGCAAGCAACATATTTGATCACAGATAATGACGAAGTAAATTTGAGTATTCAGAAAAAATTCCTTTACTAATAGTGACAGGACATCAGAACCAATTATTATTTTAAACTTATAATGACATCAATAATGGCAAATAATTTGGTTATCGTGTAAGGCACTTCGCAAAAGCTAGATGCAACAAACACATCAATAACCATAATACTTAAGCAAACATAGTAAAAACTAAGGGCACAACTGTTTTCTTTTTAATTTTTTTTTATCACATTATCTATGCACTAATTGAACTGAATGATCAAATGGTGAGATCAATGATAAAATGTCGCCCAGGTCAAACTAAAATCAAATAGTGGACTACTATTCTTGAATTGTTAACGTATATTTATAATAGAGTTCAAATAAACTCGTAGAAAAGGAGGGCAAGGGTGGGAAGAGATAAAAGGAAGAACCTTAGAAAGAAAATTAGAAATAATTAACTCTGAAATCCTTGGCCATGTCAATCTTCCAAAGCATCGAATCCAAGATACATCTTTAAGGCAAATGTGGTTGTTAATAAACTTGATAACCTGAATAATCCCTGAGTAGATAATCTCACCATCCATTTTTTCAATCTGAAAATCCAAAGGAAAAATGTCAATGGAACAATTAGTAGAATCCGGAGAGGAGAAATTTGTGGAAATGCACTTAATAAATTGAAAAACTAACAGTCTTTCCCGCAAATCAGCTATACAATGCACTAAGGTGAACCCTTTTTTTTTCTTCTTCTCACAGATTTCATGTTCTGCCGTTAAACATTTAAGACAAAAGACCAATGGACATTGGGAATGGGAAAAAAAAAAAAAAAAAGAAAAAAAAAAAAAAAAAAAAAAAAAAAAAATAGTAGACAATATGCCAAATCTACCTTAGGATCACTTGAAGGTACAATGTTCAGTGTCGCCTCAGTAATTACTTGTGAGTCTGGATTTACTTCTGCCACAAAGGACACAGGAGCTCCAAAATTTAGAGCCGGAGAGATGACATGCTTGATCATCAAGTCGGCAACTTTAGCAAGCCCATAATCCAAAATTCCAACCACCTACAAGATCCCTTTCACAAAATCAGAGAACTGAATTCATTGCAAAGCACATTGCCCTCATTGCGTAAAGCCAAAAACCATTTGTAACTGCTGAATTTCGTTTAGTTTTGAACATTACAAGGTTATTAAGCGTCTACTTCTACTGTCAATGTTAAACGGAAGGAACAAAAGATCTTGACGTGAACTTACATCCAAAGCTTCCAAAACTGTACGGAGCTCAATCCCATCATTTCCATCGACGCTTAGTACATACTTGACTCGGATTCTATTAGATTCCCGTTCAAACCGCACCGCATTTCCAATGAACCTCACAAGCACCTCTTGAATCTACAAACCCAAACCGAATTCCTCTAAAAAACACAATCACAAAACTCAAATAAAAATCACCACAAGAACAATCACGTTTCACTGGAACAACGCTAATATTTTTTGCCATGAATTTGTTCTTTAATTTTCTCTCATTTTCGTTGATTTTCTCGGCGACCAAACAGAAAGTTATCCCGTTTACCTCCTCAAAGCACTCTGACCACTGTTTCCTCAGCAAGCTGTAAACCACAGGCTCTCTCTCATCAACCCGATCATCATCAGACACCCTAAGAGCCTTCTTGAGCTCCCTCAGTTCCTCAGCTGTGAATCTCAGCCGTCCATTCCTCAACCCCTCTCTGGCACCCTTCAGCTTCTCACTTATTTCCAGAATTGCCCTCACCAACTCCAACAATCCCTTCTTCTCCCTCACCTCTTTCGTCGTGGCGCTCATCTGCTTCATAATCTTCCCGATCTCCGCCTCAATCGGACGGTCGGAAATCGAACTCAGAAGCTGAACGACGTCGTCGGAGATTCGATTGGAGCGTGAAACGGCGTCGTCGCAGACGGAGAAGAGGTTGGCGAAGTCGTTGTGGTGAGAGAGGAGGTAGGATTGGATTTTCGACTTAATTTGGAGCGAGTGGGAGTCGAGTCGTTGGATAAGGAGGCGGAGATCCGGTGCGGACAGAGGGGTGGTGGGGTCGCTGAGGTCCTGCGCCGACAGGAGCTCTCGGACGTTGATTGAGTCGAACAGGGCGTCCATTTTCGGCGAATCGGACGGCTGCGAGTGCCGGTTGGAGAGACTCGGAGGAGTATGGTCTGCAGCGGGGTGGTGGAAGAAGAAGGAAGAAATGGAGTTTTGGAGGTGTTAGGCGGAGTGTGATAACGTGCGCCGGGAGCGTTGGTGTTGATTTTGGGGCGGGCTGTTACTTTCAGCGGGGAGGTTTTTAGTTCAGCTATGGGCCTACTGGGCTTAACGGGCTGATCTTGGGCTTCATATTTCAAAGACCCAACCAAAAAAATCCAAACTTTTTTTAAATTTGAATTTTTCATTATTATTATTATTATTATTTTTGACAATACGATATTCTAAAATTAAATATTGTCTTTTTAACTAAGCAGGCTCGGTCATTGATTAAGAATGTGGTGCGGATAGAGGCCGGCGTATGTTGCGTGAAAATGACCCAAGTCATGTTGAGTGTTTTTAGGTTTGTTTTGACTTATATTTGTCAAGTTCAACTGTTTTAGTCAAGCTTAATTAGCCACAAGATGATCCCCATTTCATCTTTGTAACCATGCAACATCTGACGTTGAGGCAGCGAGGGTTTTGCTTTACCAAATTTCCAGGATCATCGATGACCAATCGAGGGTCGGATGGGTTGTATTTAATGAGGGTGACACTTCGTGTTAAAGAGTCATCTTTATATCATATTATGTCTTTTCATATTCGTGTTCGTTTTAAAAAATTATCAATTTTAATTCGGTCCATTAATCAATCATGTTGATGTGTCAAAATTAACCTAAACCAGTTATGATCATTTCGTATTCGGATTGACCCCAAGCTAAGAATTTCAAAAGTAAGTTTCTATTATTCTTATTAAACCTATAACAATTATAATTTATACATTAGTTATCAAACAAAATTTCACTTAATTATGAAAACATACAAAACAGTAAAAAGTACTCTTACAATTATACATTTCTCGTACAATATAATAGACTAGTTATTGAAATGATGAATAATTTTCTCTATATAATAGTTTAACGTGTTTATTGTGTCAAAATTAAGTTACTAAGTTTGACACTAACTCGATTTGTTTATCCTTCGTGTTTAGGGGGTCATATCATTTCCGAAAAATCGGAAGGCTACGAGTGCCTATTGGAGAGGCTCAGAGGAGTATGGTCTACAACGGAGTGGTGGAACAAGAAGGAAGAAATGGAGTTGTGAAGGTGTTAGGTGGCGTGTGATAACGTGTGCAGGAGCGTTGGTGTTTATTTTGGGGCGGGGTGTTACCATTCCCGAGGAAGGTTTTTTGTTCGACTATGGGCCTACTGGGCTTAATGGACTGATCTTGGGCTTCATATTTTTTAGACCCAACCAAGAAAATCCAAATTTTTCTTTTTTTTTTTTTTTTTTTTTTTTTTTTTTTTCTATTCGATATTCTAAACTATGTAATTGTCTTTTTAACTAAACATGCTCAGTCATGGATTAAGAATGTGGTGCGGATAGAGGACGACATACGTTGCGTGAAAATGACCCAAGTCATGTTGAGTGTGTTTAGGTTTGTTTTGACTTACATTTGTCAAGTTCAACTGTTTTAGTCAAGCTTAATTAGCCACAAGATGATCCCCATTTCATCTTCGTAAGGCAGCGAGGGTTTTGCTTTACTAAATTTCCGGGACCATCGATGACCAATTGAGGGGTTGGAGGGGTTGTATTTAACAGGGGTGAGGAGTCATGTTCATATTATATTGTGTCATTTCATGTTCGCGTTTGTTTACAAAAATAGTCAATCTTAATTCGGTCCATTAATTGATCATGTTGAATGTGTCAAAGTTAACCTAAGCCAGTTATAATCATTTCGTATTCGAATTGACCCCAATCTAAGAATTTCAAAAGTAAGTTTCTATTATTCTTATTAAACCTGTAACAATTATAATTTATACATTAGTTATCAAACGAAATTTCACTTAATTATGAAAACATACAAAACAGTAGAAAGTACTCTTACAATTATACATTTCTCGTACAGTATAATAGACTAGTTATTGAAATGATGAATAATTTTATCTATATAATAGTTTAACGTGTTTATCGTGTCAAAATTAAGTTACTAAGTTTGACACTAACTCAATTTGTTTATCATTCGTGTTTAGGGGGTCATATCATTTTTGTGTATTCATGTAAAGTAACGATTAATCCAAACTCACTACTCTTTGTTGTGCTCTAATCCGACCCAAATTAAAAGCTCTCTCTTATAAAAACAACCTAATTCCTAACTTACTCCAATCACCAAACCTCCACACCAAAAAGACTAGGCCCACCGCAATGTTAATGGTTTATGTTCGTGCCCGGGTATGAAAGTTGAACTTATATTTAGTAGTTTAATAGTTACAACGGCATTACTAAATAGGTGCAATGAGCAGCACGCCTGGAAAAAAAGATCATTATAGATTTGACACAAACAAAAGTCTAACTAAAACTTAGACTAATTCACATGTCGATACAAAACAGCATATTCTTTTCCTTGCCAGGCAGTAATGCAGAAATAACCATGAAAGATCCCCTCCTTTTCTCTCATCAATTTAATTTCCATTTTGATTAATTTTGATCACACTTAAGAGAGAGAGAGAGAGAGAGAGAGAGAGAGAGAGAGAGAGAACATTAGAGGAAGCAACCTTGTTGGACCATGGATGGTCCAAGAAAATTGGCATTTTCAAACGTAGAATTAGAATATCTAGTCATATCTTTCTGCCCTTAGACTAGTTGTTGATCGATTCAATGCTGATGATTATTGACCTTTGACCATTTCCACTTCAACCCAGTTACAATCAAACTATTTTATGACTAAAAAAACTTCAAATTAATGATAATTTTATTAAATTAAAACACAATCTACTTATGGAGAAATACTTACATGAAAGAGGATAACATTATTTTGCTATACTCGACCAATCATGATATGCCACGCTTAATAACTTTGTCACCTGACATTCTGTGATCGGCCGGAATAACAAAACATTGCTATCACTTTTTTCCTGCTACTTATGACTATGGCTGCAGCCTGCAATATTCTTAAAATTAAAAAAATAATAATAATCTCCTCAACTAAGCAGAAACATAGAGTAAAACATAGTGACCTCAATGCAGAAAGATAAATGCTGCAAAAATGTTATTGCAGATGAATCATACATCATCAATCTCACATATGAAGCGAAACACAGGTCATTTACAAGAGGAACACCCTTCTAATAATCCAAAATTCATCACCAGATTGGAATTTATATCCAATCTAGTAAAACTATCTTGGAAAAAAAACAAGAAGAACTAAAAGCAATACCAAAACCCAAATTAACAAGAGATGGGTAATTTACAAAAAGGGATTAAAAAAAATTGAAAGAGGGAAATAATTTGGTAATTAGGAACTTATCTGTGTTGAGGACAGAACTAAGCCCTATTCCAAACACCCCAAATCCTGTCCCCAATGAAACTCACCAGCCTCCTCATGGTCCCCTTCTCCATCCCAACTTCAGAGCCTTCATCATCACCAGAGAAATCACCACCGTCCATTTCAACAACAACAACATCTGGGCCCACCTCCACCTCCTCCATCATCACTTGCCCTAATTCCCCAGAACCCATGTGACCATTTCCCCTGCTGCCTTTAATTAATTCATCATCACCAACTTTGTTCATCTTCCTTCTCTCTGCCTTCCTCACCTTTGAGCTCCTCAGCTTCTTCTTCTTCTCCGCCAGCCTCTCCTCATAAGCCTCTATGATCTCATGTATCAGCTGGCGATTGGGCGAAGCATCCCAGCGCGCCCAAAAGCTCGTGTAGCACCTGAAGCAGTCGCACTGGAACAGAGGAGGGTGCAGGTGAGGCCGGGGCCCACCAGCCTCGCCTCTGCTTCTGTTGGGCTCGTGGGTTGTGCAGAATTTGCTGCCTGAGTTGTTGTTGTTGTTGTTGGTGCAGGAGATGAGGTAGGCGAGGACCTGCTTGTCTTCATCACAGAGGGCTGCGGTTAGGGTGAGAATGGCTGCGGGGAGCAGAGCCAGAGGATCGGCTATGGAGGGCGGCGATGGAGATGGGTGGACTTTGCCTTTCTTGTTGTAGAGTTTTTTCATGGCGGCTGTTGATGTTGTGGGGTTTTTCTTTCTTCTTCTGCCAACGGAGGCTCTGATTTTTGGTTACAGAAAAAATAAAATGATTTCGTTCAACTTTGAAGGCTGGGCTCTGTTTTCACGTTTCGTGGGAAATAAGGCAGTCAAGTTTAGGAGCTCACGGTGAGAAATAGTATAATACTTGCTTCAAAGTGGGCCCATCTAGAGAAAGAATAATGCTAGGGTTACTGCATTGTGTATCACCTCTCTAATAGAGGTGTGCCCTATTGTATTAACGGACTCCACTTTTATTCGGAATAGGAAAATACTAAGCATACCAAATTTTTATACCACATTGTGTACAATATCCGAGTCTAATTTTCCTGTTATCAAATTTCTTGTGCCATTTTGTTTCTTCTTAATTTTGTGACACGTGTCACTTTACTTAATACAAAATAAACTCTATTAATTTCCCTAATGTTTATTAATATTAATAATAAAAATATCAATACAATATTTTCGAGGTTTTCTTTATGGAGTGGTTGTCTTCATAATAGAGTGATGAGAAGATGAAGGGACGACAAAAACAATTTTAGGAAGGAATTGAAAAAATATAACTCCAACCATGCTCCCTATCCTCCTCCTAAAATAAGAAGACCTCTAGGAGCTCCTAAATCTAAGGAGAAAGAAAGGATTCCTAGTGGCAACATATGCTACTTTATTTAATAAGTATTTCAAACCTTTAATTAATGCTAACTATTTTTTATATTATTTTTTAATAAAGATGGACCAATTAAAAAAGAGTTATAGTATTTATGACTCCCTAAACAAGAGAGCATGATTGGAGTTTAAATTTGACAGAGTACTCCTAAAATAACTTTTATATGTTTTTACCTAAAATTTAGCTAAAAAATAGAAAACATGATTGTGGATGCTCTTACAAGGCTAATGGGTTTTGTACATCAGAGGTTCTGTTGCTGGTGTTGACAACTGGAGTAGAAGCTCGTGGGGTCACTAATGATAGATGGCAAATCTGGCCAAGATCCTTTTGATAACTTTCAGGCGATGAATGGTAGTGGTTTCAACTAGGTTCCATAGATTGGAGCCTCCTGACGCCATTGGTGTAGGTGGTATTACCAGTTGATGCGCGGTGGTCAGAGATCAACGAATGCATTTACGGTCGCCTTTACGTAATGATGTTCTGATTTGATTAATTGAAAACAAAAAAAAAGTTTGTGAATTTCGGATGGGTTCATCGATGTTGAAGGCGCGCCAAAATTTGCACCAATTCTTTGAGAAATCACATGGAAAATATAGGGAAAATTACTAAATCAAGGAAGAGTGCTGGCTGTGGTAGAGGACATGTTGTATAACCTGTTCACATGTTAAATATGCGCTTCATCTTGACCGAACAATTTCACAGTTAGAAATTATATGTGAGAGCACGCACAAGTCACTGTAGCATAGCTCAAATTTTAATGTGCGAGTCATGTTACTTCATTGCTAAGTAATAAAGAGCCCTCGATAAAACCGTCTTCATTATAAATATAAATAATAATAATAAAAAATCTAAAATAGGGAATTTTGACCTAACCTCGAGCAAATAAATTATTACAATTAACCATGGCGGTTGGATATCATAAATTATTATTGATATCCTTGTCAAAATATTCGGCCAGTCCAGAAGATAAAACAAAGGTGGGGTTACGTACTTAGATAATTTTGATGTTCAATTGGACCTTTCTAGAGCTTGCTAGGAGAGGCTGATGCATAATATGGAACATTTGGATTTTATCGTCCTTCCTCACCTTTCTGTTTCAAGAGAAAGCCGTGGGTGAACATGAACTTCCAAATTATTAATGATCATCAAATTTAGACATAACCAGTAAATCATCATTGATGATTATGATCACTCAGTTTGTCTTGGCATTATTTAACTCGTAATATGAAACTTATATTCCAAATTCCGTCTACAAACAGGAGACCGTGGATTTTTCTTTGTGGGGAAGAAAAATATTACCATATGGCCACTTCATTTTTTTTATAGGCATTTCATTAAATGCCATACTTTTATCGTAAATAAATATCAAGAAATCCTTAAATAACGAGTGATCAATAAAATAGAGCTGAGTGTCATAAATAGTTGCCTTATTATATGACACCAAGTGTGGTCCACCCTTGTGTGGGCATTGTCCTAGTTCAAGTTGCCTAATTAGGTTCTGGCCCTCAAATAACAAGTACTTAATTCAAAATTACTTAAATTCATAGCCAACTCTGCCACAATGTTCTTCCACATAGCATGTTCCTGCTGTTGCCTGAAGGGTATACAAACGTGGGGGGGAAAAAAACAATTTATATAATGAAAAGTCTGAGATTACTAAGAAATGGGTACAAGTACTAAAATCCCAGGCACCAATTTGATCATAAGGTTCACAGGCTTTATGCCATTTTTCTGCCAAGTGCCAAAATCATATTTTTCTACCAACATTGGGCTTAATTTCTTATATATGTGATGACACTAAAACATAGGACACATACATTGGTCTTGAAATTAAAGAGAATCAAAGAAACTGGGCCAGTACTTTTTTCACCACATAATCAGAGATTATATGGTTTGCTTTCTCTGTAGGATGAAATGAATCCCAGAATATATATTTGCTTGCATCCGTGCAGGTGAACATGTTGTTTTGATTGCATGCGTACCCCATTTCATACATCCCTGTGGCACAGCAAGCCACTGATGTCACCTCAAATCCTGTCAGTCACACGAGAATTTAATCAGACAAATCATAGTTTAACACGTTTACAAATTCCCTTGCTTAAACGGGAGAAAAAAAGTAAAAATAAAAATCACACGATATCCACCACCCAAAAGACTGTGAATACTTAAATGCTAAAGTGAGAAATATGGTGCTCTGAAGTTTGTGTAGTGGTTGGGCTTGGGTCAAACGTTTGAAACAGAGCACACTTAATACAAGTCACTGGCTTACCATACAAAGAAGGTCTTCTTATCATCTGCAGGAAAATGTAATATGGGTTTGAAAACACAAGTTTGAGACCAGGAAGCTCTTTGTTGAGGTTTGTGGTCAAGCCATTCAACTTGCCATTGAACTCCAGAGCCACATTGTTGTAATCTGCAATGCAGTCATTTCCACCCATGATGTTTGTGGTTCTCTCCAATGGCAAGCACCCCATCGGAGGCAGACCTCCGAGGGAGATTTTACGGGCTCCGAGACGGTAGAGTTGCTTGATGAAATTTCCTGCAATTCCAATGAGAAAATATTGGTATTGTTGGATAGAGTATTGGGATGACCGGCCGGGGTATGAGTAGTAGTTTTCCAGGAAGTCATTGGTGCCTAAGCTCATAATGTGCAAAGCTCCATTGATTGTTTTGTTTGCTTTGTTTCCTCCAAGATAAAGTCTCAGTTTGTTCTGGTATTCCTTGTAGTACTCCAGTTGCTTCCATAGTGGTATCACAGACTGCAAATTAAGGCAGTGACAAATGATGAACTGGGATTTTCTTTAAAAAAGGAAAATTGAACATGATATTGATGGAATGGACACTGATTGGCTAGTATCCAATATCAATTTACTGTTAAATTTTAGAAAGATGGGTGATCAGCCCACTACTAGCAACATCGACATTGTCCTCAACTTAGCTACTTACAAAGCCCAATAAGTATGGGGTTGTACCACAAAGGGTCTCATTTATATTAATAGTGGAACCATTCATTGTATTTTATTTAGTTAAGTTTCCGATGTGAGACTCATATTCTTCAGCACGCCTTGTCACGTGGGATTACCATATAGCGGGCTACATGTAAAGCCAAGTTCATATTGTAGTCAAACATTCAAGTCCAACACGTGAACACCACGTATTGGACAAGAGTTATTATTAAATTAATTTAATTTATAGGAATGAAGTTTTGAACTTAAATGCAAAGAAGCGAGCTCATTGTCCTGGTCAACTAGCCTAACCCATATATGTAGCCCATATGATATTAAATGTGTGTGAGACAGAAGCTTTATACTAAATATTTGGTACTTACCAGCACATCTGAAGTTGCAGTATCATAGCCAGTCCCAGCAGAAGCAAAGGTGACACCAATGGCAAAATCTGATATGTTATAGGAAGGATCCAAGTAGGCAGGTATGAATGGTCTGAGTCCAAGAGCCTGGGAGATGAAATCTGTAGGCACTCTGCCGTTGGAGAACCTCCCAGTCGGCTTGCCACCGGAAAAGTCCCGGCCATAAGGCTGAAAGTTGCTCCTGGCAATTGTGGGAATCTGATTGTTGTTCCCGGCATCAACCGAAGAGTCCCCGAACACGACGACTGCTGGGACTTTGGCAGTAATTCTGGTGACTAGCAACAGGCATTGAGCTAGAAGAAGCCATGAAATGTGCAAGTTTGCCATGTTCAGCTGTTTTGCTTGTTAATTATTTGTGTGCAGACGTGTGTGTAAACAGAACAACCTTGGACATGGATTGAGGAGGGGGGCTTTGTCATGTATAAATAATATTGGTTGGAACATAAATACAAAAGTTTGAATTAAAAGGCATTGGGGTATAGGGAAGTTGTTGAGAGTTTAAATTGCTAGATTTCTAGATTTTTAGACAGAGAGAAGAAAAAAACTCTGCGCTTGGCAGGAGACGGATGTACCATTAATGCCATTACATTACTATGGAGTAATTAATATTTGGTGACAAAATATATAGGATCCAGAAATCAAAAATATCAAATTATTTGTGGAGGTGATATTTCTGCAGATAGAATATTATGTCAAACTAATTTATTCAATCAAGTCAAACAGAAGGCCCCGGCTGCACTGTACTGTACGAATTTCGGAGAAAAATTAAACCACTCACTCACTCATCCACTTATATTTTCTGACTGATGATGAAAAATCACGTAGTTTTAAAAATTATAGTTGACAATTTGAGAAAGATAATTAGTACTAATTTTGACCATAAGCATGATATATTTATTTTTTCCGATCGATGTTGGAAGAGATTCAAGTTCGACTTCTCCCCACACCACGATCCCAACCTCCCCAGTCCGGTAAAAAAAAAAAAAAAAAAAAAAAAAAAAAAAAAAAAAAAAAAAAAAACAAACTAGTTGCACTGGAGGACCAAATATATTGTTGTACCAATAAATGTTGTATCATTTTCATTGACGTGTATGGAATTTGTATACACTAACGAATTATTTATGTCTACCTACCTATACGAACATTGGAAAAATATACACCTACCTATACGAACGAAATTAAACTAGGCATGAAGCCATGTTTAGTGGCAAATTATTGAAACTCATAAACCAAAACTCAATCCATTTGGCATTCAAATCTTTCCTATACATCATGTTGATTGGATTGTTTCACATGCATGAAGATCATATTAGATATGGCGCTCAACTTTTAAGCTAGAGATTTGGAGAGCAAATAAGACTGCATTGGCCTTCACAACTACTACACCGAAAAAAAAAGCCAAATGTGGAAAGTGAGTGAGGCAGAAGAGAGCTGTGTGAGTTAATGTAAAACATATCATGTGGTTGCCAACCGCCCAAGAAAATGACCAGTTCCTTTCAAACTTGACTTGGGTTTTTAAAGCTCTTCCCAACAGAATTGGAGGTGCTAAGTTTTGTGATTAAATACATGCCTCATTTTCATGTCTTTGGAAAATTATTAGTTGTATTGTCCCCGAAAGCCTCAACTTCTAGTTCCACTATTATCTATCTAGTCTAGTTTTGGCCATACACATTTGATATGTAATGATGGCTGGGATTGATCACAGAATAAAAGGAAAAGAAAAGAAAGTGATATTTGATATCAATTCTTTTATTAGCTTTCATACTCCAACAAATCTGACAGCTTACTTTTATGAAATTGGTTTGGGGACCAATGCCCAAAAATACCACAGATGTTGCTGCCTGAGTTGTTGTTGTTGTTGTTGGTGGTGCAGGAGAGATGAGGTAGGCCAGGACCTGCTTGTCTTCGTCGCAGAGGGCTGTGGTTAGGGTGAGAATGGCTGCGGGGGCTGGCGATGGAGATGGGTGGACTGCGCCTTTCTTGTTGTAGAGCTTTTTCATGGCGATTGTTGATGTTATGGGGTTTTTCTTTCTTCTTCTGCTAATGAGTCTCTGCTTTTTTCGGTAAAAGAAAAAAATAAAATGATTTCGTTCAACTTTGAAGGCTAGGCTGTGTTTTCACGTTTTACCCTATTTCTTTCGACTTGTATCGTGGGAAATAATAACGGGGTAATAAATAATATAATACTAGCTTCAAAGTGGGCCCATCTGGAGAAATACTAGTTTCAAAATTTTGAGAAATTATTGTATAATATTGAAATATATTCACATGGTATAATATGTTTATATATCATAATATAGGTTGATGACATCTGAAAAATAAATATTCTCTTCATTTGGGCGAACAATTGAACTGTTAAAAATTATATTTGCAAACATACACAATTGATTGTAGCATAACTCAAATTTTAATAGGGTGTTGTTAGACTGTACTAAGTTAATTTTAGGGTTAATTTAACAACATCCTTTTAATAACGCGTAAAAATTTACACATGGAGTGGCACCACAGTGGAAAAGTGGGTCAAACTCTCCCCCACTCCAAAATGCACCAAGATTCATAAGAAATAATCTTGAGACAATCCAATATAATGCTCATCCTCCCTCTCCCTAACCAATGACCAAAAAAAATTATAACACCTAAAAATTAATGTGCAAGTCATGTTACTTCATTGCTAAGTAATAAAGAGTCAATAAATAGAGCCGTCTTCGTTATAAAAACATTTGATAAAGCTTTTTAAAATAGGGAATTTTCAACCATACTAAATTATTACAATTAACCATATGTGAGGCGTGATCATTATTGATATCCTTGTCAATAATATTCGACAAGTCCAATCCAAAAGCAATAAAACAAAGGTAGGGTGCGTACTTAGATGGTGGTTAGGTTGGGAGGTGGTCGGAGATGTGGGTGGGGTTTTCAAGTTCTGGGCAGAGAGAGGGGGGAATATATATATATATATATATATATTTTTTTTTTTCTGTTTTTTAAAATCTAATTTAATAATATTATTAAAGAGTTTTTTATTATTATTTTTCCAAAATTACCCTTTGTCTCGTCTCTTTCTAACTACTGTTTGGTTATGAGGTGAGTCCGACGGCTGCCACGTCAGCAGTTAACGTTTGACTTTGACGGTCAATGAAACAACTGGTGTAAATTGATAATATTTCAAAATGTTGGGTACGAAATTGATTAAAATAAAACTTTAGGGCCCATTTCGATATTGACACTAAACCTCCAGGGACTAAAGTATAGTTAATCCTTCAAATCACAGTATTTATACTAGAGCCCTTAATTCAAATTACTTAAATTCATAGCCAACCCTGCCACAATGTACTTCCACATAGCGTGTTGCTGCTGTTGCATGTAGGGCAAAAAAATTTGGGGGAAAAAAAACATATATATATCATTAAAACTGAGGGTTACTACGAAATGGGTACAAGTACGTATTGACATCCCAGGCACCAATTTGATCATAGATTCACAGGCTTTATGCCATTTTTCTGCCGAGTGTCAACATCATATTTTCTACCAACATCATGCTTAATGTCTTACTGTACTATATATAATGACACTAAAACATATAGGACAAATACATTGGTCTTGAAATTGAAGAGAATCAACGAAACTGGGCCAGTACATGATTCATCACATAATCAGAGATTATATGATTCGCTTTCTCTGTTGGATGAAATGAATCCCAGAATATATATTTGCTCGCATCCGTGCAGGTGAACAGGTTGTTTCGATTGCATGCGTACCCCATTTCAAACATCCCTGTGGCACAGCATGCCACTGATGCCACCTCAAATCCTGTCAGTCACACGAGAATTTAATCAGACAAATCACAATTTAACACGTATACGAATTCTCCAGTTTAAACCGGGGAGAAGAAAGTAAAAGTAAAAACTGTAAAGAAAAATCACATGATAACCACCACCCAAAGAATGTGACTACTTAAATGCTAAAGTGAGAAATATGGTGCTCTGAAGTTTTTGTGTAGTAGTTGGTCAAACATTTGCTGCAGATCACAGACTTAATATAACTCACTGGCTCATCTAAAAAAATAAAAAATAAATATAACTCACTGACTTACCATAGAAAGAAGGTCTTCTTATCATATGCAGGAAAATGTAATATGGGTTTGAAAACACCAGTTTGATCCCAGGAAGCTCTTTGATCAGGTTTGTGGTCAAGCCCTTCAACTTGCCATTGAACTCCAGAGCCACATTGTTGTAATCTGCAATGCAGTCATTTCCACCCATGACGTTTGTGGTTCTCTCCAATGGCAAGCACCCCATCGGAGGCAGACCTCCGAGGGAGATTTTACGGGCTCCGAGATGGTAGAGTTGCTTGATGAAATTTCCTGCAATTCCAATGAGAAAATCTTGGTATTGTTGGATAGAGTATTGGGATGACCGGCCGGGGTATGTGTAGTAGTTTTCCAGGAAGTCATTGGTGCCTAAGCTCATAGTGTACAAAGCTCCATTGATTATTTCGTTTGCCTTTATTCCTCCAAGATAAAGTCTTAGTTTGTTCTGATATTCCTTGTAGTACTCCAGTTGCTTCCATAGTGGTATCACAGACTGCAAATGATGAACCGGGATTTTCTAAAAATATGAAAAATTAAACAGACACTTGGCTTGGCTAGGATCGAGTATCAATCTACAGTACACCATTGTGGATATTTAGGTGATATTAATTACTAAGAATTGACCAACTGTTTGCAGAGTATCCACAAAATATTGTGAAAATATCGAGAATGTAACAAATACTGTAAATTGGTAGCCCATTTGGTTTGGTTTTTTAATTAATTTTTTTTTATACAAGCGGTAATTTACTTTAAATTAATCTAATTTATAGGAAAGGAGATTTGAACTTGGGTGTAAGAAAGTGAACTTATTGCCCTGACTAACTGGCTAACTTACGTAACCCATATTTGAGATTATATGTGTGTGAGATAGAGAAGCGCTTTATACTAAATATTTGGTACTTACCAGCACATCTGAAGTTGCAGTATCATAGCCAGTCCCAGCAGAAGCAAAGGTGACACCAGTGGCAAAATCTGATATGTTATAGGAAGGATCCAAGTAGGCAGGTACGAATGGTTTGAGTCCAAGAGCCTGGGAGATGAAATCTGTAGGCACTCTGCCATTGGAGAACCTCCCAGTTGGCTTGCCACCGGAAAAGTCTCGGCCATAAGGCTCAAAATTGCTTCTGAGAATTGTGGGAATCTGGTTGTTGTTCCCGGCATCCACCGAGGAGTCCCCGAACACGACGACTGCAGGGACCTTGGCACTAATTCTGGTGACTAGCAACAGGCATTGAGCTAGAAGAAGCCATGAAATGTGCAAGTTTCCCATGTTTCAGCTGTCTTGCTTGTTAATTATTTGTGTGGAACAGAACAACCCTGGACATGGGTTGAGGAGGGGAACTGGTCATGTATAAATAATATTGGTTGGAACATAAATACAAAGGTTTGAATTAAAAGGCATTGGGGTAGAGAGTAGTTGTTGGGAGTTTAAGTTGATGTAGTACTTTACTGCGGTTGGTCCAGAAGATTGCTGAGGTTGGCTTTTCACACAGAAGAAAAAAATATTTGCTTGGCAAGGGATGTATGTATCATTTATTGTAGAGGTGATATTTCTGCAGATAGAATATGTCAAACTAATTTATTCAACCTAGTACAGTACTTGTATAGAGAAATTAAACAACTCACTCATTTGCTTATATTTTCGGACCGGTTAAAGATCGCGTTATCTCAAAAATCATATAGTTAAACAATTTAGAGCCATTTGAGAAAGATAATAGTGACATAATTTTGGCCATAAGCATGATATTTATTTTTCTGATGTTGGAAGAGATTTGAGTTCGACTTCTTCCCACACCATACCCCGACCTCCCCCCTCCGGTTAATGGAAAAAAGAGAAAAGAAAAAGAAACCAAACTCATGAGCCAGTTGCACAGGAGGACCAATATTGTTGTACCAATGAATGTGGTAAGGATTAACATTTTTATTCCCGTGTATATATATGAATTTTGCATTAACTATCAATTATTTATGTAAAGGAAAAACGTTGGAAAACACACACCTACCTGTACGAACGAAATTAAACTATGCAAAGGCATAAAGTCCACATTTAGTGACAAATTATTGAAACTCATAAACCAAAAATCACTCCATTGGGGTTCAAATCTTTCATATATCATGTTGATTGGATAGTTTCACATGCACGAAAGATCATATTAGATATGGCCCTCAACTTTTAAGCTAGAGATTTGAGAGCAAATTACTGCATTGGCCTTCACATCACAACTACTACACCGAAAAATGCAGCCAAATGTGGAAAGTGAGGCAGAAGAGAGCTGTGTGAGTTAATGTTAACAGATCATGTGTGTGGTTGCCAATGCAAAACCGCCCACGAATATGTCCAGTTCCTTTCAAACTTGACTTGGGTTTTTAAAGCTCTTCCAACAGAATTGGAGGTGCTAAGCTTTGTGATTAAATACCTGCCTCATTTACATGTCTTTGGAAAATTAGCTATATTGTCCCATAGTAAAAAAAGTGACAACAGCTATTATTATTTGGTGACATTTGTGGTCGTGACAATAGGCATTAGTCACATTTTTTGACTTTTTGGTGACTAAAAAGGCTTTTAGTCACCCTTTTGCTTTTTTTGTGACTAAAGTCTTTAGTCACCCTCCACAACAGTCACCATTATATATGGTGACTGTTGCCACTTTTTTTGTAGTGTCCCTAAAGCCTCAACTTCTAGTTCCATTATTATCTATCTAGTTTAGTTTTTCATACACAGCGGTGGATCCAGGAATTTTTCAGCAGAGGTGCAATTTTCAAAAGCTAAAAAAAAAAAAAAAAAACATCCTTATAATTTAAACAATACTAATGTTATTCATAATACATTAAAAAAATATCATTACAATTACCCTACAATTGTTGCCGACGAGATTTCATATCTTGAAAACGTCGCATTATATTTATATTACTAATACAAGAAAAAACATCTTTCTCAATGTAAACAACCAAGCTATCACTCAACCATTGATTCCCTATTTTGTTACGCAATGGTGTTTTCACAATATTCATAGCTGAAAAAGCTCTCTCAACTGAAGCTGTTGCAACGGGTAAAACTAAAGCCAATGTAAGAAGTAAATATACATAGTTGTATATTCTACTCCTTCCTGTATTCACCAATTTTTCTGCCAGATCAGTAATTCCTTTCAATGATGAAAACACAGTGTTGCTCTGCATATCAACAATATAAAGCCCAAGTTGATCTTCAAGCTTCATGAGGTCTCGGTCATTAAATTCTTGAGGGTAAAATTGAGCAAAACGAAGTATTTTGTTTGTTTGTCAAAAGCTGCAAAATTATAAGCCGGACTCAAACATGCCATACAAAGAAGCAATTCAGTATTTACCCTCAGTGAAGCGATTATTCAATTCCACTAGTTGCTTATCAATGATAGTAAGAAATAGGTCCACACGATAATAATGGCGGTTTGTGATTTTCTGAGCTTTACGACGTGATCTCCCTTGTGGTACAAATAAATCATCCATGTTAGGAACATCAATATCATTGTTGCCACAAAATATTGATACTTTGCCAAGCAGATCATCAAAGTCATCATCCCTCATGGATTGTAGCTTTTGCTTACATCTTTGGACCAACATCATTGCATTCACAATATCTTGATCTTTCTTTTGTAATGCCTTTGACAAATCATTTGTGATTCCCAATATAAATCTCATCAAATATAGGTGAAACACAAAGTCAAAAGTTTGTATTTCTTTCAATAACCTATTTGCTTCACCTAAATTATCTTGGTTGACATCATCAACAATCCATTCAAGCACCTTCACCACGGGGATGAAACATAGTATTAATACTCAGTAAAGTATCATAATGTGAGTTCCAACGTGTATCACAAGGACGTTTGAGAGTAGTCTCTTGATTTAACCCTTGCCCTGTTTCAAGATCATCAATTTCAAGAGCTTTCATAATATCTTTTTGTTGTTGCTCTCTAAGTGCATCACGACGCTTACACGATGCTCCAATAATGTTAACAACACTACTAGCCGTTGTGAAGAAAGTAGCAATGTTTTCATTACCCTTTGCCACGGCTACAAGAGCTAGTTGTAGTTGATGTGCAAAACAATGGACATAATATGCCTGAGGATATTCTCTCAAAATCTGTGTTTTAAGACCATTGAGCTCACCTCTCATATTACTAGCCGTATCATATTGGACACCCACAAACCTTTCAATAACTTGCCCTTTTTTGTTCACATAACGCAACACCACCGCCATTTGCTCTCTTATTGAAACATCACGTGATTCATCTACCAATATAGAAAAGAATGCATCGTCTATATCCCTAATAATTGCATCAATGGTTTCAATAGCACAAGAATTGACAAGTTCTTTTTGAATGTTAGGAGCAATATACTTGAGATTCCCTGGAGCATTCTCAAACACAACGGCACGAACTTTCTCATCATGATCGGCAAGAAATTGCAAAAGCTCCACATAATTACCTTTATTGCTAGATGTTTCACTTTCATCATGGCCACGAAAAGGAAGACCTTGTCGTAATAAATATCTAGTGCAATCAAGTGCGGCAGTTAATAGAATGCGATAATTAACACGAGCTTGGTCTGTCTGCTTGATCACAATGGTTTCAACGTGTTGCTTCTGATTCATTAAATCTATACAATGTTGTGTAGCTTTATTGTGAAGGCTTCCAACTTGTCCAACATGGTCCCTAAAATTCTCAGGTCCCTTCCTCCAATTTTTAAACCCTTTCTCAGTGAAGACATCGCTTCCAGCCTTTCCTTGTTTATCAAAGTCGCATTTAAAAAGATAACAATGAAGACAAAATGCAGCATCTTTCTCTTTACTATACTCTAACCAAACAAATGAATCAAACCATTTCACAAGAAAACGTCGATTACTCTCCCCCATAAGTGTTTGAGGCATATCGTTTTGGCTTTTAGGCTGACAAGGACCCCTTTGCAGATAGGCTCTTCGGATTTGTTCTCGAAAATTGGGATTATAATAAGTCATTGGAGGTCTAAGGCCAGGGTCTGCAGGAAGATTAGCTAATATTTCATCCAACTCAGTAGGCGGATTATTTGAAGGTTGATTTGAACTAGCCAGATTATTTGAAGGAGGGTTGGAACTAGCCGGATTATTTGAAGGAGGGTTGGAACTAGACAGATGATTCGAAGGAGGATTTGAACTACCCAGATTATTTGAAGGAAGATTTAAACTCTTTCTCTGAAAGTACCGTTCCATAACTGTACAATTGAAACAAAATAAGGGTTTTATATCTATTATTATGACTAATTGACTATAATTTATCAAATAAATAAATAATTATCAATTAAATAAATAAATAAAAATTAATTATACCTCGAATAACGTGTCACGTAGCCTCTTTCTCCTCGAGTTTGCTACTGATCTTACTAATATAGAGAGAGCTAAATAAGAAAAAAAAATTATTAAAAAAAGAATAAACAAAATTGGTGTTTGCTCAAGAAAAAAAAAAGCATTCGACTTACTTTGGATTGGCGTACTCAAGAAGAAAAAAAATGCAGGATTCTTGTGATGCACACACACTTTGATGAAATTGGGTGATGCTATTGGTCTTTTATAAAGAGAATTCTCAATTCTACTTAATTAAGGAATTCCCAACTCTATTTAATTAAGGAATTCTCAAAACCCAATTGAATAAAGAGAACTTTTAATTAAAACCCAATTAAGTAAGGAAATAGAAGCCCTTTTTCAAAAGCCCACAAAAAGCCCACGTCAGTTTTCCCTTTGTTTCCTTTTTTTTTTTATTTCAAAACCCTGGTCCAAAACGACGTCGTTTTGGCCAGGTTTTTCAAAAAAAAAAAGGCAGCGCATATTAAACAGCCTGGTCCAAAACGACGTCGTTTTGGCCAGGCTTCGTTAAAAAAAAAGGAGCCCTCGCGCGCGCGCTGTGCGCAGCAGCGCGCAGCAGCTCCCCCAACACCAGTGGTTTGCGCATTTCATCGAGCACATTGTGTGCATCGCTGGTCTGAAGCAGAGGTGCAACTCCAGCGTCTGTAATGGCTATTTCCGGCGACCGGAGGTGCAGGCGCAAGTAGCTGGCCATACAGATTTGATATGTAATGATGTCTAGGATTGAAAATTAGAAGTTTGTATGTTATGTTAGTTTATACTGCTCATCAGGATAATTCTTTTGTTGATCACAAAAGAAAAGGAAAAGAAAAGAAAGCTATATTTGATTTCAATTGATCTTTTATGTAGCTTTCATACTCCAAAAAATATGGCAGCTTACTTTTATGACATTGGTTTGGGGACCAATGCCCCACAAATTTATACTATAAGAAAAAAAATAAAATTCAAACTAACCCCTAATGTATTTGTTGACCTCAAAATCTTTACGGTTAACTAGGACGATTATTTTGAATGGAATAATCAAAGGGCCGAGCAGATTTGAAAACAAAGTCGTCCTTCTTTGGTGTTAGGTCTATGTGTTGCGTGCCAACTGTAACGGTTGTGTGAGTGAAGAGAGTGATATGATAATGTGTGCCTTGGATCTGACTTCGTCAAATGATTTGGGCTGAGTTAAGAACGATTTTGCGACTGTTGGGTCCTTAGCCTTGGTAACAAGGCTACTTGTGTTGTGTCGTGTTGGGTGCTTGAGATTGCCAAGCACGGCTGCCAAATGATCTCTCAAGTCTTCTTTGAATCAAAATGAAACAAAGAAAATGAAAGAGAAATGGATCGGGTGGTGCTTAAACAAAAACTTAGATGAACAGAGCTATTTGTTGATATATTAAATGGATGATTACAATGATAGTGCTCAATAACTTTGAACAAGCTTCATAGTTCTTGGTGATATGCTACGTTGAACCCTAGGAAAGCAATAATTTATCTTAGGAATACATTGAACAACATTTCAACTTGATTTTTGTTGAGATATTAGGTGTTCGAAAATGAAAATTGTTCAATTATTTATAGGCAAAATTTGCCGCTTCAGGAGATGCCGAGACTTGCAGCCACCACCCAAACCTTTGGCGTGAGCCGCCCTTTTACTGTCACATCGTGCCTCGATCATTGATCCCATGGTACTTTTTCTGATTATTCGTTCTCTCCAAGTTTCAAGGGTTTCAATCTTTGAGTAGCTCAAGTTCCAAAAAGTAGCTCGACGTCCCATCATTCCTTTTGCTCTACTACGTGGCGCTCTTCTCAAGGAAGTACACGTGAAATCCTTGCCTTAGTCGACGCTCGTGCTTTTTACTCGGCTGAGACCCTCTAGGCCGAGGAACAAATGTTGAGCTTTGACTTTCGTCAAGTCTCTCTCTCATGTTTGACGGTTTGGGTTAGGTCTTAGAATTGGGCCGTCTCCTTAATGCTTGGGCTGAAGTTTCGGTGCATGAGTTTTGGGTCGAGTGGACCTTCAATCAATTTTAACTTTGGGCCTGAGTTTAGACCTAGGCCCAGTTCATTGTTTTCACGGTCATGGGCCTCCTAGGTCTGAACCTCGTCTTTTTTACTTTGGGCTTGGATACTTTAGCTTCTAGGCCCAAAATCTTGGCTCAATGGGCCCTTTTTATATCATTTCCTCTTGTGGGTTCAAGAGGGAATTTTTTAGGTATAAACAGTATTAAAACTCCTAGTGATCAACCTTTACATGGATCCTAGCTAGACAAAAAAGAACAAGCTCCCTCTTAAATAAAACCACAAAAAACGTAAAACAGTGGCTTGTGGTTGCGGCACTGTTGGGGATTTCAGGACCTTAACCTCCAATTCCCACATGATGAAACAAAAGTTGCAGTAGGGTACATAAATAAAGAAGGAATACGTAGAGGTTCATTACACATGGCCATGGTAAGCCAAATTTTTGGATCGTTATCACTACTTCCGTTCTTAATAGAGAATCCCGAATACATCCAAGCTCACTACCTTTCCCCACTCTCTTGAGCTCCCCTTCTATGCATTTTCCATTAGTTGCCTTCATTGGCTCCACCCTATGCTATTAGCCATTACATTGTGCACTGGAATCTATATCATAAGAAATATCAGATCATACATTAACATTTCAAACCCAATTTAATACAAATTCAGATCATCAATCGATCTGTGAGGAACAAATAGTTGATAATAATCATGATGTTTACATACGTAGATGATCTAACATAGAATGCAAAACAACCAACAGAACCCCACACACTACCTGTTTTTTTTTACTGCCAATGAAGAAAGCATTTTTCTTCAGAGAGACAAAGAATATATACAAAATCACTTGAAGGTTTCTCGAAGAATGCCAATCACAGAGGCTGCAAGAATCTTATTTGTTTTGTCCGTAGGATGGAAGGCATCCCAGAATACGTACTTATTTGCATCTTTGCATGTATATGGGTTATTCTCATTGCAGAGGTAGCTCATTTCGAATGTCCCAGTAGCACAGCATGCCACCTCAGCAACCTCAAATCCTGTCAACCAATCACAAAAAAAATAAAAATTTATCATAATTAAACCAATTTTAGGCCCTTTTAAATAAATAAATTTCAAGAGCCATTTGTGCGTTCTCTATCTTCTAACAAAAAGAAAACAGAGACAAAATGATGCTCAAAATCAATGTAAATCATAATTAAGAAAGGTAAGAGCTACCAAATTGCTTGGTTGTTCATAGCTATCAGTGATTAGCTTCAGTTAGTTCTAGAAAAACTCAGGTGCTAAAATGGCACAATGATTCTGTTAGCTGCAACAAAAACAGAAGTCATGTGTGTGCCAAACCAAACTTGGTTAATTGCCTGCATGCTTATATTAAACTCCCATTAAAGTTTCCCACTAACTTTTTCAACCACTTTCTTGTCCACTTCATCCATATGATTTCACCAACAGGCCCCTAATTAACTAGCCAGTAGGTGTACCCTTTATGTAATTAATCAGTGACTACTAAATCTGGTTAATCTTGTATAAGTTTTCCTTCTGTCAGTCAAATGGGCAAAGGTCTATGATCCCCCTGGTTTTTCAAATTCCTATTATATAGTTTTACCTCCGATATTACTAAATAACTATTGCTATTCCCGGCCAATAACGATATGACACGCGTGATAACACTTCCACATGGTATAGCATTATTGGCGGATAGCAAAACAATGCTATCCCCGTTGCAACCAAGTTTTTCTCATTCATAAGACACTCAACAGAATGAGAACACATCTGCTACTAGTCAAAGTTGAATATTTTCTGCTGTTTGGTGTCTAAACTATACAACTCAAAGTTTAATTAGCAGAGTCTGATATAATACTAATGATATAATTATGTGTGGCATGTATGTAACCATAATTTTCAAACCAAAGATCTGATTTTTCCCCAGAGAGAAACTGTACAAGACTACCAATGACTGTGCTCTTATTGGAACTTCGCCAAAATAGAAAAGATGCTGTCGTGGCATAATGATGTATATATTTTGTCAATATATGGCTATTGCATCATTACAGTTCTATAAGCATGTATCTAAAGATCAATAGTTGACAGCTAAGTATTAACTTACCATATGAGGAAGGCCTTTTAATGATTTGATAGAACAGCTGATATATTTTGTCTGTAAACAGAATTCTAAGGCCTGGAAGCTCTTGATTCAGCTTTGCCACCATATTGCTCAACTTCCCATTAAATTCCACAGCCACATTGTTATGTTCCTGCACACAATCATGATTAGCCATGAAATTTCTGGCTCTCTCTAATGGCAGACACCCCATTGGAGGAAGCCCAGTTAGAGAGATTTTTCTGACCCCAAGACTGTAGATTTCCCTGATGAAATTTTCAGAAAGTCCAATAAGGAAATCCTCATACTGTTGGACTGTGAATTCCATTTGCCGGGTGGGTATTGTGTAGTAGTTTTCCAGGAAGTCATTTGTTCCTAAGCTTATCAAATATAAAGCCTCTGTCAAAATTTTCTTTGCCTTGGCCTTGCCAAGATAGGCTCTCAATTTGTTCTGGTACTCCTTATAGTACTCCACTTCTTTCCACAGAGGTATCACATTCTGCATTGTACACTTAAGTTAGTTTTTATGAGAATTTTTTTTAACCACATATTCAAATTTGAAGCATTGATCAGGCGAAATTGTCCAAATTGATAGTCTAATAACATAACATTGTAGATACATAACGCGAACAATATTAACTAAAATTTAGACAAGCAAAGTATGAAAATACATGGGGCATTGTATTTGAATGCATGCATGATTCATATTGTAATAAGATGATGATTAAAGCAAGATAAGGCAAACCCTTATTGTGAATGATGAGACAAATCCAAATTCTGAGACAAGGGGCTTTCACATTATAGCAGATAAATGCAACATAAAGAAAGAGGCTGATATCTTTTGATGCGTAGGTGACTTACTAGTACATCAGAAGTTGCAGTGTCATAGCCAGTTCCAGCAGAAGCAAAGCAAACACCAGTGGCAAAATCTGATATCCCATATTTGGGGTCCAAGTAGGCAGGAACAGATGGTTTGAGCCCAAAAGCCTCAGAGATGAAATCTGGAGGAACTCGACCATTCGAGAACCTTCCTGTGGGCTGCCCACCAGCAAAGTCACGCCCATATGGCTTGAAATTACTCTTCAGAAGTGTAGAGATCCTGTTGTTGTTTCCTGAGTCCACAGATGAGTCTCCAAACACAATAATAGCTGGAACTTTAGCCTCATACTTTGCTACTTTTAGTAGGATTTGAGTGAACAAGAGCCATGGAGCGTATAAGTATGCCATTTACTCTTTAGCTACTTTGTGTCAGTGGCTACTGGAAAAGGCTGGAGATATTTGAGATGAGATTGTAATACATAAAATAAGCAATATGAGAGGAGCTGAGAAATTTGTGGAACTTGTGGAGAAGAGTGGTTTGGTGGGTGAGAAAAATGTAATGGTGATTTGTACTCTAGGACTAGGTGCCTACTGCCTAGAATGCAGGGTAGGCATGGTTCTGTCCAATGACGTTTGCAGTAATGTGACAGAAAATTCAGAAAAAGACTTGTGTGATACGGGGATTTCACTGGTTTTTTTATTTCGGCCAGTCATAATATGCTATGTGCGATAACTTTTTCATTTATAAAGTTAACGATGCTTTCCTCAGGAGGTAATTAGGAACCAAGGAAATAAACATGAGAGGAAGCAAACACACCTACAGGCTACAAGTAAAAGCAAGCTGCAATGCCATGAGTTTGCAGGCCAATTCAATTATGTCAGTTGTTGTGTTGGGTAACCTGGTTTAAAATTCAGTTCTAGTTATAGGAGCAGCACCAAGACATTTCATAGGTCCTAATCTTTATCTGTTTTAAACTTCCCAACTCTAGATATATATGACAAATTAAGAACAAAACAGATATAGCAAATGATAATTATATGGGTTTTTAATCCAAAAAATTGTTGTTGAACTCTGTGTTTTGTATTAATCAAAGGTCAATAAACCCAAGTTTGTGGTCCTGATGTTAGGAAGGTGATTATAAATTCCCAACTAGTTTTGAGTTTACATTATTGGTGTGATCGTTGATCAAAATTCATTTTTTTATTAAGCGGGACAGAGGGTAGTTGTAGCATTTAAGGGAGACAGAGGCAGTGACAGGCCCTAGTTAAATTGTTCTGAACCCAAAAGAAAGCTGGCTTTTCTTTATGAGGGTCATCTCCATTTATAGAACTTTTCTGTGCTCTGAATTAGCTACTACAAGTTACAAGGACTCTTTAAATCATAAACCAGATTTCTTTGCCTTTTTGACGTTCATTTTGCAGGTGAGGGATTCGATCGCTCATATGCACCGAATTTCATCATATAACTATGAAGTTAAATGAGTTTGGGTTAAAATATTACTAGGATGGGTGACCTCCGGCCGGGGAGTCTTCGTATTAATTCTTAGGCTATCTTCAATGCTAAAAGGGCTAAACTTAAATTTTCACCTTTTAAAATACAACTATTCATGTATTACTAATCAACAGTTTTTTCCCCTCAACAATTCAAATTTTGACTCCGCATCTTCATTAGATTTTTAAAAAATGGTTTAACTCTATTTATTTTTTGTAGTTAATTTTTATTTATTACTTTTTGATTTATTTTTATGAACATTTTGCCCTAAATTTTTTGAAATTTCCCTTAAACATAAATGGATGGCATAAATGAGTGGGTATATATAGAATTTTGGGTTGGATATAATCTATATCTATATATATAAAGCACAAGGCAGATAATTGTAAAACATTCAAAATACCAAAAAATAACATTGGTTAATGCAAATATTAAGAATTAAAATTATTAATTAAATGAGAATAATATGGTAAATTCACACTTTTTCATATTAAAAAATTAAAATTAAAAGAAAATTAAGATAATGGATCCTAAACCCTAATTTAGATAAATTTAAGAAGTTATTTTAACCATTGAATTTAAATATCAACCATATCCTTTTTAACCATTGAATTGCCCAATTTTGCATCACAACCATTGATCTAATCTAAGTACCGTTGGGTTTAAAAAAAAATGTCAGATTCAAAGAGAGCCATTGATCTCCAAGGGACAAGTGCTGTTAGCGTGCCACGTGGTTGCGAAAAGGCCAAGTGGCTGACATACTAATGTCGCCAGGGCCCCGCCTGCACATTATTCTTCACGTGCTGCAAGTTGGCTTCTACTTTGGGCCCCATTGATTTCCAGATCAGGCAAAATACCAGGCGCTATTTAGCCCAACTTATTGCTTGGATTGGTATTTAGACCCCAACAAATACACGGGTTGAAGGACATTTTTAGCCTCTCGGATTGGACAGGGAATGAAAAACAACTATGTATCAATTTCTTATTTTTTCTTTCTTCACTTTATCTTAATGCCTACAGGCAAGCTATACATCCATCTATGACTCTTCATTTTTTCAAGCACTTCAGTTCATCTACACATTTGTTTCAATATACTCCATGTTGAAGAATATAAGTTCCACATCGAAAATAAAATACAAAATATAATGAATGATTCTACTACTAATAATATAGAGGACTTTTTGTGAGAAAACCTCACACCTACTAGGCTTTTTAGGTGGTTAAGTTGGGGACAATATCGGTGTTACAAGTAGTGGGCCACTTGTCTCTCTGAATTTAATATGGTATCAGAGCGGGTTGATTGACTGTGCCTGAATTGGACTTGAATGTTTACCCTACCCTTTACCCAATATGTGGTGCTCACGTGTTGGGCTTGAATTATTGACTCCGATGTGGACTTGGCTCCACGTGTGACCCACTATGTGGCGGTTCCACGTGAGGGGGTATGTTGAAGAATATAAGTCTCACATCGGAAACTTGACTAAATAAAATACAAAATATAATGAATGGTTATACTACTAATAATACCGAGGCCTTTTGTGATAAAACCCTACACCTACTGGGCTTTGTAGGTGATTAAGTTAGAGATAATATCGGTGTTGCTAGTAGTGAGCCGTTGACCCATCTCTTTGAATTTAACATACATATACATGAATAAATACATAAATCAATATTTAAATCCTATTAAAATCTTGCACTCTAAAGGATGAAAATTTTGATTTAATTTTATAATTAATCTTTACACACTATGGAATGATCCATCAAAGAGAGAAAAGAGTAAGGCTACAGACATCAATCCATTGTGCTTGTGGTTATGTTTTTTTTTCATGTCTATTCATGTCACACTCATGTTGAGGTGTTTATTTATCCTTTGGGTCATCTTTGTCGAATCTCATAAATAATTATGTTTTGTAATAAGATAGGGAATTCAAAAAAATAAGTGGCTTGACGTGTATTAATGTTACATGAAAGTATAACTTCATCATACAATAAAGTTTGATCACGTGATGAGTATTGTAGACACAACTGTTAGATTAATTTGATGTAAGTAAGTTTTTCACCTACACATCCCATGCAACGAGAAAATCTGGTGGATCTAAGGAAGTGAAAGAGTAACAATTGGCCATCAATCAAGTTTTGGCTTCCTCACCTGAAACATTGATATTGATTCATCTTCTTCAATTTCTTCTAAATAAAATCTTTTTAGCTGTTATCATCGTTTTGGTCTTGGGACCTGCTATAATGAGGAGGTTAATATGTGGGGCTTATTTGCGGGATGTTAACAACCGTCCAATTAAAATGAACGATTTCGTTTTTAAATTGTAGTTTTGTTACAACCGGGTTAAAAATACCCATCACAAAAACTACAACCGGAACTTCTCTCTCATAAAAAAAAAAAAAAAAAAAACTTCTCTCATCTCTCTCCTTTTACAAGGTCAACATTGATGGTTGTCGGAGTAGAAATACTGGAATTATTGGTGCTAGTGGTTTATTACGCAGTTGGGGCTTGGCTTAAGGGATTTTCTGTGAAAACCCAACAGTCACCACCCATCTCCCTCCTATTCTTCCGGCAAAAATCCAACAGTCACAACCATTGCACTCAAACCCAACCTACCACAACCTTCTCCATATCCAAATTTAGAGAGAGAGAGAGAGAGAGAGAGAGAGAGAGATTTCATGTTTTTCTTGGTTTAATGTCATAGTTCGCATTTTGATTTTGATTTGGGGGTACTCTGTTTCTGTGTTCATCAAAATTTTGTGCAATGGGGCTCTAGAACTCTGGTTGCAATGTATCATCTGAGCTTGCATACATTGCAACCATTTTGGCCCCAAGGAATGCATTAGGTTCGAGCCCACGCAGAGCCATATGGGTGTGGACTTGTTGGCCTAGTTTCAACAAGTTCTGACTAGTCAATAACAGAAAAATTAGTGCATAAAATGATATGGAAGTTGGGTCTTGTGCTAGCAGTGATTTTAGAATTGTAATCGTACGCATTGTTGCGTACAGTGAGAGCAATGGAGCATTGCATCTGGGTAATGAAGAACATGAGCGTTATGTTTATTTTTTCCATTATAGCCGCGCGACTATTGTCACACCTAGGATTGGCTCCGCCGTAGCACGATATTGTCCGCTTTGGGCCCCTCTTCTGCCCTCACGATTTTGTTTATGGGAACTCACGAGCAACTTCTCAGTGGATCACCCATCCTAGGATTGCTCTAGTCCCAACTCGCTTAACTTCAGAGTTCTGATGAATCCGAAGCCTGTGAGCTCCCAAAAGGCCTCGTGCTAGATGGAAGTGAGCATGTACATATAAGGTACATCACCCCCTCTCCGTTGGTCGATGTGGGATGTTACAATCCATCCCCCTTAGGGGCCCGATGTCCTCGTCGGCACACTCGCACTACACGATAGAATGGCTCTGATACCAAATTGTCACACCTCGGATCGGCTCTGCCGTAGCACGATATTGTTCGTTTTGGGCCCCCTTCTCTGCCCTCACGGTTTTGTTTCTGAAAACTCACGAGCAACTTCTCAGTGGATCACTCATCCTAGGATTACTCTAGCCCCAACTCGCTTAACTTCGGAGTTCCGATGAATCCAAAGCTAGTGAGCTCCCAAAAGGCCTTGTGCTAAATGAAGGTGGGCATGTACATATAAGGTACATCACCCCTTCTTCGTTGGTCAATGTAGGATGTTACAACTATACTTAGGTTCCTTTTTATTATTTATTTTTTAAATAAATAGTATAGCCGTACGGCTATACTTGGGTCCTTTTTAATTTTTTTTTATAAATAAATAGTATAGCCGAGCTGGCCACTTTTATAAAAAGTTTTTTTTTCAATAAATAGTATAGTTGCGCAGCCATACTATGGTCTCTTTTTTGTTTTGTTTTAAATAATTAGTATAGCCGCGCGGCTATCCTTGTGCCCTTTTTTAAATTCTTTTAAATAAATAATATAGCCGCAGCTCTTTCTCCCTTTTTCTAGCCCTAACACTAGCCAACCGAAAAAGAAAAAAAAAAACCAGCGAACCCACCCCATCGATCCCCAACCCAACCCTTATATATATATATATATATATATATAACAAATAGAGCCCCACTGCACAAAATTTTGATGAACACAGAAACAGAGTACCCCCAAATCAAAATCAAAATGCAAACTATGACATTAAACCAAGAAAAACATGAAATCTCTCTTTCTCTCTCTCTCTCTCTCTCTCTCTCTCTCTCTCTCTCCCCCCCCCTCCCAACCCAAATTTGGATATGGAGTAGGTTGTGGTGGGTTGGGTTTGAGTGTGATGGTTGTGACTGTTGGGTTTTCGCCGGAAGAAGAGGAGGGGGGATCGGTGGTGACTGTTGGGTTTTCACATAAAATCCCTTAAGCCAAGCACTAGCTGCATAATAAACCACTAGCACCAATAATTCCAGTATTTCTACTCCGACAACCATCAGTGTTGACCTTGCAAAAGGGGAGAGATGAGAGAGACGTTTTGGGTTGTAGTTTTTGTGATGGTATATTTTAACCCGGTTGTAGCATAAAGAGGATACTAATGTTAGCCATTTGATCAATCTAACGGACCAGTGAGTAGCCCCATAAATAACCTCCGCAGAAAATCTCCGCATTAGAGCAACTCCACAGAAAATCTCTGCATTAGAGCAACTCCACCCATTTGCCCTTTGTCATGGCAAATGGGGGGCTAGGGCAGCCACTATTCACATGAATAGTGGTTGCCCTTGCAATTAACCTTGTGTGTTTCCACTCGTTGCTATGTTAAAAGGCAATTACTATTCATTTTTTTATTTTTTTCACAATTTTTTTTCCTCAATAATTAATTTGGATAATATTTTCGGGTTTCTACGTGTCACGACTATTCCTATCTCATAATCGGATAAAATTTCTGGATAAGATTTTTGGGTTCAAATTTCAGATACATTTCAAAATTCAAAATTCAGATCAATTTCAAATTTCAAATTTTGGATGAATTTCAACATTCAAATTTCAAATTTCACATTTCAGATGAATTTCAAATTTCAAATAAGATTTTCATCCTCTAAAATCGAGTCACGTGTCATCTCTATATGACCAAAATTTTCTATAAAACCATAGGCTTAGTTCATACCTCTCACACGACATCTCTCTACATTTTGGTTTAGGGTTTAGAATTCATTCTATATTTTCATTTCTCAGAGTTTAGAATTCATACTCCATTCTCAATGGAAGACATGAGGAGATGCTTAGAAAGGCAAGAGCGAGAAATAAATGAGAGAAGCCGTAGACGAGTTGAAAGGCAAAGGTTACAGAGAGAAGAAGATGAACAAGTTGTCATAGCAGTGGTTTTGCTTGATGAAGAGAACCAAGGTCGCTGCTGTGGTTCACAAGTCAGCCGTGGCCCGAATGTCGACAGACATAGATATTCTCGGGATAAGAATCTTTTGGAAGATTATTTTATCCCAACTTCTTTGTACTTTGATGTTGATTTTCGAATGCGATATAGAATGCAACCCCATTTGTTCAATAAAGTCATGCATGATATTTGCAGTTATGATGCATATTTTGTTCAAAAGTGTGATGCTGCTGGGGTTTTGGAACTTGTTCCGGAGCAAAAGCTTACAACTGTTATACGAATGTTGGCATATGGATCATTTGCTGATCATGTGGATGAGATTGCCCGGATGGGGAAGTCCATTACGTTGGAGGCCTTGGTAAGATTTCGTGATGCAGTCGAAACTCTGTACACTAGGGACTACCTGCACAGACCTACGCCCAAGGACCTTTAACGAGTTCTACAAAAAGCCGAAGCTCGAGGATTTCCAGAAATGATTGGTAGCATCGACTGCATGCACTGGCAATGGAAGAATTGCCCAACTACCTGGCAAGGAGATTACAGAAATAGAAAAGGCTAAAAAAGTATCATCCTTGAAGCCGTTGCTGGCTTCGATACATGAGTTTGACATGCCTTCTTCAGAGTTGATGGATCTCAAAATGACCTCAACGTGCTGGGTCAATCCCCGATCTTCAAAGATGTTTTGAGAGGTGAAGCCCCGAATATCACCTATCAAATCAACAATACCGTTTACCAGACGGGGTATTAGCAAATGACATCTACCCAAGGTGGACCATATTTGTCAAATCCGTTCTGAATCCTCGATCTCAGAAGCAAAGATTATTTGCTTCATATCAAGAAGGATACATGAAAGATGTCGAAAAGTGTTTTGGCATCCTCCAAGCCAGGTGGTTGATTATTCGAGATGCGACGTGTATGTTTGATGAGGAGGTGCTGAGAAGCATTATGATGACTTGCATCATCCTCCATAATATGATTGTGGAGGATGAGTATGATTACGATGCTGCAGAAGTTTACGAACCGGATCCCATGAACACGGCCTTGACACGAATTTATGAAAAGCCCATGGGGCCAAGTGGAGAACCATTGGAGCAGGAACCTTTGGTTGGGGATGGTGGTTTCATGACCTGTATGCTAGATTGATATACAGAGATGCAATCTTCGTATATTCATGAAAGGCATCAAGTTGACTTGATGGAGCATCTATGGGCGGTGAAAGGCAATGACGGTGAATGATGGAGCATAGATGCTTTGGTTAGGTTTTATTATGGTTTGGTTGTGTTGTTTTTTTTAAAATTATGGTTTGGTTGTGGTTTGTTTTTATTATTGTGCTTTGGTTGCAATTTTATTTTTTTTTATATTATGCTTTGGTTGTGGTTTTTCCTTTTAATTATGTTTTGTTTGATGTATGGAACATGTTGAATAAAAATGTATTTTATTGAATGCTTTGTTTATTAAATAAAGAAAGCCAATACAAGTCATTAAGAATTACTACTACTAAAATAAACTATATGAATTACAACAACTTTAATACAAAACATGAAAAATACGAATAAATAAAAGATATGCCAACTAATTTAATGGTTTTGATCATTTAACCAATCTGTGTTGCTAGGTCCATAGTCATGGAAAAGTCTTCTTCTTATAACATCCCTTCGTTCTAGCTTCCAAAATTGTTTTGTTTCAGGGGACATATGGCTTGTATCCATGGTCATGGTTTCCCGATCCGTTTTCTCAATGTTTTGTTTGAGCAAATACTCCCTTTCTTGTAAATATTGTGCTTAAATTGCCATCTCATTCTCTTGGTGTTTCTTCTCTGCCTTGCAATTTCCTCCCATTTTTTTTGATGTATTAGTGCTAGAATTACTCCCTTTCTTTACCTTCGCAGCCTTTTGGCCAATGGGTCTCGGCTCCTTTTCGATAGGTGAGTCTTGACTCATAAGGGAATTAAGAGGTGAATCCAATGTCGTTGAATCATGGAGTGACGTCTCGTTTAACATAACGAGGGGACCCATGGGAATAATTCTGAAGCGTTTGTAATTTTTCACCACTTCCCAACATTCATGATGGTTGAAAGTTTTTTGCCTTGCCCAATTGCACCAAACTACATATGTGCTTGTATAATCTATTAACGAAAAATAATAATGAAAATGCAAGAAATATTTAAAATATATTGGAAATGCAAGTAACATAAAAAAAAATGGAAATGCAATTAACCTTACAAATATATTGGAAATGCAACAAATATTAACAAAATATTATTTATGCAAGAAATATTAAGAAAAAATTGGAAATGCAAGAAATATTAACAAAATATTGAAAATGCAAGAAACATTAATATATATATATATATATATATTAGGACATTAAACTTAATAAAACAAAAATTACAAAATATTTATCTCGCTACTAAGATTTTCCCCGCTTCTATGATTGTCCCTCACTTTTGTCAAGACATCTTGCCAACTCTTTATTGAGAATTCTCCACCTACTAGACAATGTCATTTTCGTACGAGTCGACCCCAGAATTCTTTCACAAAATTCAGCATGAATTTTTTTTCGACATATGACAAAATTTCATCTCATTGCCTGACACTAGACAATGACTAATTTGGAGCCAAGACTTAGACAAAAAAACATATTCCATGGTGCTCCATACCCCTCCAGTTTCGATAGAAGAAGCCATAAAGATAAGAAATAAAAATACAATTTGAAAGAGAATAAAAGTAAGAGTGGATAATAGTAGAAGTAGAAGAAAACGTATGAGGATTGGTGTTGAAAGTGAAGGGTATTTATAGGTATTTATAGAAAAAAAAAATTCAGAAAATTTTCGTACTTTTTCATAATTTTATAGCCAAAAAAAGCCCAGCCGTTGGATTGGAGGAGGAGAATCAGATCGGAGCGCCCAGGCGAAGACACGTGTCTTCTAGCCATTGGAAACGTGCAGGGCTGACGTTAGCGCACGAGAGTTCAAATTTTTTTTACCGTTGGCGCATGCATTGCCTTTGAACCATCCTATCTTTGTGGGTCCCACAGCCAGCCCGGGCAAAAGTGGCCTGCTGGAACTGGGTTTTTCGCGCACCCCCACCCCACCCCCCCCCCCCCCCCCCCCCCCTCGGCTCCTCGGTTGGAATCGCTCTTATAGTCACGCCGTTTGGTCTTACCCAATTATTGGGCGACTCTGGTCCTGCATCCCTTTTAGCCCATAAGAAAAAAAGAAGCCCTATTGAACATTTCAAGTGGGCTTCGGCGAAACTCAGCTAAAAACTAACCCAAAAATTCTGAAGCTGTTTTCTGAAACCCTCTGCTTTCTTCCACTGCTTCCTCTTCTCCTCAACTGTAAGTTCTTCCTTTGCAACTTTGCTTGCATTCTCATTTTCTTTTTAATATTTAAATTGCTATGTATTTAACTTACATGGCGAGCACTTTTTCTGGGTCTATGTATTCTTCTTTTTCTGAATGTCGTCATTAGATTCTATTTCTTGAAGAAAAGCAATTATTTTTATTGGGTTCAAATAATGGCTGCCTAATTACAACGCTGAAGCTTAAATTTGGGTGCTTATGAGCTTACTAACTTCAATTTTGTACTCACTTTTCTTATCCTGCTGTATAAAGTTTGTTAATTTACTGTGCATTTTGTTCTTCCTGCATTTGGGTAATGATTGTTTCGTTTGTTCATTGCCTAAGATTTTCAACACACTGCTTTTCTTGTGCCCATGAACCAGAATCCTTAAGAGGTATTCAGAATGTGGTTCAGAACAATATGGAAAGTGGGTGGTAGAAATGTTGTGGGCTTCTCTAGGCCACTCAGAAGATATACATCAGTTTCAAGCAGAGATGTAATGGATGTTGCTGTTAAAGATGGGGAGCTGAGGGTCTTCATAGTCGCTGGAGAGGTTTCTGGGGACACCATTGGCTCTCGTCTAATGGCATCTCTAAAGAAGCTCTGTCCAGTTCCTGTCCGTTTTTCTGGTGTTGGAGGGTAAACTTTTAATTTCCCTGCAGTCTTATTGGAAATTATAATTCTTTTTAGAAATCCTTTTTCGATGGGGTTATATTAGCAGCTCCTCTTCTGTTAAATCTCCTTCTCTAATAATGAGTGTGGTTAATTAATTGTGTTATTATTGTTTTAATAAGGACAGAAAATATTCACATGGATGAGATTTAGGCACTTTGGACAAAACCATGGTTTTCAAAATTTGTTGTTTGAATGATATTTGGTTAAACATCTTCCTGACTTTGTTGGAGGTCTTTGTTTTCTCGTCATATTATGTTCAGGTCCATGATGTCTAAACAAGGATTAAAATCTCTGTTTCCTTTGGAGGATATTGCGGTAATGGGATTATTGGAGTTATTGCCTCATCTGAATAGGCTGAGAGTGAGTGTGAGCTACATAAGACCTTACTTAACAAAGTCTATGATGAATGCAGTTTTAATTTAATTTTTATCTTTGTAAGCATCTTTGTTACAAGAGAAAAGATTGCTGCATCCTGGCATCTTGTTAGGTCAAGGTTTTAAAACTGGAACATGATTGTGTCAGGTGAAGCTGCAGGAGACAATAGAGGCTGCTCTTCTGTTTCAACCTCATGTTGTTGTAACAGTGGATTCCAAGGGTTTCTCTTTCCGTCTTTTAAAGCAGTTACGGGGTAATATGCAACACCTTCTCGGAGTTATAATCAGACTTTAGTGATACATATAGTGTTGGAAATTGGGGACATGCTTTTTGCAGCTAGATACAATCAGCAGAGATTCGATGTTCCAGTACACTTCCATTATGTAGCCCCATCGTTCTGGGCTTGGAAAGGGGGTGAAGCAAGACTCGGAGGCCTGACTGAATTTGTGGATCATGTCTTGTGTATACTTCCTAATGAAGAAGAAGTTTGCCGATCAAATGGACTGGCTGCAACCTTTGTGGGCCACCCCATTCTGGAGGATGTTTTGGAGTTAAATTTGGTATGATTTGTTTTCTTTCTTTTGGGATTTCTCAGATTTTTAGTTTAATGTTCTTTCTTCCAGAAAGCTGTGAATATAACATAATATATAACTATATATGCTGCTCAAATTGACTTCACTTTTAAGTTTAAAGTACTGATACGTAGTATTGTGTTTGGAAGGACACTTCACCTCATGAATGGAAGAAGATAGAAGGAAACTGTGAAGATTTCAGAAAGAGATATTCAATACCTGCAGGTAAAATGTACTATTCTGTTTTATTTTTTTAAAATATCCTATGTGCTACCTAAGAGTGGTTGAGTTATAGTGGTCTGAGAATTGAGGTTGCAAAATGAACCCTTTATTTGAAATCTAATTGACTGTACGTTGTCACTTTCTCCATCAACTGGTATTTTTTCCTTTTCTTCTCCTTAGTATAGGTATTTTTTCAGTAAATTATTTGAGCTCTGTATTGTTATTAGGAATATAATATTTGAATCATTGATCTTCTCTGATATTTCCTCCCCAAGTCCTTATTGACTCATCTTTCTGTTCATGCACATTTCTTCCTCTGTCCATACGTATAATATGTGTGTGTTTTATTTTGCAGGAACCACAGTCATTTCCTTGCTTCCTGGAAGCAGATTACAAGAGGTCACCAGAATGCTTTCCATCTTTGAAAACACTATGAGATTATTAAAAGGTTCCTCTCCCAAGTTAGTAACAGTCATCCATGTCGCTCCAAATCAGCATGTGAAGAACTATGTCACTGGAATCACTAACAAGTGGCCTGTGCCTGCTATATTGATTCCAGGAGGATCCCTGCACCAAAAATATGATGCATTCAGTGTAAGTGAAATGAATCACCTTTCTTGTGGATGATATAAAACTCAGTGGCTAGGATTCTCGCTTTAGATTTACATTTTCATGGCATATTTCCCAGAAAGTTTGATCTATCGATTCCTGTTGATGTGAAGGAAAAAATCACCTTTCTCCTATAGCCAAAACATATTAGAAGGCTGGTTTGTATATGCAAAAAATTTAAATATCTAGAGTTGACAAGTAATCAGGCTGTTTGCAAAGTTCACTGCGGTGTATTAACTTTTCGTCACTTTGTTTGATAGCCAACAGGGAATGAATCTGAGCATATCTAAATCCAAGTTTTCAAACTCCGTAAATTTGGAATGCATGCTTTATTAATTTTTCTATTCTTGCTCAAACTTGTTACTCATGTTGACCTGCAGGCAAGTAGTGTTGCGTTATGTGCTTCTGGAACAGTTGCTTTGGAGTTGCAGCTTGCGCGGCTACCATGCGTAGTCGCTTATCGAGCTCATTTCCTAACCGAGTGGATTATTCGTTATAAAGCCAAGATACCTTATATCTCCCTCCCAAATATTCTCATGGATTCAGCTATTATGCCTGAAGCTCTCTTTCAAGCATGTACTCCAACAAACCTAGCCTCATCGATTTTGTAAGTCTTATTTGTTTTCATTCAAGCATGATCTCTTTCCTCTGTAGTTTAATTACTGAAAGACTGGGGATTTATAACTCAAGTATATATGATCCACCACAGGAATTTGATACACAACGATGGCCTCCGAGAAAAACAGATCGTTGCTGCTGAAAAGGTTATCGGACTTCTATGCCCTCCGGCCAGAAATTTAGGTAACCTGTCACAGCAGCATCGAGGAAGGTTTCCCCATTACACACCAAGTATGATAGCAGCAACCGCAATACTGTACCATGCAAAGCCAGAAGTGCTAATTACTTAAGTAATTTTTTTGGTCCAAATGTTTAATATCATCTCACCAATGAACTTTTGGCTTGATTAGAATGGAAGGTGGAGAGTTTCGTTTTCACTCTTTCCCTTGTGTTGAAAGTGGTTTTTTTCTGTTGACAAATGCTTTCATCTAATCGGATCCAATATGGGACTGGATTGGCCTGTATCATAATCCATTCCATTAACAAAATTGGACAATAATGATAAATACATCTCTACTTGACATTCTCGTGCAAATATGTACAACATTTACAACAAACATAAGTTTAAACACAATGGATATCGTATTAAGACAATCAAATTATCACCAATTTGGATTAACCGGGCTCATGTTCGATTAGTTAATGAGTTATGTTATTAGATCGGATCGGATAGCCTATTCCACACCTAAGAACAGAAAATGAAAGAATCTAACACAAGGCATGGTGGATCTATCTTGCGCTTCATGTCCAGGTGTTACATGTAAGCTTAGATCAGTACTGCCTGTGAGGAACCATAATTCACATAACAAGGCTGATATGTAGCGCAGTCTTCCACTTCACATGCTAACTGAAACCGCAAGACTAGCTCAACTCAAACAAACTCCTCAAGGCCACAAAACAAAACCACATCTTATTTTTAGTAAACAACGCTCTCTTTAAATCCCAATCGCACTATCAAACTCCTCAAACCCCAAAATCCCAATTTCTACTCACAGTCCCTCACAACAAGCTTGACAAACCTTTTTTTCATATATTAACCATGGCTGTATCAAGAGGAATGCTTTTACTTTGCCTAGGGACACTTATGGTAAGTGTGGTCTTGATCAAAGTGGCTGAGGCTAATGACCACCATTCTGGTCCCTGTCATGGGGACCCGAACAAAGGCGATCAATGCCTGGAAGATGAAGAGGATGTCATTGGAGACGATGATGTAGATGACACTTACAAGATCGTGAACAAGGTTGCAGTGTCTTTCACTGGTAGACTGGGGGATTTTGAAGAGGCAAGCTCAACACCACAAGAGTCAGAAGAGGCAGAGCCAGAAGATGCTGAGGAGGACCAAAGTCATCTGATTGTACTGGGACATTGATTGGCAAATGGAGCTAGCTAGCTAGCTACCTGTGCTTACACCAGTGCTGCTGGCTTTTTTATTTTTGCATTTGTTTCGTGTTCTATCTTGGTTTCTTGTTTTAGCATTGCGTTTTCTTGTCCTTTTCAGTTGATTTCCTCTTTAGCTTTAATCAAATGTGAGATGGGTTCCATTATCATAAAAAATTTCATTGTAGTCTCTTGTTGGTTTTTTTTCTTAAATAAAAATAAATAGAAGTTATTTTTCAACTTATAATAGCTACAATGCTTGTGATCACATACTTGGTCTACAGGAGGTGTAAGCTTTTCAGTTATTTATACTAATTCATTTTAGTTGTCACTTTTTTTAATAAAGATGAGACGTGTCTACATGAGCAGATCTAATTTCTACAAGAGATGCGGTCACTAATGTAGTCGGTGGTACTAAACAACTAATACTTTCACTCTCTCAATCAGTGTGAGATCCATTGTGCTGCCTAGAAATAAACAAGAACCCAAATCACAGGTTAGAAATTCAGTCATTGAAACTTAGGCCTAAAACTTGTATAGGAATCCTACCCCACCGCACCCCTAAAAGTTTGGTCTAAAATATACATGTATGTAAAATTCACTCGGAGAGGAGTTTACATGTAGAAAAACTTGGAAACAAATTCAAATTTTATACTCGGTCTAATTAGAAGCAACCAAAGTAATTACAAGCCTAATCAATCAATTAGCCTAATTAGAGGTAATTAGAATAAAATTAAGATCAATCAATTCCTTCCAAAATATTTCTGGACAAACTTCTTCCTATAAATTCCAGAGAGCTCAGCCTATGCAATTTCACTGCATTATAATTTATTTTAGAGACCCTCTCATTCTCATAGCCTCATTGATAAAATGGCCGTGTCCAAGGCAATGACTGTTTTGTCCTTAAGCAGCCTCCTTGTGTGTGCAATATTTTTGGGTGAAGAAGTAGAGGGCTTGAGGATTGGCTATGGCTCTCTGTCAAGAGATGACATTCCTGGATGCAGCTTTATGCATCCAGAGAACTGCTACAAAATGAAGATAAATCCATATCAAAGGAGTTGTGAGCCTGAAGAACGATGCCGGAACAGTCTGAGTTATCGTAAAAATCCTTGATTTTGTTCTTTGGCACATAAAGATTTTGGTGCATACCTAGAGAAGTTAGGATGATCTTGGTGTGACAGATTGATCAAAATGATCATACTCACTAAGTGATGTAATTTTTTTATTTTTGAATATTTTTCTTTGCGGATTTGTGTTAAGAGAATGAGACACTTTATTTATTCATGATAGGAAGGCTAGAACTATTGAAATAAATCTATGCTTTTCTGAAGGTGAAGTTTTGTACTGAACTAAATAAACCATTTTTTGGGTTACATATCTCCAATTAATAATGCAGCCTAATATGCTTTGTTTCAAATTTCAATTGTCAATTCTAGAGTATTGAGTGGAAGGTTACACGCATGCAAATTGGTCATGTGGTAGAATTTCTCTTTGTAAACCTCAACATCTTGATCCGGCACATCGATATCATGAACTTAAATGCCATCAAAAGAGGTTTAATACGTGGGCGCTTGTAGCTCCAGTGGTAGAGAGTGTTTAGCCCACACTCAAAAGCCAGAGTTCGAATATGACCCCTCCTTTGTAGACGGTAAGAGGAAAAAATAAAGGAGGCTTTTTAACTGCCTCTTTTTTTATATTTTGAATACAAGAGGAGATGAGTTTCTCACACAGACACTGCCAATGTGTCTCGGGATTTGAACCTGAGACCAAGTTGAGGGTTTAACTACCTTTTATTTAGCTATTGGCCAAGTAGGAGAAATGCTAGCTGTGGCTTGAATATTCTGTGTTTGGTTTGGTGTACTTGCTCCCTGTTTGTTTTTGCAGCTTTTGGTGCTGGTTAATTATAAGACTGCTTTGCTTTTGTGGCCAAACTCCAAAAACCAGGGGATCTACCTACAAATGTTGAAAAGACTTTTCCAATAATAGAGAGCCAGGATCTTATCTTATGTTTTCTTTTTCCTTCGTTTAAATATATTTTTTTTTGTCGGATTCCTTTATTTAAATATTACAGTCGCTTTGTTTGTAGTCAAAGCTCAGAAGTATTGGGAGGAATTATATATAATTATCAACAAATATATTCTTTTTCTCTTCTTCTTCCTCAGTTTTGCTAATTTATCCAACCTAAGAGCTGAGAAGGAGCCAGAGTTTGGTTTCCATGGCAAATTCTAAGCTGCAAGCATTTTGGAACCACCCAGCCGGCCCGAAAACTAGTATGTTTACTTCTCTAGTTAATTATTTCTGTTTCCCTTACTCCACAAGTTTTAAAATGTTTGTGTTGTTCTTGAATTGTTGATATCAAAGTCTGAAAGCTTAATCATACCATGCTAATCAGCTAGATGGTGCTTGATTAGCATGCATCAAAGTTATTGAGATTCAAGAACATGTTTGAGATTGTTAGTTTCTAACTCAGGAACTACCTTCTCAGAGAAAGAAATCCTCATCAGTTTTTAAAACCAGGTCTCAGATTTGATTCAGATGCAAGCTTATGAAAGAAAAATAGAAAGATTTGCATGACTTCACAGATAATTGATCACTTTTTCCCAAAAGATAAAAAATAATTTAGTTCTTTTACTGAAATTGTGCACATATCTCTTCCTATAGGACTGTGATGACAGCTTTAACTAATGAATTTTTTTTGTGTGTGTGTAAAACTAGATAAACACTAGAACTTTCCCATTTGATCCTAGCAACTTATATATTAAAGGTTTATTATGTGTTCTAATTTTGCAGTCCATTTTTGGGCCCCAACTTTTAAATGGGGTTTAACCATTGCAAATATCCTCGACTCTTCAAAACCACCTGAGGAACTATCCTATCCTCAGCAATCAGGTTGGTTGAGCTGATGAAATCCCTTATTTATTTGATGCCCCATCTTGTTAATTATGCATACGAGTTTACATTAGGGCCCGTTTGGGAGTGCTTTTAGAGCAAATTTAACGTCGTTTAGCAGACAAAGCTAAAAGTGCAAAAACGATTCCAACAAAAGCACTTATGAGCAAAAGTGCTTATTGGAGAAGCACTGTCAAACGGGTCCTAATTAGTACAATAGCACTATGAATTTCTGGTTGTTAAACTCATTACTGATAGAAAGTTTTGTCATCCCCATTTGATGATCTCCAGTCCTCGCATGCAGTGGACTTATATGGGCAAGATACGGCACAGTAATTACACCAGTAATTAATTCTAAACCTCAAATTATCAAATATACAAAATTATTTGCAGTTGAAGAAAGTTTCTTATCGGCCAAGAAATTTGCTGTAAAAGTTTGAGACAGATTATTCAGTTCTTAACGCTTGTCCATTTTGAGATTGCAGAAGAACTGGAATCTTGCCAGTGTCAATTTTGGGATGTCTCTAACTGCCCTGTTTCAACTGTCACGAAAAATTCAGTAAGTTGTCATTTACATATTCTGTGTATTTAAAAAATAATAATAATTAATTAATTACAATGGATTCATTATCACCCATTTCCATATTTTTCAGGCATGACTTATCTGCCAAAACCCAAGAAGCTGATGCAGAAGAAGAATGAAGACAATCTCACTTCAATTTATTGTATATTAACTTGGCATGCTGGTTTAAATATCTCTGTACGGCACCTCTAAACCGCCCGCTTACTAGCCATTGAAAGAGTCTAAATTGATCGTCTAAATTCGTTTACTATTTTTTTTTGGTCGAGATTCTTTTACTATTTGATGTCATAAAAATTGAGCTGATATATTGGACAACGTAATTCTCAGAATACTTGCTTTTTAGAAAGACAGAGTTCGATCATAATCTGAGTAAGTCATCCCAATTCTCAATCTGGGTTTCTTCAATTATGGATTTTTCTTTCATAATTTCATGATTGAGGCTTGATTGGTTTTAGAAAATTTTGTACTATTATTTATGGTTGAGGTTACATGCAATTTGGTCATGTGGTAGAATTTCTCTTTGTAAACATCAACATCTTGATCCTGCACATTGACATTGTGCACTTATGCCATCAAAAGAGGCTTAATACGTGAGGGCTTGTAACTCTAGTGGTAGAGAGCGTTTAGCCCACACTCAAAAGCCAGAGTTTGAATCTGTCCCCTCTCCTTTGTAGACGGAATGAGGAAAAAAAATGAGGCTTTTTAATTATCTTTTTTTTTTCCTTTTGAATACAAGTGATAATCTAAAGTACAAAGGGAGGGAGATTTCTCACACATAAACTACTAAGGTGTCATGGTGTTCGAACCCAAAATCATTGGTCTACAAATCAAAAGGCTTTTTTTCACTGGGCTAGATGGCTTTAACGACCTTCATTTAGCTATTGGGCAAGTAGGAGAAATGCTAGCTGTGGTTTGCATCATCTCTCAAGTTCTGCCTTATCTGCTGCCGTGCTCACAGAGTTTCTGTGTTTTGCCTTACCTACTGTCGTGCTCACAGGGTTTCTGTGTTCTGCCTTACCTACTGCCGTGCTCACAAAGTTTTTGTGTTCTGCCTTACCTACTGCCGTGCTCACAGGGTTTCTGTGTTCTGCTATGTGCCCTATTTTTAGGGTTTGACGCTTGTCACTTGTTTCACTCATGGTTGACGAAAAGACATTCTCTACAATTGGTGTTTCTCAAGTATGATGTCCTGTGACTTGCTTGTCAAGTTGGGAATACGAAATATCTTTGCCTCAACTTGAGGGGGAGTGTTGGTGAGTCCTTACTTAGTTAAGTTTTGGGTTCCTTACTATGTTAGGATTTTGGTTACTTACCCATTTATCTAGTTCTATTATAATTGAGATTTATTTCCTATTGTAATTTATATTTATTTTCTATTGTAATTTGGATTTATTTCCTATTTTATTTAGGGTTAACACATCTTTGTACTTGTATAAATAGCTCCATATTGGAGAAGAATAATAATATAAGCGTATCTTAGCATAACTGAATATTTGCCATACTTTGTTTGACAATATATTTTTTAAATCCTCATCAGTGTTCAACAATCCCAATCCTGGGAACTATTAATCATGACAATGTTGCTGCACTATACAATTTACAATATTAATGCATGTAGGGAGAAAATCCCATGACAAGGATAATAGCAGCCAGCTTTGGTTCTACATATGTATCCATTGCTTTTGTGTTGGTGGAAATTACAACACATCATGTTTGGTTCCCTAGTGATGGAGAGAGAGAGACGCATCCCTGGTACTATGGTGTGCCATTGCACTTAATACGTGAGCTCTATGACTATGAAACATTTAGGAACTTTAAGATTCGCGTTGCTGATTACATTCGTTATCCTGCAATATACAAAAAATGCAATGACACCAAAACCTACTAATACGTGAGCTCCATGGAAAACTACTAATCTTGATAATGTTGCTGCAATTTACAAAATATCCAATGATAAGGAGAATAGTGGCCAGCTTTGGTTATGTATCCATTGCTCTGTGTTTGGGGGAATTACACATCAAGAAGCATCAAAAGTTCACAAACTCAAAAACTTGCATAGGGATTTGGACCCTTGCCCCATAGTTCACTCATTTTGATGTCCAAATCATAATTTTTCATAAAACATTTCTTCATCAGTTTGAGACAACATATCTGATAACCCAATGTTTTGAGCGCATCCAAAACTTTTTTCTTCTTGAGTCGAAGAATAAAGGGAACCTTAGATTTCTCTGTCACTGCACTAAGGTCCTTAATTTCTGCCAAGATTGAGGTCAGATCATTCATTAACTCCAAAATTTCACTCAGGCTCTGCTGGATGGACGCCTTGTTGCTCTGGCTCTGGATGGTTTGAGACTTTATTGCATGTTGGGAGACATCTTCATTGTGCTGTCTTGCAATCAAGAAGAAGAAGCACTACTTCTGAAGTTGGAAAATTTCGGTAACGGTGTCAAGAAATTAATTTCCAAAAATCGTAATTCCAATAGGTTCGTACGGAAATTACAATTTTTGGAAATTAATTTCTTGACACCGTTACCAAAATTTTCCAACTTCAGAAGTAGTGCTTCTTCTTCTTGATTGCAAGACAGCACAATGAAGATGTCTCCCAACATGCAATAAAGTCTCAAACCATCTAGAGCCAGAGCGACAAGGCGTCCATCCAGCAGAGCTTGAGTGAAATTTTGGAGTTAATGAATGATCTGACCTCAATTTTGGCAGAAATAAAGGACCTTAGTGCAGTGACAGAGAAATCTAAGGTTCCCTTTATTCTTCGACTCAAGAAGAAAAAAGTTTTAGATGCGCTCAAAACATTGGATTATCAGATATGTTGTCTCAAACTGATGAAGAAATGTTTTATGAAAAATTATGATTTGGACATCAAAATGAGTGAACTATGGGGCAAGGGTCCAAATCCCTATGCGAGTTTTTGAGTTTGTGAACTTTTGATGCTTCTTGATGTGTAATTCCCCCAAACACAGTCTCAAACCAACTTCTGCCGAATCCAATTCTTCATTAGTCTTTCCCGAAAATAACTGTACCGCCATCACCATGGAAAGAGAATGAGAAGGTTTTTGACAGAGAGGAAAGGGTTATGGAGGTTGTGGAAAGAGAATGACTTGACAGAAAAAGAAAAGGCTATGGAGGTTATGGAAAGAGAATGAGAAGGTTTTTGACAGAGAAGAAAGCGTTATGGAGGTTGTGGAAAGAGAATGACTTGACAGAAAAGAAAAGGCTATGGAAGTTATGGAAAGAGAATGAGAAGGTTTTTGACAGGAAGAAGAAGAAGGCTATTGAGGCTTTTTGGGATTTTGCTATGAGTCTGCTATCACTTTTAAAGGACTTTTTTGGGTTTTATAGAGAATGTGAGGGATTTGGTTGCTGGGATTTCTATTTTCTATTTTCTACTGAAGCTTTTTTATTTTCTTTATTCAGTTTGTAAGTAAACGACATTGTCTGCCTCGTCGTCACTAGAATTTAATTTGAAGTTTTACAAAGCAAACGTGTCATTCCGCGCAAAGAGCATGCAAACTCGAGCAAATCACAACAAAAATATGGTTAGGTTACAAACGGCTTCGAAACCTTCAAACCACAGCAGCAGAGATCAACAGATCAAAAATAGGGTTATCGTACCTCCATTGAAATACCCAGAGCTCTCAAAAAACCCTAAAATTCAAAGAAATTTTGGATGAAATTCGATGGGGTTAGTTTAGGGTTTAGGGGAACGAGAGAGAGAGAGAGAGAGAGGCGACTGAAATAGAGCGTGAGGTCGAGAGAGAGAGGCGACTGAAACAGAGAGGGGTGAGGTCAGAGGTGATGTGGGTTAGGTCGAGAAAGAGGATGAGGTTGACAGAGACAGGAGATGAGATGAAGAGAGATGAGACGAGGCGAGACGAGAGAGAGAGATCGATGAGGGTGAGGTCGGGAGAGAGACGATAGAGGTAGAGCGTGAGGGTGAGGTGAGGTCGAGAGTCGGCAACTGAGAGTGAGAGTGAGAGGGACGTCGATTGAATTTGAGAGTAAGGTGAAGTTAGATTTAGTTGTGGTTGTGATCTAGTGCAAGCATCCCCAGATGAACTCTTCTTTTATCCAATAAACAGAGGCCACGTGGTACTTTTTTTTATTACGGATTACAATAAAGGTTTTTTAGGTTTTAGACATAAAAAAAATTTCACTTTTGGAAAAAGCCAAAGCTTTTTCAAAAAAGACAAAAAAAACCGCTAAACTTTCAAATCAAAGACATGCAAATGTATTGGATTCCTTAGGAAATCTAAAAATAAATAAGGGCATTTTTGTCCATTTTTGCTTCTTTTAAAATTTTTCTCTCTCCTTTTGCTTTTTCCAAAATGTCCCTTAAAATAAGTCATCCGAATTCTCAATCTGGGTTTCTTTAATTATGGATTTTCTTACACAATTTCATGATTGAGGCTTGATTGGTTTCAGAAATTTTTGTACTATTATTTATGGTTGAGGTTACTCGACGCGGTACTTTTTTTTATTTTTTTATATATAATTATTTTATTTTATTTTTCCCTCTACATGAACAATGTTTCCTACAATCTAGTCATTAATGTGGTTTTTGGTGCCTCCAGAGTAGCAGCCACTGCAAGCACTAAAAAACTTGATTCTGAGAAGCTTGGGTGCTGATTTGGCTATTGATTACACTGAGGAGAATGTGGAAGACCTGCTTGAGAAATTTGATGCAGTTGGTAATTGATTAAGAACTAATCTTCATTCTTCATTTCTGTTTGTTTACTAATTATGTGAAATGAAAGCGAAATAATTATGATATGAACCAAAAAACAAGCCATTGAATATTAACTTGGCAAGCTGATGCAGAAGAAGAATGAAGACAATCTCACTTCAATTTATTGTATATTAACTTGGCATGCTGGTTTATAAATATCTCTGTACGGCACCTCTAAACCGCCCGCTTACTAGCCATTGAAAGAGTCTAAATTGATCGTCAAAATTCTTTTACTATTTTTTTTTGGTCGAGATTCTTTTACTATTTGATGTCATAAAAATTGAGCTGATATATTGGACAACGTAATTCTCAGAATACTTGCTTTTTAGAAAGACAGAGTTCGATCATAATCTGAGTAAGTCATCCCAATTCTCAATCTGGGTTTCTTCAATTATGGATTTTTCTTTCATAATTTCATGATTGAGGCTTGATTGGTTTTAGAAAATTTTGTACTATTATTTATGGTTGAGGTTACATGCAATTTGGTCATGTGGTAGAATTTCTCTTTGTAAACATCAACATCTTGATCTTGCACATTGACTTTGTGCACTCAAGCCATCAAAAGAGGCTTAATACGCGAGGGCTTGTAACTCTAGTGGTAGAGAGCGTTTAGCCCACACTCAAAAGCCAGAGTTTGAATCTGTCCCCTCTCCTTTGTAGATGGAATGAGGAAAAAAAAGGAGGCTTTTTAATTATCTCGTTTTTTCCTTTTGAATACAAGTGATAATCTAAAGTACAAAGGGATGGAGATTTCTCATATATACACTATTAAGGTGTCATGGAGTTTGAACCCGAAATCATTGGTCTACAAATCAAAAGGCCTTTTTTCACTGGGCTAGATGGCTTTAACGACCTTCATTTAGCTATTGGGCAAGTAGGAGAAATGCTAGCTGCGGCTTGAATATTCTGTGTTTGGTGTACTTTTCGTGCTTCCTGTTTGTTTTTGCAGCTTTTGGTGCTAGTTAATTATAAGACGGCTTTGCAGCTAAACTCCAAAAACTAGGGGATCTACAAATATTTTTTCCTTCTTTTAAATATATTTTTTTTGTCGGATTCCTTCATGTAAATATTAGTCAAAACTCAGAATTATTGGGAGGAACAAATTTAATCCTTTTTTCTCTTCTTCCTCAGTTTTGCTACTTTATCCAACCTAGGAGCTGTGAAGGGGGAAGAATTTGATATCATGGCAAATTCTAAGCTGCAAGCAATTTGGAACCACCCAGCCGGCCCAAAAACTAGTTTGTTTACTTCTCTAGTTAATTAATTCTGTTTCTCTTACTCTACATGTTTTGAAATGTTTGTGTTCATCATTTAGCCATATTGTCGTTCTTCATTTCTCAATGATGAATTGCTGATATCAAAGTTTGAAAGCTTGATCATATCCGAGTTTAGTTCATTTTTTAGTAAATACCATGCTAATCAGCAAGATGGTGCTTAATTACCATGCATGATGCATCAAAGTTATTGAGATTCAAGAACATGATTGAGATTATTGGTTTCTAAGTCAGAAACTAGTTTATCTGAGAAAGAAAACCCTCATCAGTTTTTAAACCCAGGCCTCTGATTTGATTTAGGTACAAGCTTAGGCCTCAGATTTTTGTGGGTAAAACCAGAACTTTCCCAATTGATCATAGGATATATGAACACTTGTTGTGATAAGAATTTGTAGAAGAACATCAGAGCCACTCATATGTTAAAGGTTTATTATTATGTGTTTTAATTTTGCAGTTCATTTTTGGGCCCCAACTTTTAAATGGGGTCTAACCATTGCAAATATTCTTGACTCCTCAAAACCACCTGAGGACTTATCCTATGCTCAGCAATCAGGTTGGTTGAACTGCTGAATCGCTTATTTCTTTGAGGCCTATATCTTGTCAATTCTACAGACGAGTTTACATTAGGGTCCGTTTGCAAGTGTTTTTAGAATGGCTAAATGCGCATTCAAATAACTAACAGCACTCCCAAACGGGTTCTAACTAGTACAGTAGCACTATGACTTTCTGGTTGTTAACTCATTACTGATAGAAACTTTTGTCATCCCCATTTGATGATCTCCAGTCCTTGCATGCAGTGGACTTATATGGGCAAGATACAGCACATTAATTAAACCAGTAATTGATTCTAAACCTCAAATTATCAATTAGAGCAAACAATTTGCAGTTGAAGAAGTTTCTTTTTGTCCAAGAAATTTGTTGTATAAGTTTGAGATAGATTCTTCAGTTATTATAGCTTGTCCATTTTGAGATTGCAGAAGAACTGGAATCTTGTCAGTGTCAATCTTGGGATGTCTCTAACTGCCCTGTTTCAACTGTCACGTAAAATTCAGTAAGTCGCTATTTGCATATTCTGCGTCTTTGTTTTCAACAATAATTAATTACAATGGATTGATTGTCACCCATTTCCATATTTTCCAGGCATGACTCATCTGCCAAAAACCAGCAAGCTTCTGCAGAAGAAGAATAAAGACAATTTCACTTCAACTTATTGTATATTAACTTGGCATGCTGGTTTCTAGCTAGACAGACTCTTGTTCTAGTCATGTAAAATTATTATTACTTACAGTAAAACATAATCTTTCTCATGGATTATTGTTGGATTATGTTTGAACCTCATGGTTCAATTGAGGCCAGTGAAAAATTAACCTCATCGATTGCTTCTTTCTCCCTGACCTACTTTTATGACTGGAATGCTACATGTAGAGTTTTAGTTTGTATTAAGCAAAACAAAGAGATAACATTGGGGTCTGCAATGTGGTACATGTAGCAGAACTTCTCTATATAAACATCTTCATTCAGCACCTTTAAACCCCGCTCTTACAAGCCATTGAAAGGGGCTTAATTAGGTGGTAGAGGGCGTTTATCCCTGCACTCAAAGCCAGAGTTTGAATCCTTTCCTTTTCTTTTGGCCTTCCTTTTAACCAAAAGGAAAGAAAAACCTTACAAAGCTTTGGTAATTGCAGTATTTCAGTCACTAACAAGTTAACAACGGCTATTCGCCTAGAGAAAACAGCGTTCCATCTCCTAATTAGGAGCAATGCTAGCTGCTAGTTGTATTGTAAGGCTACTTTGCAGCATGATATGCCTATTACATAAACCAATTCATGAAAACCCAAAGAATATGACATAAACAGGTGATGTATAAGACTTGGTATTTCTTAATGGTGAAGATGCTCATGAAAAAGAGTTTAAAATGCCTTCAAAGTCACCTCTCAACAAATGAATAACTTGCTAGCTTAGTAGCCAAATTCCCAAACCAGGGGATGTACAAATTTTTAATGACTTTGACCAATCATAAAGAGCCAGAATTTTGATTCTATCCTCTGCTTAAATATTATACAGTCCCTTTCTTCGTAGTCAAAAGGTATTAGATCGACATAATATGATCAACATGTAAGTTCCTTTCTTCTTCCTCCTCAGTTTTGCTACATTACTTCAATCAAATAGAGAGAGAGAGAGAGAGAGAGAGAGAGAGAGAGAGGTCAAATTCTAATTTCATGGCGAATTCTAAGCTGCAAGCAATTTGGAACCACCCAGCCGGCCCGAAAACTAGTTCGTTTACTTCTCTAATTCCCCTTACTCTACAAATCCCTACATGTTTGTGTTGATCATTGAGCCATATTGTTCTTCAAATTTCTTAATGATGAATTGTTAGTATGAAAGTTTGATATCAAAGCATCCCCTGCAGATCATATAACTGAGTTCTGTACATTAAAGTTTTAGTAAGAACCATGCAAATCAGCTACACGGTGCTTTATTATTATTATGCATCAAAGTTATTCAAATTAAAGATCACCACTGAGATTATTATTGATTTCTAATTTTTTTTTAAATCCTCATCAGTGTTCAACAATCCCAGACCCCAGGTTATTGATTTTTCTTATGTCTCTTGTGTTTCAGTCAACCAAAATATGAAAACTACTGTTGTGATGCTAATTGTAAAAGAACATCAGAACCACTCATACATGTGTTTTAATTTTGCAGTCCATTTTGGGCTCCAACTTTTAAATGGGGCGTAAGCATTGCCAATATTATCGACTCTTCAAAACCACCTGAGCAACTCTCCTACGTTCAGCAATCAGGTTGGTTTAATATATATATATATATATATATATATATATATATCTCTCTCTCTCTCTCTCTCTCTGTTTTTTTTTTTGAGGCCTCTGATAGAAATTTTTGTCATCCCAATTTTATTTTCTCCAGCCCTTACATGCAATGGACTTATATGGGCAAGAAACAGCTTAATAATTACACCAGTAATTAATTCTAAACCTCAGTTCATTAATTTAATGCTTAATTTTTTTTAGGCCAATGATTTTGCAGTACATATAAGTTTTGAGTTTTTTCTTCATTTTGAGATTGCAGAAGAACTGGAATCTTTTCAGTGTCAGTATTGGGATGGCTGCAACTTCCATGTTTCAACTTTCACGTAAAATTCAGTAAGTATACGTAGTTGTCATTCACATATTTTCATTTTCTTTCTTATTTTGAAAAGTAATTACAATGAATTAATCATCATCCATTTCCACGTTTTCCAGGCATGACTTATCTCCCAAATACCAACAAGCTGCTGCAAAAGCATAATGAAGAACATCACTTCATCAACTTGTTATAGAGTAACTTGGCATACCAAGTTGGGCACACTCTGATTTGAGTTATGTAAACTGCTTATTAGTTTCTTTCTGTTTTGAAATACAATTGATGGTAAATTACGGAAGAGTGAGATTAAACTCGAGTGTAATGAATAAGCACACCGTGCCCAACTAACCGAACTATTTATGTTATAATTACTTGATAAATTATATTTTTTTATATGGATTATGTTTGTCAATAAAGCCCATTTTGGTAGCTGTGTCTTATGCTACGTTTTTCACCAATCACTCCATTTGTAATAAACATTGCTCCAAAAAAACTCTCCAAAAATTAAATGAATATAACAGATGAAGAGAAAGTTCTAAATAAATAAATAAAACTTACAAAAATCTAGAAAGTTCACTAGCTTGGCCGCGGTAATAATCCCTTCATCCCGATGGCCATGCGCCAGCACATACGTAACATACGGTCAACTACGCACTGCTGTTAATGTTGGCACTATTTCCAAATATTACTAAAGTACGCCGCCTCTTATCCTGCGCTCCCATTCCTATATAAGCAATTGATCGTCAAAATTCTTTTACCATTTGACGTCTTAAAAATTGAGCTGATATATAGGACAACGTAATTCTCAGAATATCCGCTTCTCAGAAAGACAGAGTTCGATCATAATCTGAGTAAGTCTTCCAAATTCTTAATCTGGGTTTCTTCAATATGGATTTTTTTCTTCATAATTTCATGATTGAGGCTTGATTGGTTTTAGAAATCTTTGTACTATTTCAATTTAGTTCGTTCATTTCTATGCCTATGGATGATGTTGATGGTTTGAAAACTGTTTGGCCATTTATTTTTTCTCAGTTTGAGCTGATTTTCGTTGAAATTTCAGGTGAGTTCTTGTTTGTTTTTGTTGTTTTTGTCAGTGGGTAATATTAGGAAATTATCGGTGCTTTTGTTTACCGCTAAAGTGGAAAACTTGATGTGGGTTTTCTATCTTTTTTCAAAATTTTGATGGTGGAATGAAGAAATGATAGTTTTCATTGGGTATTGAAAAGACTGATGATTTTCACTTAGCTTTCTTCATTATTGCATTTCAGTAAATAAAGTTTAAGAATTAAGTGTGCGTCTTGTATAAGTAATATTGGTTTGTTGGTAAATCTGCATACATTCTTATATATATCAGAAGTTGACGTTTTCTCCTTGGAGCTATAGCTATTATTATAGACAATAAAGATGCACATAATCAAAAACTTTTCTCACACCGTGTTTTGCAGGACAACATGCAAGATCCACAAGTTGAACACAACATTTGGGTCATATGGAGAGGAAAGAAGTTTAATGTGGAGATCAACGCGGGTGCTACTCTCAAGGACCTCGGGCATGAACTGCAAAAGTTAACTAATGTCAAAGCAGATACGATGAAGCTAATTGTTCCACAGTTTTCTGATAAAAGCTCAAAATTGCTATCTCCTTTCTCTGATGAGCATGAGAAGTTGAGTTTAGAGGAAACTTCAATCATTGAGGTATCATATTTAGTTGTCTTCGCATAAATGGTTTTACAATCAGAAAAATATATCTAGATATGGATACTGCTTATGGAGTTGGTTTTTGTACTTGTCTATAAGATCTGATAACTTGTCCCAAAAGAAGTTCAATGTCGGCGACTTAGATGGCAAGGCGGCACACTTAAGCGCCCTTTCAATTTCTGTTCAAGTTTCACTAATGATGTGCAATGAATTTATTTAAGGGGATAATCTTGCTATTTGATTGAATTTCTATGACTGAACTTTCAGAGTTCTTGCATGATAACTGATTGCTTTTATTCTTGTTCAGGGAAAGTCCATCAGAATGATGGGAGTGTCTGAACATGAGGTTGATGAAGTTTTACAACATGCAAAGACAAACTTAAGGATAGCTGGATTTGATGAAGAGGAAATGAGATTGAGGCAGCGAATGTCATACAGGCCTCATACTCTGAAACTTCCACAAGGACCTTATATCTTTTGTGATTTCCGAACACTTCAACTTCCAGGAATTGAGGTATTCTAAAATTATGTATGAGGAAATGTGAATATATTGAATTATCAATTTTTGGTAGAGGCTTTTAACTTCAACTTCTTGTTACTTGTCTGCAGTTGAACCCCCCGGTGTCAGAGGCATTGAAAAGAATGCACATGCTTGCTGCAGATCCTGGAATTATTTCTGTCATGAACAAGGTATCGTTGAATGCATATTCTCTCACACTTGTATAAACAGAATGTCCAGTATGCTGTGCATATGATTCCTTGTTATACTCTTATGCCCCTGCTGATAATTTATCTTTGCATTGTTCTTTTTAAAGCATCGTTGGCGTGTGGGAATCATGACTGAGATGGCCCCTGTTGGTTATGTTGGCATAAGTCCCAAATGCATCCTCGGCTTCAATAAGGTAATCACACTCTAAACATCAGAATATATGATGAAATTAGAAGCAATAGTATTTTCTCTTTTCTTTTAATTTCTGATTGACACTTGGTTGCTGTTGCAGAACCACGGGGAGGAGATATCTTTGCGCCTTCGAACTGATGACCTTAAGGGTTTCAGGAAATATGAAAGTATCAAGAAAACTCTTTTGCATGAGCTTGTAAGCTATATTTTTACCTCATTTTCACTGTGTGCACATATTTTGCGTGGGTACATTATTTGTCTGCAGAAGCTTTGTGTGGTGTATGCATATGATTACATGATATGGTGTTATGGTTTTAGGGGCCTTATAGTTTTCTTATATTAATTTCAGGCTCACATGGTATATTCTGAACATGATGCGAACTTCTATGCTCTGGATAAACAGGTAAAAAAAAATGGTGTTCATATGTGAGAGTGTGCATGTTTAGGCTTCCATGGTTGTTTCCACCTTAGTTTCCTTCATTTAATTTAATGTTATTTCTGTTTAGTTGAACCAAGAAGCTGAAAGTTTAGATTGGACGAGATCAAGAAGTCACACACTGAGTGGAGTGCAGTATTCAGATCATTATGAAGAAAATTTCTATGTTGGAGGCAGAAGTAATTCTTCTCAGAAGCTTGGAGGAAATATGTCAGATCGGCTTCCAAGTGCTCGTACATCTTCAGTGGCTGCTGCTTATCAACGTCTAGCAACTGCTCATGATAGTGTGTCTGAAGTACATGAAGAATCACACCCTGATGATTCCATCCCCCATATGAAAAAAGAATCCAGCCATACGGATTTTGTGGGAAAAGGAAACTTAGAGATCGGAAGTTCACACAAAATTCAGTGGAAACGTGATATGGAGCCTGATCCTGATGACCAGTCTGGTAATCAGAACAATTTTGAGCCCAGTCCTGATGAATCTTCCTCTCAATCTTTGGGAAGCAGGACACTTTTTGGACAAGATTTTAGTGAGTCTATGATGTCTCAACCTGTGTCACATTCGGTAAGTAACAGGAAGTTGGAAGGGACAGAGTCTCGTGAAGAACCAGATGCTGATTACATGGAAGCTTGCCTGAAGCATGATGTTGTAGCTGAACCTGAACCTTTTCACTCTCACGAGATGGAGATTTTGGAAAGCAGGATTCAGCTAAGGAATAATGTGGACGAACCAGATCCTGATGACTTGGATGCAAAACCAGATGATTTAGGATGTGGTTCTTATGGAAATATCATAAGACCTAACCATGATGATTGTTTGGTTAGTGAAACTATCAAATATGAAGCCCATCCAAGGAAGGTTCATAATGAACCTGATCCTGATGATTCTCAATCAAATGGAGTCATTCAGGCAGAACCTGATCCTGATGATTCTCAATCAATTGGAATCATTCAGGCAGAGCCTGATCCTGATGATAATTTGGTGCATCCACGGGAAATATCCAGAATGCAGATTGATGAACCTGATCCAGATGATGAAGAATTTCAAAGAATTCAAGACCCTGTGACAGTTTTTTGTAAACGCTTACGGGAGAACATTGAGTTGCTGCAAGCTGAGGTTAATCCCACACAGACTACCACAGTCCTCCAAACTCTCTTTAAGATAATAAGGTACAGTAATCTAATTTGACTTTAGCTTGTAGCCTTCCTCCATGCACATTTAGAAGTTTTTCGATTGGTGTATCACCAGCCGGTTTTATCTTTTTATTTTTTACGAGCATGGGATGGGTCACATTTATATCCAGTCTCTTGCTTTGAAGCAACTTATAGAACTAAGTATAAACTGTATTGTTATGTCAATCTGTTGTTGTACCTGTCTACATTGAGTTGTTCATTGTGGCTTATCCATATTCTTTGTAGGAATGTGCTCGAACACCCAGGTGAGATTAAATACAGAAGACTGCGCAAGGTACAACATTATTACCCTGAATAATATGTCATTTTACCTTTAATATTGGAGTTTCCTCCTTGTTAAATGTTTCTCCTAATAGCTGACGGGTGATATATTGCAGGCTAACCCGGCAATCCAAAGGAATGTGGCAAACTACAAAGGTCTGAAACTTTTCTTACATCTGGATTTTATGTTTATTAATCTGGTTTAAGGAATATTTCCCATATTTAAATGGAACTCTGAGGGGTTGGAAAATAATTATAGTAATATATCTGATAATTTTTCTGCTTGAATTTAAAGCTGTAGCTTCATGATGAAAAATGAACAACTTTAACCTTCTCCCCCTCTTCGTGATTATAGCTGCCATGGGTATCCTTTTCCTGATTGGCTTCAATGAAAATGTTGTGGATGAAATTGGAAGACCAGAAACTTATCTAGTGTTGAAGCGGGATGATCCGGGCTTATTATGGCTTGCCAAGTCCTCCCTTGAGACATGTATTACTTTCTAGTCCTGGAAATATCAACATATGGAGTTCTACCTGAAGGCTACAATTGAGGCAAAAAGAGTCTATTTTTTCTCTACTGTATTGTGCTTCATGTAATGCATGCTTGGTTGTACATTTGATTGTAACGTGTTTAAGTAGATGTATACATATGATTGTTCCACACTGACTCTACTACTTTTAGGCTAATAAATAAATAGTTTTGTATCTTTGTATTGGCCTGCTTTGCTGAAAAAGAAACTTACCTATAATGGGAATATTATTGTTTTGTTATCCTATGTTTTCTTCTTCTTCTTTATTTATTTTTAATTTTATTAATTTTCTTTTTGAATATATTATACTTAAATTTTATATTAAAATTAATTATTTTTAACTTAATATTAAATAATTTTTAATTAATGAAATTGACGAAATTGAGAAATTAGACTTGATTTGTTAAGAGCTGCAAATACAGTGACCAATCGGCCTCATGTTTGTAGTCGGGCAATAATGAATCGACGAGATTGTTAGTGTACAACTACTGTGGCGACACCCAACAGAGGCAATGTAGAGGGAGAGTTTTGGAAGAGGTGAAAGAAAGGTTTTAGGCACACCCAACAGAGGCAGTGTAGAGGGAGAGTTTTGGAAGAGGTGAAAGAGGTTTTAGGCCGTTTGGTTCACCGAACGAATTTGAGGAGAAAGGATGGAAGGGATGGGAAATGAAGGTTTTAGGCCCCGTTTTGTTACTGTCTCTCACTGTTCTCTTTCTTCTTCTCCTCCCCCATTCCCCCGATTCTCTGGCTCTCTCTCACTCTCTCTCTCTCTCTTTCCCACTCACGCTCTCACTCTCTCTCTGGGTTCCTTGGTCAACTTGTTTTGAGTCAACAAGTTCCCACGTATTAAGATAATAGTGGGTTGAGTACAAATATGATTACATGCATTCTACCAGTCGCATACTCAATAATTTTCGTGTTTAAGTTTCTAGTTTTAAATTTGATGAATGCATGATACTTACTAAAGACACGTTCCTTACATGCACTGTTTTTCCTTGTTCATTATACAAGTCTTTTTCTTTTTCTCAAAACAAAATTCCTTATGTGCTGTCCAGGTGGTACTAGGTGGTGGTCAGGATGCATCAGCTGTCACCACAACTGATCATCGTTCGTGCTGGGAAATTCGAAGCCAAATTCTATGACGAGGTAGACTTTACTACTTTTGTTTATATTTTTTGTAGTCGGTTGTTGTCACTTCAGTACATCATTTTTTTTCCCAATGACATATGTATAGGTTCTTCAAGAAGAGATTGGAGGTGTTAAAGGGCATTTTGGACCTATAAATGCTTTGGCTTTCAATCCTGATGGAAAGAGGTACAGTTCAATCCCATACAGTTCAAGGAGCAAATTCTTCTGAATTAGAATTGGACTGCATTTTAAGTATTCATTGTGATATATTTGTACATGAACAATTTGTTTAGCTACAAAAAGTTATTTTAACCATAGAACCGAGATGAAATTTTGCATAATTTTTATACATAGTATCCGGCATATGTACCTGGTTAAAAGTCTTTAAAAGGGTGCTACAGTTTAATTTATGCGGTAGGTATGACGGTATCAATGTTTCTCAACTGATAAGTGGGTTATTATCTGCCTGTTTGCATTGAGAAAATTGTCATGGACAGGAATTTCATGTTTCTGTAATCAGAAGTATTTTAGCATTACTGTCCCTTTGTTTGTGTAATGATTTGTTTATTTTATTGTATTTTGTGACTGTCAGTTTCTCTAGTGGAGGTGAGGATGGTTACGTACGTCTACATCACTTTGACTCAGATTACTTCAACATCAAGATTTAGGTTGCAGCGTACTTTGATATCAATTCTCACTTTGGAGCGTGCTGGAAAAGCTATTTCGCCCTTTCCCAAACCATCTGTTTCCAGCAATTTTTTCTGTAGTTCTGGTATTGGGATTAAACAACCCTGTTCTGTATTTGTTCAAGAAGTACTGTGTTACATTATTTCATTTTCTGTTCTTAGAGCATTTCCACCCATTTGCCATGGCAAAAGGCAAGGAGAGGCAAGGGTTGGTACTATTCATATGAATAGTGCTTGCTCTAGCAATTTTTTGTTGGTTTTCCACCATTTGCCATGGCAACCCAAGGACAACTACTATTTACATGAATTTGTATAGAGTTTTGATGCGGGAAGTGAAAAATATGTCAAGCTATTTATAAAAAATAAAATTTCTGAAAATTTTTGGTATTTTTTCAGATTCTGTTTTTAAAAAATTTCGTTGCTAATGCCAAGTCACAACCTTAAGGCAATAATAGCTCATGCTGTTTTTGCCTTCAGGCTTACCAGGGCTTGTGGAGCCGATGCCTTGCCTGGGATGTTTTGTACTGTTGGAAATGCTTCTTGGGCTTAGGCCCCCTCTTGCCCGGGCTTGGGGGCTTTGCAGAAACTGCTCTTTGTTGTGTGGAATAGGCTATCCGATCCGATCTGATAACTTGTTAACTAATTGAACATGAGCCCAGTTAATCCAAATTGGTGATAATTTGATTGCCTTAATACGATATTAAATTGTGTTTAAATTTATGTTTGTTGTAAATGTTGTATATATTTGCATGAGTATATATTTATGTGTTTATCATTAATTTGTCCAATTTTGTTGTTGGAATGGATTATGACACCAGCCAATCCAATCCCATATTGGATCCGTTTAAATGAAAGCATTTGTCAACAGAAAAAACCACTTTCAACATAAGGGAAATAAATCAAGGAGAATATTTGAATAGGATAATCAGAGTGAGAGTGAAAACGAAACTCTCCACATTCAATTCTAATCAATCCAAAAGTTCACTGGTGAGATGATATTAAACAGAACTCGAAGTTGAAATGCCAACGCTTCCTATTAGTAGCACAAACTCAAAGACCTGCCAGCCAAGGAAGCCTTTTGCATGCTCCATCTCTTTTATATTTATCCAATTGGGGAGTAAAAATGCAACAAACCTCGATGATAGGAGCTTCTTGGGCCTTGGATGACCTCCTAACGATCTCAATAACAGTAAATCTGCTCGTGTATATTTTCCATGCAATCAATGGACAACTTCAGAGAAATACGGCCACCATTTAATAGTATCACACCGACCAATCACCCACTTTTACCAATGCTTTTTATCTTTCATCATAATACTTCTACCGAACATAGAGAAAGGGCGGATTTGAAAGGTTGCAAAAAGTGCAACCAGAGGTGAGTTTTGGAAATGCAAATCCTATTAAGCTTGGGTCAGAGGTCTCATGGACGTTGGCAATAACATCAAAATTAAGCAGACAAAATTTACAAGAGTAGATGTAGTGAAGATAACTTTGTATTAGGCCATGCGTAAATGAAAAAAATAGTTCCACTTACAGAACTGAAACTAGAGAAAAGAAAGACATCCATCCTTGTCACCCTGTCAAATCTTATATACCGTAGTATGAGCGGTCACTCCCAATTTACATCCAGATATTAATAAAACTCATCGGAGTTAGGCAGGATACTTTGCTCCACAGTTGATCCGCAAAAGGGGCTTTCAAAAACAGGAAATTCAAGAACTATCCATTGAAATATCACTTGTGTTTGAATTTGGTGGACTCGCACCAAAAGTGCTCCCGGAGATGTCATTTCGAGCCTGGCTGGCTCCAAATGTAAACTCCAGCGGAGGAATATCTAGGGCAGGCCGGGAAAAAATGGAGGTTGTGCCAACATTGTTAAATGCAGGGATAGGAACTGAATCATTAACTCTTGGGAATCCAAAGCTGAACGAAGGTGCAGCTACTACCGGTGGGAAGGCTGGCAAGGTTGGGTTGACACTACCAGCTGATCCAAAGATCTTCTCCTCATACTCCTGCAGTTGCCGGTAGTAAGCTGCATCCATAAACACAAATGAAAGTCAGAGATGTAAAATTATTCAAAACTAAGTGGACAACAATGTTCACTTTGTTTGAAGTATGGACATGTTCTAAGTTTCCTGCAGAGGTCCCTCATCAAGATGAAAGAGGGAAAAACAAGGTGCAATAGTATCTACCCACCCAACCAAATAAAAAAATTTCATTCCAGTGTAGTCAACAATATCAGCATTTATCAATCTCTATGCAAGCAGGCTAGTTTCCAACATCAAATGTTCTGGCTTGTGTTCCAATATCTAAAGTTATTGTTCAATTGAATGCTCCTTTTAAGAAATGCTGAGACAGATCTTCATTGCATACCTTCACTTAATTCAACAGATGGTCTCCGTTCTTTCACCCACTGGTAACACTGGGCAAGTCTCCATCCTCTGGATTTCATCAAATAAGCTATTACAATAGCCGGCGACCTGTTAGAAAGAACATAAATCTCATGAAATAAACGAGAAAAAGCATTTCCTATGATTAAGGATTTAGTAAAAACCAATAGGCTGGTGGTAGCTAAGCGACATATTAACTGCACTCTAGAGTTGTGTGTGCAACTCAGTGCGCACTTTAGGAATGTACCCAGAAAGTAACTAAAAATATTTTGAATTTTTTTTTTTTCAAAGCATGATTTTCGGTAGTTCACCTATTTTTCCCTGACATGCAGTGCACTAAAACACGAGCTTTGTCCCTTTCACACTGCTCTGCAAAATCAAGCACGCTCCATTCAGTAGGAAATTTAAGCAATAGAATACAAATTTGAACTGCTATAATAAGGTCCATCTCATTGTTCCAACTTTCCATTAGCTTTATTGTTTCAAACTTGATTTGCGGCCCTTAGTCCAAAGGTTATAACAAGAAAAGATAACGTGAGAATGGATATTGGGGTAGTTGACAGGTAAATCTATATAACGTTTTTGTGTTGCAAGCATGCTGAACCCAGTGGATGGTACCACAATGTGACAGCAGAATCCACATATTTCGTCAAATAAAGTAAGAATTCAAATAAGGGGGCAATTAGGTAGTGTGAATCAAGAAAGCATTCATTGTTATCATAATAAGCAAAACAGGGCCAAGTAAAAGGCTTGCTTAAAAGCTCAGGAACAGTAAAAAACGTTTCTGCCAATAATCTTTACTCATCAAAATTCAATCTGTTTAGCTATGAAGTATCCCACATTAAAGAACCCCTCAAGATTAAATTTTTCCAATGTTTATGTTAACAAGTTTCAATGGCTCTGGAAATACTTTAATCTATCCTACATCAGGAGTTTTTTTATGAAGGAGAATCTATAGAAAACCTATAAACCAATAAGCTGAAAATGTACCCGGCTAAATAGAAAGCAACAGAAAAATAAAATTTAAATGTGTGTATGTCAGTGAAGGAAGTAAAAGGTATGTCCCAACTATCACTAAAACAATTTCCAATTAGAAAATCCCTGTTATTTAAACATATTATGAGCCAAATTGATTTGCATCAAAACCATATACAGAACTGGCATACATTAACCACATATGCAACCCAAAAAAGGAGTACATACCTAAAAATTGATTTGCATCCTCAAATTGCAAAATTTTGTCATCTTGGAGGTAGTGATAAGTGAAAGAGTTCTTGTAAAGATTTTGACAAGCTGGAACCGTCTGCATATAGAGTGAGAAAAAACATTACACAAGAATGTCAAGCATTTAATTGCTGGAGACTAACTATTTTAAGCACACACAAAAAAGCTGAGATGTGTACATATATATGCATGAATGTATGTATATGAATGTTTCCACACTAAAATCACATGTTAATTCTCAAAATACAAATCATCTAAAACAACTCAATGACCATATTCCAATAAATTCAGGTCAAGAAGTAAACCACTCATTCTTTATCCAGGTCCATATATACTCATAACCCCAAACACAGCCTTTATACACCTTTCTTAGCCTTCCTATTGTCCTTATAGCTCCTTGAGAACAAAACGAATCTTCCACAATCTAGGATGAACTTTATGCATTGATGCTACTATTTACTTCTTCATGTTGTACTCATGAATCTCAACATCAGCTCAACTACTTTAAGCTTATAGACACCCTAACTTTTGATCTCAACCACTACATTTAACTAAGCATAGATGGTCCCGTAGCTATCTCATTGAATTCTCTGTACACTTCCTCATTCTGCAAGTTCCCTGCAGGTTGAGATCAAACCACTAGCGCAGATAACATTCACAGCTTTAGTATCTCTTATCCATAAAAAAATGGATTAAGTAGAGACAAAGCACGTATCAAACACTCAATACTGTTCTCCATTTGACGGTACTCAATAATACTCCGCATACCCGTCCAATTAGCACAATCAACATACGAAAACGAATGCCAATGAAAAAAATCGAACCTTTAAATTAAACTGACTCTTCCAAAACAGCAAAAACCAAACCCAAAACTCGTTCTTGTATTTACAATTTTATTACCAGGCATTAAAAAAAAACTAAGGTTAAAAGTCTTACGTTTAGAACACGAGAGATTCCCTGAGTCTTGAGAAGCTCAGAGCGCGAAGCGTTATCGTAGCTACCCAAATAGAGAAACTCTGGCACGATCGCAGAAGGAAAGGCACTAACTGGGATCGAAGTTTTGTCGGATAAATCCGGCATTCGATGGCCACAAACCCCACAGACCTCTCCTTCTTCGTATTTGTGATAGTGGCCACAAACCCCACATGGATTCTCCCTCTCCCTCTTCCTCATAGCCTAAGGCAGCGATTAGACCCCGACCCAGATGTGAAAAAGACTTCTAAATCACAGAATACCAAAAACCCAGATCAATAAATAGAGAAATCGATGCGGATTGCAAGAGAGCGTGCCAAAAAATCAAAGTGGGTCGTTAAAGCTTTCGACTTTGATAAAGCCTGAAGTGGGAAAAACGAAAAAGATAGATTTATAAAGAGAGCTAGAGACAGAGAGTGAAGAAGTAGAGGGCGTTACAAGGAAGCCTCTTTTTTATCAGATAGATGATGAGTTTTGAGTTCTCGGATTCGCGTTTTGGCTTTGGGCTTCTCTCACTGACAAACGCTGTCCTAATAACTGTGAGATACAGCAGTATGAGAAAGAAGAAAGACAGGAAAAGCTATGAGATCAGGGCAGTGTCTTTATATATATTTGTTGAATATTTTATTTCATTCACTATTTACAGAAGACGTGGAAGTCTTAGATGGATAGAAATTAGAACAGAGATAGGATAAATTTTTGGGGTTGTCTATGTTTGTTGGTTAACTTTTTTTTTGTTTTTTGTTTTGGTCTGAATTGTTTAACTTGCTTTTGTTTTGCTGCTTTCAGATTCTCCTTCTTGTTGTTGAAGGCCGTGTGATAACAGTACAGAAAAGCCCAGATTTCCTTTTCTTTTGATGATCATCATCCACAGGAGGGCTTTTCCCCAAGCCCCACCCATTAGTACCCAATCATGGTGTTCATTTGGACCACCTATTGTTTTGGGGCCCATTTACCTCCTCCCCAATCACATCACACCATCTGGATTGTACTGTTCACTAGGACTCAATAGCATAGTCATGGTCAACAGCATGGTTTTTGCTCAAGCTTGACGTTAGGTATCATTCAGCATCGCATTGACAAAATTGACCCTTTGCACTTGGTCAAACTTCGCTATAACTAAAAGAGAATGTGATAAAATATTTGCAGTATCTTTCAGAATCAAAGTTGAAGGCATCAATTCTATACCCCAATTTTCCTTTCTACTGCTCCGTTTCTAGCAGTTGTTAATGAAACACTTCAATTGTATTATGTTTCGATTTTTATTCTTGCATTCTACTTCACATTTTAAAATGAGATGGACAAGAGTTCAACTTTTATCATAAATACATGAAAAACTACTTTACCGTTGAAATTATAGTCAATATATTGATAAGATGATGCCATTATACCAAGAACTAGTGGTAAGCGATGATAAAGAAACAATTTAATAGATTGTGTGAATATATGAATAAAGGTCAAAAGTCACTTTTGGTCTATGTAATTTGGCACTTTAACCACTTTTGACCCTATAGTTTCAATTGCGTCAATTTTTCCATTGTAGTTTTGTATTTGTAGCAATTCAATGACATGTTAGTATTATTGTCAATTTCTTTAACGATGAAATGGGCAATTTCTTCAACAAAAAACCCTTTAGCGTAAAAGCTTGTTTGAAATTCTCCCCATTTCATATTAGGGCTCGAAATTCAACCATTAATCCCAATTTTTTAAGAACCCTAAACTCAAATGACCAATTTCAAGCCCTAATATGAAATTATGGGAGTTTCATACGAGCTTTTATGCTCAACAATTTTGAGTTGACGAAATTACCCCTTACATCTTCAAAGAAATTTACAAGAATATTAACTTGTCTTTGAATTGCTACAAATACGAAACTACAAGGTCAAAATTGACGGAATTGAAACTATATGATCAAGAGTGATTAAAGTACCAAACTATAGGGATGAAAAGTTACTTTTAGCCATGAATAAATACTTCACAACTATAAAGACACTGCAAGTCAAGAAATATTATTAGATCAAATATCAAGAATAACTAAAGGAAACATTTTTTTCATCAAAAATAAAAAATAAAAAAGGAAACATTTCATGGGTTGCATGCGTATGATGGTAAGGCCCAAAGTAAACCCAAATTCCATTGGGTTGAGGCTTTCAGCAAATCAATAGACGAGTCGATCCAGGCAAGCCCAGGAAGATATCTCAACGAAACAAAGGTACGTTTAAAAGAGCCGAACCCAAAGCCATAGCCATTGTTGGCGCTTTGAAAGCTATGGCTGCTCCTGCTTGGCGCAAACTCTTCACTCGTCGCATGTCCTCTTCCTTTTTTGACCCCCCTCCACCTGTTCGTTCTCGCAGAGTCGTCGTCACTGGTACTCTCTCTCTCTCTCTCTCTCTCTAAAATTACTACAACTTTCTCTCTGCGTGTGTATAATCTTTGGTTTTGCAGGGTTGGGCATGGTAACTCCATTGGCGTGTGGAGTGGAGACTACGTGGAAGAGACTGATAGAGGGTGATTGTGGCATAAGGGCATTGACCCCTCAAGATCTCAAGATGAATGGCTTTGATACAGAGACCCAATCTTACACTTACGACCAGCTCACCTCCAAAGTCGCGGCAATTGTGCCCTGTGGAACCAACCCAGGTGAATTCAACGAGGACTTGTGGTTCAGTTCAAAGGTATTAATTTAATTTGGACCTTCCTGATGCTTAACCATGCTATTTTTCAGTATCAAGTATCAATAATTTAATGTTTTTGTGTAAAATGTATTTATGTACGTTTATTTTATGTCAGGAGCATCGTTCAATGGCCAGGTTTATTGGGTATGCTCTATGTGCTGCTGAAGAAGCACTTAAAGATGCTAATTGGATGCCCACCGAGCCTGATCAAAAGGAAAGAACGGTAATTGTTAATATTATTAAGTGGGTAAATTTGAAATGAAAGAAAAATGTGGGCATATTTTAACTTACGAATGGCAGGGTGTCTCAGTTGGTGGGGGAACTGGAAGCATCAGTGACATATTGGATGCTGCACAACTGATTTGTGAGAAGGTTGGTTCTTTTAACTACCCTGTAAATGGTATGAACAGATTTTGGTTTTTGCATTTCGATTTCCCCTAATATCTATGCAATGGCCTGGGAAATTGCAGAAAAAATTAACTTGTTTGTGCTATTTGTGTTTGTATAAACAGCGTCTTCGTCGGCTTAGTCCTTTTTTCATCCCCCGGATATTAATCAACATGGCATCTGGTCATATCAGCATGAAGTATGGATTCCAGGTGCGTAAACAACTTGCAAACTGAGATACATTTTGTTCTATATGTTATGGGTATTATGTGGACAAAGGGCTGGCTAGGCATGCAACTCCATCACCATATGGACAACACAGGCTCTGATCAGGATTCAGATGGTGCCTTGTCCTCTAGATGCTTCTGATTTCATTGGCCAATTGATTTCTATATATCAGCTTGTTGAGTTGGGTGGGAAGATCACTTAATTCTGATATATTTATTCAAAAAATAAAAATAAAATGCCCTCTTAGATTGAGTTGCTGGTCATTAGCTGTCATGTTTTTTTTTAAAATTTTTATAGTTTGAAGTTGACACCTATCCGTTAAACCATTAGAGTGATGAGTTGGCAAGACTGGCAAGAACTACAACTGGCTGGAACTCGTTAAGCCATGAGTCTTAAATTTTTATTTCAATTTTTCAAACCAAAATGTCCCTCTGTAGTTTGAAGATCATGCAGACTGATTTTCCTATAATAAAACATATATCTGGTGTTATTTTGAATATAGGGACCAAACCATGCTGCAGTGACAGCTTGTGCTACTGGTGCACATTCTTTGGGTGATGCCACAAGGATGATTCAATTTGGAGATTCAGATGTTATGGTGGCTGGAGGCACAGAGTCTAGCATTGATGCTTTATCAATAGCAGGATTTTGCAGGTATATTGTGCCATACATTATAACTCTTTATCTGACTGAGCCATGTACTGCATAAGTGCACAGACCTTCTTTGTTTCTCATTTCGTTTGGTAGCTGTTGCACAGTTTCTTTTACTGCTCATACTGAGTTCACAACATACATTGACTCGTAGCATAGTTGGCTCTGCGTACAAAAGTTAACCTCACTTTTTAAGGCGGCGTACTTTCTCTTCTCAATTTCTAGGTCAAGGGCTTTAACTACAAAATACAACTCTTCCCCTCAAGAATCATCACGACCTTTTGACTGTGGTCGAGATGGGTTTGTGTAAGTAAATACTCCTGGAAAGGTTTCTTTATATAGGTTGCTTGTTGCTGTTTTGTTTTTTGATGCTTCCTGTTATCTAATCTTTACTTTGAACGCAGGATAGGTGAAGGTTCTGGAATCTTGGTCTTGGAGGTAGTTGAGACATCAATTCTTGAAAATATAATTCTCTAAGGGCTTCTCTTGTATTTCCATTTCTTAATGGTGTATTTGCTATTGTGTTAATATTTTTCCAATGAAGGAGCTTGAGCATGCAAAGAATAGAGGAGCAAAAATTTATGCAGAAATTCGTGGTTATGGAATGTCAGGTAGTTTACCATAAACACAATAAATTGTATCTGTTTGATAGTGCTCTGCTAACATATTAATTTTTGAAGTTATTGACTCTGTACAGGAGATGCACATCACATTACTCAACCACATGCTGATGGAAGAGGTGCCATTCTGGCCATGACGAGTGCCTTTAAACAGGTAAATGGGCATGTATGCACGTTCTTAAAATCATTTTGCTCATCTGAGTGACATCCAAGGATGCCTGTTGCCCCCTACACCCCCCTCCCAAATGGGAATCGTGGATGAAAAATCATGATGTGTATGTAGTTGACTTGCATAATAATTGCCTCGCATAGAAAATTACTAAGTTGGTAGATATAAGATTGTAATGATTGCCCTAACTACATACCTAGAAAGGTCCTTGTTTATGGTGTGATCTAATAGGTGCCCTGAACAAATTCTTCCTGATGTAGTTAATTTTCTGTTCTCAATATACATGCGGAGATAATTGGGATTTATAGTAATGCACCTGCCCTTGACTTGCAGTCGGGTATTCATCCAAAACAAGTGGATTATGTAAATGCCCATGCCACCTCAACACCTTTGGGTAAGTGATTTGGACCTTTAGAAGTTGCTACGCTTTAATGTTTTCAGCTGGTAGCTTTAGAATGCCAGTATGTGCTGAAACTAGTATAGTTGTGGCTTATCTTGTTTTTATGTACTATTCAGGTGATGCAATAGAAGCCAATGCTATCAAACATATTTTCTCTGACCATGCGACATCAGGTGCTTTAGCCTTGTCCTCCACCAAGGTAAATTTAAGTATTTCTGACGTAAAAAATGTAACTTGTGAAGCTCAATATTAAGAAGCTGTAGCTTGTATCTAAGTGGTGTTGTATTCTTGTTTTCTTCGCTTATAAAATTTCAGGGAGCTATTGGTCATCTCCTTGGTGCAGCTGGAGCTGTTGAAGCAATATTTTCTGTTTTGGCCATACACCATGTAAGTTGTTGCTTTGATGATTGAGATGGAAACAAATATCCACAGAAAATATAGCTGACTGATAATATATAGTTTTGAAGGTTCATGGCAAAGTCATGTACCGAACCTTGCCCAGTTGTGCTAACATTCAGAACCAATAGGAGGACTTAAATAAACAAGACAAAACTACAGGACCTGTTTCTCACTTGGATTGTAGTAAACATATCAACTGTTTGTGTTATTGCATCATGTGAACAAATTAGTGGATTTGTGTTACTGAAAAATTGTCTGCATCAGTGACAGTGACCTTTCTTTTTGATTTGTTACTTTCCTGTTTTATTGCAGGGAATTGCACCACTAACACTGAATCTCTCAAAACCAGATCCGGTGTTTAATGATGCTTTCATGCCTCTGACAGCTTCAAAGGAAATGCCAATAAGAGCAGCTTTGTCGAACTCTTTTGGCTTTGGAGGAACAAATGCATCCCTGCTGTTTACATCTGCTCCTTGACAAATGGGGTTGGTGATATCTTCTCGTTCAGAATGTATACCACGGGCATCATTCTCCGAATGCAAAAAGATCTGCAATATCCAAACATCTTCTAGAAATGGAGCTGATGGGATATCCAAGTGTCATGGCCATAAATGCAATTTTCTTTCCATAATTTTGATATTTATTATAGATGAGATTAGTGGTAGTAGGCTAGCCCAACATTTCAGTTGCATTTCAACTGTAATCACGGTTAGCTTGACAGGAGATTACGTAGGTTTTCTTGACAACTTTTCCTCACTAACAGAACTAGCTTTGAGGCTCATGACTTCGGTTTCAAGAGACAGGCCAATGAACCGTTGTTGGCCCAAAGTGAAATAAGTCGAAATGAATATATTGTTGTACTGATAATGTAATTTTGTCCATTAATATTAATATTTATTTATTTATTTATCAATGGAGTGCGGGGAGTTCGAATTTGGAACTTCTTCCAACATTAGATAAAGAAGTATCACTAGAACAAGAGTTAGTTCGTGTGTGGTTTGATAAATGCCGTCGTTACCTTTCTCACCAATGGAACTAGGAATCTTGCAAGACCAGTGAGCCCTTTTTCATGAAAATACTGCAACTGCAAACTCCTCTTAAACTCAAAGATTTCAATTTTCGAAATATCATATATTGTAAGAACATACTAGGGCACTGAGTTAGCAGTCCTGATCTCAGGAAAATACGAGGCTCTTAGAATGACCTAATGTCTAGAATTACGTTAATCCATGTTGTATTGATAATATCATTGTTATATTCCACCACCACCACAGCCTACCAATGCTAACTCAAACAACAGCCTACAATTGATCTACTGAAAATTGATTACATATCTCTCTCTCTCTCTCTCTCTCTCTCTCTCTCTCTCTCTCTCTCTCTCTCTCTCTCTATACATATTACATATGCTAATGCTGGACAAAATGAGCCTAAAACTTTATGAATCTAAGCGTGCATAGATTTGAAACCCTCTGTAAGAGGAACCACTTTTGCCGAGAGCTTAGACTGCAACTTTGATACAGCTTGACGAATGTCCTGCAATTGAAGGAGAAACGTTCATTGACTAATTTCTGAAACAAACAGATGATCAATGGACATACGATTTCCTAAATGATATTCTTATGCAACAACACGACATAAGCTACCACAGGATTATTAGATGTTAGTATCAGAAACAAAGACAAGGCTTGGTTCAGATAAGTAATACCTCTAAATGGTAGCGGGAGGAGAAATGGGTCAACAGAACTGACTTATTTCTAATCCATTGGGCGTTTTCAATGATCTGCATTTGTAACACAGATTAAATTTAAAATCACAGTTTATGTAAGATGCAAGATTGTCATTAGTTAATGAAGAGAGAACTATCTAAAAGTCAGAAACAATTTTAAAAACCAAATTTTCACATGCCTCGTCTATATGAGTATGACCATGTTGTCGTGCATGCTCAATGCTGCACCCTTCATCCAGAAAAGTTGCCTGTCAAAGATCTCACCCATCAGAGCTGATTTTTCACCAAATTATGCAACACTCAATAAAGACCATTGAAACATTTTGAACATATCACTCTACCACAATGCTGAGCTTTTTCAATGCCTAGACAAATGCCATTTAGACATAGAATTTGCGACAAAATATCTGAATGTAAGACATAAAAAAAAACAGCTACTTAGAACGACAACTTATTGAAGTGTTTAATGTTGAGGAACTATATGCAGTGTTTACACCCTACTGCAAGTATATGACTATATTTCTATCTTCCAATCTAACAAACAGCACTCCTAAAAGGATAATTTTTCTACACACCTCAGTTATAAGAACCTTTGCCCTCAAGGCATCAGCATTGCGTGGATCCAGCATATAGTCTGATGTTGTATCCCCTGTGAAGGCCACCTCTGGTGACAATATAACATCTGTAATCTAAAAAGGAAAGTTCAAAATCAATATCGGTTCATTGAAGATGAAAAAAAAACTATTCTGCAGCTAATACAAACCTCCACACCAGACTTCTTCAATTTCTCAATCTGTTTCCCTTTTAGATGCATGTACTGTTTCTTCAGCTTTTTTCTAACCGAGTAAATAACATAACCCTGAAAAGAAAAAGAGAAGTAGAGGAATGCTACTAGATCATCATACATTAGCAAGCAACAATAATAACAAACAGGGCTGTGGGGATATGCTCCCAAGACTTGCCACATCAGCTAAGGGGAACAAAGGCATTATGAGAGTAGAATTTTAAAGCCATTATGAGAGTAGAATTTTACAATCACTAATGATTTCTATGGCATCTCTAAAAACTATAATCAAATTTCAAAATCAGGCAGAATGCAAATAACGAATCCTAAATGGCCTACCTGGCTGGGTATAGCATGATCAGTCCTAAATGGCCGGACAACAAGGTTATTCCGCATTTCATATGTCTCACCTGAATCCAAAATTGCAACATCATTTCTGGCATGAAGAGATATAAATAAGCCCACTAAACCAGCACTACATACCCACATCCAATGCAACCAAATCAAGGTTCAATTCCACGTGGCCCATGGTCTGGTGAATGTCTATTAGCTTCTCCACATCCTCTTTGATACAAGGAGGCACAAATACTGTTGGAGGTTTTAAGTTGTACAAACCACGGCTGGCTACATACATTGGCAGCCCACCCTGAAACAATAAAAGCAGTTTAAGCACATACTAACATTTTAACTTCCAAATGAAGTAAATAGCTCAGAGTGTGAGAAAATTAAATTCAAGCAATTTTGCACACAGCTAGTCATCACACCAAAACTGCTTTTACACCAACCTTATAACTTAGACAACTTAAAATAGCAAATTTCAAACTTTAAAAAAAATATAAAAAAATTAAAGAACGCCAATGCTCAATAATCCAGTATTTTCACAATTATTGACTTATAAACTTGAACGAAGCTAAAAAGCTATTAACAATGGCAACTGTGGGCATACTGAAGCAAACCAATTATGGGCACCCAACAGAGGAGAGCAAGAGGAGCTCACAATATGATCAAGATGAGCATGAGTGATGAAAACAAAGTTCTGATGAATGGCCCTGGAGGGGCACCTGCCGATGTCGAAAGCGCACTTGAACTCTGGGATGATAATGCAAGTCTCATGGCCACCAATTGAAAGACCCTCAATGGAATAGCCTTCCAAGTCCACACCTTTCCGGAGAACCTGCGACCGGGCTAGTCGGTACTCGTCATCCTCGATTGCTCGGCCGAATGCCGGTAAAAGAGGCGACCCTTTAAGAGAATTTACAGGTTTGGAAAGAGTTTTCAGTGAAGTTCTCTGGGTTTTTGGCGTCTTTGGAATGGGTGGGTGGAATGGGAAAATTAGAGGGGCTTTGGAGGGTGAAATTGTCAGAAAGATTTGCATATTTCTTGGGGATTTGAGTTGAGAGAGTAGCTCATAAGATAGCAAACCAAGGAGAGAAGAGAACAAGAGAGACAGAGAGAGGGCTTTAGAGAGGTTTTTCTCCCAGCGATAGTGGATTTTGTTGGTCCGAGTGGAAGTATAGATATTTTTGGGGAACTTTATCTAATTTAGGAGGGAGAAGACGCTGAACGCTGCGTTTTGGCTGTTGCATGGCGGGTTTACAGTTTGCAACCAAAGAGAATAAAACGATACGTTTTGACGACATTAAACTGGGAAAAGGAGACCTTTGTTTAGGCACACCATGCTTTGAATCAAATGGAAAGTGAAACAAACCCTATTAATTATAAAACAGAGCAAGTAATTTGCAATAAATTAGCGGTAAAATTGCATTTGGGGGAATGGACATTTAACTACAATATGTACATTGGTGTTGTTTCATCGTTCAAGAAGTTAAGTCACAATTTCTCACAATTCAACTAACAGAAGGGTTGTTCTTGCATCTGAACTTTACATATGAACACTGAACTTTATGGTACAAAGGGGGGAAGTTGATGCTTCGAACCCTCATAAGCAAAGACAAAGCCATGTTTTATGTATGTACTTAGACAAAGCTGTGCAGAAGCCAATTAAGATTCTGTGAGCGTGATGCCGCGCTATAAATTACATCACTGCAGACCATAATTCTTGAACTTGAGCAGACTAGTTCGGCGTTTTGAAGCGTGAAGCCGTGAATGATTGGTAAGGGGAATCCCTTTCCGAGGTGTGAGTTCACATATGGCAGGAAAACAGTCTGAATAATTGTCCACATCACTGGCTGCAATGTAAGACATATCAAGCGTTTAGTTTAAAATTAATGCAAGACCTAAATTTTAGTTTGAGGATGCTTTTATAAAGCAAGAGTACCTGAATTAGATACAAGCGAAGATTGCCAATATTACTCCACTTCAATGACATTGAAAAGTCATTCAATTTTATGCTACCAGCAAGGTTATTGCCTGAGATTTTAACTGAACCTGATGCACGAATGACCTGAAAGAACATAAAGTATTTCTTATTATTTGTTGTAAGATGACAAACATGATTATCATGCATAAATAACACAAATTATTTCGAGTGAAAAGTCAAGATTATCGCATGATATAACTATTCAAATCTTCCATCGATAAACTTACCAATGAGATGCAAGCCACTGGTATTACTCTGTTTTCTTCCAATACATCAATGATCAGGTCTACGTATATGGTAGCATCAATATTATGCTCTGAGATCCTCACAACTGGAGGAGAAGATAAGGAAACATTCAAGTCCATATCATGGTTTGGATATTTCTTGTATAGCTGGGGAACAATAAATCTCCATCCAGCAGTGTTCAAAAAAGACTGATCTGGTATTTTATCCACAATCCATTGCATAAATTCTGCCTGCCCAAAGATAGACACTGTCTTTATTAATAGTAATAAAACATCATGCAGGCAAGAAGGATATTATGCAATGATAAATACTTTAGAGACACAATTCTAAGAAACTGCACGAATATTTCCCAGACTTACATTAAAATATGCATCTCCTACAGAGTTGAACACAGCCTCATCCAGTGAAATTCCAAGCATTTTAGATGAATCTGAGCAGGAAACTAATGCTTGTGAATCCTTATTGTGGTACTTAGGGACTGAGGCATTTCTTCTTGCAAATAAACCATTAACCTCAAACCCTATGGAAGAATTACTCAATACTGGGTCATTCACAAAAGTGACATTCAAAGAAGTATTATCATCCAATGGCATCTCCTTTGGAAGAGCTTGCAGAAGTGAATCAAGCTTTACAATCCCATCTTTGAGTTTCTTGGTGACAGAAGTTTCCACTGCAGATCCTATTTGCTCTTCAAATGCATTAATCATCCTAAAGGAAGAAAAGGAAATGGATTATTCACAGAAGGAAAATCAAAATGCTGATCCTTCTCTTCGACTAAAAGGTGCATAAGTCATGCAGGGAGAGAGAGAGAGAGAGAGAGAGAGAGAGATACAAGATATAAACTGCTAGCCTCTAGATACATATAATAAAAACCTGACGCAAAGACAGAAGGGGAACAGCAATTACAAGTGCAAACACTTCTCCACAGCAAATAGAAAATTTGCATACCCTTGATAAAGCCAAGAGGCTCCTCCATCCAGTTTTATGGAAATATCTTTAACGTAACAACCACAATCCTTGAGGGTAAGCTTTAAAGTTCCATCTTGTATCCCCAAGCCTAATGTGAGCCCAACTTCCAAGCCTTCAACCTTAAGCAGAAGCAGCATTCATCAAACTTCCTTTGTTAAAGGACACAAAATGAACAGAAACACACTTGAAACGGATAAGGTTCAACAATATGCAAAGCGCATGTACTTCAATTTCCAAAGAGAAACCCAAATTCGTTAAAATGATCAAAAAAGCGAGCAAATTTCCATGTCATAGCTATATCTATAAAATCCAGTAACTATTATACTAATGATATCCGTGATGCCAAACACAAATAATAAAGCAATCCAGTTCCTTCCCAAAAGCCAACATTATTTGGATGAAATTCAGTTTTGATAAATAAAAGTTGGATGACATCAGATCAATAAACATGTGTACACACACAAAAACATATCTTTCTCAAAGTCCAATACATTTTAAGAAACAAAATCACAAGAAAAAGAAAGTAAAGCAATCACACCTATAAAATTCAAGGATCACTCTCTCACTAGCCTCCCTGAACGGGTCACTCTAATGCTCGAACTTATTATGTAAACAAAAGCACCACCTTTATGTGAAATTGGGGGTGCACAAGCTATACAACAATAATAGCGCCAAGTGCAATCATACGCAGGCAACTATGTTCTTATCTACCACTAACTCCATTCGAGCATGCCGCACAATCTTAATTTTCATATAAGCATCCTTATCATCTAAAACCCAATTGCATATATCAAAAACTATCTTAAAGTTCATTTTTCACCTATTGATTTGCAGAAATTAAACGCCCAAAAAAATGAAGAAAAGAAACAGCGTAAAATGAGCCCAGAATCAATCAAAGCAATACCTGAATAGAGGCACGACCTTCATCTGAAACAACTACAGGTGCAATCCAGGTACTATAGGAATAATACCAACTCATGCTCAGATTGCATGTGGTCCCTGAAGCAATAATGGCAATTCCATCATCTCCCAGCTTGAAATACGAGGAACCAACATCGATTCCGTAGATTGTGATGTTGGAGAGCACCATATTAACATTTCCCAGAAATGGGATCCTCGTGGATTTCGAAATTTGGGGCAGTTGCAGTGGGATTATGGAAGAAACAGCCTTGGTTATGAGCAAGTCCTTGAGAAAATCAAGACCCTTTTGGGATATGACTATGGATGTGAAGGCGTCGTCTGTGGCTTGGACTTGGAGATGGGTCTGCGTTGAAATGAAGAATGAAGCTATGAGAAGCAAGACAATGGTTGGTGGTGCCATTGAGGTCTCTGGGCAAGAGAAAAAAAGATGAATGATTTTGGCCATGGCACAAGGAGAAAATGGAAAAACGCACAGCTTTAACTAACTTAGACAAAACTCTTGGTGGAAATGTCGAGAAAACCCCCAAGCTTCTATATATTTTCCTTGGTCGGTCAGTAAGTTTTAAGCTGTCGTTGAGTCAAAAATTGGATCTTTCTGGGGAAGAAAGGAGTCCAAGAAAAATGGCATTACAGGCTGCTGGGGTTTCAACCTCCAAGGTGCTCGTCCTCGTTGGAGCAGGTGAGGTTTCTAAAAACTTAATATATTTCTTGGTTCCTCTTTACCCTTTTGTTACCTCTTATCATCATCGTTGTCATCTTTGCTCACTCTATTTTCCAGTGATTTAAATTCTTGAAATTTCAATGAAAACAGCAACTGGGTTTATCTTATCATATGACCCTTATATTCTTACTTTGGGTTTTTGTAGCTGCCTTGTACAAATAGCAATTTAGTTTGTTAACTGAATGATAATTCAGAGCAGCTTGTCTTTTGGCGGCTGTGGCTGTTGGACACAGATTTGGAGTTTAGCCATTTTTCTTATTCTTCTGGGGTTGTTAATTACTAAGTGGGTTCTTGTTCATTTCATAAGGAATGATCCTAGTGCTTCGAAAGTATAATTCCTGTTTTTTTTTAATGAGAAATTTTAATAGGAAAGAAAGGAAAAATAGGTATATAATAAGAGTCAACAACAAAGAAACAGAAAAAGCATTGAAGTACTTTTTGTCATTGGCATTGCAAAAGTACTGTATGGTACCATGGTTTATGAAACACAGTTTGTATCTAGTTCTTTGCTCCTTTCCATTTATCACTATTGTCCTCTAACTATCAATACATTTGTTCCCTTTTGCAATTTAGGCTTGACCGGTTCTATCGTTTTGAGGAGCGGGCGATTATCTGATCTTATTGCACAGCTTCATGAGTTATTGAAGGGTGTAAACGAAGCTGAGATTTTGTCAGAGAAATATGATGGTGCAATTATCAGAGCTCAGGTATTGCAACTTCTTGAATTCAATTAGGTCTTTATACTTAAAAAGATTCAAAGTTTGAGAGAGATACTGTGTACTGATGTTTTGTCGTCATAAAATTGGCAAATGGTCAAAGTTTAATTTAGTTTCAGTTTGAAAAGTATTTATATTAATATATGATGGCTCAATCAGTATTGGCATCTATTTGAAGCGAAAAAATTATTGTATAAAAAAGGAGAAGCTGCTTTTTGTTTATCTTTATTTTTGAGCTCTTTAGAGGGTGAAGGTGAAGGTGAAGGTGGAGGTCCTAGGTTAGGTTACGGTACTGTTATAATTTTTTTATTTTTTTATTTTATAACTGTTTACCCCATAAATGTAGTTATCTTATGCTCGTAGACACAATCTCTTTGCACAGTTTGTATACTTATATTATATGTGTCTTTACTTTCAGATTCAACAATTGGCTCAAGAAATCAGGGAGTTAACCTTATCTGGCCCTGTAACCATCTTCAAGGAGAACTCTGCCTCCAGTGGTATAAACATTTCTTCAGAGGCCTTAGTAATCAGTTTTGTGTGTTTTATAAATTAGAGTTTGTGTGAATTCTTTAGAAACCACCAATTTATTTCCTTTGGGAATATGGTTAATATTTTTTCCACATCAGGAGTTAATTTCTATTATGTGCAAGATTTTGTTAAATCTTAATCATATAGATGAGCTCACACATTTCATGTCAGCACAGGGAATTATGCTTCATATTTAGTTCCAGCTGCTGCACTTGGTGCAATGGGCTATTGTTACATGTGGTGGAAGGTAATTCTACCTATGACTGAACGCTGAAAATTTGCTGTCACACAAACACATTCTATTAAGTTCTGCACTTGTGAGGATTTGTATTATTGCTGATGTATGGGTATGTTTGTGATATTGTGCAGGGCTGGTCATTATCTGATGTTATGTATGTAACAAAGCACAATATGGCAAATGCTGTAGCAGCTGTGTCCAAACAATTAGACCATGTCCATGAAACATTGGCTGTAAGTCAGATTCATTGCCCATTGTGTGGTTGTCTTTTCTAGATGATAGTCCTTAAAAGGGTGTGCGGGACACTGCTGTCTCGTTTTTGCAGTCTACAAAAAGGCATCTGACAAAGAAGCTGGAAAACTTGGATTGGAAGATGGAGGAGCAGAAGGAAATAAGTGAGCTTATTGCAAATGATGTATGGTACAATGTATTTACATACTTTAACATAAATAAGCAGATGCTGTATACTCAAGATTAGGGGATCTTATTATTGAAATAGGATTGATGTGTTTTGCACTTCCACTTCCTCTTCCTTGGCTGAATCATAATCATTAGGGCAAATAGGAGATTCATTTACCTTCCATTCTGTGTCTCTTTTGTGGTACATCTTTTCAAATAAAATTCCTCTCATAGCATCAGCATCATAGTGCCATTTGAACTTTGGGAAGCAATTAGTAATTCAGTGTAAGGAGATAATGCTGATGGCACCCTAATAAGTACTATCTATTTTGATATTCATTTTCCATTTCATTTGCATACAGGTGAATGAGGTGAAATCAAACCTTTCTCAAATTGGGTTTGATGTTGAATTAATTCATCAAATGGTCGCTGGGTTGGTGAGTTGATAATTCTGTCTTTTATGCATATCTTTTATTTTAGTCTGGCATGCTATAAGCTTATCGGATTACTTATGTTGTATTTGTTGATTGCCTAAACAGGAAGGGAAGGTCGAGCTTATTGAGAGCAAACAGGTTATATTTTTGGTTATGCCATCACCTCAAAAACCTTGTGCATTATCTAATTTCTTTATGCTTTTGTAATGACTGATTTGCCTCCTTTTTCATAATACAGGATGCCACCAACTCAGGTCTATGGTATCTATGCCAAGTAGCAGAAGGCTTCAAAGATGGGTTGGAAACTATACCATTTCAGGTCAGATATTCTCTGTGTGTTCATTTGAAAACTGACTATTAAATGAGCTAGATGAGATTTCTATCTGGTTAGTCAATGAGATTAGCTTACTTTGCGTCTACATTGTCATGGACTCATTGTCTTTCTCCTCATTCAGTTACTAAGTACTAAGTTATCTTAGTTGTGTATTGGCAGAATGTCTCTGCTAATCTAGGAAAGCATTCAACAATGGCTTTTGAGGATAAATCACTCAAGGTATCTGCAGCCTCGTTTTCTTCTGCTTTCTACATAATGCTGTTTTTATTTACTTGTGACATGTTCCAACTTCCAACAATACTTCAGGGCCTACAATTCCTTGCTGACACTAAAGAGCCAAGCATGACTGAGAAATCAACGACAAGCGCGAAAAAGAATGTTCCCGACAACTTACCTGGGGAAAAGGTTCCAAGAATGAAAACAAGAATACACAGGTCATATCCAGTTGGGATTTCTTTGACCCGGGACATAACGGGCTCAGATTTGTGATTTTTTTCTTCTTTATTTTTTGGGGTTTGTTTTTCTTCATATGTGATTTATTTTATGAAGGGCCCCCTTCATATTGATTCTTGCTGCAGTTTCTGGGACTCATTTGTATTTCATTTGTGAGCATGGGTGTGTAAGTTCTCTGCTTACGAAAGTGCAGGGATTGCAATTTGTGGTTGCGATGACTTCATTGTCATACATGTATAAAATAAAGTCAAATAATCTGTGTTTTGTGATGACGTTTGGAATATATGAAAACTCTGGTTTGCCAAGAAATTCCACAGAAACAAAAAATTAAAAAGGGAAATCATAAAGTGATCAAAACCCATCAAGCATGGATAGAAAACTTAGGCCAAGCAATAGGAGATGGGGCGATGTTTATTTTTTTTTTCAGAAAAAATAAAAATAAAAATTCTAAACTACTTTACTGTATGGAGAAGGGGATGGGACTTGGTGTAATGGGCTGGCATGGCAGCGGCACGTATGTCTTGATCAATTGGACTAATCCGTATATGCAAAATATATAGGCATAACTGTCAAAATGGTCCCTATGTTTTACTTCATCGGCCACTTTAGTTGTTATCAGTTTGATCAATTTGATCCTTTGTGTTTGTATCCGTTAGCCAATGTCAAAATGTATACACATTTAAGCCAAATATATATATATATATATATTTTTGGTGAGAGATAAATAGAAAACTTAGGCCCATAAGTCCGTAGACTCCAATGATTGGACAATTTAAATCCAACCCAAATATGTCGTCGAAGTAAGTTTAGTTTGACCCGGCCTATCTTGAACCGACTTGACCTTTGAGGTACAAAACGAGCAACTTGCTAGGGCTTTTGATTTATTCCAAAGCTCTGATTTTTCAGGTTGTGCTCCTCCTTCGAACTTTGCAAGTTTCACCTTTCCTCTAAAGAGAGGTATTCTTCTACCTTCTTCTTTGTTCAAATTTTAAAGCAAATTTAACTTGATTGTTTATTCAATAATTGTTCTTCTGCGATTGTTATTGATTCTAGGGTTGCTTCTGTCATAATTTCCCTGTAAATTGCTAGAGCTGTACGTTGAATCCTTTTGAGAATTTGATCTTATATATACTGGTGTTGAATTTCAGAAAATTTGCTATTCCGAAAGTTTCCATATGTTTTATATTAGGGCTAAGTTTCCGGTGCAATTTTTTTCCTCTTTTTCCCCCAAATTTTGATGGATTTTCTTCCTTGAAATTAAGTTTATATACGAATGATTAAATTTTGAACTTTTTTTAATTCCCCGAAATCGAAAGAACTGGTACTTCAAGTTGTTGAGACCTAGGATCTATTCTGTACTGGAATTTGATATTTATTCACTGTTATCTTAAGAAAATTAAAGTTTCTAAGCGATTCTATTAGGTGGGGATAACTTTTTATTCTTGTTTTTTAATTTTTCAGTGGTAACTGCAGCTTATTCAGTAGTTAGATTAGGGACACAATATTTAGAAATTTGCAAAATTTGATTTTTATTTTCATATCTCCTGAAAACTTATTGATGGAACTGAAATTTTTTTGAGTTGTTCCTTAATGGTGAAAAGGAGAATTTGTAGTTGTAGCCAACACAGAATCGGGCTTAGTTCTTTGGGGGATGGAGTTTATTTACTTTATTGTTTGTTTCTTCCCGTTCAAAATATGCTTTCATGAATTTTGAGTCTGCAGTAAATCATGAAATTTTTGTGTTTAGTTAAGTAATTTATCAACTTATACAATTGGTTAATCTTCAAATTTGACTATCTGACTTTGGTTGCAGAAGCAGAAAAAGTAATCATGCCGAAGAACAAGGGAAAGGGAGGAAAGAACAGGAAGAGAGGTAAGAATGAAGCCGATGATGAAAAGCGTGAACTTGTGTTTAAGGAAGATGGACAGGAGTATGCCCAAGTGCTTCGTATGCTGGGTAACGGTCGCTGTGAAGCCATGTGCATTGATGGGACGAAGCGACTTTGTCACATCCGTGGTAAGATGCACAAGAAGGTTTGGATTGCAGCCGGTGATATCATTCTTGTTGGTCTTCGTGACTATCAGGACGACAAAGCTGATGTGATCCTCAAGTACATGCCTGATGAGGCTAGGCTTCTGAAGGCATATGGAGAGCTTCCAGAGAACACACGTCTTAATGAGGGTATTGCCGGGGGTCTTGAAGACGAGGAAGAAGGCGGTGCTGATGACTATATTGAGTTTGAGGATGAAGATATTGATAAGATATAGAGGTTCCAGGATCAACTCTATTTGGATGTTATATTTTACCTTTACCTGTTCGCGGTTAATTGGCACTAATATAAGTCAAACTTGGATTGGCAGTTGGCTCTTTATGTGGTTTTGTATTTCCAGATGGGGAATTGGTCATGTTCCATGTAACATCTGTTATTATTAATACATCTGTTATGTTTGTGTTTTTTTTTCTTCATTTAATGACTGCTTCCATCATGGTGCTTCTTTCCATTCTCTTCCTTATTTGGCCCCGTTTTACCTAATTCATCTGAGTATTGATGCTTTGGATTGCCTTATTTTGCTTCCTTTTACCTAATTCATTGGAGTATTTGTGCTTTGGATTCACTAGGACTTAGTTGGGCCCTTGGAGTTGAGGTTCTTATAGTTGCCCTTGTTTTGAATCTGGGTCTCAGATAAGTTATTGCCCATGAGATACCAAGCATCAACTTATATATTCATAGATCAACTCCTTTACAAGCATGGATTTTTGGGAATTCTAGCTTAGGTTCCACTTCTAAACTAAATAAGATGGAGATTTGTTCGTTAACATCTACATGGGAAATCAATGACACCATTTGAATCCTCATACAAGGTGCATGGTAAGCAGTAGGAAATAACCTTATTTACTTTAACAGGGGCAGATTAAGATTATAATCGGAAATTTATAATCCTTAAAATGAAGCATTTTTGTACTTGATTCTTCCTGTGTTCTTCGGGTTGTGCTCTTTATCTTTTTCAGCCTCCCTTGAACAATCCTTCTTGCTTACCTGTACCAATGTGGAAGCCACAATCATTGAGTGCTGGAACTTAGTACTTTTGTTCTTCTAGAAAAGACATTATGCAAGCAAATCCAGTAAGAAGGTAGAACACCAAAGGTTTGGTGTTTGCATTTTGCAACCATTGAGGTAATTTCTTGTCAGAAGTTCAGTTTAGATTATGCTCAACTGGGGCATACGCTTACCTTGGAATACTCTTTCCCACACTCATAGCTTGGCACAGATTTTCGCCTTGATAAGCTTCTTGCAGCCTTAAACCTGTTTTGAGTTGGACTATAGCCATCTTTCTCTTCTGCTGTTGTTACTGGGAAGCTATCAAATAGGACATTCACTTCATTAGATCCGCAGCTCTCTTTTTCTTCACCTGCCCCATCGAACAATCTCTTTCCGAACACAAATCTTTGGTTGCTGTTAATTGGCTCAACATGATTGCTCATATGACTTTCGACTGAGGAGATTTCAGGAGGGCGGGTTGCCATCCACCGTTCCAGCCAGCTCCATCCCATGTTCTGTTCTGTGCCATCAGATGTGGTGTGTCTTTTCTTTGAACAGATCCTTAGCTACAAACAAATAGGAAAGTTAAATATTCGACAATCGTAACACGAGTCTAGGACCTCTTTCAGGAATGAATTTCATATGTACCTGTTGTGAAAAGGCATAAGCCAGTGCTCTCTCACGCCTGGTTGTTGCTTCCAGTCTGTTCTGAATCCTCATTTTTGATATGTTGCTACTCACCGTGCTATCATCCCATTCTTCCTGTAAATTTCAGCAAATCTTAAGGATTGTATGTGATTCAATATCGGTACGTATATAAATAACTTAGACGCTAGAATTCACTTTGTTGTGCGTTTTGTTTACAATAACTGGTCCTTTGGATTACAAAACCTACCAACAACTAATCCCACCCTGCACATGAAATGTCCTATATTCCATGTGGAGTACAAATGCATGACCAACAAGGCTATGATGAAGCCGTTAATGCTAAATGTGCTCAATTAGTTTTCATGGAGCAGAAACAGTACATCCGGAAACTAAAGGTTTCAGCGGGTTCTCCTTCTACCACATTTGTTAACATTATGTAACTCTAACAACTAAAAGGTAGAGTTGTTTCTGATCTACCTTCAGCTTTAGTTCCTGAGTTCTAGCTTTCTGTTGCATCCGGCGGTGAGCAGCCACATTTTCTTCTTGAATTGAGTAAACATCCACAGAATTTCCCGTTTGAACTTCAACTGATGTGCCCAGAGACTCCGTACTTAGACTTTCTGGTCCTACAATAAGCTCCTGCTTACCATACTTTGATTTAATTCCTTCATTTTGACACCTAGTCTGAAATCCAGGCAGTCTAATGATTATTAGCCACAATTTCCAGTGCAGTAAAGCAGATTTTTCACAAAGTTATCAATGAATAGTGTATTTTAAAAACAATTTTGAGATGACTGAGTTTTCTGTCTAAGTTGAATTATAACATAAATCCTTGTGCATGAGCATGCTAATTATTTCTATCAAGGATCTTTAAATACTTTATCTTGAAATTTATGTGGACATTAAAAGTTAATTCTACAAGATGATAATTTTGAATGGAGTTACCAGAAAGCCTCTAAATGCTAACTGGATGATGGTTGCTGCTTGCTCTTCAGACATAGTTTTTGAGACCGAAAATTCCTTCTTTGCCATTTCGATATCTTCCTTAGTTACTTCTCTTTTGATGCCATCCTTGTCTATTAAGTCTTCTGGCATCGGTTGTGTAACAGTAGTCTCAGAGCTCTTAACGGAAGAAGAATCGTCCTCTACAAGGACTGAATTGAGCTGTGTGGGAGTAACCACAGAGCTCTTAACTGAAGATGAATCATTTTCTGCAAGGACTGAATTATATTCATCCCCACATAAGTATGATCTAACAGAGCTCCATCTTCTCCTTTCTGTCATATTGCTCCTTACCTATGCCATAGAAGAAAAGTAAACAAATGATATAATTTATATACAGCATAAGATACAGTAGGGGGTTGAATTATATGAATAAACATATATAATTGGACTTACATTGCTCTCATGAGTTCCCAAAGACCTATTCCTTGAAAAGACACTCCTGACCAAACCTCCATTGATACCCATCTCAACTGAGGAAACCCAAAGAAGAAGATGCTCAAAAGAGACTGTTGCCAATTCTGTTGGAAACCATCCAGAGGAGCTGAGGTTAACATATATGCTTCAGGAAAAAGTTGATAATTGTACTGACATTTTCACTCAATTATAGTAACCACACTAAGCTTCACAGGAGAAACTAATACATTTTAATTAGAGGAAAAGCACATGTTAGATAGAACTAAGTCAGAAGATCTGCAGAGTACTGAAGGCTTTAGAGCTGGATCTGGACTTTAATCACAAAAATAATAGAAGCCAGAAAAGTGAAGATTAGATAGAAAGAATTGACATGATGAGGGCATGGTGTTTTTTCTTTTGCATCTACTTTTTGCACATGGCTAGCAGCACATTGGCCTCATAAAGCTTTCTTGCTATTTGGGTTATGTCTTCCTTTCTGGTTACTTCTTCTGCCCTCTGCTGGCTCATTGTAAGATGCCAAATGCTGTTTTTTTTTCGGCATGAAAATCATGCCAATAACTTTAGACTGGTTTTTTTTAATTTTCTTAATGCTTGAGATGCTCAGAAAGAGGTAAAATATTAATACACACCTAATCTGTTGGAATTTAGTTCCTTACTTGTTGTTCTGCTAAGTGGGGGAAAAAAAAAGCATTAGCTTTTTCCTTTTTTCTTTTCTTTCTTTTGTGTGAGATAAAAGTTTGAAGTAACTTAGACTGATGTACTACTAGGAGGGGACAGATTCGTGTTACTTGCCAAGTTGGGTCAATTTACACTGTCAAGTCTTTGTAACCTTGTATGCCAATTGGCCACCACAATGAGCCCGTTCCTCTTGCATTCAAGTTTGAATTTCCCTCTTTTATATTAGATTAATAATTTAAGGTCACCATAATCACTAGAATCCAACAAAACATAAGTCCATGACAGCCGTTGACTCTTTCAAAATGTGAAATCCATTCTCATAAATTCAATCTGGTGATCCCGAGCAGCCAGTTTTTGGCATGGTTGATCTTGAATTCTTCCATCACTTTTTGATGCCACTAAGATTGTTTGATTATAAATAGAGATTGGCACATGCTCTACACTAGACCACTTCTTCACTATGGGACTGACATGTTACTTTTCTAGTATGAAGTTTTAGCCTAGCAATAATACTTCCATGGGACACAAAAACAAAATCATCCAAACTTTTCATCAACCTTTAATTATCAAATGATGTTGTATTTTAATTACTAAAAACAAATTTTCATTAAAAAAAAATTATGAAAAACAAATAAAGTTTAGATTAGATTAGACCAATCATACAGACAAATAATAATAACACAACCACATCAGTTGAAGGCATGAACCACAGTTTTAGACCCGACCCGACCCGAATATTTGACTTGTTAACCCAACCCAGATTTTTATCTGATGTTTTTTCTCTGTCTGAAATTCTCTTTTCTGAGTGAACGAACGAAGCGCGCAAGCACTGTTGCTCACGCCGAGGTTTCACTTTTGTGTATTAGGGTTTTGCTTGTTTGCCCAGAAAGTTTGAGGGGTAAGAAATAATGTTCTGGATTATTTTTGCATATTGTTTTACATAGCAAGAGACATAAAGTTTGCATTTTGACTTAACAAGTTGAATCTTTTCTTTATTGGGTATAGCATACTTGTCTCTATTTGCCATTTCCAAGAGAAATTGTTGGGACGGAGGTCAGGAGGTGCTTCGAGAATGAGCATTGTGCCTAAAGAGAATGTTGAAGTAATTGCACAAAGCATTGGGATCAACAACTTGTCTCCAGATGTTGCTCTCGCTCTCGCTCCCGATGTCGAATATCGCTTGCGTGAGGTTATGCAGGTAATTCTTGACTTGTTTTGACATAATTATGATATGGGTTTGTTTTGCCATTGTTGTTTTCAATCATTTGCGGTTGTACTAGTAGTTGTAATTTGGGAATTTGGGTTGCTTGTTTATGTGGTAAGATTGAGAATGAATAATAGACTAGTAATTATGCTAGTGATGACATAGTCTAAATTAGGTTGCTTTTGTTTTGCTTAATAGGTCTGTGCTTCTAAGGAGCTTGTTTAAGTTAAAGGAGATAGTGCAGTTAGTTATTTTTGGTGAATTGAGACACTGGAAGATCCAGTATAATTTGGTTGTAATGAAAGTGCAGGAGGCTATTAAATGCATGCGTCACTCGAGGAGAACTAGATTGACAGCTGATGATGTTGATGGCGCACTCAACTTAAGAAACGTTGAGGTGAGTGAGTGTTGCAGATAATTAAATTAACATGGTGGTTTTGTTTATTCTTTTGAATCTCATTTTGCTTATTCTACTCCTCACCAGCCAATATATGGTTATGTTTCTGGGGGTCCTTTGCGGTTCAAAAGAGCTATTGGACATAGGGACTTGTTTTACATCGACGACAAGGATGTTGAATTTAAAGATGTAAGAATTACTGAGTAATCTGATTACACTTTCTACTTGATTTTGTATGTTGCCTTTTAATGTTCCATATTTCTGTTTGACTATAGGTGATTGAAGCTCCTTTACCAAAAGCGCCACTTGATACTGGAATTGTTTGTCACTGGCTAGCTATAGAAGGTGTACAACCTGCAATTCCAGAAAATGCTCCTGTAGAAGGTTTGTCTCTAATTATAGATTGTACAAATAATTGTTGCTCGCAAATCACACTTCCAATTTAGAGTTGTAGTTGTTCCAGCGTATGAAAAGGTTGAACCTCTGTCATTCTGGGAATTAGCTTTGGTGAAACAAAGCATTCTATGGGGTATATGACACTATCTAAGGTTTGAAGTTGTATGTAGCATGAAACGTGGTCTGCAGCGTATGCCACATTCTTTGTTTTGTCTGCTGGAATTTAATTTATGTAAAATGTATGGTGAAATGAATCTGTTATTCAGTGATAATTCTTTTTGAATATATTATGGGGAACTGGAATAAACTTAATTTTCGACTTTTCTGCTTTTGTTAGCCCAGGTTTGTAATCTAACTTGTGTTCTTTTGTTCTTTGTCTGTAGTACTTGCAGCTCCTCCTGATAGTAAAAAGTATGAACAGAAGGATGATGGAATTCCCGTTGACATTAAATTACCAGTTAAGCACATATTGTCTAGGGAACTTCAGGTAATATTTCACTGTCTGCTCTTATATTTTGGTATTTCTTCATTTTGCATCTTGTTTACATGTTCTTTCCTTTTGTTGCCTTTGCAGCTATATTTTGACAAAATCACTGAGCTTGTTGTGAGTAGGTCCGATTTGGTTATTTTTAAAGAAGCATTAGTGAGTTTGGCCACTGATTCGGGACTTCATCCATTAGTTCCTTATTTCACATGCTTTATAGCTGATGAGGTGAGAAATCTTGAAATTATTGCTGATAGCTACTACAAGAGTGTGATATATAGCCATTTGTTACTTATACCAACTGTTCTTAATTAATCAGGTTTCTCGTGGTTTGAATGATTATCCACTTCTATTTGCTTTAATGCGAGTTGTTCGGAGTCTTCTCCAGAATCCTCACATGCACATAGAACCTTATGTAAGTGTTTCTTTCTTCTTTGTTTCCTTCTTTTCCTTGGAGAGCCTCTTGTAAGTTAATGTCTATTCATGTATTTTATATGGTTACGTGAACATCTATACAATCATGTCTAAGTTGAATTCGGTCTTTTCCTGGATTGACACTTGGGGAGGCTGATGGTAGTATCTCTAAACATATGTTATGGTGGATGCAACCCTGTTAACTTGTTGGACTGACCTTCAAAAGATATCACCTATACTTTTTCCTTACCTTCTTCTTGTCTTTTTTCAGTTCCTTTCTAGTTAATGAACAAAATTTGCACATTCATATTTCTGTATGCATGGATTGGTAATCATTGTTTATCTTCTTCAAACTCATCCTATTTATATTGAGTGGTTCCCTTATCTGGACTCCCTTTTTTTATCATGGGGCTAAAGCATGTAAGATGGTAGTTAAGATCAAATGTGTTATTTATATGCAGTTGTACTCTGACACCTCTCTTTTTTCCTTTCCTTTTGTTTTTTGGGTCAGCTACACCAATTGATGCCATCTGTGGTCACTTGCCTTGTTGCGAAAAGGTTAGGCAATAGGTTTGCTGACAACCATTGGGAACTTAGGGACTTCACTGCGAACCTGGTTGCTTCAATCTGCAAAAGGTTAGGCTTGTTATTTTGCTTGTATTTAAATTTCTGTTTACCTTCATGCATGCTTATCTTTCAGTTGGCATCTCTAGTCTTCTCTTGTGACTTGAACTTGGTCATGTCCAGACCCAGTTCCACTCTTTCGTGATTTTGGTTTGTTAGGCAGCCTACTGTATATGAAGTGCACATTCTGTTAAGATTCTAGTTAATCTTCGGTTTTTTTTTTCTCTACGTTATATTGTTAGAATAGAACACTTGTTTCTGTTAACACTGTAACATGGTCGATGCTATCAAACTACCAAGTAAAATTGTTGTTTTGAAAATATTGCTCCAGATACGATGGAGGTGGATCTCTGTTTTCCATTCAGATTTTGGGTGTGAATTTGACATCTTACCTATGGAATTGAAGTTTCTGAACTGTTGCAGGTTTGGGCATGTCTATAACACTCTCCAGTCCCGTCTTACAAAAACTTTGGTCAATGCATTTTTGGACCCAAAGCGGACATTGACTCAACACTATGGTGCAATTCAAGGTTTAGCTGCTCTAGGCCCCAGTGTGGTAATACCTCATGCTCCTTGCAACTAAGAAATTAATTTACAGTTATCCAGTGCATGTTTTGGACTATGAGTTCAACTTGTAGTAATATCCCTCGTGGTTCTTCCCATAAGGTTCTTTCCCCATTCTATCATTTACTTCCATTCATGAGAAAAGATAATTACTGTTAAATGAAGCTAGCTGGCTCCCTGGTTATCTTTTTTAGTCTTCATTCTGATTCCTAGAAGGTCAATAACGATGGAATGGAAGATATTTGCAATATTTTTTCTCTTTTGCCAATGACTACCTTTAGAAAAGTAAAGATATTATATTAAAACACATCTAGAAAACTAGAGATAAATTCCTCAGTACATCTGAACTTTTCTAGGCTATGGTGATTTCTGAATCTTTGTTTCACTAGAAACCTACATCTTTCTTGAGGGATTTGTGTTTTGTGGGAAATATGCATCTTCTTTTTTTTTATACTTACGGTAAGGATTTTTAGCCGTTTGTGATGTTTTTCCAATGCAGGTTCGCCTTCTTGTTCTGCCAAATCTGGAGTCATATCTGCGACTTCTTGAACCAGAGCTGCTTCTTGACAAGCAAAAGAATGAGATGAAGAGGCATGAAGCTTGGCGTGTTTATGGAGCCTTGTTGGTGAGTCTCTTTTCATACCTTTATATATCGTTGGAAAAATCTTAAGAAAGGCTTGCTAATGAGAGTATGCTTATTCCAGAATGCAGCAGGTCAATGCATATATGATAGGCTCAAGATGTTCCCACTTTTGCCATCTCCAGCACCCCAATCTTTCTGGAGGACAAGTCAAAGAGTCATTACCATGCCAAGTAAGAATTTCAATGAGTGCTAATGTATGCTTGGTTTATAATAAATCTCATTTCCTAATGATGTAAATTGGTTGAATGATTTGTTAACTGCTTTCCAGTAGAATAGACTTTATTACTTAATTTGATTAAACAAACATAGAACTATAGCATATATGTGGGTTTTGGCTCCTCTTTCACTGCATGCCTATCGTGTGCTGCACATCATAATCAAGCAAGCTTCAAAACTCTGAATTGCATTTGCTAGTCAACTAAATTACTGGAATAATTTGTAAATGTCTGGCAATAGAATTTAGATTATACCACTCGAGTGGGTATACAAGAAGCACTAGTACTATCATATATATGGGTTGGGCACCTTTAAGTTGCATGCTGTATGCTTTCTAATTGTAACACGCCAGAACCATGGGTGCAAGAAAGAGTTTTTGTTTTCCCTTCCCCCCTGCAATCCTTTTCGGTGTGGGATTCTCCTCTTATATGTACTAGACTTTTGGCATAATGAAGGAAACACCCCTTTGATGTATTTGAAAAGCTGATAAATGAGGTTGCTTGTCCAATAGGGTGAAGAACCTTAGTTTTCAAGGTTATTATTTAGATAAAATCTTAACTCTGATTCTCCTATGCATCATCAAGATAAACGCAAGGGAAGTGTGGAGCACATGGAAGAGCAACCACCCCTGAAGAAAATTGCAACTGACGGGCATACAGGTATAGCGCCAACTAATTCTTCACCGTCTCACATGGAAGTAGAAACAGCAACTCCAGCCCCTTCAGGGGATACTGATGCAGACCCCCCATCATCTTCTGGGCAGATGCCTAATGAGGGCGTTTCAAACAGCAGAAGTAGAAGGGACAGGGCTGCTGGTCGGTCTCTAAAGAAATCAGCTCTGCTCACTCAGGTTTGGAAGGATGACTTAAATTCTGGGCATCTCCTGGTATCGTTGTTTGAGTTGTTCGGTGAAGACATTCTCTCCTTCGTTCCAGCTCCCGAGATGTGTTTGTTTTTGTAATTGTTGGTAGAAATCTTGAAACTTATGATTAGATGTACATAGTGAAAGATAGAATGAAATATTTCAGGGAGAAATTTTTGTAAAAATGAGAAGAAAATTGTCTCGTGTTATGAAACTTTACACTCAGAAATCATGTCGTAAAATCCAAAGAATTACAGTGAATTTTACTTTTCATTAGAAAAAAGGAAATCAAACATAAAAATCAACAATACGCATAAGGCTCTTAAAAGTAGCAAGTAGACAAGTACAATCTAGTAATGAGCTTAATTAAGCAGCTGCTTAATTTTGGTGGACTCTCTTTCCACAGCTTTCTTCAGGAAGCCATCTTCTTCCAAAACCATTTGAACTGGCAAGAACCCCATCCCATTGGCCATAGCAAGCATCATACGCTTGGTTTCAGCCTTGAACTCTTCCAAATCAACGGCCCCATTTGAGTCATGATCAAACTGCACGAACAGAGAGTCATAGACATGAGCAATCTCTTCTGGGTCTGGCTTCACATCAATGCCATAGTGTGTCTCGAAGACCCTCAGAGACTGAAGCTCCTTCAGCATCTCTGCATAAGAAAGTATACCGTCATGGTTAGTGTCAAGATTACCAAACGATGATGTACCGCAAGGTTGAACGCCTCTTCATCCTCCACATAGTTGACAATTGTGGCACCATCCAATACTTCTACGCTCATTTTCTCTTAAGCTAGCTTGAGTTTTGATCACAAGAAAGTTAAGCTTTGGATTAAGATGGGAACAAATTGGTATTGAGGGTATTTATAGACGCGTACATGGGGGACAAATATTGCTCTTTTGGCCCATCGTTTCTCCAATCCACGGGTTTTATGTTAGTTAATACCCAAACCGACTTTACATGCTGAAAAGAAAAGACAGACCAACAGTGATTGTTCCAAAATGTTTAGTACTAGAGCCGAGTCGTTCTATCTAGGGTGAGGATGGAATATATGGGCTATGTATGTGGATTTTTATATTAATCGCATGATTCATTTAAATAGTAACTTCACTTAAATTTAATAAAATGATCATGTGGCTAATATAAAGGTTGACATGAGAAGCCATATATAGCACCCTCATTATAAAATTTCGCTAATGGGAGTCGTTCTATGACCCAAAAAGAAAAGAAAAAAAATCCTAGGTGTTGTGGCCACTAGCAAATGCTATTGTTAATTTTATTTTTCTAACAAAAAGATTACAAGATCCTCTGAGAATTTCTAACGGTCTAATATCGGGCATCAATTTAGCCGGAACACTGAAAGTAAAATTAGAGAACCAAGTACAAGTATTATTTTATGTTGCCATGTTGCCATATAAAAGCTAATTCATCACCTTATCTTTCAAATTTGCTTCATCATACATGTGCCTCAATTGTCCAGTTTGAAACTGTTGTGGTCAATCCAGTGGGTGGAAGAAATGGTGGGTACCCGCACATTTCAAATCCAATTGGCCTACCCAGTTCAGCGTGGAAAGAAAGTCAGAACTCAGAATACATTGACTATTGACTGCACAAAGTCTGCAGGTCGGACGCGTTGGGCAAAAGTAAACTTTCGGTGAGAAACACACAGATTTTGCATTTACTGTGTGTTATTCTTATGGGACAATAAAAAAATGGAAACAAAGCTCAGAGAGAGAGAGATAGAGACCTAGCAAATTCTAGCTATCTTTGCAAGTTGCAACTTCAATCGTATGAGGCCAACAAGAACGAGAGTTCTAGAAAGAGCTCGAAGAAGTAGAATATTTTGAAAAGGATATTTTCTAAAAGACGATGATAATTAATATTGTATCCTTGAAATAATATGAGGAGTAAATTTTTGATGTAATAATCACACCGACATATGCTGCGAGAATATGAAGATGAAAAAGTCTCACATTAGAAACTTAAGAAACCTTAAAAAAGCTTATAAAATATTGGATTACTCTTCACTACCAATTTATTTTGGAGTGAAATCTACTTTCTATATATTTTAAAGCGTGAATTAACAACACTGCGTATCTATTTGACTAGGACACTCTAGAGCAATTAATGCAAGCTGCCTATACTTAACTGGCCTGTATGGGTGAAAATGAGCCCCATGCTTCCATGATCTTCTTTCTGACTCACTGCAAAACTCCATGTGTACAATTTTGCATGGAGCCCTGAGCCCTCACAAGAGTAAATGACATTTGATAGGAATCCGATTCAATTTACGTCACTCATGACGCTCCCAAGAATAATTTGGTTCATCAATGTAATGCAATTAGATATATCATGGGAATTTGTTATACCAATTCTGCAATAAACCCGTCTGGTCATATTTGTTTCTGTATATCTTGATTTATAGTTATTGGCCTTGATATTAATTTGCCGCCACATTTGGTTTATAGAGTTAATCCAAATGGTGAGAGATGATCGAGTAAGGCAATGAGTTAGAATTAGACTAGGTTAAAACTTCGATTTCTTTTTTCATTGTTTAAGTATAATATGATGAAAATGGATACAGAAGCAATGACAACTAAGTAATGATATATATGCTTTTAAATTTAATCAATTGGAAGGCAATTCTTCAACCCCCCAAACTAGACTCTGCTGGTGTGGCCCTGTCGGGTGTGAGGTTATCTTATAGACATATAGATACATGCACTTCCCTTTATCTCTCTCTCAATCTCTCCCTATAAATAGAGGCACGGTTCCTCCTTTCCAAAGCATTCTAGTCTCTCTTTGAATAATTGAAGTAAAATGGGTTCCAAGGCTTTCATTTACTGTGGTCTTTTACTTGCCATTGTCCTTCTCATCTCCTCCGAAGTGGCCGCAAATGGTGAGCTTAATTTGCTTCACTTTTCCTAAACAATAATGCTAGAGTCACCAAAATTTATTTGTCAAATATTTGAGGCATTTAAACCTCTATCTTACTTACTTATTACAAATATTTGAGGCGAAGTACTTACTTATTACAAATATTTGAGGCATTTAATCTCCATGATCTTTTTGTTAAATGCACGTTTTATTACATGACCTGCAGCTGCGGAGGAAGCTACAAATCCCAATGTAGGTGATGCTAAATATGGTGGAGGGTACCAGGGAGATCCCGGTCGTGGGGGATACGGTGGCAACCCGGGACGCGGTGGATATGGAGGAGGAGGAGGAGGAGGGCGTTGCTACTATGGTTGCTGCAGGCGCAGTTACAATGGAAGAGACTGCGTAAGGTGCTGCAACCATGCTAATGAGGCTGTTGATGCACAACCTCAAAACTAATTAACTAACTGATTAAGGCCACAAGTCTGCACATGTGCATGCAGTGTGTGTTTAATTAGTTGGATAATTATGTATTAGTAGATCTGAAGATGCATGCGCTCAATGCTTGAAGTAGTTGATTCCTCGCAGTATTTGTATGAATAAAACTTCAGAAGCGAGCCATGCAAAAAATTAAATTAAACTAATTATCATGAGTGCTTAGCTGATGATATATGCTCTTTTATTTTGGTGGTCATATTCACGTACTTGTGTAATGCATGTCATCGATCCATGAGTTAAGAAATCAATGACATATATACAATAACGTTTATAATTATATGCAATTTGTTCACCTTTTTTCTTTCCTTCCAAATTTTGCTCTTACGTATGGGATGTCAAATATCTCTGAACTCACACATGGCAATCAAATTCACTGACAAAATGTAAAAAAATAAAAAAATATATACATAGAGCCTACTCCGTATTATATTTTACTAATCCAAACCGTCTATTTTGTAGATATTTATTCAAATATCATATCTATAAAAAATCAGTTGAATCCGATATCATATGACCACTCGAACAAGAAACCTCTAATTTGCAAGTCAATGCTCTTTTTCACTCTGCTAAATCCCGTTAGCAAATGATTTTTTAAAAAGTAGAAATTTTATTAAAACGGACAATGTTAAATCAAAATCTCACTGACGCACAAGTTGACAACCGACAGAAGAAGAGTGTTTTGGGCTATTCAACTCTGGGGTTGAGATATATTCGGCGAATTTGTTTCTTGCTTTGGTCATTCAAAGCAAAGAAACACAACTTGTTCTCCTGTGGCCCCAATCTCTTACATATATGATATGAGTCTCAATCTCATCATCTATCTATATCTGAACTGAAAGGACAAAAAAGAAAAACAGAAATTGGATTGGATTTTATTTTATTTTGACCAAGTAGAGACTATTAATCATGTAGATAAAAATGAATAAATTAATGGTCAACCTGATGCCCAACAACCAGCTACACTGTACCCATCTGGCTACACAGTCTTAATGGCATATGTGAAACGTGGATTTTTTTTATTTTTTTTGCCACGTAAGAAAAATTTATTAGTGGGAAAAAAAACTTGTATACATATGCCAAATAAGGACCCAAAATAAAAATAATCAGTCCGAGAAAATAATAGGGCTCGTTTCATATGCAAGTGTCCAAATTCACATGCATGCCGAGCTGAACCGAGACACGTGTCTTTACTTGAATTAAAAGTGTTTTGAGACTGGAAGGTATTGCATAATATTATATCAATATATCTTAGTTAAGTCAAACGTACGGTACTCTCCAACATTGCCTGGTGTCGTAAACAATGTGGTGTAAAACAGTGGTGATCGGCTAGTGGGACATCCAGCACTGTAAATAAACAGTGGTGATCGGCAAACCCTAACATTCATTCCCATCTTCAACAAGTCATGACTTTCAAAGCTTTCATTTTGCTGGGCCTTCTGTTTGGCTCTGTTGTTCTCATCTCTTCCACTGTCGCAGATGAGACATCCAAAGATGAGAAGAAAGGTTAATTTATTTATTCATTATTCTAGCGACTCCATGCGAGCGCGGCGTGCGCACACATATATATGGATAATGCTAGGCTTATTATATTTTTATACAACATTGTGTATCACCTCTTTAATGTGGTATAAAATACGGTAAGTCTAGTATTTATATATATATATAAATTTTCTACTTTATCTATACTAATTAGCATTGATTTTATGATCCAATAACACACATCGACCAACCAAAAAAAGAAGTAAAAAGATGGATGTACAAGAATTTGATTTGATTTTCTCTAGCTCACAATAATATAGCTAGTTTTGTATTCGTATTGTTCGAATATTAATATTATATATGTAGTTACTAAGGTCACATGCATATATGTTGGTGGTGCAGTGGATGAGGCGCAGGAAGCGAACCCTGTAGAGGACGCAAGACAATATTGCGGGTGTTGCATTCGTTTTGGCATATATAGATGCGGCCTACGATGTTGTCGGCGACCCGAACCTGAGGATCAGCCTCAAGAAGTAGGCGATAGCCTTGAAACGAACCAGCCTGACGGATATGGATATGGAGGGGGTGGCTACAAAGGAGGCCGTGGTGGGAGCTATGGAGGAGGGGACCGTGGTGGGGGCTATGGAGGAGGAGGCCGTGGAGGCGGCGGCTATGGAGGAGGTGGCCGCGGTGGATATGATGGTGGTGGCGGTGGCGGAGGAACTGAAAGGCCCGGAGCTAAACCCACTATATGAGAGAACTATGTACGTATAGAAAATGTTCGTTCTTAAAGTATGGTAGAGAAGAATAGATGAATAAGCTCTCTATGTATGCATGGGATCATGTACGTATATGTAATATGTTTTTCCATGCACGAGAATGAGTGCACGGTAAAAGGGTCAAATATCACCTGAATATTTTGACCCCAGCTAGCTATAGCTCCAAGGACTGACCATAAGTCATTGTAGCTGTTTTATGTGTTATCTTCACTAATACTTTGACCCCAGAAACACCTTTAAATCCAACAACACTTGCCTGATCCAAGCTATATCAACTGAAGTATGAGCTAATGCTCGACACTCAGCTTCTGTTGAACTTCGAGAAACAGAGTTCTGCTTCTTGCATTGCCATGAAACTGGAGTAGGACCTACGAAAACAACAAAATCTATAGTAGATCTTCTTGTATTACCATCTCCAGCCCACATTGAAGATACATGTCTACATATGTAGATGTTTCTACATGTGTGAGTGTGTGTAGGTGTCCAAATTCACATGCATGCTGAGCCCCCCAATTTCATATATATATATATATATATATATATATATATATATATATATATATATAAAGGAATTCCTTAAATAATTTTATTTGAGAGACGTCATTTAGGGTACCTTACGAATTCTTTTTCAACAATCCAAACCATCTATTTTTTAGGTCTTCATTTATAGATTATTCTTGCAAAAAAATTAGACAAATTAGAAACCGTTTAGACATTTAATTGTGTCCTACGAAATCTATGAGCACGGTTCTTCAAAAAAGTACTAAATTTCAATAATTTAATTGAGTGATCAAATGATATCGGATTCAAGTGATTTTTTGTAGAGATGATCTTTGAATGAATATCTACAAAAATCTTATTTTAGGGATCCCTCAATAGAAGCTATATATATATATATATAGATATATAGATAGAGAGAGAGAGAGAGAGCATGCATGAGTCTCAATCTCATCATCTATCAATCTCCCACAAACAAAATACACTGTCTAAACTCAAAGGACAAAAAAGGAAAATAATAAATTGGATTGGATTTTGACCAAGTACTATTTTAACAATTTAGATAAGACTGAATAAATTGATGATAGTCAACTTGATGCCCAACAACCAGCTACACGGGCCTTAACTGGATACAGTCTTAATGGCATGGCTACCCAATTGCTAGCAGGTACTCTGAGGCTTCCCGATCTTGAGTATCATATGTATATGCGTGTCTATCTGTCTGAGTATCCGTGTGAGTGTGTGTTATGGTGTGTATGTAATAATGTAAGTGTCCAAATTGACATGCATGCTGAGCTGAGCTCAACCTAGACACGTGTCTTTGCTTGAATAACAAGAGTGCTTCGATATATCAAGTCTAGGGGAAGTCATGATAAGAATTGGAAGATATTGCATAATATTATTTATATACCAAGGGGAAGTCAAACTTTGCTGACTAAAATCTGTGTCTTTACTCGTAAACGATGCATGCCACCGTAATTGCTGGTGTCGTCTAGTGGGATCTCCCAGCACTATAAACAGTGGTGATCGGCAAAGCCTAACATTCACTCGCATCTTCTGCCTTAAACTAGCAATCTTTCTTGTGAGATTTTTGAGCAGCATAAGATTTCGAGAAGTCATGACTTTCAAAGCTTTCATTTTGCTGGGCCTTCTTGTGCTTGGCTCTGTTGTTCTCATCTCTTCCACTGTTGCAGCTGAGACATCCAAAGATGAGAAGAAAGGTATACCAAATATATATATATATATAGATATATATGTATGTATGTGTGCATGCATGTGACAGTTAATCTCAGAATTCATGATCCTTTTATCACACAATGGACCAACCCAGAAAAGAAGCCAAAAGATGTACAAGAATTTGATTTGATTTGGTTTTGTATTAATATTGTTCGAATATATATATTCTCACTAACGTCACATATATATGGCTGGTGGCTGGTGCAGTGGATGAGGCACGGGAAGCGAACCCTGTAGATGACGCAAAACCATATTGCGGGTGTTGCACTCGTTATGGCTACTATAGATGCGGCCCACAATGTTGTCGGCAACCTGAAGCTGATGATCAGCCTCAAGAAGTAGGCGACAGCCTTCAAACGAAGCAGCCTGACGGATATGGATATGGCGGTGGCGGCTACGGAGGAGGCCGTGGTGGCGGCTATGGAGGAGCAGGCCATGGAGGCGGCGGCTATGGAGGAGGAGGGGGCCATGGTGGTGGCTATGGAGGAGGACACCATGGAGGCGGCGGCTATGGAGGAGGTGGCCGCGGGAGAGGTGGTGGAGGCGGCGGCTATGGCCGAGGCGGTGGCGGTGGAGGAGGAAACTGAAAGGCCCGGAGCTAAACCCACTATACGAGAGAACTATGTACATAGAAATCGTTCGTTCTTAAAGTATGGTAGAGAAGAATAGATGAATAAGCTCTCCATGTATGCATGGGATCTTGCACGTATATGTAATATGTTTTTTCCATGCACGAGCATGAGTGCATGATAAAAGGGTCAAATATCACCTGACTTGACCCCAGCTAGCTAGCTCCAAGGACTGACCATAAGTCATTGCAGCTAGTTTATGTATTATATATATGAGTAGTATCTTCACTACTTTGTACTCGTTTTTAATGTTGCTTAGCCTAATCATTGTACTGAGATCAGTACTTGAGCCTATTATAATCTTTCATTTCTTTCTTCTTCTCCTTCTTCTTCACTCTGAATAAAGTTTGGTTAAAACACTGGCCATTTATCCCAAAATTACTTAAATTGTTATATGTTATGTCTAAAATCAACCTAAATTAATATATTAAATTCAACAAATTTATCTTGCAAGCGCACAGATTAATGTTTAGTATAGATATGCAAGTACAAGTTTGTTCCACAAAGATTGGATTAAATTCCAATTAATTAACCACGCACAAGCTTGTCTGTCAAGGAACGAAACAATAAAATAACAAACAAGCAACTAAAAACGACAAAAGAAAGAAGAAAGAAGAATAGAGAAAGAATATGAAAAGAAACGAATTAGGATTCCACTCAAGTTTGATTTTGGTTTTGAAACAATTAAAACATGTAAAGTGTTTTTTGAAAAGTGAAGCATTTATCAAGAACACTCCAACTTAGCATGTAATTCTCTACGATAAATAATGTGTTTAGTAGCAGAATTTAATAGTACTCGAGAGAACGAGTTAGATTACAGGCAAACATTCCCACAAAAAAAGAAGATGAAAAAATTGAACTCTCATACTTATTTACTGTGAAATTTCTCTCTCTTCAATATCTGCTTTCGATATGTTGAAACTAGTAAATTAATCTATATATATAAAGCAAAAGGTAGAGAATGGTGAAACATTCAAAATACCCAAAAAAAACCCTTGGGTAATTCAAACATTAAGAATTGAAATTATTAATTAAATAAGGATAATATGGTAAATTCACATTTTTTATATTAAAAAAATTAAAATTAAAAACAAAATCATATAATAGGTCCTACTTTTATGAAATATAACTACCCATGTTATTCTTTCTTAATTCTAAAAATAAAATAAAGATAAAAAATAAAACCATTTGGCATAGTATCTATAAAGTATAAACTAATGTAACTAGGAGGGTACTTTTTTTAATAAAAGGTATAGTTGTGTGGCCATATTGCGGTCTTTTTTATATTATAAAAATGGCTTAAATGTTAAAATAGTCTCTGTGTTTTATCATGTTGGCCAATTTAATCCCTTTGTTTTTAATTTAGCCAATTTAATCCTTGTGTTTAGGACCGTTAGCTAATGTGATCCAATCCGTTAAATTTATGTTAAAAAATTTTAAAAACTGTTTAAATATTAATAAAAAATAGATATATTTGAATTCAATTTAAAAATGGATAATTAAATAAGATCTAAAATTTTGGTCAGGGCTCTTAGTTCCCTTATTACAAAAAAATAATAATTAAAAAAAATTTCTAAAACTAAAAGAAATTAAAATCAAAGGATGATACCACCGTCCAATCTAGCCCCCACCCCCACCACCCTTCTTTCTTCTCTCTTTCTCCCAGCAACAACCCACCCAGCTACTTTTCGCAGCCAGACACAAAGGCCCCAACTCCCTTACACACACCCACCTCCTGAACACGAATCTTTCCCACCCCTGAGCTCTCTCTCTCTCTCTCTCTCTCTCTCTCTCTCTCTCTCTCTCTCAAACAACCCCTACCGCCCAACCATGTCCCAGCAAGATCTTCCCCAACCCTACCATTCCCTGGCCATTTGTCTCATCCCTAGCTGCGCCGCCCGGATCCTCTAGCCCACTCTGGTCGTCGCCCCACTCCCCCCCTCCCAATCCCTGAGTAGCCTCTCCCCCCTCCTTGATTATGCCCATCCTTTTTTTTTCTTTCCTAATGTTATGTTTTGGTTTTAATGAAGTTTCAATATATTTTTTAATTAATTAAAAATTTCAAATAAATTTCAAATAACTTTATAGGTTTTCAACAAAAAAGAAAAAAAATCATTTATGTTTATTTAACGGCAATTTTAATGGAATGGACCACGTTGGCTAATGGTCCGAAACACGGGGACCAAATTGGCCAAATTGAAAACACATGGATTAAATTGACCAACGTGGTAAAACACAAGGACTATTTTAGCATTTAAGCCTATAAAAATGGTATAGCCGTGGGCTATACTTTTTTTGACACGTAGTCACCTAATAGCATGAATGAGTCTACATGGCATCATATGAGTGAGTCTACAGGGCAACTGAGAGGGGGGATAACTGGCCACATTAGCTTTTAACAAAGGTCTTGATGAATTGACTAATGAATATATCAAATTGATACGGAATAAAACGTTATGGATGCAACTCATACAGGAAAAAAAAATTTGATATGTCAAACTCTAAAATATGGACTACTTCGTAGTAGTGAACTAATTACCCAAAATAGTATAGCCGTGCTTCTATACTACGGTCTTTTTTTAACATGTGGGCTCCTAATTGCTAGGCGAGTCTTTTTTTTTATTATTTATTATTTTTATTTTTTATAAATAATATAGTCGCACGGGTATACTCGACTAATTTTTGTCTCTAATGTAGATGTATTTACATATGTGAGTGTGCGTAGGTGTCCAAACTCACATTTATGCTGAGCTCAACCTAGACACGGGTCTTTGCTTGAGCTAGTACGTTTTCATGCATAAAGGAAAGCATGAAAAGTCAAACGTAGTATTCAATACATCTAACTAAAATTTGCGTCCTCACTCGTAGACTACGCACTACTACCTTAATGGCTAAAGTCGTCTAATAAACACCCTTATTTTGTCGTTTAGAAGTACCTCCCACCCAGCACTATTAACCCTGTTTCATCAGCAAAACTTATAGCATTCCCACCTTCAAGTCTTTCTTCTGAGATTTTTAGCATTACTTGCAGTAAACCATGATGAATTTCACGGCTTTCATTTTGCAGTGATGATGTGGATGACCACCCCTTGACGTCAAAAACGAAATTGATCCCCAAATAAAAAAAAACCTGGTCCCAAAAAGAAGCTTTTCAAAGAATGGAGTTGGGTAACTTAAATTAACTAGTGTCGGTCCATTAAAAATTGGTGGGATTATGAGGGATAAGTTTTAGTCATAAACCTCTTATGAATAGTCCTCTAAATTAGATAATAATTCATATTATACCGTGATTACACATAAAATATAGACATTTTGCTAATCTAGTCTAATCCAGTCTAGTCATCCCTAACAAACGAGGCCCAAGAGAAATAAAACATATGTATGGCTCGGCTAGTTCATGACTCATGAGCATTCATGTAATATGACAATTTTTCCTCTGAAGCATGAAATCCAAGGAAAATTCATGCTGAGGTAGGCACTTGAAACAAATACCGTTTACAAAGCCGCTGTGCTCTCTCGAAAATGTTCTATAAATAAATTGGTTCAGAGGCCACATGGCAGCACCAAACCCTCTTTGCTGACCTCAACCTAAACACACGTCTCTGTTTACTATGTTTCGGTAAAGGCTAGCTGAAGCGATAACTGAGACAGTGCACTGCACATGCACTGTAGCCTATGTGCCTTCTTGTTCAGTAGCCAAGTAAGTACTTGAGACCTCACACCTGCGTCTTGTTCTCATCAGCCCTCCTGCATTATAAATAAGGCCAAGCAGGCAGAGCCTAACATTGCATTGGAGTTAGGTCTCAGATAAATATTTCTATATCTATCTGTGTAGCTTCTGCTTCTGTTGTGCGGCTTTGAGAGAGAGAGAGAGAGAGAGAGAGAGGAGTATGTTGGTGAAGAAGAAGATGAAAATGAAAGGCTATGGTTTCGTGCTTGCACTTGTTCTCATCTTTTCCTCGGTGGCAGCTGAGATAGTACCCCAAGATCATGAGAGCAAAGGTTTCCCTTTTTTGGTTTCATTATTTCTTGTGATTTCTTACAAAATTGAAGTGTGAACATGAGAAAATCACTAAATTCAAGTTTAACAAATCCTGAAATTGATTTTTATTGCATGGTATGAAGTCCACATGCATAAATCAATTTATTTGTTTTATTTATTTTCAAATTACAACTACAATTTTAGGCTTCACCTTCACACGTTTGAATTAATACTAGCTAGCTGAGCTCACAGATGAGTTGAAAATTTTGAGTACCTACCTGTGATGTGTGGCAGTAGATGGGGCAGAGAAGACGGTAGATGATTGCGTTCAGTACGACGGCCTTGGTCGGCGCGGTCGGTGTGGTAGCTCCGCTGCCTACGCTCGTGAAGAAGCCATGCCAGAAACAGGTAAGTTTAAATGGGCATGCCATACATATGTGTATCTTTTTCCCGATATTTTCTTTTGATAAATGAAACATCTTCTGAAGGTTTTCTCATTACATATGAGATAGTCCACTAATTCGGATCATTTGTATCCCTAATCCGCATATACTCAATAAGCTTTACAAAGTAATTTTGTTTTTCCTATATAAAACAAGATGATCATATTCTTATTACTTTTGGAAAGTTCATTTGTGCAGACAGCGTAGCAAAAGAATCAGAAGCGGTAAATCATGAGGTTTACAGCCTTGACAATCACCATGGCATTGGTGATCATCATGGCATTGGTGGTCATCATGGCATTGGGGATCATCATGGCATTGGTGGTCATCATGGCATTGGTGGTGGAGGACAAGGAGGTGGTGGTCAAGGCGGAGGTGGCGGCGGACAAGGAGGTGGTCAAGGCAGCGGCGGTGGACAAGGAGGTGGTCAAGGCGGTGGCAGCGGACAAGGAGGTGGACAAGGCGGTGGTAAAGGTGGTGGCAGTGGCGGACAAGGAGGTGGTGGTGGAGGACAAGGAGGAGGTGGTAAAGGTGGAGGACAAGGCGGTGGAGGTGGTAAAGGCGGAGGTGGCGGACAAGGGGGTGGTAAAGGAGGCGGTGGAGGAGGACAAGGAGGCGGTGGTAAAGGTGGAGGACAAGGCGGTGGTAAAGGTGGCGGACAAGGTGGTGGTGGTGGCGGACAAGGAGGTGGTGGTAGTGGCGGACAAGGAGGTGGTAAAGGAGGTGGTGGTGGAGGACAAGGAGGCGGTGGTAAAGGTGGAGGACAAGGTGGTGGAGGTGGTAAAGGCGGAGGTGGCGGACAAGGAGGTGGTGGTAAAGGAGGTGGTGGTGGAGGACAAGGAGGCGGTGGTAAAGGTGGAGGACAAGGCGGTGGAGGTGGTAAAGGCGGAGGTGGCGGACAAGGAGGTGGTGGTAGTGGCGGACAAGGGGGTGGTAAAGGAGGTGGTGGTGGCGGACAAGGAGGCGGTGGTAAAGGTGGCGGACAAGGCGGTGGAGGTGGATACGGTGGAGGTGGTGGATATGGTGGTGGTGGAGGTGGTGGATATGGTGGTGGTGGCGGCGGATACGGTGGAGGTGGCGGATATGGTGGAGGTGGAAGTGGCGAGGGTGGCAGTAACTAATGCTAGCAATAGAAAGGAAACCGATGTGATGGGCCAAATAAGGGTAGCTTAATGAACCAAGAATAAAATCTATGTACCTACTTAAACGAGGCCAAGCGAATGTATGATGAAGTGTAGAGAGGAAAACATGAGTGAGGGTTTGTGGGTTATAACCAAAAATATCCTTAGTCGACGCGATGTATGTAACCCCTTTTATAATATATTATATATATGAAGTATATTTTATAAATCCGTGCTTCTTCTTTTTTTCTTATCGATGGATTGTGATGCATGTTAATTAAGATTAAAACTTATGAACCCTTATCCCATGTGTTTGGTAAAAATTATGATGAGTCAGAGTTTGGTGTGCAACCATGTAACATGTAACACTTGAGAGCAACACCATGAGATTGTGCCAAAGACGCAAGATTCATGGGCTAGCTTGGTAGAACTCAAGGACAAAGCACTAACAGTTCATTTTCTATTTTTGTTTTTCAACGGTGCAGTTAGAGCCACTGTGTGCCATGTGATGACACTAATACGGACGCCTCCTCCCCCATCTTTTTCTTTAGTTCAAGTTTGAATTGCAGTCACCAACTCTCTTATTCATCTCCAATTTTTAAAGGGGTGGGTGCCAATTTGACCCTGTAGTCTTTTCCCACTTTAAAGGGGTTGATAGACAAACATAATTAAAGGGGTTTGTCTACTATTCAAGATGTGTTATTGTCAACGAGTATTAATTCAGTAAAGAAAAAAGACATTGATTTACAGATTAATAATCTCAAGTTCGAATTCTCACGATACGAAACCTTAATCATCTTTCATTATTCATCAAGTATGATGGTGCGTATATACCAACAATAGATAGGTTAATTGTTACCAAATTTTGACCAAATATATGGATATTGAAAGGGAGGGAGATTAGACCAAGACAATGAAAACGGTGGACAGATGTCAGTCACCCTTTGTCCAATAAACAATTCCTCCAAACTTCTAACATCCAACAAATTATACATATATAATATAGCACATAGGGTACGTACCTGTTCCCTCAAAGCTTTATTTATTGCTTGAAAATCTTGTATTTACATTGTTCCCTAAATCAAGCTGGTTTCGTTGACAAGATGGAAACCAGAGAGGAAGAACAAAAGCAAACGAAGATCATTTAAAAGGCCTTAAATCTTCAACTGTTGCAGCAGCAGAAGCAGCAGCAGCTGGAAGACAAAAAGAAGAGCCCCAACGTGTGAAACAAAAAGGGCCTTCCAATCCAACCACCTGGTCCTGGCCCACCTTCGAGAAAAAAAAATGAAAAGTTAAAACCCACGAGCTCCTTTGAAAACAACATCAACGGGAAAGGCTCGTCATCTTCTTGGGAACAACTTCTCCATGCCCTCTCTTTCCCATTTGGCCTTTTTATATCTGTCTTTCACTCTCTGTTTCCTCCATGTTTTTGGGTTTTCTCTGAGCAGCAATTGAGGACCAGAAGTTATGAAGATCAAGAAGAAGAAATTGTCGTGGTCTCTGAGAAGTGAGCGCTCTCAATTGCAAGAAGAAATTACTTAGTTAGTTTCTTTTGGGGTGACATTTATGTATGTCTAGCTTTTTGGTGTGAGGTGTTTCCGGTGGAGAATTCACTGGGCAAAAGATTTAGCGGCGTACATGGGAAAGCCAGGCATTTGTTCTTCTTCTTCTTCTTCTTCCTCTTTCATCTTGTTTTATTTATTTTTTTCTTGTTATATTTATATATGCATGCACCTTTTCTTTTTCTTTTTCTCTGTGTTACAAGTGCACCAATGGTGGTAATTGACAGAAATGAAATAAGATTTGGCTGGTTTAATTTCCCAGGTCTTTCTCTCTCAAAGTGTCTTCAATTATGAATTAATATCCTTATATTATTTTTATTTTATTTTATAGTTCTTCCCATTTAGCTAATATCCCTCGGAGATCTGATTACTATATTATGATCATGAATCGTGGAATTTCCTTCATTTTTGTTTAATTAGTTTCTTAGATAATCAGCTGGTTTTGTTGGTGAAGCATATTGTTGTTGAGCAATATTATAATCATATTAAAATGGTTTTGTTGCTTTTCATAAAATTATTGAGCCTTGGGTAATTACGTGACATAATTATTATTTGAAGGCCAACAACAACCGTTTAAAACAAGTAATTATTTCGTCCTTTTCAACCTAATTTACTCCATATTTTTCTTAAACCAATGGTTGGTAGAGGGGCAAATCAATGGCCAAATTAATTATAAAAAAGCACATCCAGGCAGCATACGTGTATAATGTAATTTTGTTGTTGATGTATTGGTACGTCGTAAAAGTATTTTGTAAATATTTTATCGTTTGTTAGAAAAAAGAACATGTTATATTAATAGATAACGTGATCTTGTCAAATAAGTACATGTATATTCAAATTATGCGTCAGAACTAGATATTCATTTAAGAATCGTATAATTAATAGATTACATTCACAATTCGGAAAAAGAGAAAACAATTATATATTTATCTTCTAAATAATAACATGTTATATGCATCATACATGTCAAATCACTTGGTGTTTTGGTTTATGGTTTTTCATATTACTTTTAAAGGCTAAAAATGAAACCTTACTCTCTGTTTGGACGAAGGAATTGAAAATTACATAAAATTCTAAAATGATTAAATTTAGATTTCCATCATTACAATTTCTAGCAATTGAAGATTTCAGTGTTTAGATTTATGTATGTCGAATTTTGTAAATGGTACTATTGAAATTGTACAATGATGTCTATTTAGGTGGAAATTAAACTTATTGATGCCCCAATTTCCACGATTTTTTTCCCGTGCCATTTAATAAATTATGCGCTTAAGTTGCCAAATAAGAGAATTGTCAAATTCTCATGTTAAATTCTCGACTTTTAACTAAATTCTAAATTATTTTCTCCCATCTGGACGGAAGGTAATATCATTGCAAATTTGGGCAGGGCTCGGGGAAGTGAAGAGCTATTTTGACTTGAAAATTTTGAGGCGTTTCAGGTGCATCAATGCTTCTTCTTGTAGGTTGATAAATGGACACCTGTTAATTTTGAGACATCTTTTTTTTGAATGGGATATAGAAAATAAATAAATAATCATACTAAAATAAAACTTGGTAATTGTTTTGATAAACCGTGTCGGAAGGAAAAGCTCTTTCAATATTACACGGCTTGCATTGCGCCCAAGGCTTGACGTTGTTTATATAATTTGATTTCTCCCCTTTCATTTCTTCCTTAATTATGTATTCTATGTATAATTTAGCCGTGAACAAAACGTTGTGATTTAATTAGACTCAACTATTTCTGTGGTTTAGGACAGTAATTAATCATTATATTATACTATAATTTATTTTTAAGTACAAGCGATAGTCTAAAGTATAATTATTGATATGTATTCTTTTTTTTTAGTATAAAAGGATGAAAGTTTAACACACACACTACCAATAAGGGTTCGAACTTAAAATCATTAATCTGTAAATCAATGTCATTTTTTACTGGGCTGTTTATTACTATATATTTCTTTTAGTGTGCGTAATTAAGGTTCCATCTGTGCAATATTTAATGGCTGTCAGATGGTTTCAATGGAGTCGCTTAATTTGATTGTGGTTTATGGGGAAGTGAGTGAGTGGAATTAGGAGGTGGAATTAGGAGACTTTGAATCGTCAACGACAAGAATGCCTTGGAAGTTTGTACTTGATTAAGATTGGTTAAACTAACTCCCACTTTTTTCATCTTTGACATTGCTACAAATTGATATGCACGTGATTTGCTCTACAAGGAGATATGTATGCACGAGGCTTTCTAAATTAAACTTCAAAGAAAGAGATGACATGAGAGAGCTAGGAATTCAATAAAGAAAATTTTCATTTTCATGGGTAAACACGAAAATATAGTGCTTTAAATTTACGAATGTATTTGAGTTTATATATTTGAATATAATAAGTTAACGGATCGAATTGTAGTTTAAGATTATCTAGCATAACATAACACGAATACCCTAAAATACGACATACTACCAAGTACAAATAATAAAAGGCACATGCTCAAATTGGTGGTTATAAATGCCAATTTCATTCCTACAACCTCAAACATTAGCTCGATACCTCACCCACTCTAAACTCCGGTTAAGTTTCGTATGAATTCCTAAGTTAAACCTTATTTGGACTCTAAGAAAGGAAGTTTTTCTTTTTTCTTTTTCTTTACCAAAATAAAATGATGTATAATATATTGCTTATAATTATGTGCCTTATCTCTCTTATCATGTGAGAAGTTATGTGGTGAAAGATACGGATGATATATAAATAAAAATTTATCCTCATTACAAATGGCCTAATTCATGTCCCACCGCCCCTGTGCCTACAGTTGCATGGGCTTCTTCCGTAACCCATGCTCAAGAGCAGTTGCATGGGCTTGTTCCCAAGTGGAGCAGAGAAGACAGATTGGTGGTTGAAGAAGATGACAGTGATAATAATAATACTAATAATAATAATAAAATATTCAGTATTTATTTGTAATGGTCAAGAGATCTAGTAGCCATAGTCAACCACTAGTTCAGCTTTTATGCCATGAATTACTGACCCTCTTACAGTGAGTGTCGTGAGACCAATTTTTGGAAGTACGAAGGGTTCTATTCGTACCTAGTGAAAAGCATAAGCTAGCTTACAAGTGAAATCATGAGCAGTTCAACAACTTCAATTTGTTTGAATTGGTTTGGACACAACCCCCACAAAGTTCTGCTAATTAATGCATAGCTATAGGGAAATTTGGAAAAAGAATCTTTTTCTCATTTTTTTTATTCACGATTTAGAAATATAGTCACTCGAAAACCCTCTGAACAACACTCAAACTTCTTAAGAGGTTAAAAATCTAAAAGTTGATAAAAAGGAAACTTCACTAGTTATCGAAATTTCCCCTATATATAATTAAGGTTCATAAAACACTACTGATATATATATATATATATATATATATATGTGAGGGATCCTTCAAATAAGCTTATTTGAGGGACATTCTTGTAGGGCCCACTCTGTATTGTATTTCACTAATCCAAACTATTTATGTGGTAGATGTTCATTTAAAGATCATCTTTACAAAAAAAATCACTTGAATCCGATATCATTTGACCACTCAATTGAATTATTGAAATTTTAGTACTTTCTTAAAGTACTGTGTTCATTGATTTTGTTGGATATTCGATGTCGAAACAATTTTTAATTTGTCTAATTTTTTGCAATGATGATCTATGAATATAGACTTAAAAAAATAGATTATTCGGATTGTTGAAAAAAATAATTGTAATGGATCCTAAATGATGTTCCTCAAATAAAATTATTCGAAGAATCCCTCAATAGAAAGACTGTATATATCCTCTTCTATTGGGGGATTCTTCAATAATTTTATTTAAGGGACGTTCATTAGGGTACCCTACAATTTTTTTTCCTAATGATCCAAACCCTCTATTTTTTAGGTTTTCATTCATAGATCATTCTTATAAAAAATTAGACAAATCGGAAACCGTTTCGACATCCAATTGTGTCTTACAAAATCAAAGAATATGGTGCTTCAAGAAAATACTAAAATTTCAATAACTCAATTGAGTGGTCAAATGATATCGGATTCAAGTGATTTTTTGTAGAGATAATCTTTGAATGAGTATCTACAAAATAGACTGTTTAGATTAGTGAAATATAATCCAGAGTGGGGCCTATAAGGGGTATCTCTCAAATAAGGTTATTTAAAAAATCCCTTAATAAAAGCTCTATGTATATTATATATATATATATATATATATATATTATATTATGGTAGGGTCGTGGCCTCACGTAGGCTTTAAAAATGGATCAGCTTGATATTTTGTTGTGGGGCTGTCATACACTTGGTCACGAACTGATGTTCCTAATTAAAATTACTATAATAATATCTGGTCAAGAGGATTGGATCAGTGCTACTTGGCCTAAGATTATTTGAAGAAAAAATAAAGGGTTATGCAGAGTTGGACAATTTAGTATCTTGCTTTGAAAATTTCACAATCTCCTTTACAGAAAAAGTGGTGGATGGATAGCAAAGTCCAAATCATGTCACATGTAAAATAAATAAATAAATTAGAACAATTTTAGAACTGTAACAATGAATGACAGGAGGTTGATTGCTTGCAATCTTTGTCCAAAAGACAGCAAACCAAAAATGTCAAAAAGTACACAGAAGAACAATTGACATATTTACTTATCATCAAGAATAGTTATTGGAATTATTTTAGACAGAGAAGATAAATTTTTCTACAATTTTCTTTACACGAGACTACAGCAATACGATGCGAGGATGATAGAGTTTACATGAATCATCTAAAAGTAGAAACTTGTTCCCAATCTTCGTTCACAAGAAAAGCAAAACCAGTAGACTTGTTGAGCAAATAAATACATTGGGGCACCGGTGTTCAAATGCGGCAGCAATAATCATGGCTTGGTTTGTATGCCCTACATCATTATTGAAATCTGTATATGCAATTGAGTAGGAGTTAGATGTAAAATTGCACTAGTTTTAGCATTTGAGACGGTGACTTTGCTTAGGCCATACAAGTTCTCATGTCGTGTGCATACGGTCTTGTCTTTGTTGTAAAGGAAGGAAGTAGGTGATACCACGTGTAACACATGCAATAATCCAATATCATTGATTAGCTGAACACAAAGGGACCACCCGCCTCCCATATCATTGATTGCTCTTTTTCAGTGGAAATTATTTTGGAATTGTTTTAGATGCTAATCTTGTTGTTAGGTTTTGTATTATATCTGCTTGCAAAAGAGACGGATACATTGTCTTGGCCAACTGGTTTAACCGGCGTATGCGCTCCATTAGTGAAGGCTTTGAGTAGACAGTTGAAACCTAATTACAATAACTAATGTAGGAGGATTAATGCAGGTGCCTTGAAGCCTTATTGAAAACATCATTAGAGTGGAGGTGTTATGTTTGGTAATTCCTCCATGGTTTCTTCTAGTTGGTCCTTATGCCTTTGTCTGAGAATGCTAATGTGCTTTGTTATTTCAAAAATAAAAAAAAAAAAAAAAAAAAAAAAAAAAAAAAAAAAAAGACGACCATCGGTTTTTTCCCTTGTAGGACCCACAAAAAAACCGGCCCAACTTCTTGTATTCGTAACAATGGAGGCCGGCCCAGCACCCAAAGGTCCCAAAACACATACACATGTCCTGCTACGAATATGCTGAAACTAGTTGCGCTCCGAAGAGCAAACATCTAGTGCTTCCGTCGTATTTCATATCCCGTGCAGCCGCATCATCAAAACACGTGGGAAGCCTTCGTACCACGACCACAACGTAAGACTGCCAGTCAGCTTACGTGGCGTTGTCTGTCTTCGGACACGCTCGGACGATCAGGATCAGATGTCAGACGCTCGCACGTGATATCACCCTCCATTTTTGGCGCGCTTAGAGGGAGTGGCTCCACAAGGTAGGCCCCGCGACTTCCCAGCTCACTAGCACTTCGGGTAATTGTTTTGCGGGCCATAAACAGTTGAACGCCGCTGTAGAAATACCCTGTCTTTGTCAGTTAATTACGGATATGCCCCTTCTTCCCAACTATGTCAAACTAAAAACGCGCTTTTCTTGTCGACTCCTCAACTATGAAATGTTTTAGCTCTTATTTATCTTAATATTGTATAATATTTTTTTTTGAACTTTTTTGTCAAAAGTTAATATATTGATGCCAACGGGAATCTAGCACAATGAACAAAGGTATTAACTTGCAGATTGGTGGTTTGAAGTTCGAATTCTCATGACACCGTGGTAGTATGCGTGTGAGAAATTCTCACCTATTTCTTAGTTTATACCACAAAGTAATTATAGAACCAAGTGTCAATTTCAAATGAATGAAGGTGCTTTGGATTAAAAACAAAGTTGAATGAAAGTAACAAATTAAATGGGCAAAGAAAAAAGAAGAAGAAAACTTCACATGTCAATGGTAAGCAAATTCATCTCCAACCAAAAATAAAAATCACCAATTTCCCCTCAGCTGTAATTCCCTCTCTATGTTTCTCCTTTTATTTTGATTTCCATTTTAACTAAAACTCCCTAAAAAGGAAAAAGAAAAAGGGTAACAAAATAACAAAGGAAGAAGAAAAACAGAAAAAAGAAAGACAAAACTCAGTACACAGTGTGAATGTCTGTCTCTTCTCAGCGTCAGCTGGCGCCCCATTAACGTTCCAAAAATATATTTATAGAAAGAAATTCGAAGGCAAAAGACCCACAAAACTAATTTCTTTTACAAATTGGACCCCTTCCCTACTTCACTATTTTCTCTTCCATACCAGGAACAGGAAGCACGACTTAAGACCGTCCATTTTTTTTTCTTTCTGTTGTGTCCTTCAACTCCAAGCTTAAATTACCCCCAAAAAATGCGGACTTTAATGATAAGCCACTTCTTAATCATCCATCCACTAATATTTTTATTCCTAAATTAGAACATTCTTGTGCTCTTGATTTGAATCAAACCCAATCTCAGGTACCCACTTTCTTTCCTCATTTTCTCTTTTGTATTGACATTGCAGGACAGATCTCTTCTGGGTTTTCTTTTTCATTTCCCACTTTCCTTTTTTCTGGGTTTTTTTTGTTTGAAAATATATTTTTTTGGACAAAAAAAGCCCACCTGAGAGGGAAAGATATTTTTTTCTTCTTTCTTTTTGGGGTTGTTATTTAGGGTAGAGTATATTAATAGCACAAAAGAGACTTTCATGGCCATCACAAATGCTAGATTTTGGTGATACGTTTTTGTGCCTGACTCGTCTTTCATCAAATCTTTAGGGACACAGCTGAAGAAAATAAACACTTTGCAGCCTCTCTCTCCTTCAGTCCTTGTTCAAAATCCCAAAGCTTTTTCTCAGGCTACAATATAAGACCACTTCATGGTTTTGTAGCAGGTGGGCTTTTCTTGTTTGACAAGGGCCTCTCACCAAAATATCTTATCTTTCTCTTTCTTTTCTTGATCTACCACAATACCCCAAGAAATGTTTGGAACTCAAAGCCAAAGAGACCTCCCCTTAGAATTCCAATCCCAAATACCAATTTTGAGGCCTAGCATCCATACCAGGAGGGCTAATCTTACAGTAAAGTTCCAAGACCTTTATGGGTTCACAGTAGAAGGGAATGTAGATGATGTTAATGTGTTGAATGAGGTGAGAGAGAAGGTGAGGCAACAAGGACGGGTGTGGTGGTCATTGGAGGCTAACAAAGGTGCAAATTGGTACTTGCAGCCTTCCATATCTGAAGGAATTGCCCTTAAATCTTCGCTAAAATTTTCAGCTTTGGCCAATGCCATTACTTTGAAGAGGCTGATTAGGAAGGGAATTCCACCTGTTCTTCGGCCCAAGGTGTGGTTTTCGTTATCTGGGGCGGCCAAGAAGAAGTCCACGGTACCTGAGAGCTATTACAACGATTTGATAAAGGCCACTGAGGGCAAGGTCACCCCTGCCACTAGGCAGATTGATCATGTGAGTTCCTTTGCCTCTCTTTTTAGATTGCAATGGTGGTTGTAGCAAATGTTGGATCTTGCCTTTTTCAATAAAGGAATTTGACTTTGTATATGCATGATCGTTCTTAGTATCAACTTCCTTTTGAGAGATTTAGTAATTTGCAGGATGGATGTAGGAAAACATTAGCTATTCTTGAAGATTAGGTATCATTTGTGGCTGATCTTGTGATTCATGATGATAATTTGGGAATTTCTAGTTTGCATAATTTGGCTGTCTGCTTATAGAATTCCATTGGGAAAATCTTCCATTACTTTTTGCTCTAATGTTCAGCATTTCCAAGTGCTATAGCTTATAAGTTGTATCTGTATTGCCATTAAATTCCCTCCACTTCTGCAATTCACACCTTGATTGTATGTGCAGGACCTGCCCCGTACCTTCCCAGGTCACCCATGGTTGGACACCCCAGAGGGTCATGCTGCTCTTCGACGTGTCCTTGTTGGGTATTCTTTCCGTGATTCTGATGTTGGCTACTGTCAGGTAGCTCTCCTGCACCTTCCATAATACACATGAGCCATTCTTAAAGTTATCTGACTATCATGAGCATAAAAGTGCAAACCATTCTATATGTTACAAGCTGATATTATTAAAAATACTTCTGTTGTTTGTTTCATGGTCCTTACATAAATCTTGTTTGAAATTGCAGCATGTTCAAAATTCTACTTTTTGTAATCATAGTTTGATCCAAGAGAAATGTCTTGTTCAAGCATTTTTATCATAGTAGAATTGTGAGTTTTACAAATGATTTTATTCAGGTTAAGTTCAATCCTCCGGTTTTCTTCCTCCTTATGGCACCCTTTTCATGTTTACTTTTCCTTTTCACATCCAATTGTTAATTAGTAATATTTTATGTTGTTTACATTTAATCTATTTAGTAGCCGCACCTCTCTTCTAAAGAGAATTTTGTAAGCAGAGTGAATAACAAAAATTGAATCTATTCAAATGGTTTCCCAAATACTATTGTTGCAAATTACAACAGTGCATTTCTGTTGTTTCCTCAGCCACCAAAACAGCTTATCTCACCAACTCTTATTCTATGACCCACTCAAGTATGAGTTTTGCTGCTGTCCTGTAAAAAATTTCAGTAGGATTGGCTGGAAAAATTTATCGATCACAAAATGCATGATTGTTGATCTCCACCTATCTTTGTTACTTGAGAAAGAATATCTTATTTCATGTACTTTTCTGAAATAAATGTTTTGAAGAGCCAAAGTTGGTTTCCTTCGTCTTTATGCTGATGTTTACTTACTTATCTGGAATGGTTGGACCTTCTTGTTGCAGGGCTTAAATTATGTTGCAGCATTGTTACTGCTTGTGATGAAAACAGAGGAAGATGCATTTTGGATGCTAGCAGTCCTGTTGGAAAATGTGTTGGTTAATGACTGCTATACAAATAATTTATCAGGATGCCATGTTGAACAAAGAGTTTTCAAGGATTTCCTTGCTAAAAAGTGCCCAAGGTACCTTCTTTATACTTGGCCTGAAGTGTCTTATGTTTTACTTTCCTCTTGTGTATCTTCTAACACTGTAAGAAAAATGCAGGATGGCAATGCATTTGGAAGCAATGGAGTTTGATGTCTCCCTTGTTGCCACTGAGTGGTTTCTCTGCCTCTTTTCCAAAAGCTTGCCTTCAGAGGTTAAAGCAATACTCTCTCTCTCAAAAATAGAAACATGCTGAAATAAGTTGAGGTTGTTTCTGTGACTAACACTTTCATGGGGCTCTCCCTATTTTTCTTTGCCTGTTTTTTTTTCTTGAAAGACTACTCTAAGGGTATGGGATATCCTTTTCTACGAGGGGGCTAAAGTTATTCTTCATGTGGCTTTAGCAATCTTTAAGGTACAACTATAAATATTTGGCCGTTTGCATTGTTTGTATTGGTCATGCAGATTTACTTGCTCTTGACTGTCGATCATCTAAGTTCAGCTGAAATATTATATAGTAATATCAGAGAAGTTTGTTTGATCTTGTGGTTTGCAATTGCAGATGAAGGAAGAGCAGTTGCTCATAACCCACCATGTTGGTGATGTAATTAGTATTCTGCAGAGAACTACTCATCACCTGTTTGATCCTGAAGAGCTATTGACGGTAACACATTTCTCTGCTTTTTTTTTTTTTTTTTTTTTGGGAAAAAGAAAGTTATTATTTTCTTTTCTCAACCTTGTCCTCCATCAATTATGCATTAAAGGGAAACTTGACTCACATGTATGTAAAATTAGCAAAGAAGTCATTCGGCATAGATGAATCGGAAATTTATAATTGATGTAAAAAAGGATTGATGTTGATTTTGCTTCTAATATGGTGTAACACTCTTGCAGGTGGCATTTGATAAGATAGGTTCAATGACAACCAACAATATATCAAAGCAAAGGAAAAAGCAAGAACCAGCAGTGATGAAGGAACTCGATCAGAGATTTAGACGGCTAAATTCCCTAAAGTTGGATGACAAATAACATTTGCAGCATCGCAGGCTGATGAAACTGCAAAAATGCCGGACGATCTAGTGGGGGAGCTTTTCGTTCCTCCACTAGGGAAGAAACTGAATTTGTTGTGTCTCTTCTCTCCTCTGTGTTTCTGTAAAAGAAACAACCAAGCAAAGGGAGTGTCTGTTGTCTATTAGGATGTTGTAGTAGGTGATCAATGTAAATTTCTAACTGTTATCATATACGTGTGGTTAGATACACTGCAAATTCGGGCATTGTTGCGTTTTAGTGCCCTGTAATTTTTGCTTCAAATGTTGTGTCTATAACTTTCACTCAATGAAATTCAATTTGTTCTAGAAATCTGTTCTACTCGCAAAAAGAAAGTGAAAATCCATTTTTTAGGCCCTTGGTGCCTCCAAAGAGAAACTATGCCTTCTTCTAAAGGAAATGCAGAAATGGTAATTTGTGATAGAGATTGAAGGTTATTACATTTTGGATAATTAAAAGTTCACCGGCAAGGACAATTTTTTATATTATTTTTCAATTGAAAAACATGGATATTATTGATTTTCCATATCCACTATGCTGTACTGTACTATAAATTAAGCACAACCCAAATCTCCCTCCTTCCCTTCACTTTCAATTCAATCCAAACCGTTACACTGAGAAAAATGCTCACTTTCTCGAAACCCATTCATCGCCACAATTCTCACTATGCACCCAAAACCCCAACCCACTAAACCCACAAGACGCAGACACGAAACCCGACCCGATGACCCAAAAGCGGCAACCTTGGACCATCGATCCGGAGCTGGACGGGATCGACCTCGATGCGTCCGACTTCGCCGCTTCCTTGCCCCTCAAAAAGGTTCCAAACGGCGACGTATTCGAGGCCTCACGTGCCGGCGACGTTGACCGCCTCAGCTACCTGTTAGAGTCCGGAGTCAACGTGAACGCACGTGACCAGTGGGACTCGGTGGCTCTCTACTACGCGTGCCTCGCCGGACACCTCGAGGCGGCTCGCATGCTGCTCGAGAATGGCGCGATATGCTCGGAGCACACCTTCGACGGCGATCGCTGCCACTACGCCGCGCTTAATTTGAAGGTGAGGAAGCTCTTGAAGGCGTTCGAGGCCAGGCCGCCGCCTTTGAGCCCCTTGCAGGCCGCCATGAGAGAGACCTTCTTGGGATGTGGGGCTAATAGTGCCTATTTGGAGCAGGCTGATAATACCCAGTTCCAAATTTCAGGTATTTACTTGTTTCTGTTGTTCTGGGTTTTGGAATTGCATGGTTTGAAGTGGTGGTTGTGCGTTGGTGTTTTTGGGGTGTGAGGCTAAATGGGTCGGTTTCAAATTTTGCAATAACCGATTGGTGTTAGTTTTCAAGATAATAGTTTTTATAGCTGAGGGAGTTGTTGATTTTGGAATGTTAATGGGTGTGAGAATTCTAGTGTAGGGATAAAGAAGAAGAATATTTTTTAGTTCATTTCTTGAACAATGTAGTGCGAGGATTGGCTTATGTAAAACATAGTTAGCATATAGCTTGATATGGTCGAACTAGTTGAACAAGAGATACTGAGTGATGACGTCCTATATATGTTCTGATTTGGTAGTGAAGTCACAAGAATACAATTTCCGTTTGTGTCTGTTTTCGGAAATATAGGGATGAAGATGACGTTGGGTCTAACTTTTCTGAAACGTGTTGATTAATGCTATCAAGTTTCATACTTATGTTTAGCTGTCTTCACACCAAGGTAGTGAAGCCACTAGAAAATTCAAGTCAGTCCTGTGCTAGTAGTAGATTTAGCTAAAATTTGTGCCTATTGTGGGCTGTTGTCGTTCAGAACATCTGGATAGTTTTCTTTCAAGAACAATATGTATCTTAAGTGACACTCAACATTTGATATTCCTGAGTAGGTCTTCAATCCAACGATGGAACCAATTCCAACTACTTCACTCCAGATGTGGTATTTTTTGTTCAAGGTAGACCCATCGAAGCTCACAGAGTCATCCTAAGTGCTCGGTCACCATTTTTCAGAACAAAGTTTGTGACTGATTGGAAACAACGCAAAGAAGTAAGATTTGCGAGGGAAAAGTTGTCATATCCTGCCCTATACAGTCTCATCCACTTCTTTTATTCTGACAGACTAGAGGTTGCTGTAGATGATATGGAGGATATTGTGAGGATCTGCAAAGTATGTAAATGTGAATCTTTACAAAGGATTCTTGAGAAAGAACTGATTCACCAAAAATATGCCGAGTACAAAGCATTGAGAGACATAGACAGCTCTAAAAAGCGGTTCATCTTACAAGGCCTGTCTCTTCCTGAAGAAGATCAGCTTCCTGCTGGCTTGCACAATATCCTTCAGATTTCCCTTGCCAATTCCACCCTGGAACCCAACCTAGACAATGGGGTGAACAATTTAACATCTTGTGTTGGTATGATGCAAATCAGTGATTTTGAAAATGATCTTGCGGATGTTTGCGTAAGAGTTGATAAAAAGAATTTCCGATGCCATCAAGTGGTTTTAGCATCAAGGTCGGAATATTTTAAAGCAAGATTATCCCGTATGAAGGACTTTCATGAAGGGAAAAATGATCTACCCGTTGATACTCTTCCAATTCTTGAGGAACATGATTTGAGCTCTGAAGCATTTGAGAAAATGATAGAGTATATGTAAGTGTTCCTATTTTTTTAATAAAAAAGAGAAAAAAATTAGAATGGGAAAGATGAAATAGACTGTTATGAAGAAGATATGTGTTCACTTCCTAAATTTGGTATTTTGGTTGTTTGTAAACATTTATGGTATTCATTTGGTCAGTACAATAACCAGAGATTTTGTGCCCAGTCTGCATTTTTCTTGCAGTTTTGTGTGATCAACTATGTTTTAGGTCTTCTGATTATTTGTGTTATTAAACTTTTTTCAACTCTTTGGTTGGTTCAGGTACACTGACAGATTGAAGGATATAGAACCTGATCAGGTAGCTTATATATTTATTAGTAGCTTCTAGCATTTCCGACAAAGAAATCAAATAGCTTGTAATGTTATTTCTATTTCTGGAAAAAGAAGATTCTGTGTTTTTTTTTAGGGGGTCTAATACTTGTCATTAACTGAACAGGCTGGGGAAATATTTGATGCCGCATCTAGATATCTATTATTTCCTCTTAAGCGTGCTGTAGCTGATGTATTACTGCCACACCTGGAAAGTGCCTCACCTGCAGAAATGTGCCATTGGTTGATATTGTCAGACATGTATAATGCTCCTTTAAACCCTACCCCAAATTTCTCTCTCTCTGAAATTCTGGTCAATAGCTATAGTTAATGATATCCTTGAACTCTGGAATTTTACAATGTTTTGATGATGACGTGTGTGTAGGTATGGAGTTCTGAAGATAAGGGAATTCTGTCTAGATGCAATAGCTTATAATTTTGAGACATTTGCTGAAACTCGTGAATTCCGAGCAATGCTGTTGACACTGCCTCCACCATCTGGGGATTCATCATTTCGCACCACCGTTCCAAGTGCACCGGGAGCTGAGGTTAATACAGACCAGCGCAATCTTCTGGATGACTTACGAGAAAAATGGCTTGAAGCTGAAGCTGCTGAGCTTGACAAGAGAGATGAGAGTGCATTAATTTTTGACAAGCGCCTTGAGATGCTCATGGTTGTTGCAGAACGAGAAAAATATGATGGTCTTACTAATGATACTCCCAATGGTCCTAGAACATCTTTATTCCCATCTCCTACCGCCCCCATAGCAAGTGAACAAGAAGAGAATGTAGGTTAGCCAATTTTGTTTCTTTTCCACATTATAAAATAAAAATTTATAGATTTGTGCCGAAGCGAATGCTTCAGACAGAGTGCCTTTGTTGGGTGTTTTTCTTTTTTGTAACATTTTGTCCTCATAGCATATAATTCCATACATTTTTTCTTCAACTTCCATACACTATTGCCCGCTGGTGCTATTGATAGTGTAGAAAATAATGAAACAGCAATGTGCCTTATACCCCAGCTACAATGCGCATGTCTAAAGGCCAAAAAAGGAAAATGCATTGTCTTGTAGCGTGAAGACCAACTCAGTCCCCAAAAAGAAAAAGCAAAAATAAAACAGGACCAAGATCTAAGCTTTAAGTTGAAAATAGACAAAACTAGTATAAAAAGATGAACAAACAATGCTTTTTCTCCCTTCGCATTATTCAGCAAAAATAATGCAATACCCATTAAAAGAAAATACCTAGGTACAATAATCTCTAACAAAAATTTACAAGACCCTTTCCTTTTTCTTTTTCTTTTTAATTTTTTTACTTCCTGTGGTTTACAAGCCCATTAAAATTGAGCACTTTCCCTTTGCATGAGCAAGAGAACTGATAACAGAAATCAAGTTCCTCTTATTCCTGTTCTCTAGAAAAAGAATAAATAAATAAATAAATAAGTATATCCTGTCATTTTCCATCAGAAGGGTAATTTTTTTCATTTTCTAGAGAAGATTGCTCATTTTCGACCTTTGAGGGATTCTCATTCTCTATCTGTGGGGAGGTAGCATTATCTGAAGCAGCTCCATCCATAGACAACTTGGACACTGCACTAGCCAAACCGGTTTCACCATCAGCGGAAGCTGTAGGGGAGCCATCAGGACTGTTAAGGCTTGATTCTGATTCACCTTCTGGTTGCTGCAGACTCCAGTACATGATGCTTGCAGTCAAAGTAAGCATCATCTTCTGGTTTACCTGCCATACCAAAGCACATGGCAGTACAATTTGGATGTTATATACCTACTAGTCTAATACTACATTGAAGAAGGTAGACTGCAGTATTGGTTCAATCCAGTTCAACTGAAATAATCTGCTCCACTCATAACATTAGTTAGCATTATTCTTTGCGATAAAATAGTTTGACCATAAACAGACAAACAAATGAGAAAGATATCAAACATTTGAACAACACGAAAAAAATTACGGATTTCTGAGAGTAGAAATATAGTGAAGGCTTCAATCCTGCTCTTTGAAAATGTTAATTTAGAAACAGAAGGCTACAAAACTCCATATCCATAATTTTGGAGTTAGACTATTCCTCAGAACCAGATACTTCTCTTAGTGACAAATAATTAGTGACCCCATTAGATGCCAAAAGGGACAGAGAGTACTTGATGATTTCATATATTTCAGTCAAGATGACAGATGAGTAAGCTATAAATATTTTGGTCCACTACAATATCCCATACCTCAATAATGTCCTCTGGTAACAAGAAAATGGAGCAACCAAGCTTTCGGGCGACACTGATTATATATGTTGCATTCAATTTCTTATCTTCCTCTGAAATAGTGAAGATAATGAAGTTAGAAAAAAATAAAATAATAATAAATGGTAACAAGAAGGCAATGATGAAAAAAGTGTGAAATGTTTCCCACTTTCTATACAGGATAGGTGTCCTTCTCAAATAGTTGATCCCTAAGAAAGCCAAAAACCTACGAGCTTGATATATTGATGTTTTTAGCATGCACAAGAATTTCCAAGTCACCAAGTAATTACATAAGAGAAAACAACCTTGTTCATGAACTACAAAAAGTGCCATACCAGTTTCCCCCTTTGTGGCAAGACTCCAATTAACCACCCTTGGCTCCACAGCACTAAGAAGCTCGAGGAAGAAAACTCCACTTGAAAGGTTTCTATCCTAAAATTTGAAAGTTCAATAAATAAATAAATAAAACCTTAAAAACTAAAATGCCAATCATCGGATTGAAGCTGTCAGTAAGAAAGGCCATTGTTTATTGAATTACCTTGAAACTGTCCATTTGGGAGGTTCTACCTGCCTTCTTAACTTTTTTGTTTGCCCAATTTAGAATGTCAGCATCAGTAATCTCTTTTCCTGCTTTACCTTGGGAGTGTAATCTCAAGTTTTTCAAGAGTTGAAGCATACTAAACCTCATCAACTGCCATAAATATGCTGGGGATACAGGGGAAGTTAAAGAGTTATCACTAACATTAAAATGGAGACATATAAACAAAGAGCTTTAAATTCACTTGTCCACCCTAGATATATATCTGAGGTTGCGTATTTAAATTATAGAAGTTTGAATTGAGGAAACGGGTTGGAGACCTCAATTTGTCTTAGCACAACCAAAAACAAAAACAAACAAAAACAAAAACAAAAAAACTCCAACTAGTAAAACTTAACAGTCAGAAATCCAATACTATTTGTCTTATATTTTTTCCAAGTCAATTAGAAATCATATAGTTCTAAGAAGGTACCATAACTTTCAAGGTTTTCTTGGATGAAAAAAATTAATATTGCAGTACTACCAACACAATATTTTAAAGGAAAACTCTTCAAACTTACCCAGTATGAGCTTCTTATTTCCTTGCACAATATCATTCCCTGCTACATTCACAAGGGAGAAATTTAATTCCTTCCCAATCTCAATAACTTGGTTGCAATTCTCAACTTTTCTAAATGGCATTTTTATCGGCGGCTTTGTTGCCTTTTTCCAGTTGACTGCTCCTGAAGAAATTTTGTCAAGAACTTCTAAAAGAACCCATCTGCATCCACAAGGGATATATATCAATCATGGCTCAAACAGTCACAACATGTATGTGCTTTAAGGGGTTAGAGGGAAGAGAAATTAAAAATCTCACCCATTTCTGACATCTTCAAAAAGATTATTGACATAGGTAGCAGTTCCAAGACTGTTAATCCACAGTCGGAAGCATCTCTCTTCCCGAGAAGTCTCAGCATCATCTGTCATCATCTCAGCAAAGGACATTTTTTTACTGTCAGTAGTCAAGCCATTTCTGCAAGAAAAATTCACACACCATTAACACAGTATATTAATCTGAACAAAAAGGCACTACACACTGTTTAGAACTACTGCAGCATTGCAAACTGAAACATCAGAACCACCAACTGATAGTGAAGGAGAATCAAGAAGCAAAAACAATAGAACACAATATAATTGATCTGCGCTAGAAAGCAACAGGCACTGTTATTCAAAACAAATATGAACATGCAATATGGTAAATTGGTGATGCGAAAATATGAATGAATATCAAAATCTGCAAGCCTAAAGCACTTGAGAAGTGCTGTTTCTTGCCTGTGATGGAAAATTTGTGCAACAAACGCAAGATTAAGATTTGGTGAGCCCTCAACAATGTCTTTAGGAGTGAGGTATCTTTTGCAATCCAATTTCTCTGCTTGCTCAAGAACAAGGTTTGCTCTTTCTGTAGGATCCTTCTTATCCAAGGCGGCAGGGCCTGAGTGCTCTGGTGCAAGAGCATTAAGCAGGTAAGCATAAGCCTCTCCATCCTGAAAATGTGTTAATCTTATTACATAATCACGAGGATAAAAAAAAATCAACAGCATACTTTAAAACAAAAATAAAAAATCACGTTGGATACAAGTCTTATGCAGAATATAACTTATTTGTAAGCCAGCAACAAATTCTAGCTGCACAGTGACTCAAAAAAGTGTGATGTATAATACATATAAAAGCTTTTCCTTCCTAATTGATAATTTAGTGGTCAGTTTAGAGGAGACTGGAAATACAATTTTGACACCATTGCTATTAGGTTTATGCATAAAATGCTTATCAGTACTAAACTGGTTAGCTTGCTCTTACCTTCACATCAGAAGAGAAGTTTGTAACTTGTTTTTCATAGCCAGCTTTCTTCAAATGAAAATTCATCCATTTCAGTAGAACCTTCTCAGGTGGTAGACCCAAGAGCTCCTCCACATCCTGTCCACTAACATGATAGCTGAAGTTAGCTTATATGTTCATCTACCAACATAACGAAGTGTACATACAGATTATCCGCCCTTGTTTAATCAAGGATAAGTGAATATAAATAAAACTTTGTGACCTTGCTGTCGTCCACCAACTCCACAAGTTGTGGAGTTTTCTTCAGATTGAGATCAGCCAACAGTTGAATCTGATAATGCCACCACATGAAAAGACAAGTTATAAGTTTAAGCCTTTATAACCCAAATATCAAATTATTGTGGACTCTATGATAAAAATATACCAAAAACAAAAACGATAAAAAAAACTCATACTGCATACCTTGATTATTTGAGAAATCAAGCCAAGTACTAGATAGGGCTGCAAATTAAGCAAATAGTGAAAATGTTAAGAAAAAGTTTAGGAAACTGGAAAATTTCCAATGGGTAGCTGGCAGTGCTCAACTTACTCTAGCTTCAACCAAATCCTGTGTGCCAATGTTAACTACAGTGCAGCCAATAGCCTTTGCAGAATTAAGACAAAGGGTATGGTTCTCATTCCTCTCCCATGGATTAAGAGAAGTTTTAGTATTGATAGCTCGCTCATCTATAGTCCCGGGAACAGCTACATTGATAAGCTTACTACATGAAGCAACTAAAATAATTAACAAACTTGAAAATGTCTGTGGACACTATTGAGTAGAAAATTGTTGAGCGGGTCCAGTGCCCCTACCAAAGTAGTACTCCACCTTTTGCCAGATCAAATAAAGAATTTGTAGATGGATCTAATGGAAGAAACTTCTTCAAGAATGAATCTTCTGCCAGGTAGCTGTTAATGTGGGCAACATAAGAAGACTTCTCAGATTCATTAATCGCGTGGTGAACAGTTGTTGTGGTTGCCTTGAGAAATGAAGATTTCGAACCACCAGATTTTGCTGTTGCACGGGCTTGCAAATTCAAATATGCCTGCCATTTAGCAAATCCCATTAATTTCTTGTACCAGTCCACCATGACCAGCAAATATGCGAACATGATCTATAGTTAAAAGGAAACTGAACTGCCAGTCAGGTCTGCTCATTCACAAGATCTCACTGATTGATTTCTGTTTCAATTTTAACTAAAGCATATTCCATCCACCGACTATGAACAATATAATTGAAATACAGGAGAAATGGAAGACATAACCTCATGCTTCAAAGACTCACCCGAAGATAGGACTCAAAATCAATTTCTTCTCCACTGTCCTTGTTCGACTCCAATAAGATACCTTTAACCTCATCTTCGGTGAACATTTCGGTGAAAGCCTTCAGTTTTGCAAAAACCGGCGGCAAATCTCCCACAATGACGCGACCAGACTGATTCCTTATTGAAAGATACTAAAACCAATGCAACCAATTCCACATGTCACCACAAAATTGCCACTTGATCACATAATTTCTCCAAAGAACATACATAGCCTAGTAATCTATAATACAAATTGCCACTTGATAGGAAATCAGAAAGCTTACTCTTGATTTCAGGGTCCGAAGCTCGACTTGAGTGAATTGGCTCTGCAGCCATGTATCAGAAACAATAACTCCCTCAAAGCCAGACATCTTCCCTTTTTTTGTTTGTGCCGAAGTCCCAGTGCAAAAAGCTTAACACCGATTTCCCAGAAACAAAATCATATATCTCAATTTTCAAATAGCCATAACTTTCGACAAGTCAGCATGGAATTAACAATCTTGCAACAACAGAAGCACAAACCAGATCCATATATGTCAAAATAAAAAGAAACCCAATTGAGGAACCATATCATAGATGCAAACCAACGTGCATGTTAATCAAAAAACGCGTTTTTTTCTTCTTTCAGGATTGACCCAGTTTTCGAATCAAATGGTAATGTTGATAAACACATAAAATAATCAAAACACACGTCGAGAAATGAGTATTCAGGTAGAAAAATGTACGAGAGTACCTTATGGAATCTCAGAAAACAAAGCTGAAATTGAAGGACTTTCTCATTCTTTTTGCGCAAGCTTGGATTTTCTTCAGCGAGAGAGAGAGAGAGAGTTATGTTTGTGTTTGATGAAAGACAGAAGAAAAGAGTGAGAGAAGGAGAGAAAAACGTGTAGGCGATAGGACGCGCGAAGAGCCAGGGAAGGCAATAAGGCAAATGCAAAAGCAGAGGAGGAGAGTCCAAGGTGGCCTATTGCTTGTCCATAATATATGTCCATGAATGTGAATGTCTAATAATATTGAACACAGACACACCCTCCTCCATTCAATTCCCGTGGGAACGTCTGTTCGGCATCAATTCCAAAACGGGGAAACTACAAAAAGGAAAATGTCAATCTTAAATAAGAGAAAGAGAAAAGGGTAGCCCACTTTTTCTTTCCTAAATATATATATATATATATATATATTGTGTTTCTACTTTTTATAAATAAAAATAACCACGTTAAGGAGAGCTATCTTTACTCTTTTTTGTTTTGTTTGCATATATGAGTTAGATTAGTTGGCTCGGCTAGCATATCCAAATCCTTACACCCGGCCGAGCATGATCCCCCTCTCTTGTGAAGTAGGTACTTTAGAATAGCTTATACCTATTGTTTGGTAAACATGATAATTTAGACCATCACCTCTAAGAAAAATGTGATAATTATAAACTTAATGGAGGTCACATGTGAGATTGAGATCTCGGATCTCCATCTTAACTCACCTTCAGGCTCGATCTCAATGATGGCACGGTTTTGATACAGTCGAAAACAACTAGTTTTCTATGATCTTGACATATTCCAATAGATATCTAGCTAAGGCAATATGATTGAGAGGATGACTGAACACTATAGGCCCAACCAATTGTCATGAAAAAGTATGTGCTTGTTGATTTTCAGTCTGACTTGAGCTTAACAATTGTTTACGATAATTATTTAACATTTCAAAACCGGAGGAGATATGAAAGTAAGACCTATGAAAAGAAAAGGTAGGAACTTTGTGCAAGTTCCCTATCAAAAAGAAAAAAAAATTACGAAATATGCAATTGTTAAAGCAGTTAGAACTAAGTTGCTTAGTAGAATTCACAATCTTCAAATATGCAGTTTCAGCAAGGTTTTAAATTTCCAGGAGCTCCTCACCATATGGGATCCAACTGGTAAGCAAAAGACTTGGAGGCAATCTCTTCGCATGAGTATAGTTTACTTTCACATATATTGTACAAGGGAAGGCAACATAAGAATTTAAGTTAACATTACAGTACAAACATTTTGCTGTATAAACAATAGATCAAACAAATTGCCATTTACTCATTTGGACAACAGAACTCAAATTCTCATACACGTAAAGATTCAGTACCCACATATGTCCACAAAAAATGGTTTCAAAATCAAAGCAATTGAACAAAATAAGTGAATATAAGCCCTTTTAACATAACTTAAAAGGATTTCAATGGTGAAGTCTGTCTCACAAGAACAAGACCAGCCCAGCTGAGACTGCCAAAACAAAGTGACCCCAAATACCCCAGCTGATAATCCTGTAAGAAGAGGACTTTCCTGGTGAAGATCCTGGAGACGATGAGCCTTTAGTTCCATCAGCTGTTGGAGCATCTGCAGCTGGTGCAGCGGGAGCCGGTGCAGGAGCTGGGGTTGGAGGTATGTCAGTGCCAAAGATTGCCTCAGGAAGAAGAACCTTGTTAACTTGGTAAATTGCAACAGGATCAGTGGAAAGCACACTGCTGCTCACTTTTGTGTCTGTCCATCCTGAGGTAAGATGTACGGTGCCTGAAACATCAGTGAAGTTCAAAGTGTATTGTCCACCAGCAAATGTAGGTATGGGGCTTGATTGGCTTAGGTTTTTGAAGTCAGATAAAGAATAGTAATGCGGCAAGGCATGGAATAGGATGAGTGACTTGAGCTGGTCAGCTGTGAGATTGGAAAGAGAGGGCTTCTTAAGAGATGAGAAGGCACTATCTGTTGGTACAAAGATAGTTATGCCTTCCTCAGTCTTGTTGGCTTGGTCTTGAAAGGTCTCAAGCACTTTGGTGGACTCAAGGTAGTTAAGGAAGGTGTGGAATGGGCCGGCCACAGTGAGTAAATCTGTGAGGTTCACGTATTCCGGTGCTGGTGCTGGGGCTGGAGTAGGGCTTAAGATGGGAGATTTAGAAGTTTGAGCATATGCCGCTGAAGAACACAGAAGCAGTAGCATGAAAACCACAGGAAGTTCCATTTTGTCCAACTTAATAGTACTTTTTGTATGGTGACACTCTCCAAATTCCTGCAAGAAAAAAAATTCCAAGCACAATGGTAAAATGCCAATTAAACACTAAAACCAAAAGAAATTGCCAGTTAATCACAGAGTCAGTGAGTACTGAGTATAAGTTTTTCCAATTAATTCCAAGATCCAAACTTTTCACCTTTCCCAGTGCACTAGAACTACGTTCCCACAAAACCCAGTTTGCAAAATCTTCGTAAGATCAAGAAAATCTCAAAAACACAATGAGCCTCTCCATTAAGAAAACCCAGATCTTGATCAACAAATTTTTAAGAAGGAAAAATACCCATTACAGTGGTAGGGGCTGTTTAATAAAAGATCTAATGGACATGGACTGCACTAAAAGAACAGGGGCAACAGTACATGACACTGCAATACAGGAAACACGAAAAATAAGAAATGCAGGTTGATATATAACTTAGAATTTGACCCAATTCCCTGTTTCTGAACTCAGAAGATAAAATTACAAATGGCCAAAAACCAGATCAAAATTGCAGTTTCTGTGAGCAATTCATCTCTTCCACTAGAACATGTTTGTGTACATTGAGCTTTTCACCCTCCCTAGAGGTTTCTGAGTAAGCCCAAGTCAACAAATCTCTAGAAGAACAAGAGAAAGAGTCCACAGTGAAACAATGTACATCAACAAATCAGATCTAGATCAGCTCAGTAATGTCTCACATAGCATATAATTAAACTTAATATCATGGACTATGAAGTAAAGCAATAAACTTTCGCAAGCACAAAGAAGCAGTCAAAAGTTGTACACAAAATCCCTATGAAAATAAGGTGCAGGCTGAGCAGAGAGAGACTACTAAAACTAAAAACACTGACCTCTCACCAAAAGAGGAACTCAGAGAGAGAATTGGTGGTTGAGGTTGAGATTGAGAATGCAATAAAGACTGAAATGTGGTGAGACTTTATAAAGTAAAGGTGGGTTCTTGTTGGTAAGATAAAAACAAAAGAATGGCAGTGGGGATGGAACCAGCTGGTGCCTGGTGGTGAAGAGATATAAAGAAGGAAGTGGGTGTACTAGAAGGCTGTTTGCAAACTGAGGATGCTTCTTCAAATAAACAAATCCTTTTATTGGAATGACTTTTCAGTTACAAAAGAAAAGAGTGTTTGCATCATTATGTGGGGTGGTGGGCTTTCTAAGTCACCTCCATCTATTCAGTTTTTTAATGCATTGGGTTGGAGACTCTAACTTTCACTCTACCTCATCATTAAGATTTTGTCCCTCATTTTCTCATCAAATTATCTTCTCATGCTAGTTTGAAACTGTTGCTATATATTCTGTAATTGTCTCTCAAAAAAATTATTCTGTAATTGGGTTTTTTTTATAGCTTTTTTTTCTCTTTTGCTTGCTGGGAGTTGAAGTTCACTTCTTGTGGCTAACTTTACTGTATCAACTAACTTTTACTGTATCAACAAACTCCAAGGAAAGTAAACAGTAAAACATCTAGAAGGACTGCCTATACTTCCATTGACATCCAAGTATTTGGTAATGCATACATTTGCCCTCTCTTCTCTTGAGAAGATTGGTTATGCCTTTTTCATTCCTTTTGGCCATCTTCTTGGATTAATCGTTATGATATGCCTCTTTTTGTGCATTGAATGAACTTGGTTCAAACTTTTGGTTTGTTGATAGGATACTTGGTCAAAGTGAAAAAGAGATTGTAACTTCTTCACCTTTTCATGGGAAGTTGGGCTAGGTGTATTATTATTATTTTTTTAGAAACTAATGGGCTATGTTGGATGGGTGAGAAAACAATTCTAAGAAACTTCCACCCGTAGTTATTATTATTTTTTATATATATAAGTGATAGCCTATATTATAAAGAGAAAGGGAATTTTCTCACACATACTATCAATGTGTTATGAGGATTTAAATCTGAGATCATCAATCTGCAAATCAATGTTATTTATCACTTTGTTAGACCCGTTAGCGACACCAGTAATTATTTGATGACAAAAAAAAAATCAAGATTAGTTTTTTCATTACACAAAAGGAAAGAAAAATGAAAATAAAATATATGGAAAATTAGAAATCAAAATCTCGTGGGGAGAATTGAACAATTGAGAATGGCAAAGTGGGGCCCACCATGAGATTTGGGCCAGCGGGCATTGGCTGTCTGGTTGTCCCCGTGCCAACTGTACCCAATGATTCGGCAAACATGCGTACTCGCTCACGAGAAACTACGCCCGCCGTTAATGTTAGCGAACCGTGGTTCGAGACATACGACACCGTTTCTTCGTGTTTTACTCACTCCGACACACAGACAGACACCCCATCACACTATGAAATTTTATATGCCCATTTATTTTGGGGATCACATGCCAACCAAAACCATTCAAAAAATAATTGTTATTTATTTTAATTATCCCATAATTATAATTATTATGAATAATTATTCAAAATTATTACTAATTATGCTGTAAATTAAGGACAGCATCATTGACCAAGAGAAACTAAACGTTACTCTGTTCTTATAATAATTTTTCTAACATTGTGGTAGAGCACTAATCAACTCTTAACTAAATTATTATTATTTTTATATTTTATTCACAGCTAGACGGATATTTTTTATTTTCTAAATGTATACCAATATAAACTTTGGTAAATTAATTCTGAAGACTTTGAAAAAAATTGGCATGTGGAAGTCATTGGTATTTGCGGTCAAATCAAGTTTAGTGTTTTGATTAATCATAATCAAGAGAGGTGGGATTTGTCTTCTATGTGGGGAAGGTGTGATGCCAATTTTTCTGATTAATCTAACCAATTAGTTGGCTAGGAGTAGTGTTTTGGCACATGATCCTCGTTTGATTAATTAACCAAAGTTATATAACTTAAACTTTATAAAGGATACAAGTGGATCCATCCATTGGCATAAGTCTATGTCATGCAGTTTTGTATGAATGATTTTGTTGTTGAATCCTAATCCCACATTAGTGTTGGGTTAAGTAGCTAATCAAGCCTTATATACCCATCGAGTCTCTCTCCCTAAATTGCTTACTAATAAATAGGCCCATAATAAAACTACGTCACCATAATGGGCTAATTACATCAAACTCACTATGAATATGTATCGTCTTGCGTTAATAGACTGCCCACATATCATGCTAAATATTGGCCAAATTGAATGAAGTAACCTTGATCCATTTGCATATTTCAACTAAATTAAGCACCAAGCTCTCTTTGCCTTTGTTCTTAACAAAAGTTAACCCATGTCCATTCTAGTAGGTATACAAAGGCCAAGTCCAAAAACATGAATGTGGACAAGCATTCATAACAAGAGATGAGTGGAGAAGAGGTGGGAGGATGATGGGTTGTTGTCAGGTGCAGAAAGCAGCTAGGATGGCCAAATCAAGCTGATTTAATATTCCATTTGTTCTTTTCAATTGTGGGTATATCTTTGAAATCTCATGCACCTTCAATTTGAAAGGGGCACGTTTGTACCCTTCTGTGTTCATACTAGAAAAATCAATGCTCAGCTCTATCTGAAACTTGAAAGTGGGGCATCTTGCATCAGGGTTCCTTGAATTCAACAACTCATGTTTGAGTGTGAATTTGAAGCACTTGTCACCAACCCAATATTGCAAACCATGCTGTCTTCAAGCTGTCAATTATGATTAGCATAATTGACTAAACTGTTTAATAATTTTCAAATAGCCTATCATATTTCTTTGGCTTTAGCAGCTAAAGAAATCAAAGAAATGAGGACTCCTTCAGACAAATGCAGTGAATCAAGAACAAAATCTAAGCTCACCTTTTATTACAGGCAGTAAACAAAAAATCCCCTCAACAGACTCTCTTTCTTTGCAATCCAATGTTATGAAAATTAACTAACAAACTTAGCATAACCAGGGAAGTAAGTAATGTCTGGATACTCATTAACTGGAAAAATCTTAAGCTAATCGTGGTGCAAGAACATAAGCCGAATGAAAAAGATATGCTGGCGCTCATTGGGAAATTCTCTGTTTATTTAGCCCATTCCTTTCGAATGTCGAAGGTGTAATTGATTTCCAAGTAGCACTTGTTATCATCGTCCAGAAACTGCAGAGACAGAGATGGAGATAGAACAGAATGAGATTCTATAGTGGTAACTATATTACTTCATTCAGTTAATTATAGAAAGATTATATAAATTCGGAAATCTTAAACCTGCAATCCTGGTAAGATTATGTATTTACTTCAACTGGGCTTACCTTTGATCTTGCAGAATATGATCCTCTGGCAAATATGCCAGAAGGCGTGGTCTCTTCTGGCATCAAATGTGTGTAAGGCTCTGGCTGAGGACTGAAAGTTCCAATCATCTCTTTTGTGCTGTCAACTGAAATTAAAATCCTTGTGAACGGAACAATTTGAGTGCATCATGATTCATTTTTCAAGGACAATTAGGATGGATATAGCTTACTTACCCTTGACACCAGTTTTCCACACGGTGTTGGTGTACTTGAGGCCGGATACAATGTTATTGGTAACTTGGAAGGAGAATTTCAGGTTGTGTGGACTGCCTTCTTTCAGCGTAAACCATAAGCCCTTGGGTTTCCCATCTTCCGGAATATCAAGAACAATGTCAGGTCTATCAGGAGAGAGGATTGACAGTTGAATGAACTTCACTTCAGGTTCAAGAGTTTCTGTTGTAAAAGAAGGGAAAGAATTACTATGTGCAAGAAATAAAGAGAAACCATTTAAAACAAAAAAGGAAAGAGATGGATAAGGCATACTTTTAAGAAATTTATAGTCTCCATGGAGTGTAAAACATTAGAAACAGAGAGTTGGAATGCAGAAAGCCAAATTCTTATTTCTAAAAACACACACCCTTACCATCAAACTAGTAAAGAATGCTGCTTTTGTAGGATTCTCTGATCAAAATAACCTCATTAAAATGGCCAACTATACCCGTGAGGTTGGTTGCGAAATGAGAGGGAAGAAAAAAAAAAGATAAAAAGAAAACCGATAATCGACAAATTCATCTCTAAATTGCACAAGTCTACAAGATTGTAGGCAACAAGTTCTGAAAATATTGTAGTAAAATAACAGATAGGTGAAGAATCACTAGTTGTCAAAGTTGAACAAGTATGGTTGTTTTACTATGAAGTCATAAATACAGGTCTTATGCTGCAAGCAAGCCCTAAGAGATCATCTCTAAAGTGTTCACAGCCAGCAATACGAATGACAGGTTTTTGAGAAAGTTGGATTCTTTGAATAGTAATGTGATCTGATATTCATGTTATGATCATGGTTCACGAATGCAGTTTTCATTAAAAGGAAAATAATACAAATTTATGGACCCTACATCAAAGAGATTCATAGAACTCAGAGATAAGCACATATAGGCTTATAGCCCAAAAGAAGAACGTCTCCAAGCTGAAAATAAATAAAACATGTGCCAATTATCACGTGAAAACAAGCATAACAAGCAAAATTGTACTCAACTAATGATAAATATTAAGATGCAAATATTCTTAAGATAATGGTCAAAGGAATCATTATTAAGCAAGAAAAGGACAGGGCATCAAATAAAAGCGCAAGGGAATGGGGTTAGAGGGAAGTGGCACTACTTTAATTATTTTCAATTATTTAACCATTTTGATCATTGGCAATCATCAACAGTGAAAGATTTAAGTCAAAGAGAGCTGCTGACATAAATAAAGATTCTGAAATGCAATTCCAGTAAAATTGCAAAGCTGAGATGATAAAATGAAATCTGATACCTCCAACACTCTCAAAATCCACAGCCCCGAGAAGCTGTTCCTTCCACCTCCTCAAACTCTCATCATCCTGATGCAACAAAAGTCAACCACCAGAGTGGCAACAACAAAAATTCAACCGCCAAAAAGAAATTAAATAAGAGAAAAAGATACAATCTTTACACCCTGAGTTTGAGCAGAAACACACCTTATCCTTCTCAATCTGTTCTTTAAGAGTGCATTGAGGACCCAACTGAATCTTGTTGCTTCCTTCTTCATCTTCCTCCTCCTCAGTTGCAGAGACAGAAGCCTCACTCATCTGTCTGCCAATTCCCTCTACTGCCTCGTTATCAGTATCATCTTGATTTTCTTTCTCTGTTTCTTGATCACTCTTCTTTCCTCCCCCCATGTCCTTGGAACTTGAGATAGCTCCAGCAGCCAAAAGAACATCAACTCATCCACAGTCACAAAGAAACCCAACTAGCTACGACCAATTGCAAAAGAACTGGACAAACCCATTATAGCCAAAACAGAATGAAAGCGTCTTCGTTTATGAATTTGGAGAGAAAATAAAAGAAACCCAGTGAAAGAATTGACACAAAATGATAGAAAGTGAAAGAATTTGGTGGAATGAAACAAACCCAAGAAAGGCAATAATCGTCCGTGTTTCAGATAACACAAGAAAATAAGAGGCAGAAACAAACAAGACCCTGAAAGCAAAAAAGAGCAGAGAGAAAAAGGCAAAAGGGAAAAACTGGAATTTTTTGTCTCCTAGCTTTCTGTGGTGGGTTGTTGTTGACTGTTGAATTTCTCAAAAGGGAGAGAGGGATGAGGTGGATTTGAGAATGATTTGTCAAACTGAGTGAGAAAAGGTCCTGTGGTGATCCGAAATATGAGTGGGAGAGAGATGGTAACGAAAGAGAGAGATAGACGTCTGAGAGAGAACGTGTAGGTCACTAAGGCGCTCACACATTCACGCATTACCCGATTCAAGGAAGGGGGAAGAAGGGGACTTTGAGGCTTTCATGAGTCATCTAGAGACTGTCAGTCAGAAGTTTAGAGAGATTTTCGGGGAATGTTAATAAGTGAATAGCCCATGTATATTCCTGCACATTATCCCCTTCCTTGCATTGCATGGGAGGTTAGAATGATTGTGGTCCCACATACCACTCAAAGATATGTAGACCCCACCCATGAATCTGTCTCTTCTTTTAATCTTCTCTTTTAGGTCAAAGGTTGTTAATCCATGTGTTCATAAAATAATATTGCTAAAAGGGGTTCTTTCTAAGAGAAATATTAGTAAAGGTTTGCAAGGCGTTGGGTACAGTTGAACCTAACTTACTTGTACAGAAATAAGTTATGTATGAAGAGGGATTAACCTGATTACATGTAAGGGTAATTGCTTAGGGATTAACTTTATTTGTACTAAAAAGATTCTTTTAACTTCTATTTCCAATTTATGTGATGGAAATCTCACATTGGATTTTGTAAAGGTGTCACTTCTTTGATGCAATGATGTATATGTTGGAAAGCAAAAGTTAGGACAAGTTGTTAAGGCATTGAGCAATGTAGATAAGAATAAGGGAGCTCGTTTGGCAAGCACATTCTTGACAATGTGACTATTTGGGTACTGTGGTAGATTCATAAATTTTTTGGGAGTTTCACTAAAACCCAACACCCAAATTAGACAATATTTAAAAGGTTAAAAGTTCAACAACAACAAATTAGATAACCAAATACCCTTAGGGCCCGTTTGATAATCATTTCAGTTTTAGTTTTTAATTTTCATTTTTGTACTAGAGTATAGAGGAAATGAGAATGAGGATGAGATTGAGAGAGTGGATGGGAGGGATGAGTAACAAAAGTGAAAACAATTTCAAATAAGTTTTTGTTTTTAGTTTTGGTTTTCGAACTTACGTCGGAAGCTTTATCAATACAATATTTTCTTGGCACAAAAGTTGATCGATATAACTAATACAAGTCAGTTTTTATAAAGACTTCGGAATTACATTAGGTTCCCTTGTTTCTTTGTTTTTTGTTTTGCCTCGTCCAAGCGCAGCAAAGGAAGGGGTTTGCTGAGGCTTTTTGTCGAACTGTTGGAGAGCAGACATCTCCAAGGCTTTCTTCGACTAGGGGAGGTGCAGTTGCAAATTTTTGACACCTCCAAAGCATTTTCCAGAAGAAACAAAAACAAAGAAGCAAAAAGAGGCGCTCTACAAGGGGTCCACTGGGCCAAGACTCCTTAGAAAGTTGGAAGCAGACCCACCTGACTTCCTCCGAGTAAATGTGGCTGACAAAGAGCTCCTGCTTGTAGTAAACCCAATCTCTAAGTTTATGGGCCTCGTAGTCTCTTTCCTGGAGCTATAGCCCCCAAAGGGAGGCCCTTGCTCTACCGTGAAAAATGCACAATGGTATTTGAATATTTTCTTTCCTCTTTTTTTTGACAAAAAAAGAATTTAGTAAAGTTTTGTAATAACCATAATGATCAAAATTGAGCAATCTGACTTCATACTTCTTAGTTGGCACACACACTGACCTATAAATAGAACAAACTTTTGTAACTTTTGTTTTTATGTGATATAAACAAGGCCAAGCAGTCATCCACCAACAGAGAGCTAACTCAGACAGGAGACTCATCAAAGAAGCAAATTCCCATGTCAATATTATAACTCCAATTTGCCAAACAATTTGCAACACAATTCTTTTTCCTTTCTCAACAACAAGCTCTAGACCAAAATATAGATCCCAAAACTCAGCCTTCAGGATATGACCTTGGCCCAAATTCACTGCAAAACCGGCAATCCAATCACCTGAGGAGTCCCGAATAACACCTCATGCTTCAATAATATTAGTGGCAGCCTTTCTAGAACCATCCACATTCAGCTTAAGTTGGCCAATTATAGGAGGTTCCCAAGCCAAAAAAACATGTATTTTGTCAGGTTTCTCGCCAAAGCCATTAGCGGCTTTAACCACTCAACAACTATAGTAAAAATGATTTTCCTAGGATTAAAAGGCATATCCACTTCAACATTAAAAATCTTCTTGTTACACCAATTCTAGATATACCAACATGTAATGGCAAAAATAACATTCCATCCAATACCATCAGGGCCCTTAACTTTAAATTGCCTAAGAACCAAGGTTTTAGTTCAGAGAGGAAGAAATAAGGAGAAGAGTGTAAATTTAAAACAGAATTCCATACCATCATAGCCCTGGGATAGTCCCTAAGAATATGAATAACATATTCAGTTTTATATTTTAAGTATGTCCTTATTGTTAAAAAAAAAGAAGTTATATGTGATCTGAAGTCATTTGGTCATATAAACAATGAGAAAGAACACAGTTCATTAAACAAAACTGAAACGAAATTGTGGATAATCAAATAACTAAATAATATTCCTCATCTCCTTTACAGTAAAAATTAGGGGTAGCTCCATCTCCATGGTAACTCCATGAACATATCCTAGTTGAGAATGAACCAAACAAACCTAACTTTCTTGTGAGATTAATTATCTTGACTTGTTGGTTTTCCTGTTCCTTTTCTACATTTCATATTTCACTACATGAGAATTGGCTTAGATTCTTAACACCAAGTGCACAAGACCAACTCTATTTTTTTTTTCTTTTGATGATGAGAACATAATATATAAATACCAAGTGACAGAAACATGTAGAACAACCCCATTTTTCTCCTTTTACCTTGAACTCTTCGGGCCTGCGTGCCCCATGGGTCTATGTTCATGTAATTTCTTTTTCCTCATAAACCCACCCACCCTCCCCACCCACAACCCAAATTTTTCTCTAGATTTTGTCCACAAGTTGCAGAGGCTGGTGGATCCAAAGCAATTTGGATTGCAGTGCAAAGAATAAAATTGCCTACTCAAAATCACTGCTGTTATTTATATATGAACAAAATTAAGCATTCAGATCCAAATCGAAAGCTTTTCATCCCTTCATTATTCATGATTTATCACATGGACCCCCCCGAATTGGGGTTGAACCTAAAGTAGTACCAAATCATGTCCAATGCTGACAGAGAGCCACATCCCACCACGTAGTCGGCAAAGTGTTTGCCACGTGTCGTGCCCTCATTGGTACTAGGATACAGTAGAGGTACTTGGAATTTTTTGCGGGCTCCACTTTGGTGGGCCACCCCACCGCCCAAACTGAAAAACCTACCTAAAGGCTAAAAAGTCATCCGTCCATATATGACAGCTTGGAAGAGTTGGAGGAGGGAGGAGGGAGGAGGGAGGAGGGAGGAGGGTACCCTTTTTTCTCTAGGGCTCTTTGCCCTAACAAAGATCTGAAACTCATGAAAGTCTGAATGAAACGGCACGTAGGACTTTGTTAAACGGTAGGATTTTCAATCATGTTTGCAAATGTTTACAAAGCAAATCCCAAAGCCATGATCGCCTGCCAGCGTACGGAGTTTCAATTGCATGGATCACGGGGTAGATTTGTTCTTGGATTTTTAACTCGAAAGAATATTATTATTGTCCAACTTGGTTTTTGAGTCAAATGACACAAAGAATGTCATGAATATTAGTGAAAACTTTAGCATGGATGAATATTTTACTTGTACACGTGAATGTTAACGTTAGTCATTCACGTGCGTGTAAAACCCTCGATATATCTTGTTAGGGATCTCAGCTTGTTAAGATTAGGGTTTAATACTAAATTGAATGTTAGTTCGTTAAATAGTGGAGGCACCTAAATGTTGCAAGATAAATTGAGCTGATTACGTATAGGAGCATCATGTATGACTGTGTTCCAAATCAGCCAAGGAGGCTAGGGAAAGTTGTTGGATCACAATTGGTCTTGAGAGTTCAAAATTTGTCGCCTAATAATTGGGGTCCACTAGCTAGCTTCGGGTCACACTTGGTGTAGAGGAGGCACAAGGTGATGGAACATATCAGGATGTGATCCACGTCAGAATTTTATTCAATTCTGAGAAGCAAATTGTGGCCATTGGTTGTTAGGGTCCCATAATATAACGCCGGCCTAACGTGTTGTATCTTTTAGTGACTTGGACGTTGATGTTACGCAGTAAGCATGATTCTTCACAATTTGTCTACTTGTTAAATTTTAGGTTTTGGGAGGGAGGGAGGCATTCAATTGGGAGCTAGGTTCCCTCTAATTTCTTTGTCGATATTGTCATGTTATAAAAAGAAAGTTGAAATTGCTTTGGTAGTTCGATGACTGATTCTTGGTGTATAGTTATGCTCGCATAATCTTTTATTATCTTCGACACTGTCACTTTTAAATTTTAGAGAAAAGACTTAAGATTGATGCATAAAATAGTGTTAAAAAAGAGAGGTAAATATGCCTAATAAGAACTACAATGTCTTGGCATGCAATGCAAGGGTGTATATAGTCAATAATTCAAGGGAAAAAAGGGTTCATTTTCTTGCAAGAATTTAATTGAAATAGGAAGCAAAATGCCAAATAATATTTACCCTACCCCTATACGCTGAAGTAGATCGAATAGTAACATCCATGGTAGAAATTGACGTAGGAACAGAAAAAGGGCAATGATGATGAGAGGCAAAACCAGTTGTAATTAAGTAATTAGTAATTACTTAATTAAGATTTGAAGATGCATATGAGTGGACAGGATGGTAATGCAACCCTGCAAGCCCGACTGCACAAAGCACAGGAGCACACACAACCAAAAGAAGAATGATGGCTTGCATGGAAAAATGATATGGCCTCCTCCATTATTTGATACCCCTCCAATCCAAAGATTACAAATTTTCAACAAGCCATTAATTAATTTAGACATTTTGTTTAAACCTAAGATCGATCCAAAAACTTTTTGTGTAACATTATTACCCAATCCCTTGAATGTAGAGAGAGAGAGAGAGAGAGAGAGAGAGAGAGAGAGATGAGGTGTCAAATCCCAAGATTCCCCAAGTTCCACCACCCCATGGGGCCCCCTGTCTCATGCATCGACCTAAGGCAGTGAGAGAAGGCCTCTAGGCGTCTATATAAACCAATCCCAATTGATCATTTTTTTTCATTGCAACCATTGACTTCTGTTCTTTTCATTTCTTACTCTTAAGTTTGCCTATCTTTGATCAGTCTTCTTGTTTTTTACTTCAATTTCTTCCTCACCTTTTCAATTCCATGGCCACTGCTCAGGTATTAACTCACCTTTCAGTTCTAGAGTTTACGTAGATTTGTGCTTATGATCAATTCAAGCTCTCTTGCAAATGTAATAACTAATTGAGATTTTGATCCTTTAATTAAGTGTTAATTAAAATTAGAGAGTACTATAAATGTATAATAATCTTGCAGGTTGTATCAGCAAAGACAGCCCTCCCTGTGGAGGACACAACTCATGAGGAACCAATTAAGGCACAAGAAGTAGTGACAGAAGTAGCAGCGGCTGAAGCAGAGGCTGTTGCAGAAGAGCCAAAGGTGGCAGAGACTGTTGTGGCTTCTGGTGAAGTTCCTGAGGCTGAGGCTGAGACTGCAGAAGCTGATGAAACCACCCCAGCTGAGGTTGAGACAAAGGAGGTGAAGGTGGTGGAGGAGGCCAAGGAAGATGTTGTGGCCAAAGAAGAAGCAGAAGAACCAACAGCAGAGAAGACTGCTGAGCCAGAACTTGTAGAGGAGACTAAGGAGAAATTGAATATTGACGACTCTGTTGAGGCTCCTTCTGCCGAACCAATTGCGCCGGAGCCGGTATCGGAACCAGCGGCTGAAGATCCTAAAGAAAAGGTAGTGGTTAAGGAAGAAGAGAAGCCTGAAGCTGTTGAGGAAGAGAAGCCAGCTGCTGATGCTGCCGAGGAGAAGGTTGTCAAGGAAGAGCCAGTGGAGAAGGCTGAGTAAAATTAAGTTGTATTAATTAGTGGGGTATGTGGGGGTTGCTTGCATGTGAAGTGATCGATGTCTTTAGAATTTAGTGGTCCAAGAACTTAAATAAGGAGTAATTAGGGGAAAACGAGGTGTATGGAACGAGAAATTATTGATTGGTACGGATACACCATGTCAGCGATGTATTTTCCACATCTGAGTAACCATGCTAGCTTGCCATACATATGGTAGACATGCATGTTAGATCTTAGATTTTCATATATGCATTGGGGTTTGGTTGAGTTTCCTAGTTAAAAGCTAAGAACCTGATGAATTTTATTGTGGTGCATGTATGTATGTTTGATAGAAGATCATCATGGGGATGAATGTGTTGCATTTGAGTAATAAGATCTTTACTTGGTTGATGATAATTGTGTCACGTCCAATTTCTACTCCAACAATTTTTTTGTATATTCTTTCTAATATTTTTCCTTATCTCCTTTTCCTTTCCAGCAAATTTAAAGGTGCGTCATGTGGTAGCACATCACGCTGAGAAGGTGCATCATGTAAACATTAGTTATTAAAAATATATAACTTCTGATAGCCCATGAGTACCCCCAAAAAAAAAAAAAAAAAAAAAAAAAAAAAAAACCATATCCATTCATGTGAGCTTCATTAAGTCTTAAATCAGTCTCATTTTGTATCGAGGAAAAAAAACTAGTCTCACTGAGCATACAAGTTCATCTCTCAAAGAACCTTAAAATAATGATTGTAGCACTTATCTTTTTAACTATATGCACTCCAAATTGAATATTTTATAATATTTTCGTACTCACTTAAGGACCGCAAGATGTTAAAAAACAAGTGTTAAAATTACTGGCCTATAATTTTATGCCCAAAACCAAAAAGACTAATGTGACATGTAGTTCAAATGTGAAAGCGATCATGCAAAGCATATGGAAATGGAGTAGTCAGTGTAAATAATACATACGACACATTTTATCTACCATTATACGCACACATCAAGTTCAACTGTTCAATTTCAATATCATTAACTATAGAAAAGCTTCTAATATAAATTATAAAGCCAGATGGTCCAGAAAAGGAAAAGCAATCTAAACAACGTGAAGGACTCTCCTAACTTTTTTTTCTTGGGCATGGCCTTCACAACATTTGTCTTTTATATAAAAATCTTGGACATTATTGATCTAATCTAAAAATAGACTTCCACCAAGACCAAGCCCCAGTGGACAGATTTTATTTTTATTTTTAATTTTTCCATATTTTTGTTGTCCGCTTGTAGCTTCATCTTCCAACAGCTCTAAGCCACTAACGGTTGGCTCAGGTGCTTTTCCAAAGCATCCATGGCTTCACTGCTCATGAAACCTACAGTAACCAAAAGAAGAGATGAGGTGTATGTTGCAGCAGTGCCTCTAAGAGCCACAAAAGGGCCTGCCCAGCTTCTTGCCTCTTCTGCTTACTCTCTCAATCTCTGGGATTTGCAGCATTTCATGGTTATAGTTAAACCCTCCTCACCTCCACCTCATTCTCAGGTTCTTCTTGTCCCTCCAATTCTCTAGATAAGGTAGCTAGCCAGTTCAATAATTCTTTTGGATTTTCTTGCCCAATTTTCCTTGGTTGGCTTTAATTTACTATATTTATTTGTGTTTTGCTTTTGTTGGTGACTGGGATTGGATTGGATTATGAGGTAGAATTAGATTGCATTGGATTGGAAATGATAACACTAATCCAATGATATGTTTGATACTACACATGATTATGGGGTTAGATTAATTGAAATGTTCTGTTACATGGCTTAGTAGGATTAGTCATACTCCAATCAAACTTAATCCCAACATTTTGGTAGGATTCAAAATCTTACTACATTTGGCTTTAGTAGGATTAGATATAATCCAATCCGTGTTGTTTTTAGGCAACCAAACATTTGACTAGGATTGTGAATCCTATCCAACTACATAATTCAACTCACAAAACAGGGCCTAAGGCTTTTTTATCGGGAGCATTTTTACTCACCACTTTAACTCAAGGTGTACTCTCATCACCATTCTCAACATTTGACACGTGTCCATGAGCATAACCATGGTTCCATAAATACAAAGTAAAAAGTTAATTATTGTTAGGCCCATAGACACGTGTGAAAAATAAAAAAAAAAAAAAAAAAAAAATACATCATCATCTGTCACTTTCTTGCAAATTGAACAATTATATCAGATATATGTTTCCTTCAATTTGCCATATGTGCCATTCTGTTTCCTTCAATACGAAAATTTGAACTCCAATTCCATTGAGTCTCTTTTTGCAGGCCTTGGTTTTTGATTTTCAACCAAAAGATCCTGAAAACATATTTGCAGCCCTTGCAGTTCTATCTGGAAAAGCAATACCAGGTGACCCTACAAATTTTTGAATAATACAGTTGTTATTTTGTTTCTTGGTGTTCATATGGTATTTGTTCTTTCTGAATGTTAGGAGTTGTTCTCATGAGGAAGTTGTCAAAACTCCCCAGAAGCAAATGCTGGTTTGTTGGGTCTCCCAAAGCAGGTGCCTTAGATATGGCACTTGAATTCAACGAAGTCTGGGACACTAATTTGAGGGTTGGCCATCACGATTGTCGAGATTATACCAATGGTAACAATTTATCTGCCTACTGAAACATATAGTTTCTTTTGCAAAATCAGCTACAGAGCCACACTACAATTCGTTAATCAATAAATGCTTGCTCTGTTTCAGCATGTTTGATAATATTTGTTTGTTTTTGAAGGCTTGGTGAAGTACCTCACAGGTGAAGGGTACATCCTGGAGCGTTTGAGAAGTAGTGTGTGAGATTAGCTCCTCAGTGTAGGTCACACAACGCAAGTGTCCACCCTCGATTTCGAAAGAGATAGGACCTAAGCAAGCATGCTAGCCAATTTGACCAAAAGCAATGTTCTCTGGTCTGCATGTATAATTTGAACAGTGGACGAATGTGCATTTTCTTGCCACAATTGGGTCAACAATCCTTTTCCTCATTACTGTATCAAACTACCAATTCCAAAGGTTTGCTATTTGGGATCCCTCTGTAATCTCATGACACTTGGAGTGGTATGATAAATGTGTAAGGCCTGTAGACGTATGTAACTTCTTGAAAGAGACGTATGGGCCCAATGATCATAAAAAAAGACAAAGAAAGAAAATGCAAAGTGAACTTTTTCACCAAGGAAAAAAAATGCAAAAGTAATTCAAAGATGGTACAATTATTAATGTATGGCAGGGCAGTAGCAGTAAGCAATATGAATCTGATGTTGATTTCATTTCATTTGAAAGGCTGTTTGATAAGTTTTGATTGATCAAAGATGGTTCTCATTTTTGAAGAATTTTAAGAAATCAACTTGAGGAAACATTTCAATTTCCTGAATCAAATCGATATGCAAACACTGCAACAATAACAAAGATGATCTATTTCAACCAGCAGACTTACAGGGAAAGAGAAGCATAAAATAAGAGTCATGATTTGAACCCTTCACATATTAACAAGGGTATGAATTTGGTTAAGTCTGCCCAGATGAACAACAGTTTGAAACCATTTTGGCATCCCCTGAAACACAAGATCTTGAAAATTTCCACCATTTGGGTCATAGAGAACTAGAGCTCTGCTTTTGTACTCCAACAAGATCTGGCCACTCCCCAAAACACACAAAACCCTCACATATCTTCCTCTGATAGCAATCTTTGAAATCTTCCATGATCTATCGACATCTTGTTTCAATGCCTTTGGCACATGGCTTGCTATGCTCAGCTCTTTTACCCAAGCTTCCTTCACACCATACTCCTTCATAACCCACATCTCCAATTTCCCAAAGCTGCAATAGAAAACTGCAGCAAGGCAGCCTCTTACAACCAGCAGATGATAATCCCACCTGTTTAAGCCATCAGCCTCAGGTTTTGGGACCTCCCTGAATTGCTCATCTCCCAAGTCAAAAGAGATGAGCTTTCGTCCCGGGTGGTACCTTCTTCTCCAAGTAACCCAGTGAAGCCTTCCATTGACCAAGACCTGTGCAGGCCAGTGATGAAGGTAGTGAGATGTTTTGCCTATACTTCTCCAATTGGAGCTTCCCAGAGTGAGAACTTGAACTTCTGATTGTGGACGATAGACTCGAAATCGATGCCATGAGCCTCTATGTGCATTCCTATAATAAACTATCTTAACCACCTTATATTCCTTAGTAATTGGATGGAACCCAAATCCATAAATCACTTCTTGATTAGGAAATTGAATTGACTTGGGCAGCTCTCTATAATCCCTAGTGAATGGATTGTATATGTAAAGTGCATCATTGTATAAAGAATCAGACAAGCATAGCAAACCATTACATGAGCCTACCACATCAAACTCAGGCATTAAACCACAGAAAGGTGTGTGGATTTTTTTCACTATTTGTGCCTCTTTGCCACAATGATCAAAAGGGTAGGCTACAAAACAAAGATGGTTTCTGATGGGATAATCACAGTGGAAGATTAGGCATAGATAACTGTTCTCATCAGCTGTGTTGGAGTTATGAAAATGATCAAGAGATTCAAGATTATGTTGGTCTTGGGCTAAATTGCGCCACGCTCGGCATACATACCTGAATTGCACAAGAGATGAAAAGGGCAGCCTTGAAATTATGTCGGCGACGATTTCATACGGTAAATTCTCCATGCCAAGTACTGGTTGATCTTCTCTTTGGTTGCTCCTCCTCCTCCTCCTCTTGCTTATCTGCAGTTCAGAATCTGAGTCCATGGTTTAAGATGAGCTGTATTCTAAGGGAAGAGATAGGGTCATATAAGAGTAAAGATAGTAGAAGATTGTTATACTTTGTTTTTAGATGTATTTGATGGGATGGATTAAGTATTCAAAGAGACGGCAACTACAAGGAAATAGTGGTATATAAGATCCAAAATTGAATAATGCACTTGGAGAAAAGTTGGGTTTATCTTTGGGAAGAAAAAGTGATGGTCCTGGCAATCCCGACCATTCAATTTCAAATGCAAAGTCATGATTTACTGCAAAAAAAAAGCAAATTTATTGAATATAGAGCCATGCCAATGGATCCATGGCCCTACTGATGCTGACTCAGGAACAAGAAAGTCTTCTATGACAACCAAACAGAGCCTCTTTACCACTACTTTGGCTATTGGTGTAGTAGAATTAAAAACAAGCAAATACCTTTCCTCTCTCTCTCTCTCTCTCTCTCTCTCTCTCTCTCTCTATATATATATATTAAAACATACAGTTATAAAGTTAACAATGTATCTGGCAGGAGTTGGTTTCATCTGGTGGAGTTTTGGCCTTTAGGCCTACTTTATTAAAGAGTATTTAGGGTGCTCACAAATTCAACTCATTACATCAAGTCGCTCTCTATTAACAAACAAGAAAGAAAAAAGAGAAGAAAAGAAAGGAACCATACTTAATTTGTGGTCCACTTCCACAACTTTTAATAAAGAGAGGCCCAATACATCAGCCCTCCAACCTCAACAGCCCAGAAAACAAAGAAACGAACCCAAAAAGTAACAGAGCAGACCAATCACTAATCATTGAAATTTTGAAAGGCTACAATACAACCACTCCAATTCCTTGGTGGGGTGGGTGCAACAGCTCCAGCTACGACATTGCCACCGCATATTGGGTTAATTCATTCATTTTTATCAACTGAAAAATAAAAAGGAAAAACAGAGAACATGCTTCCCCTCTGTCCTCCAAAGCTTCTTAGCTCAAATCTTTCTGGAAAAATCAATGGAAATGCTTGAAATTATAACGAATGTAAAGTCTACCGTATGCGATGTCTCACAATACTTAGGGGTTCAAATCAAATCCACTGGACAAAACAAAATGTATTGAAATTAATACCTGATATCAGAATGCTGTTTATGTTTTTCATGTTTACAGAAAAAATTCTACAGAGAACAACAAATATGAATACAATCTCTAGAATACATGTTGACACCTACAAAAACTCCAAAAGCAAAAAATAAAAATAAAAAACAATTAACAAACCTACAATCAATCCTACACCAATTTGTAACAAAACCCAATAACCCAAATGTGTCTTATCTTCTAGCTAAAGAAGAAAAAAAGAAAAAAGAAATCATCCTCCTCAAATCAAGCACCACAATTAGCCAAAATGATGTGGCAAAAAAATTGTGCGCAACCGATGAATTTGATGAGAACTGTGCAGCACGCAATGAATTTGATATATCTTCCACAATGTACCCAGTAGCAGCCATAAACCCCTCTTCATATTAGCTAAAAATCCAACATAAAAAGGCTCTTCTAAAGCTGCAATCTTTGGAAGCTCGCCTCCAAGAACCAACCAAACAATGAACCGAATGGGAACCAGAAATTGAAAACTCTCAGAAAAGGCCGAACAATACCGAAAAGCCGAGGACGATCAGCCAAACTATGTGAACCAAAAGCAGCGCTTGGGCAGAATGGGGGGCAGAGCCCCCACTACCCACCTCACAAAACCCTAACTTCGCCACCTTGACCCCAGCGCATTGGGCATCTTGGCAGCCACACCAGTATGTCACGCCGTCGACGCCGCAGACCGGGTCGGGTCGGAAGCAATTGACGGGGCATAAAGATGGTGACCGGATTGACCCGGCACAGGCGTCGGGTGGTTCGGACTCGGAGGGCAATCGGATGATGGTGGATTCGGTTTGGAGTTCAGATCGGACGGTGGGGAAGGAGCAGAGGACGATGAAGAACGCGAAGAGGATTAGGGTAAAGAAGGAAATTAGGGATTTGGGGAATTGGGTATCCATGATCGAATGAAAGATGAGATCTTTGAGAAAAGAAAAAGCAGCCCAAGTAGCCAACCCTCTCCTGAAGCTCTGAACCTTCCCCCAAATTCAAGAAAGCCTCGAGCTTTTTCCCCAAATTCGAAGTTGCGCTTTGGGGGTTTTCTCAAATTTGAGTTTACGACTGGAATCGAATATGAAATTGCTTTGATTCGGGGAGAGTACAATTGGAGAAAAAATAGGGCTAAATTGAGGAAGCCCTAATTTTGAGGTTGAAGAGGAAAGAAGGGGAAGGAAATTAGACACCTGGTTGACGCGTGCTTTTCATTCTCTAGAAGGATGTGGAAGCGTCAAACGGTAGTTTGGATTTTGGACAGTGAACGTTGGAATAGGGCCAAGCTGCCAGCCTTTTGCCTCCTTCTTGTTCATCTACTTTGGTATTTGTGACTTTTTTGTCTATTTTTTAAAATATTTTTAAATAGTAAAAAACAAGTTAATTTAAATTCTTTTTTGTTGAAAACAAGTTTATTTAATTTTATTTAAACTTTGTTTTCATGGTTGCTGCCGACCTTGGACTTTACAGAATACTATTCAATATTTTTGTTTTTCTATGGTATTTTCATACCTTTTAAAATGGGGATTTGCTTCTACTCTTCCTAATCTATATTGGATTTTCAAAGTTGTTTCAGATTTTATTTCCTTTTTTTTAGTCTTTTCTTACCTTTTTCAACGAATTTACTTCTACTTTTATCCTCTTCCTAATTAATATTGGATTTCCAAAGTTGTTTTAGATTCTATTTTGCAAGTTTGTTATTTTCTATGAGAATAATGTTAGAGAGACTAGGTTTAGGTTAAGGAGACCACCATATAGTGTGTATATATTTTTTTTTAATTTATACTTTTGAAATTTTCGTGATTTATTGTTTTAATTCCTACAAAATATTATTTTAATAAACCTTAAAAAAAAAAAAAAAAAAAAAAAAAAAAAAAAAAAAAAAAACCTTGAAAATGTGTACCCTTTTCATCTTTCATACAGTACACGTTGATTAAATTGGTGAGCAAAAATATGTCCTATATTATTATGTGAGAGTCCGGTTTTGGACACCCTCTTAGTTTTGATGTAGCTTCACCTTCCCCAAAAATTATGTCATGCTTAACCATTAATTATTTCTCACTCAATCCGTCGATTTAGCTAGTGAAATGAAAAAGTATTTCCCTTCAATAAATAACATTTTAATTAGAAAAGTAGACTAGTTGTCTGTATATTATTTAAAAAAAAAAGAAAAAAAAGTAGGCTTGTTATCAAACATGGTGTAATGTAAAGTGCTCAAAAAAGAAAGAAATTAATTACTTTTTTTACCCATAAATAAATAATATATCAAATTAGCTAATTATCTTTCTTTTTTTCCTTTGCAATTACTCCTTGTTTTAAGAGTCCCATTTTGGTTATGACCCCAAACCCATACCAAACACAAGAAGGAAACATGAAAAGAGGGGAAATTATTGTTCCCACTGTAATAAGGAAAGTAAAATAATTTGCCTGGTCAAAGGCAATTTCCTACTTGGTTTTGTATTAGAAACAGAAACAAATCACCACCAAATTGGTGTATATATAGAAGCATATCAAATTAAAACCATGAACACAATTTTATTTGTGAAGCAGGGCTTTGTCTAATTAAATTAATTGAAGAAAGCATTATGAAGCTGGGCAGGCCAATCATCCCTTTTTACAATAATAAAAATAATAAAATCTCCTCTTCTTCTTCTTGGCAATGGCAGCAACGGGCTTCATCACTTTAGCCCTGCTGAGATTGAGGTGTCTGAAATTCTGCTTGAGATGGCTACACTCATCTATGAATGTTCCAATCAGAATATGAAGCATGGGAAGAGTCAAGACCAACCCGAACCGTCGATGGTTCATGATCATGGCCGCCGTCACCATCGGACGGCTGATGTTGATGTAATCAATACTAATCGAGTTGTATTTGATATCATTCCTGATCTCAACGTGCCTCTTCCTCTAGAGGAGGAATAATCGGCTGCGGTGGAACAAGGGAAGACTCTAAATTAGATTTTTGTTGTTGAAATTAGAGTAGATTGATGGGCTAATAATGTCCTTTTATGTTGTTGTTTCGATTATGTGTTCATGAATTAATAGAGTAAATGTTGTTTCATATCTACTATCTCCCCTTTTTAATCTTCCTCAGATATATATATGATTTTTGAAATAAGAACGATAGATTGCATTTATAATTTAGACATATGTGATTTTGAACGTTCAACATAAGTATACAATTAAGAGAGGCAAAAAATCGGTGTATGCATCAATTACTAAAATTTTGGCTAGCAAGAAAAGGGATTGTAACAACAAATTTGTAATATTTGACCCTAGTTTTGAGAGTACGTCTATAGATAGTTTTATGGTTTGAATTGTTTAATGATCATTTCCTATTAGGGCCATAAAACTACCTTTTAATGTTGTCCAAAGAGATGGTGATTTGTGAAGTATTGTGTTATAATATGGGTGGACAATAAGATCGACATATGTCATGAATTTAAGGGATAGAAGTAATGAATAGATACATATGTTATTCTATAAGTAGCGTGACAACATCACATAATGGTGTAACTAACACACATAAAAACTACTCATCCCGAACATACTCATTTGGACCTTCTCACGTTCCTTATCATCCTTGTCCCTCCAAACTTTTTATCCCTATCTTGTTTCCGAAACTTTCATGAAGTCCTCTCTTGTTGGTTTTTCATTTAGTGATTGAACAACATTGACTTGAAGACTAATAAAAAAAACACACCAAGAGCTGTTGAAAGAGACAAGTTCTAAATACTTTACATGGTTTTGATTTTTCTCTCTTAATGGTATGCCCAAAGCATGTGTTAATAACAAACAAGAAGTGACCACCATTATAATTGCTTTTGAACACAGACAAACAAGGAGTGGCCTTTATTTACTTAAAAGCAGAAAGTGACTAGATATTTCGAAGGGTTTTAATTTTTAGTTTTTCTCGCTTGATTCTCTCTTATTATTATTATATATATATATTTAAAAAAAAATAAAAAAAAATAAAAAAGGGATTCTCTTCAATTCATGGGTTTGAATTTGTATATACTGGATGTGCTTGGGTCCTTACCATCATTAATTAAAAGACGGCATAGCTTGACCCATTAGCCATTAAATGGGTTGCCCACTAATGTATTTATGTATTTCTAAGGGTCCCCTATGAATTTTTTTTCAACGATTCAAATCATTTATTTTTTAAGTCTACATTCACAGATCATCCTTGCAAAAAATTAGACAAATCGGAAACTGTTTCGACATCTAATTATGTCTTATCAAATCAATGAACACGGTGCTTCAAGAAAGTACTAAAATTTCAATAATTCAATTGAGTGGTCAAATGATATCGGATTCAAGTGATTTTTTTGTAGAGATGATCTTTGAATGAATATCTACAAAATATACAGTTTGGATGAGTGAAATACAATACGGAATAAGCCCAATAAGGATGTTGAATAAACATAGTTTGTTGAATGTGCATGCAAAATGCGTTATTTGAGTACCAGCCGACCACCAAGAATAATTAATTGGATTAATCCAGATTATATTTAAATGCAAAAACAAAAAAACAAAAGATATTGTACAATATTGGAAAGATTTTGTCTCCAAAGTTTGACAAAACGTAGGTCAAAAGTGGAATTATGAGTAAAGACTTGTTCTAGACCTACTTTCCGCGTTTAACCCAACACCAAAACTTGAAAAAGGTTTGATGAAAGATCGATAGCTATCTAATAGGAGACCAAGTTCTTAGATATGTATGTAGGAATTAGTAGGCACTATTCCATACCTTTTCTTTAATGGCACTTGACATGAACTGGATGGGCATTGACTTTGACCTTCATACACTGATCCCTGATCAGCTCCAAACTCCATTAGGACTAGGTATTTTTAATTATATACTTTAGAATAATTGGAGATAATAATGTGGTATGCTTCCGCACTACTGATTCTAGTGTGTTCCTACTACAAGTTAAATAGAGATTGAAGATAATATATACAATGGCAAATTCATTTGAGAAAAACATAGAGTATTACAAGTAGGGAAATGTTCTGAATTAGCACCATTACGGCACCGTTATTACTGTTGATATTGTCCTGATATAATGATAGCAAAGTCTTAAATATTCTCAACGTGACATAAAGCATCGTTATTATTATGTCTATACGGTCGATTTTCTATAGTAGTACAGCTAGTTGAGAAGATTATTTTGTCCCTTATTTTCCCATCTACCAGTCAATCATTTTGCATGCCTAAATTTACCAAACAACGAGGTAAATTTTTTCATTTGTTGGTTGTGAAACTAATTTAGTATATGGAGGTTCATGAACTTCCTCTTGTTTTATATTATAATTAGTAATATGGACCTAATTAATCACTTTTTCAGTCAACCACTAGTGGATTAATAATTTTGTTCTTTTCCTAGAGGATGCTAGCTCCAAAGATAAAAAGAATATGTGGAAAAAACACCGTCTGGTTTTGTTTCTTTCACCAAGGTATATAAATCAAACTGTGTGCAGTAGCTTAGCTAAAAGACAAAATGGCATGGGTGACACTAATGGTCATGCCCACGATCTAAAGGGCAGGATGATTTATTCTTGTCTAAATGTGTCGTCGTGATTCACAATCTATTATAGTTAACATAAGAATTTGTTTCTAACTAACGACGGATAATGTATAAATTATTATCGACATTCAATGAGTCTTTTACGTACATTGATTGAACGATTGAGATCACAACATGTTGAGTGATTGACATGATATTAGGGTCTTTGTGACACCAAAAATATGCTATAGTATTTGATTCTCCCCTACGCAGTCCAAGTCTGGGGACCCAACTGGTAGCCAGGAGACTTCCTTAATTATGCATCATTCATCGTGATAAATATGTGTTTTGCATCCAAAAGAATATAGGGTTGAAGGTGAGTTGTTATCAAATGGTTGAAATTCTCTCATCATAAAATGATTGGTACCCGTGATCTGATTTGATACGATCTGTAACTCACTTTTGTGTCTCAAGCCTGTTACACATTTATGGGACCCCCCCCTCATTTTGTACCAAATGAACTGTAAAGCTAGGTTAAAATCAAAAATAAAAAAGAAAAAAAGAAAAAAAGAAAAAAAGAAATCCTCCTTCCGTATGTGCTAAAAATATATGTGTGCGAAATCAGGCCAACATGATGGCTTTAATTTAAAATTTTATTTTGTACATAATTAGGCAGGTTTGTTGGAATGTTGGCCTTGATATTACATTACGGTACCCCACAAATATATATTATAAATATAGGTAAAATAAATGAATAAATAAATATATGTGAATGTGAATGAAGAACCTTATAAAAGGCACTCACTCACTACATAAACCTTTGTGATAAACACTAGCACTAGCAACTCCACCACCAGCGTGCCATTATAAAAAGCCACATAGAAAAAGTTTGGCCTCCAAGAACCCTTTCCTTCACTTCACACCCAAATTCACAACCAAATTCATTCATTCATTAATTCTCAGATTCGAGCAGAGCAAGAACTCCGGTGGTGATTCGAAAGATGTGGCGTGGGCTGGCAACAATGAGGCAAAATCTCCAGAACATAAGGAAGAGCCCCAGAGTAGCAGATGAGAGCATGGTGATTGGAGGTGGGAACCTAGCAGAACTGCCAATTTTTGCAGGACATGGTCATGAACATCAAATGGATAGAAGATCTTCATCGCGCGTACGTTGGATTAAGGGGTTTTCGGTGTTGTACAGTGTTGTGCTTGTGCCATTTTCTGCGCTCTCTTGCTTTTCTCAACCTGATCATGTTCATGGTGCTGATGGGGTCTGGGCATCTGGTGAATTTGCCCAGATAACAGAGATGAATCACCTCATGGTAAGTGACAGCATGCGCTATGCCATCTTGATGTAAAAAAAATAAAAAAGAAGAAGAAGAAAATCAATTTAAGTTAATTATAACAATTGTAGCAGATCTTGTTTTTGCAGCAGTGTACTAATTTGCATGGAAGGAAAAGAGATAGCCAACTTTTAGATGGTGATCCATGTAAAAATGTTTCCCATAATTTTATCAATGATATGTTGGTGAAGTAATACTACATATATTATATATATCATGTATGAATTGAGATTTATTTTTTTTCTTCATTATTTTTTTTATTGTTTAAAAAATTCTAGAATTGCATTCATAATTTAGTAAAAAAAAGCCACTAGCTACAAAGGACTGTTACAATAACGAAGCGATCTAACATCAAAATTAAGACAATTTGTTGCCTCCACTAACGATCACTTACGATTGAAGAAACTCTGATATACGCTTTCCAATTAAGATTGTTTGAATATTTTATTCAATAACTTAAAGAAAGTTACAAAGGCACTTTGTTGTCTGCAGTACACTTGTACTGGTAATTGCTTAGTGTGGAGGAGGAAAGGACAACTTTTGGCATATAATCAAACATTCTGTTCAGACATTTTTGTAAAAGTACAAGGTTTTTCTTTTTTTTTCTTTCTCCTTCTGTTAAGTGGTTGGCTAACATCACATGGTATTAGAACTCTGGTTATGGAGGTGGAGTTTGAGATCAAATTAAACCCTTCAATCCTCAACACTACTTATTTGGTAAATTTGCAGGGTGTATATTGTAAAGAAAAAGAAAGAGCAAAATAAGTTATGGAAAATTTTGTATATATGAACATAAAAGAAAAAGGAAGAATACTTATTATAAAAAAAGAAAAAAAGGGATCAATGCTTTACATACAAAACAAACAAACAAACAACTAGGTGAAAAAGCAACATGATCCTTCGCCCAACCCATCAATTTTTGGTCCAACATATGGGAATAAATTCCATCGTTTCCCTTCATGAACCCATACCTACCTACTGCTATCCACAAAACCTTGTTTTTTTCGGTCCCCTTCTATTGAGAGATCTCTCGAGTACTAAAATTTCAATAATTCAATTGAGTGGTCAA